TTCTTAATTACGTAATATATCTTAGTATAACTTTAGTATAAGGTGTAATATACTATAAAGAATATATATATAAATTTTTATAGAAAAATATTAAGATTTCGCTTAGTTATTTAAGAAAAACGAGTTAATTTTTGTTGATTTTCCTTGCCAAGAAACCCTGGGGGGTTCGTTTGTGTGGGGGGTTCGTTTGTGAAGTACGTTAGTTATTTAAGAAAGACTCGTTAATTTTCTTATACTTAGCAATTTTAGGGCTTTCGCTTGTGAAGTACGTTATAGAGACAGGTAAACTTCTCTCATGCTACTAGTTCAGGTTACAGTCGCCAGCCTAAGCAGTCGCTGCTTTAATCTGAGCTAAGGGTGAGTCGCTCTGGGAGACTCCTGATCTAAGCCTGAATACATATTAGAAGGTCCAAAAATGGACCTGCACAGCTCCTAGGCATGAACGAAGGGCTGTTTAGGGATCTGGGCACTCGGCTATACTTTCCTAGTCACGTGTAGCTTTGTTTCAGCTAAGGCTGCTGCCTTCGGCTCAGCTACCTCCTTCGACCATCCGTGTCTCGTCACCCAAACCTCACCTGCTCTAACTGCTATCTACGCATTCAAAGCCTTCGGCCTGGAATTGAGGATATGTTTGGATGAGGGTATATTCATGCGAAGATAGACTCTTAGAGCATTGAACTACTCAACCTGCTAAGACAGGAGCCAACATCCAGTGCAACCGAAGAGGAGTTCGAGCCGCTGGAGAGGCGTGGTATTACGGCATGCCACGCTTGTTAGTCGGCAAGAGAGGGGATATGACGTGGTCTCTGTGCTAACGGGGCGCTGACAGTGAGTGGAACGATCACTTTCGACTCTCAAACACGGCGTCGTGAGCGGCTTAGGATTCATATAGGAGTGGAGCAACTTCATGCGTATACGTTATACGGAGATGTTTGGAGTGTATGGATTCAAGGAAGAGCTAGGATCGGATGGTGATGAGGTGGCTGAATTTGATGGTAGAACTAGGTGGCAGAGATTCATGCATGCCGGAACAACTGCGACTTCGAGTTGGACGAAGCCAGCCATTCCCTAGACATCGTAGAAAACCTTGACGAAGCGTGTCCAGACCAATTTCCCGTAGGGCTTTCCCGTAGGGCCCTCAGTCAAGAGGCGCAGCTTCAAGGCACACCTCACTCGGTGTCCCGGAAGGTATTAGTGACCTGCCACCGAGCGCAGCGGCAGTAGCATTCCGTCGCGACGCAGCTCCACGAGAGCAACGCTCCGCTCGAGCGCGCCGTCAGATCTACTGAGCATGAGAGCTCTCTCGCGAATCTCCTCAGACCTTGTCGGGTGTGTCGAGGGGCGACAGTGGACGAGGCTGTCTGATAATCTGCAGTATTGTGTGGCACCGATGGTAGCGTGCCGGGTGTCTGTGAGGTGGTTCGCGTGAGAGGTGATGCCGTTCAGCCCGAGGGCTCGTCGATGCGGGACGTCGCAAACATTGTCGATTGGCGATGGGCTGACCAGGAAGCCCATCAGTAACTGTATACTGTGTATTGTGACTGCGATAGAGGTGTTTGGGCTCCGTCGTCGCTTTCGTATTGCCGTGTCGCAGCGAGATGACTGTTGCTGCGTTCGATGGTCGAGTCCTATTGTGTAGCTTGCTCGCGAATTTGGTCGGTCTGTCCTGTCGCGGCCGCAACAGCGACCCTACAGGTGCTAAATCGACGCGGAGGGACGCGTGATGGCCTGTAGGGGCTGTTGCGGCCACTAGCAGGAGTGTTTTGATGCTTTTGTGATAGGTTTTTCCAAAAATTGAGTTCTCGCTGTTTGTTGTGTTTGGTTCCTCCCCAGTACATACCCCTGGATGTTGGGGCACCTGGCCAGAGCGAGCTCTTGGCTTCGGAAAAATGATATTTCCGTACCCGAAACTAGTCAGCAAATTTTTGCACGAAACCACTTCAACCGTTCAACACCTTCCAGTGCGCTAGCTCCGACCTTCAGAAATCTTCTTTATGAGACTCTCCGCCCTAAATGGTTCCAGAAAATGAAATAGAGGAAGAACCACTCAGCAAATCACAACTCGAAGACCTCACCTACCCGTGTCCCCGGCTCAGAGACTTCATCCTAGACGACAATCTCCCGGCCTTAGGATTTCCGCCCGGCAACGGCCATATTCGCAAATTACCTAAAGTTGATCTTGGTACCCTTGATGTACTTCCTCTTGAGCTGCTTCAGGGGTTGCTCTCCCAACTTGACTTATGCACTCTTACGGGATTTCGACGCGTAAACCGACGAGCCATAGAGGTTGTGGAATCCATCCCTCAATATAAAGCGGTCACCACACATGCACGCAATGTACTCCGTGGTATTCTAAGCATCGAAACAGGGCAGTGGATCTCCTGTGAAACTGTCTACGAAAAATTATGCACGGCTGAATGTGAACGGTGTGGCGATTTTGGCGGCTACCTCTACATCCTCACATGCGAGCGCGTTTGCTTCCTCTGCTTTTCAGAGGGCAAAAGATATTTACCACTGCGGAGTAGCCATGCGATTCGAAAATTTGGAGTCAACCGTCAGATCCTTAACACGTTGCCTTGCATGAGGAGCATACCGGGCACATACTCACCGAACGAAAAGAAATGTCACGAGCGGCTCGTCTTGGTAGACTCCGAGTCTGCTTATCGCGCAGGTATTACACTTCACGGGTCCTTTAGCGCCATGGAACAATATGTGTCAAACATATCAGCTCAAAAATTGCAAGAGTTCAATAGGAGAACATCACAAGCAACGGCGGAGGGATCTGGACCCACGAGACGCCGCCTACGTCGGCCTCGAACTGAAGATCTCTTTGATGGTCGATCAAGGAATCCGATGCGTTTCATGGCAATTGTTCGCATGCCATGGTTAAACAGAGTCTCCCAAGAGCTGGAGTGGGGTTTTCATTGCATTGGATGTCAGAAGTCTCACCGCAGCCGACCACTGCATTATAGACGGAAATTCACAGTGGCATCGTTCGGCGAGCATGTGAGGCAATACGGAAATATCCGAAACGGGAAGCATCACCAAGAATGAGTATAAAAAGCATTCCTTAGCAGTTAAGAGGAGTAGAGACTCTATTGTGGTTGTTGCTATCTAGAAGTCTCAAGAGAGCGAGCTTGAAAAACAGTCGCCGCAGATCAAGCAGCCTGCGTCCGGACCGTGTCCTGTCTATCTACGCATTTCATCCTTTCCTGGCTTTACCATGTGCTTGGAGCACATATGCACCGAGTCGGGAAGTCGAGTCTGAGTTACAGGGCTGCATTTGACATTCGTCCCCACACTGGCGAAATTCCTCCAATTTCTTGCAACCACAAGTATACATCCGATAATCCTGTTCGCACATGTTCCTTAAGAGTTGATTAGCCAACATGCACCTATACTACACATCTTCCTATGGGCTTACGCTAGCTTCGAGTCCCGGGGATTTCAGCTGGATATCTTTGTTTTGGTGGTGGGAACTGCAGTTCAGTCAGCACCAGCATGTTCGGTGTAGGCCGGGGCTTGAATTGACTGAACACACTATAGATTCTTGATTGGAAGCCTGGAAAGTAATGGATTTTAGCAGGTTCGATTGAAAGATGTTGGCTGAAAGATGTGTGGAAAGAGCTGTTGATTATCCTCAGGTGGAACTCTCTATTTATACTGGAAGACGGATAAATCTTAAAACAGGCTCGTCTCCCGAAACGCATAAGTGATCATCTGCTCCGTTATTAGGAAGTGCCCTCTTCGTTCCAGTTTACGGAACAACTTAACAGTTCTATAGCTATGAGGGCTTAATCCCGATATTAAATCATGGGAAAGAGCGATTTGATCCGTAGGCTTATAATAGTTATGCAGGGGATGTCTACTCATGGCGCTTATTGCTATGTGTTCCTGTCCGAGATTCGTTGGGCACGGCGTCAAATAACGGCGGTGTAGCATCCTATCGGCCAACGCCCTTGGAAACTTCAATGTTCAGCGTTTTAGACTAGCATCCGTCAGCTGGCTTGTCGAGAATAATCACCCTCTCAGCGAGTTTGAGTCGCCGTCTTTTCGAGCCCTCCTCCGCGTCGTCAACCCAGAGGCTGACCTGGCTCTTTGGAAATCTCACCGGAGCGTTTCAAAGTATATTTTACGCCTATACGACTACCTCGTGCCGAAGGTACAGCTCGAGCTGAGTCGCTCAATAAGTAAGATCCACTTCAGCTTCGACGGCTGGTCTGTCAAGGGCGGCAAGAGGGCCTTCTTAGGGATTGTCGGCCACTGCGTTAACGCCCGCGGCAAGGTTTGTGACCTCCCTCTCGCTCTCCCTCAGCTCGCCGGCGCCCACACGGGCGAGAGGATGGCCGACGTAATTAACAAGACGCTGCAGAGGTTTGGGATGGACCCCTCCTCCGTTGGATACTTTGTCCTTGACAACGCTACCAACAATAATACGGCCGTCAACGCGCTAGCGTCGAAGTACAACTTCTCTTCCTCTGATCGACGCCTCCGCTGCTCACCCCACTCGCTCAATTTGGTCGGCCAGACAGTGATATACGGAGTTGACAAAGACGCGTTTGACAATAAGGTCTCTCAGGCTAAGACGGAGGAGCAGCTCCTGCGCGAGTGGAGGCGGCAAGGACCTCTAGGCCTTCTTGTTGACGTCCTCCACTCAATCCGGACGCCGCAACAGTACAATATTTTCAACGCCCTCCAGAAGGACATCCTCGAGTCAGACAGCTCTAAGGGCGTTAGAAAGTCCGTTAAGCTCCTTGAGCCTGTCAAGCCTGTCGTCACCCGGTGGAACAGCTACTGCGACACCTTTACAAGAGCCCTTACCCAGTACCTCACTATCAATGCCTATATTGAGTATCACATCGAAAAGACGCGTAAGGAGGGTGCGTCGCGCAGGGCGCGTCAGTCTCGCACCGCAGAGGGCGACGAGCCTGAGTAGATGAGATCCTCCAGGTTGACCTCTAACGACTAGGCAACTATTGCCCAATACGTCCAAATTTTACAGCCCTTGAAGGAGGCCACAAAGAGACTCGAAGGCCGTGGATACTCAGGGCGTTTTGGAGCAATTTACGAAGTCTATCCAACGTTTGAGTATCTCCTCAGCCGCTTTGAGAACCTGGCTAGTCAATAGAGGGCGTCGATTTCAACGAGCCTGATTCGCCAGAGGATCACTTGAAAATCAACGTGACGGCAGCTCTTACAAAGCTCTCAAAGTATTACCTCAAGCTCGAAGACTCGCCAGCTTATTTCGCCGCCACAAGCCTCCACCCATATTACAAGTATTACTTTGTCAACTCCTGGGGTGACGACAACCCAGGATGGCTTGCAAAGGGTCGAGCTCAGTTCCAGCAGCTGTGGGCGGAGTATAACTCAAAGGACGGCACCCGAACCGACAACTCTCCGCCGCGCAAGAGGGCAAAGGTCTCTAATATCGACGCGTATACGGAGGAGCTCACAAAGCCTAAGAGGCTTGACGGGCCGCCCGTCGAAATCAATTCGACTGACGAATTCGAGCGGTGGTTTCACCATGAGCCAAACGTACAAATCGATCACGTACACGCCCAGGATCCTATTGGCTATTGGGTAAGCCTCAAGGGCGATTATCCCCACCTATCAAAGCTCGCGATAGACGTCTTATCGATCCCAGCGTCCTCCTGTTATTGTGAGAGGATGTTCTCCGAAACTGGGGATATGATGGAGCCCAAAAGACGTAAACTCAACCCTCAATTGCTCTCCGCAATTCAGTGTGTACGTTCATGGGGCAAGGCTGGTTTTGTAAACCTCGCTGAGGTTGACGAGGGCTCAGATCTCTCTGAGAAGGTGCTGGATGAGACGTACAACCTCACAAATTGGGAGCTGTAACCCGTTTCGTACATACAAAATATCTCAATCAATCAGTTACCAGGTCAGTCTGCCCTCTCAGAGGCTTGTCAATCAATCAGTCCAGTCCGCGAGCTCTTCGGGTACCCAATCAGGTCAGGCTGGGCCCCTTTGGCCTGACTGATTGATTGGTTCCATCTCTGGTTGACCGCTTTCGCTGTGCCCGACGTCGGGGGCTCTGACCGGAATCGTCATCGTCCAACTTGTCCAAGCACATTTCGTCATCAGAACTATCGATAATAATGGCTTGACCGCCATTGTCATCAACGATGATGAATTCAGCGGACTCGTCGGCTTCATAGATCGAAATAGGCAAGTCTAGTCTATCTGTTCGTGGTATTGCTGCTAAAAGGTGGCAAGCGGAGTACCTAAGCTTTTCTGCGTTACACTTCGCCTGCCACGGCTTACTTCTTGGTAGCGTGAAGCAGTGTATGGTATTGTTAAAGCCGTTCCTGTATCCGCACGGCACTCGCTCTTCAGGGCTTCGATCTGCGGTGCAACTCAGAGTCTTCGGATTCTTCTGCATCCGCGGCGTTGGATTTTCCCTCTGGTTTGCGTTCTTCTTCCTCAAGGGCTTCAAGCTGCGTTGATAGCTTAGCAAGTTTGTCCCGAGGATCGATACACGGCTGATCTTAAACGTATGGGTGAGGCTTACATGCGGGATCATGTTCTGTCTCTCCGTCCGCCATCTGCGGCCTTTCGTGCGCGGATGCACGCTCACTTCCGCTGCTACGTTCCGGCGCCTCATGGTTCGTCGGCTGTCCGTCCTCGTGCTCTTTGGAGGCGAATTTGCCTGCGGTATCATCTTTCGGTTCTTCATGATTCTTCGAAGTCTTTTCCCTTTCCATCTCTTCCTTCAGCTTCTCGATTCGCTTCTTGAGCCCTTCTCTATACTGCTCGGGACATTTGTCTACGTTGATCCACTGAGGAACTCGGTCTAGTAGCAATCTCAACACATCGTCTTTGGCATATTCGGCGAGAGCTTCAAATCCTACGGCTCGATTATTCCCTGTGAAAGGGTACCAGCCCTGAAAGCTAGGAGAGCCTTCTTGGATGAAGTGGCCGAGAAGGTCCACGCGGTTCTTCGCGAGCATATGATAAAAAGGTAACGAGCCCCACTCATCAGGCGCAGTAAGCGATGCACCGGCTTCAACCAACTGCTTCACCGCTTCCAACTCTCCATGTTCAACGGCCCAGCTAAGCGCATCGCGGTTGTTGTTATCTTTCAGGGTGCCGTGCGCTCCCATTGAGGATAGTGGCTGCCTTTTGAGCACCTCTTTGGTCACGCGTCGCCATAGCTCCCCATGACGGGTTACAAGTTGCGAGAGAACACCGCGGCCAAGGTTGTCCTTGCTGCCTACCCAAGTTTCTTGGACCTCAACGCATATAATAGCTCCGTAAGGATCATCGTTGGCGATAGCATCGGACAGCTCCATAGCAGTGGCTGCTTCCCAGTTGTAATCGAATCTCGATGGATCAAGATCCGGTAGGGATGATGGCGGAACCTCAGTCAAGTACATGCCACGCAACCGCAGCACGAGTATGCGAACGAAGGTTTCGGTGGGCTCGCTATACTTCCCACAATGTCTGATCAGCGTGAAGGCGACGCGGGGATTCATCTGCCGCTTATTTCTTGGATGTACAACCATATCCCGATAGCATAACCAAGACATCATTATGAACCATTCGCGAACTCTTTCGTCCCCGGCTCCACGATCAAGAAACGCATTCGACCATACGATATCGTCAAACGTTTCGCTTAACCTATTATTCGAGATGTGGTCCAATGCATGCTCGAGGGCATCGTCGAATGCATCTAGAATTGGAGTAATGCAGTTGGATGCAATGATCGCGGGGATAATACACAATATGGCGGCTTCTCTTGAGCCTAGACCGGACTTGACAAAGAGCTCGATCAGCTCCGTCACAACATCGTTGTTGATACCGAATTTTTCGCCGGACTTAATAAAGGTTGATTTACCTAGTGGCCTATGACAGGAAGGCAAAAGCGCTCTCAAGAAACCTGTAAAGAGGTCCTGAGCGCACATGGTGGGTACCGAGCCTTCAATCGGGACGGTGAGAAAATGCTTCTCGCCTTGAGAGTGTTGCGCGTCAAAAGATAGCGTATTCCAACCAAAGAAGCGGACGACCGGGGTTGAGGCTTCAAAGGAATCCAAGTGCCGCGGAATAGCATTGTAGGTTGAGCGAAATTGCGGTTCTGGAAGAATGAAGGCCGGATGTCGATAATCCTGAGATACGCAACGACGTAGAAACTGGCCACATGCCCAAAGAGTCTCCGGGCCCGGTGGAGAGTTCCAAACGCTCTTCTTATCCTGATCGCTTAGGAAGGGCGCAATGTGGAGCGTGGATAAGCGGATGGTAAGCTTCTTCACGCATGCCCAGTCCATTATGCGTGCGACACCCTGGGGCTCTGCGACGGATAGTATTCGTTCTTGCATAATCCTATTTTGCGAGATAGAACCGCGTCCCATGGTATCCGATAACCCGAGAGAAGGGTGTCGAGCACGGATTGACCAAGTAGTGAGAGCTATGGCAGCTTCCAACTCGGCAGGGTCGACAGTCCACGTGTCTTCAGGCGATATATTGTCGGGGGTCGTTGGCGCTTTCAACGAGAATGTCAAATAGCCCATATGCGGTGACGATGCCTGTGCGGACCCAGTCGGTTGCGTCATGGGGCACTGGATGTTGGCGTTGCCGTATTGGGTTCCAGGGCCTACAGTTCGGTCTCTTGCTTCTTTAGGATCCGAAACAGTAGGATACCCTTTCTTGAAATCACCACCAGCTCTTTTAGGGGCTCCTTTAGGAACATAACAGACAAACTTAATGTACACCTCCTCTTCCGGCCTAGGGTGTATACCTGCGTTTCGCAAGATTAACGAACCGGTCACGGAGAGTGCTTGAGCAAGCGCTCGTGAAACGGAGCGCCCTTCCACCATATCATCGGGCCAGCAATTTTGAGGCGATAAGCTTGGGGACATCACTGAGGTGAGCTGAGCGAGGCGAATCCGGTACCGCCATAATCTAGCAGCAACATCCGGTTGTACGCGCGCAGTGCTGCTGTTGCCCTGAGCCTCCAACCGAGCTAGCAAGCTTTGATTCTCCGCTGCATCTCCCTGAGACACCCAGACGCTTGACTTCTCATGGTCACCAAGCCTCCTTATTCGCGGGCCGGTTGTCGGACCCTCTCGACACGAGGGCCATTGATAAGTCGACCACGAGTATGCCATCCCGTCTTGAACAGGCTTTAGCTGGCCATGCATATGACAGAGTTCAAAAGCGAGCCAATCGAGCTCGTGGCCCGGTCTCCCTGAAGCGTTTTGAATGAATTCTGACGGGATGCGGTTTGCGTCTCCTTCCAAACGCTTCGTCCTCAATAGGGCGCGTAACGCGCTCATGATGACGACAGCGGCTAATTGACATACAGACACGGCCGAATGTACACCTCTCAGGCCCACGAACTGGACCACGAACCCAATCATCGTGATAATGACAGTGATCCACGTCATCAAGGATTCATGCTGCGACACCGGCTTCCTCCAAGATGAAATGTATTGTCTCAACGGACGATCTTTGTCAGAGTAGGCAAACGAGTCGAAGCTCTGGTCACCCACTACCTGCCCTCCCGGTTGAATCCAATGCATAACGGACCGAGGTTGAGGGTGCTTGGTCGGAGCCTTCGGTCTCGTGAACATCCGCTCAATCGTGCTCTGTTCGATCAGAAACGCGCACATGAACATTCCCGTACAAAGCAACACCGTGCCAATGATTGTAGTGGGTAGCGCCCAGGGTGGTGGCAACCGGCCTTCCCGGGTCAATTTCAGAGACTTTTGAACAACCACGGCGAAGACCATAACGGACGCTTGCATGAGTACTGCGACAACCGCAAATGGACGGAGTACGCATCGCGATGGATTTCTGAAGCCGATATTAAGCATCAGGTTGGGATTCGGAGCGAAATCATCCGGTGAGCGACTGGACGCATCCTCTTCTGTCCTTGGGCGCTTGCGGGGACTCTTCCTGAGCTCAACCCATTCTCGTTTCCCCCGTTCAGTCTTGTAGTACTCCTTGAAGGTGTACAGTCCAGCCGAAGCGACTTTTTCCTCTCCTTCCGCGGCGTAGAAGTTTTCTTGATGAGGATCGTGAACGAATTCCAAGATCTTGGGTCGACCAAAGACACGCGTAATTGCGCCGTTCTGATACATCTCGCAAACGTCTCTTCCGGTTGATGAGCACAGCTCGGCTTCTGCAATACCAGCTCCCTCTTGAGCCCTCCCAACGAATGCCTTTAGTAACGGGCTGCCACAGACCCGAATAGCGGATACCACAGCTGTCAAGATTCCCAATGGCGCCATAGCGAAAATGATGTTGTCCCAAATGGTAGTACTTTCGGAGAGAAACTGCTTCGAGACTTGCTCGCCGAAAAGCTGCAAGATTGGAGCTAGGTCGGTCGCGAGGTTGTTGGCGAAGTTGTCCCATGCGTCGCCGGCCGAGGAACCGGAAAATAGCGCCAGCCATACGAGCCAGTAAAGGGGAGCCATATTGTTGCGTGAACGGCGAAGTTGAATCAAGTTGTGTTTTTGCAAACACTCGGGTGCGCTGCACCGCCTTATAAGTGCTCCCGCCCCAGCCTTGTGCCACAACTCTCAATTCCACATGAATGACGTGGAACGGGGACAAGGGACGGCAAGTCGGAGTCATTGGTTCGATAAGCACTCTCAAATGCGTACAGATGATACCGTGTTCCCTTGGCATCGCGAAACAAACTGGTGCCATAAAGGGTGCACGACGCGGGGCTCGCTCCAGTGCGACGGTGTCTGCCGTAGGGTGTACACCTGACCATTGATGACTGCAATGCGTCCATTTGAAAGACCAATAAAGCTGCTTACAAGAGGAGTAGAGGAGGGTCTTATTCCTTGGATGATGAGAACGGAAAGTGTTGAGTGGAAGAAGGTGGCACATACGCTATTCCGAAAAGGTACATCGGACCGGTCTAGTTCTTGGCCGCCGACGTCTCTCATCAGCCATCCTACCAGCGGGGCCTGTCCATTCCATCACTTTCGGCTGGGATATAACTCCTCGATTATTGATACGTAGACTGTCTAGGCGAGAGTCTGCCGACCGTACCGACATTCGATCACATCTGTTGAGCCTCTCGCGCGTCGAACAAGTGGACATTGTGACTATATTCGGACACGGATTGCTAGCTCTAAATAAAGCTACGTGGCTTGCAATACCAATACATTCTTGCTAGGTGTGATAGGGGTGGACCTCCTTCAGGAAATCCGCGGCGTTGGCAAGCTGGAACGAGAGGTCCTTTCATTTCGCGCGAATAGTCTGTAAAACTCCTCAGCTTGCGATTTGACGTTGATGAAGTTTGGAATAATTGTATTGCTCACTTACCGGCTGTAAGAGTTTTGGAAGTCTTTCACCTTCTTCTACGCTAAGCCCGGAATCGCCTCCGCTAACACTGCGGAAACTACCAGTTGGCCCTCGTCCCTCAGTTATTTGCCTCTCTACCGAACGTAGCTCTCACCCTGAAGCTCCTTCAATCCAACCTTTGCAACATCGCGCCTATTTCTCAAGCTCATCATGACGCCGCGGTACTCAATGAGAGACACGGCAGCGCGCAAAGTGTACAACTCGCCGGAGGCAATCCAAGCTCGAGAGGAGGACAACAAGTTGCGTACTCAACGCAAGCGAGTGTATCGCCTCAAGAACGGTCTTATCTCGCTACTCCATACGCCGGACCATCTTGTGCAAGCGTAAGTCTCCGTTTTCTTCCCTCGCAACCTACTAACAGCAGTGATCAGATCTGTCCACAACTCTACCACCAACTTGCTCACTCTGCCACCTGAGCTCTGTACAAAGATATGGGAGTATGCACTCGGTGGCATGCGCGTGACAGGCTCTCACATCAGCCGCTACACAATCACAGGGGGCACCAACACTAAAATCCGACACGCACTCAGCCTCCTCAATGTCTGCCGACAAGTCTACAGCGAGGCCGCCACGATTCCCTACAAGGAGAACAACTTCTATTTCTGTTGTCGGCATGAATTTGGGAAGTGGCACGCGAGCCGCAAACCGGCACACCTGCAGGCTATCCGCACAATTCACTTAGATCCGTACGACATGGATCGGATCTCTTCAAGCCGGGACTGGAAGCCCAACCACTATTCCATTATAGTTCTCAATCATACGCCCCAAGGAGCGGAGAAGGAGGTTGTTCGCGAGTTGGAGAGGCGCGGACTGACGTTCACTCTGGAGTCAGTGCTCCGTCTTGATATATGAATTCGGAGCACGGGTGCAGGCTAGGAGCCCCTGAAGGCCTTAAGGCCCCAAATACCGCGAGCCGCTTCCGCCCTCACTTCATGCGGTAACCCGTAATGCTGGTTGCGGGTATGAGTTTTCAAGGAATTTCGATAGGAATATCTTCAGCTTCTTCTCTGACTTCGTCAATTTCGAGTCCAGTTCGTATATGCGACCACCTTGGACAAAGTCTTTCCGGAAGATCTGCATATCAGTCTCTTCAATATCCTTGAACAAATCTAAACTTTGCGGCGCATGATGGATAGCGCCATGACTCGGCACGTCCTCAAAACATCTCTAATGCCCCCACCTATGACTTAAGGCAGTCATGACCGACGCTGATAGCTGGTCTTTGTAGGACCCCAGCAAGCAGTCTACGATATCGAGACTGAGATCGATTCGACCTAGTGAGGGGATGACAAGCGCCATTATGGTGAGCTCGGTGGCCAAGCCCTGTCTGATCTTGCGGGTGAAGTAGCTATTGTATCCATTTATCATACCATCGGGATTCAGGCTCATTCTGTACGTGGGACACCTCACAATGGCCTCGGACACTCGTATTCTCGCGACATAACATCGAAACTCGGGCGCACCAGTGGCTGGATCTATAGGCCCTTGCGCTGGGAGACGCGCAAGATAGACATGCTTGATTTGTTTGCGATCTTCGGCTAGAATCGGTCCGCAAATGCATCTAATATCAGCAGATGTACCCAACCATGAATGGGGAATAGTTCAGTATGAGCGACTTTGGAATATTGAGCCACAAAGGGGGTGCCCTGGTTCAGGCTCCGACTCTTCGTACTTGCGTTTGGCAGACCAGGATTTGGAACTCCTGAGGCAAGCGATCGAGAAGCGAGATCTGCTCTGCTGTGCTCACTGGGTCTATGGTGATGCTGGCGGATTATTAAGCAGAATGCAGGGGAGGGAGAAGGTGCGGACACGGATGGCTCGTTGAGGGCGCTAGTCCAATTCAGTGTATCATTACGTGCTCGGGACTAGACTAGAATGGACGGGATAACTGCATTCGAGTACGTACATGTACATTTGACTTGCAGTTCAAGTATAAGCCTTACATTATACTCCGTCAGGCCTATTCATAACTCTCGGTAACTACCTAGGACCCCACGTGATCCATGCCATCGAAGATATGTCCGAGTACATAAGGAAAGTTACCGACAAGTGACTGCGTGTGCTTCAGAGGCGCTGAAAGCCCGTAGAGAAGGTACAACGGAGAGTTGTGTTCGGCGTTGTGGCGTTCATCCAACCGAGAGCGAGTGACCGGTGATGCTCTTCGCCGGAATCAAATGCCTAAGAGCGGCGATGACATACTCCTGGAGCTCGATTCGTATCTCATCCGTCAATGGAATATTGGTACTAAACGCTTTCCTTCGCTCGATGAAATCGTCCCAAAAGACGCGAATGCACATGGCCTGGATCCCGGGGAACGTAGCAAGGGAACCTAAGTGCTCGACGACGTGGGATGTAGGTCTCAGCCCGGGACCTTGAGCCCGTACATTATCAAGAGAGCCCGAGAGCGTAAAGTTCGAAGGGGGGATACATTCAAGCAGATCAACGCCGAGATCGAGGTGCTGAAGCGAGGGGAAGGTATTTCGAAGTAACTGCAAACCCAGACGCATGTCCTGCCTGAGCGCCATGGTATACCAGATATCCTCATTGAGCTCTTCGTTCCAGCCCACCTCCAGCAATTTTTTGTTGGCATAGGGAGTCCTAGAATCGATCAGGCGGTGGGGCATGTTAATAAGGCCAATGCCAATCTTACGCTCCGGCAACCACGTCTCCGGACATATTAGGCCCACGATCGTGAACTTTGGCAGATAGACTCGCTTGAAAGATCGACGGATTTCATAAGGCATTTGCCGGCGGAATGCCTGGAGGGTTGTTCGGTGGGGCTCTTCGTCAATCGTGATGACAATTCGTAGGATATCGCCCATGTAATCGAGGGCACTTTGATAGATTTCCAGCTTGACGGAACTCAGGGTTTCGAGCACGCGAAGGCAGCTATGGTTTTCTCCGCTCTGATTCGCGTCGAAGATAATATCCGAGTCGCAATCCGTTAGTGCCTCCTTGAAGATCATCTGCTGTACCTCCCTTGGGAGGCGCTCGAAAAGGCACCGTCGATCGGATGCCATGCTTGATATGATCTCGAGTTGTCGCAAGTGGGTGTTCGCCAGTTGTGGCGGGGGGACCGGCTGAGAAGTAGAAACGGGTTTTCAAATATGCACAAATGCAGATGTTCTTCAGTGAATCACGGTTATTGACGCAATCTGTGCCGGTCAGGCACCTGGTGAAATATGGTGCCTGCGGTGATGACGAGCTGTTGCTGGATATGGTTACTACTTCACGTGACCTGGTCGTGTATATATATAGCCATATTTCCCGTATTCTCAATCAATCAACTTATGTCTCGATACTTGCCAATTCACCTGAAACGAGCGTTTCGTGTGAAGGAAGTTTGCTTTCCGCTGGCTCACTGTGATCACAATATTAGAACGGGCATTTGTAGAGAGTCTTGCCGTGAGTAGATTCGTAAACGCTTTTGATCCAACTAGGGATTGGATGTGAAGCAGTGATTCTAAGACGCGCAGTGGGCTTTCTTCAACCCCCTGTCGCCCTAGCCATAAGTGGTCAAGTTTAACTGAATAAGTGCTTAGTAATCCACCGTTCCTATTCTCGTTGCCTGGCGTCGCTTCGTCCCTCGTCGACACCACATACTCGTTATCATTTCAACGCCCGGCTACGTTTTGCGACTTTGCCTCTTTCCCCGTCCTGACCATCGCAGGACTGTTGTGTCTGCCCGGAGCACTACAGTCGGCCAGTCACCTCCTTATCTCTCCTACCGGTGCACCCGTTGTGTAAGCCCCCATCAGCCTGCCCTACCCGTAAAGGAATTGCGAAAGGAGAAACTCGCGGTGCAAGTGCGAGTGCGGCACTGTCCAGAGCCATGGCTGGATTCCATGATATCAGCTTCGACCTTCTCTACGTCATCTTTTCCGAGATCCAATCCGAGAAGGGCCAGCTCTTCAACCTGACACTCACATGCCGCTCATTCCGTGAGGTGGCTCAGCGATTACTGGACCGAAATGCTACGATATCCAAACCTGAAGGCCTCGATCTCTTCCTCCGTACTTTGGCGGTCCGGCCTGAGCTCGGGCACCGCGTGCATCGACTGGACCTCGACCTGCTTCTCAGAGATATCCAACCGCACAAAAAGCAAAGCAGAATTCCTGAGATTATTGGCTTGCTACCCAACCTACGCCAGTTCAGTTATCAGTCACGTGACTACAAGCTCTGGCAGTGGGGTATCCCATTTCCATTCAAATCCCTCAGGCTCAATACGTATGAAGAGCTCCGCAAAGTCGAATGGCACCACAATGTGACTCCCGATGAACTACTGCTGTGCATGCGTCTACCACGAATAGAAAGCATATACTTTCGTGGACTGCGCGCCGATTCCTTAGCGTCGAAACGTTTCTCGGTTCCAGGATGGACGTTTGGCAACTCCTCAGTCGTGGAGCTTCGGATGGGGCCTAACTCAGACCTTCCGATGGAGACTTTTCGGACGCTTATGCAAGTGCCACGATCCTTGCGCAAACTAGCCCTCAATATACAGGACCAATACGTCCAGCATGGACTACACGTGGAAGCGCATCGCATTGCTTGGATGTTGGAGCCGATTCAGGAAACCCTTGAAGAGCTCGACATCCCCGCGCTGCAAGGGCACATGAAACCTTCAGAACAGCCAGCAGACCTGTCGGCATTCTGCTCCCTGAGGAAGCTTTCCATCCCTCTTCGTTACCTCTTCACGCATGGCCCTCAGACGCCATACTCCCTATCTGAACTTTTACCGTCTTCTTTGAAGGAGCTAAGGGTGAGTTGTCGACCCAACCCTTGAACGACAGCTACTTATTCCATACCACACAGATATCTTTTGTCTCAAACAACTGGAGCACGCCTGAGACTATACAAAACTTTCAAGCCTTGAACAACTGGCTTAGAGATGCTCCTGAATCGGACGGAGCACAATCGCGACTGCCGAATCTGGCTTGTGTTACGCTCGAAGCGTCAACATTCACTTATCCTTATGGCGATCTGAACAAGAATCTTGTCCATGAGATGGTGAATAACTGGGGATTATCTGAGGAGGGCGGCGCCAGAAGACTCGAGTTGCGACATACAGGAGGAGGGCCTTGACATGGTCCGAGGATTCCAGACCGTACCGTCCAGAAGCGACGCATACACACAACCTCACCACTCATGGATGACACAAAAACCCCTGCCTCACAAACAAACAAGTCCCCGCCATGTTGCAATGCCCATAAAACGGCCTCGTCATCCCACTCCCATACAAAACCCCCGCGTACCAAAACTGAAACCTCATCACATTCGGCGTCGCGTACTTGATAACGGCGACGTACGGCAGCCCCCTCCCGCCGACGTCCACCCCCTTGACATAGTTACCCGACCGGCCGATTTCATGGCACGCGTTGTCGTAGAGGAGGACGACGCAGTCTATGTATATGTAAGCCTTAGCGGAGAATGGTGGAAGATTGAGAGGAGGGGCTGGACTTGCGTATATGAATGGTGGCTTCGCAGCGGAAGACTGCTTGGCAGGATTCTGGGCCCTGGCCGACGCAGATGTCGTCGGGGGCGAGGAGCTCGTTCGTAGCGTTGGAGATTGGGGACGCGGCTGCGAAACCGAGTACCGCGGCGAGGAAGAAAGAGAAAGCGGGGAGCTTCATGGCGTTATCGACTGGATTCTTGACAGTTTGCGAACCATACAACACGACCTCTTCAGAGGCGGGTCTCTGGGGGAATTTATCTCACCATTCTCGTGCGCTCTTTGCGCACGCAGCCGAGGTCGGCGTAGGAGAGGTTACGCACAGCGGACGAGTGCGCTTCTCCGCCGCTTCGCTCGCACCATTACATTCTGCATCACGGTTGTACGCGGGCGGTACCAGGTACAGTGTGGCTATTCAAGCTTCTTACTGTAGTATTCGGCATAAGTTTTACCAATTCTCCACTTGTTCGTGCCCCGTGCGAAGGGAGCTACATACCTCGCGAAGGCCTTCTATAGCCTGTTATACACGGTAGAATTGCTACAAGGGGCCGTGTGTAGCTGTGGCCGCAAAGTGGAGAATTGGGAAAGGTTATACTGCATACCACAATAGAGATTACTTGTAGTAGGCTTGGGGTGTAATTGGTACGTGACTCGTCGAGGGTACATATGTGACTGTCTATTTCAAGCAAACCATCACAGGTGGAATTCGCTGCTAAAAGGGGTAAGAGGGGCAGTTGTCTCGCGTCGAGCGCACTACGCAATGCTGGCGAACAGGGCAAGGCAGAGTCTCGTGGAACGCGAAAATAACATTGCTCGGTTCTTATACATCTACACAAAGAAGCGCGGTATAAACAAAAAGACATCCGAAGCACACAATTAACCTCGCCCCAATCACTGGTCATCAATCTTCATGCACTCAAGCTTCTGTACGGCAGTCAGCTACCTTGCTCACACTCCAAATGCCTCGCCATGAACTTACGAGCAGCCATCTCTCGAGAGCTTTGCACTGGCGAATACATTGCGTCCTCGCTCTCAGACTGAGAATCAGCAACGAAGTTGGGCGGCCAGTTTCGATATCGCGGCTTAGTAGACGCCTTCTTGGTGGGCGTCGGTGTCACCGAGCGACTCCGGCTATGCAAGCCCTTTCTGGGCTTTGGGTCGGTGGGCGGCGGTGTGACGGTGAGGTTGTTGAAGTGCGAAGTGATACCGTCCACTGATAGGGGGTTAGCATCGTTCTGAAGAACCAGTGGCACGAGGGATGCAGAATGAGCTTACCTTGGTCATCGTCTTGATTCTGGCTCCCGTTTTCGGTCTGCGGGATGGGCGTGCGAGGTCGCGACTCGCTAGGGATGGTGCGTCGCGACCTCGAAGCGGTCTTCGTAACGCGGGTGGGGGGTCTTAAGGCTTTGCCAAAATTAGTAATAGAAATTAGAAGCAACAAAGCTACATGCACTCACCGGATCGAGCGTCGCACGCGTGGACGTGCAGGATGCGCTTGCCGTATTTCAAATCGTCCAGCTTCTGCTTCAGCGCCGCACGCTCGGTACGAATCTCTTCGGACTCCGAGGCAATGGCTCGAAGCGTGTCTTCTTCCATGCTGGAGATGAGGACGGGGGAGAAGATGGATTCTAGACGCGCGATTAGGCAGTTTTCGATCGCGAGGACGGCGACATTGTTGATGAAGACCGAGATGGCTTTCTGTGGTGGAGTTAGTATGCATTATTTGTAGGGGCCTGAACAGGGATGGAACCGAATAAGACCGACCTTGTAGTACGTCTGCATGAGGTCTAGAATCTCAGAGTTGGTGAAGTCGTCAATAGACTCGGTCAAGAGCTGGTGGGTAGAGATCTTCCCGAAGACTGGAGTCTGCGATTGCATCTGGAGACGCTTAGAGGAGCGCCTGGACCGGATGTCTTCGATCTCGCAGATGAAGGTTGGATCGTACGTGACGGGATCTTGTTCCGTGTAGGGTAGCAGCAGTTCGCCTAGCTTCGCCTTGACATTCTCCCATCGCTGCTCCAGCTCAGGCTCGACTTGTTCGAGTATGAGCATGTTGCGCGTTCGCGTATCCATTAAGGAGCTTAATCCTAGATTGATGTAGTCTTTGACAGCCTGGAATACCCGTTCAAGATGATGCTCGGCAATTTCTGCCCACGGTTCCGACTGGCGGCGAAACACTTCTCCGATGACCCATGGGTTCACAAGAGAGGGCAATCCAGACTGCCGGCTTTGTCGGACGTAGTCGTTGATTTGTTCTTGGAGGAACTGGGTCCGCGCTAGGGCGCAAGGGTCATCGAAATGAGCATCGTATTCTTGGATTGCCTGGGATGAAAGAGCGCTGGTGCCGGATCCGGATGTGATGAATGCTTGCGCCTCGTCTGTGATCTCCCATGTATGGCCTTTGCGGTACATGGTGTGCGCGAACGCGATGTTGAGATTCTGGATCTCGGTACGGAGACGAGTAGGGGCTCGCTCGTCTGCCGCGGCCAAGTTGAAGAAAGGGTTGCTGTATAACCCTCTCAGCGCGTCGCGAGTGAGCATCTGAAACTTCTCTGCTTTCTCCGTGAGGTAGTCGCGCTGGAGGCGGTCACTGTCGCGGGGGTTGCCCAATGCTTTGAGGCTGGCTTCGGTCGATGTAATGGCGGCCTGGATGGTCGACACGAGGGAAGGCAGTTCTTTGCCAATGTGATCAAGTAAAACACGAGAGAGTCGCGTCCTCAAGGAAGCGATGCCGACGTCGGAGCGGGGAAGCGAAGCCCAAACGCCTCGCTGGAAGAACTGTCTCTCTGACTCATCGCGTTCCGCATCGGACTGCTCACACTCTTTGAAATCCCGGTTCTTCACAACGTGCCAGCGAAGCTTGAGGGGCGTGAGCTCGTTCTTCGCCAGTCTGATGACTTTTCCCTCGCTCGGTGATCCGCTGTTCAGGGTATCTGGTTTAGTTATGATACCCAGCGTTCGACAAGCCGTCGGATCGAAGTCCCTGATGTACGTGAAGACCTTTTGATTCTCCAGGTCATTCTTAGCGGAAACGACTGCGAGAATGATAGACTTCTCGTTGCGCATGTAGCTTTCGATAAGGTCGATGACCCTTTCCGCCCCTCCCCCTCCTTCGAGCTGTGACTGGATGATACCAGGTAGGTCCACGATAGTCAAAGAAGGTAGATCAGGGCCAGAATACTTGATCCGAAGGATGTCTTCGAAGAAGGGACCACGATTTGATCTTGTACCGATGGACATTTGTTCCTTTGCTTGCTGGACCAGGGCCGGGAAAGACATTTCTTCGCGCGATGTGAAGCGCCGACTGAACTTGGATAGTTCACGTCGCTCGGCTTGGGACCGTTCCTTGCCTGGAACGATAGTGCATGTTATGTCGACGGCACTGTCCTTTCGGAGGACCAATTCCGTCGCGAAAGTTGTGCATAGGCCGTCTCCAGTTGGAAAGCGGAGTCGGGTCAAGCCTTCGAGCAGGGAGCTCTTTCCCGATGACTGCTCTCCGCAGACAATGAGCTGTGGGAGACTGATGTTGTAATGGCCCAGGCCTTGGTTCCGAAGCTTGTCGATGGCGTCTAGCAGTTCTACCTGCTCCGGAGACTGAAGTTGTTCTAGCGAGACCGATTCTGGGGAAGGGGATTCCATTATGGCAAGTCGGGAGAAATGAGTACACGAAAGAGTGATATGTAATAGTTCGGTTAGTTGGCGACAAGTTGATGTAAAGTGGTTGATGTGGGAGAGTAAGGACCGGCCTCCCTTCGCGGAGATGTCGTCTTTTTAATGCCGTCCCTCTCCAGTCACCTGCTCGAGACCTCCGGCCAGAAGGAAGTTCCCCATAGCACAAGCGCTACAAGTCATGTTTGGATGACCGAGCATGGGCTGAAGGAGGATGGAGAGATTCATGCACGAGCTCGAAGAGCCAATAGAAGCCGCTATCTGGTATCGAAGAAGGATTGGACACAGCCGTCTAACGAAGCAGCACGCGCGTAGTATCTGCAAGCTTATCTGCTGATTCGTAGAAGCGGACAGTGCGGAGTAGTTTGGGGGTGCGCAACGTATCAGCGGCTACGCAACGGAGGCACAGAGTCGCACTGAAGCGTTTGGAAATATGTTCATATGTCGATATTGAAACGCTCTCGGGCAATACCCCAGGCTTGCTGCAATGCGGGACGCAGCGCGCGGCTCGATGCGAGTTCCAGGAAGCGGTTATCCATTTCTCCAGTGGCGTGAAGCTCGAGAATTCATGTTATTTATCCCAGCCAAAGCAGAGGCGGGATGGATCATCAGTTCGTCAGTCGGTGCGTATCTGTTCAATCCCAAAGAATCAACAAATACAGTAAAAGGAACGGGATTGTCATTCACGATATGGACATACCAGTTTATGGCCCCGATTTGGGCCTGTCTAGCGTAGCGTAAGCGCCGCACATGGACGGGGAATTGAAACGAGTTTGATGGCGGCACAGCACACTGCAGGTTGGGTGCTGCAACGCTCTCGATTCGGCAGGCAGACAAAACGAATTCGCACTCAAGTATACCACCGCATCATGGTGGATGGATGCATGGTGTTTCGGAGTTGAAAAGGCTTGGTGGGGAAGGGAGGCGCGAGGAAGGAGAAAGCCACCAAGCGGTGTCGCTGCTGACTAAGCGCCATCGAAGAGCGAACCCCAGCGTAGCAAGCACAGCAGCAGGGATGGACACGGTAAACATACCATAATTATATTGGCGGGGCATTTACGAGACACAAGCACTTGGAACATGGCCTGACAGGAGTACCGCGAGGATTTTGTGTACAGCGCCCAGGCATTTCTCAAAGCTCACTATGCTCGGGAACCGAGTTCGGCGTCTCTGACGGAGCCTCCGGTTCCTCTACGACCTCCTCCACCTCAATCTTGATCGGCTGCTGATCCGCTGGCTTCTCCCTAGCCTCCTCTTTCTCTCCCGTACCCAGCAACGAGTCTGGCAGCTTCTCTTTTTTACCTTCACCCATCCGGATAGCATCGACCCACTGCTCAACTTCCATGGAGCCGAAAGTCTCACCCGGGTACTTCTTATACCATCCTCGCTTACCATGAGTGGCGATCAGGTGCACTTGCTCATCACTTCCAAGTTTCAGTTCCGCGAGGAGGTTCGCTGCAAGAGGATTCGAGGTTGGTACGCCGACGAAGGGGAACAAGTGACCTTGCCGAGCGTCGTGCTTCTTGTGGATAGAAGCGAGAGAGGCCATTGCGGTTGTAGCAGCCTCGGACGATACATCCTTGGGCAGAATAGCAAGGATACAGGTCTTAGCCTGCTCGTTCAGACAAGAAGCTTGCAGTTCCGCAGATTCAGCCATCACCGGAATCGTAGGCTTTATCTCCTCTTCGGGAATGATGATCGGCTCTGAAGTGTCCTCGGTCTTGACGTTGGGGTCCGGAGACTCGGTGGGCTTGTTCGCCTCCTCGATGGTCTCGTCTTTGGCTGAAGCCGCGGCAGATGTCGCATCTGCAGACTTGTGGGAGGCTGAAGCTTTAGAGAATTTGGATGAGGCTTTTGCATCCTTCCTCGTGTCCTTCTTGGCCTTGGACTTCTTGGCCTTCGGTGGCGGGCAGTCGGGGTTCGGCGGGGCAATTTGCGAGAGGAATTGGACCATGGCGTCCTTGTTCATCTCGCCACCGTACTTGATCGGATCCTGCGAGCCTGCGGGAATGAGGATAAGGGTCGGGTATTCCTCGATGCCGTACTTCTCAACCGCTTGCGCTTCGCTCTTCTTGATCTGCGCGACGGAAACGATGCCGGCGAAGTCGATGGCCAGAGTCCTCAGCGTAGCGCTGATTTGACCCTTGTCGCTGAACAGGATGGCCTTCGCGCTGTCCTTGTTCTCGTCTAGCCACTCATCTAGCTTTGTATCCGTCACGCGCTTCACGTTGTTCGGGATCTTGTCTTTGACCGCGTCGACTATTGCCTTCGCCTGTCGCTGTCCCTGGTAGTCCTCCACAGTCGGCTTTCCCTGCTTCTTCCCCGGTCTCACGATCTTGAGCGTGGGGAAGCCCTGCACGCCCATCTGGCCGCAAAACGGCTTGTTCGCCTCATCGTCGCAGTTCACAGCGGCGACCTTGGCGATGCCTGCGAGGGATTTGGCAGCGGACTCGTATGCGGGCTTGAGGTTTTTACAATGGCCGCACCACGGCGCGTAGAACCTGGCGATGTCAAAGAAGGGCGAAAAGGCCGGGTTGGGAGAGCTTACTCGACAATCTGGCCATTGTTAGAGGAGACTCGGGGAGGCCCGGCTCAACAACTTACCGATGTGTAGTTTGACTTTGCAATTACCCTGTCGTAGTCGACGCCCGAGATCTGGAGCACGGCCGAGTTCTTTGAGTACAGGCTCTCGGCGCGAGCGCTGAGGGCGAGGGTAGCTGCCGCGGCGACGAGGGCGGTTGGGCGCACCATACTGGAAAGGTGGGAAGATGGGGATCAGTTGAAGTGAGAAGTGGCGGCGGGAGGACGGGAGCTAGGGCGGTCTTTATGTGGCGGGCGCTCACATCATGGTGTGATTGAAGCCAGGTTGTCCTTTTACCTGAAGCCGTTGCGGCATATGCTGCTTTAGCGCATGGCGGGGTGCAGCAGCAGGGGTCCGCGCCGCCAAGCCGCCGGTGACTTCACTCTCGTCCAGCACACTTCGGCGGCCCGTTTAACACCACGCCCCTCCGCTCCCATCCCCACTGCGACTCATCCACAATGGCCGACAACATCCCGGCCAAGTTCAAGGCCTTCAAAATAGCCCCCTTCGCCAAACTCGCCGCCCAGTACGACCACCTCGAGCTCAAGGACCCAGAGCACGGGGACCCAGAGCACGAGGACCCAGAGCACGAGGACCCCAAGCTCGAGCGCCGCGGGCGCATCATAGCCTTCTGGCGTATGTGCAAGCCCTGTTATAGCCCAAAAACCCCATATACTAATAGTCGCAGTGCGCTTCTACATTGCGGAAAAGATCCTCCCCTCCAATCTCCACGAGACCGACGCAGAATGCGGCGAATACGCGACAAATCTGATGGAGAAGCTCGAGCAGACCCGGAAAATGTACCCCGATGAGGATGCCCTGAAACGATATAACGCTGCCGCGCCCAAATTCTGCAAACGCTTTGCTCTGCATATCTTTGAAAAAGCAAATAAGGAAATGGCAACAGGCCACGCTTCGGAGTACGTTTGCCATATTTCCTAGTCCGTCGTGTATCTGACCTCGTGATCCAGAGACACCGCGGACACCTTTCAACGCGCTGCGAACCTCCTCGATATGTTGGCAATATGGGAGGAAGACCCCGAGCCCGATATCAAGTCGAAACGGAAGGCCGCAAAATACCACGCCATTCGCATCCTAAAAGCCCTCCGTGCAGGCGAAGACCCCAACCTCACGAATCCCGTCCACGAACCATCATCTCCACAAGCAGCGTCTCCTTTCGCCCTCGACCCAAACGACCCAGAAGTTCTAAACATAATCCAGGGCATCGAGAAGCCGCCCATGCAGAACCCGTACCAGTCATACGTGGAATCTGCACCTAATACCGACGCGCAGCCGTCACCAACATTCTCTGCACCGAAAGTTTCTCCGCCGCCGAACCTTCCTTCAGCACCCACAGGGTATGGCTCGCACCGCGATGTATCGCCCATGTCGCATCCGGCTGCGTCTCGTCAGGGCTCCGTAGATTCGGCAGGTGGGGGATATTTTCCAAGGGCCAATGTCCCAACCTTTACGGCAGACAATGCGGCGCCTGGCCTGCCAACTGCGCCTTCCCTAGAGGACGAACCAATGACCACCCCATTCGAGACCTCATCTCTGCCGACAGGGTCTGAGATGCCCCAAGCACCACAAGTCCCCGACCCGCAGAACTTCTATCAAAATGCAACATTGCCGCCGCAAAATATGTTTCAGCAGGCCCCACCGCGGTCCGGTTTCGCATCACCGCCGCCGCCGACATTCCGAGCTCCGTCACAGCCACAATATAATCATTCGCCTCAACCGCCGCAACCCCCTCAGCCAGCGCCAATGACAACCCAGGTCTTTCATCAGGACCCTATTAGGACTGACGAAGAGTCGGTGCTCGAAGCTCAGAAGCACGCTAAGTGGGCAATATCTGCGCTAAACTTTGAGGATGTAAATACCGCTGTCAAAGAGTTGAGGGTAGCTTTGAGAGCTTTGGGTGCCAACTAGAGCCAAGGCCATGTAGGATATGATCCTGAGGGAGCTGGATAATCTTCTCCTAGTAGGATTCGTTGTATACCCCGGGACAGCGCATAGATATACGATGATGATTGTACGCTGAAACGAAATCCAATGCGAAGAATACCAGTAGAGAATCCCACAATTACATTCTATCTTTGGCCTTGTGCCAAGCATCTGGTTCGCATGACTAATTTGACGCACGTGCCATGCAATTCCCTGCCACACGTCAACTTCGCTTCAACCCTCTAGAGACCTTGCACCGGGAGGCAGCAACCCCGACATCAACATGCCTTCGCACCTATCAAGCACCTCTCATATTATCTGAGATACAGGCAACATGGGCCCTCCTACACCATTCAACGCTTCAGACGTCGCTGAAAAAGCGCGTCGGGACCTGCTTCTTCTGCTCGAGGGTGTAAGGTAATATCGTCATCGCCATGCATTGTCAGTACTGATGCATGTTAGATAAGAGGAAAGAAGAACCTTGTCCTCGAGAAGGCGCTCGCGGGGTCTCTGAACCTACTCGTCAAGTTCTCAACGCTACAGGAATATGGCGTCGATAAGCCGTTCTTTTTGGAGAACGACAACGTCGACTCGTCGCAGCGGAACGTGGTGTTCCTCGTTAGAGGAGAGAAGGCGAAGACGGTGTTGGCGGTTTCTAGTAAGTTCTCTGTTGCTCTTTTCTCTAGAATTAGCTTCACGAGTCGTGCATGGCCGCGTTTGCTTGGGATCTTAAGTAGGCGAGACAGACACCATCTACTCTGCCTGGCCAGTCTTGATCCCTATATCAAACAATACCCTATAGCATTTTCTATGGATATCCCCTTGCACTTCCATATGGGGAGACTCTATCATTAGGTGCTAACATCCATCCCAGATCAGATCAAGCGAATACGCCGAGAAAGCCAAATCGAGCATGAGTTCTCCATCTTTTGGGTGCCGCGGCGGACCCTCGTCTCAGACCAGTTGCTCGAAGAGGCGGGTGTACTTGGCGAGGCAAGCGTGAGCGAGTGGCCGATGTTCTTCGTGCCGCTTGCGGACGATGTCTTGTCGCTGGAGCTTGAAGACGCTGTGACAGATCTTTATTTGGTACACCTCTCGCACATACCTTTTTCAAAATGTACTGACTAGATCTAGCGGAAAGATCCTACGTCGATATACCTCTCAGCCAAAGCTTTGATGCTCCAACAACAGAAACATGGGCTTTTCCCGCGTATACTAGGAAAGGGAGACAACGGCAAACGCCTTGCTGATCTTCTGATCCGGATGCGTACCGAAGTCACGGCGGGCGAGAGTCCAAGCGCGACTGGGCCCTCATTCCTCGGGTTAACACCGAGTTCAACCATCGACAGTCTCATCATCATTGATCGAGACGTGGACTTTCCCACTGTCCTCCTCACCCAACTCACCTACGAAGGCCTCATTGATGAAGTCTTCAACATCGCTGCGAACCAGACAGAGGTCGACTCTTCAGTTGTCGGTGGCACAGCGCCACAATCCGGTCAAACCGGCTCTGCGTCGACGAGCATGAAGCGCAAGATCATGATTGACCCCAAGGATTATCTCTACTCTACCCTCGGCGATTCGAACTTCGCCATTGTAGGTAACCTTCTTAACAAGGCTGCAAGGCGGCTTCAAAGTAGCACGGAGCGGAACCAGCTTGCTGCGAAAACCACAGCTGAGCTGCGAGAGTTCGTCGCCAAATTGCCAGGGTACCAGGCCGAGCAGGCCAGTCTCAAACTTCATACCTCTCTTGCCGAAGAGATCATCAAGTATACGCACACCGACATCTTCACGCGGTCTCTTGAAGTCCAACAGAACATTATGTCTGGCTTGGATCCCACTACGCAGCATGAGAACATCACGGAACTCATCAACCGCGACGTCCCACTCCCCATCATTCTTCGGCTTCTCTGTTTAGAAAGCACAACAAACGCCGGTATGCGGCATAAAGACCTGGAGACCTTCAAGCGCGCAGTCATTCAAGCCTATGGGCCCCAGCACATCCTTACATTGTCATCCCTGGAAAAGATGAGTCTCCTGCAACCTCGTGGCGGATCGGGCCTGGGAGCAACGCCAGCTGCCAAACCAGGATCTGTGACCAACTACACGCCGTTGAGGAAATCTCTTCGGTTGTGGGACGATGAAGTAAACGAGGCCGAACCTAACGACATCTCCTACACATTTTCCGGCTACGCACCTCTCTCAGTCCGTCTCATCCAATCTATCATCCAGAAACAGACCCTTGCCAACATCATCAAGCCGCCTTCAGACCCCCGAGCAGCGGCCCAAGCAAATCCGTTAGCACAGGGTTTGCGCATTTTCGACGATGCGAGCAAGTATGTGCGCGGTGCCACATTCGACGAAACCCAGACGGGTGAGGAGAAAGCCATCAAAGCGCGGAGTATGCTCAATGGAAGCCACAACGATGCCGCAAAAACAATCGTGGTGTTCTTCCTTGGTGGAATGACTCGGGCGGAAATTGCAGCGCTACGATTCATCGGCAGCAAACTGAAGGAAGTTGGAGGCGAGGTTCGGGGAAGCAGGATAGTTATCTGTTCTACGAATATGATCAGGGGTAGTGGGTTGGTTGGGAGTGCGATTGAGAGGGAGAGATTCGGGGGATAGATATCACGGCTTCCGTGGTTGTGACAATTTGAACACTGGGATTGCGAACGGACAGGCGTTTACCTTTCTCATCCTTCACCTCAAGACGAAGCCGTGCTCTTATATTTTTGCGCTAGGGATCGCTGGGTCATACGATGATGGTGATGCATTTGGCGCTCTTGAGAACAGATGCCCAATGATCTGGCCCAATAAAAGCCTTCGTGCGTGGGTCACAGAATGTGGAGCTGGTATTGGTCGAGATGAAGGCTAATTTACGGGCCGTGCTCTTTTGGTGGCTGACTGGGCGGTTACTGGGCAGCCGCAATGCTGCTGTATCCTCAGTCTCATCGGGCTGAAGAGGGGCCATAACTCTCTCTGCATCTTACACACGAATCCGTCCTTGTGAAGTCATCAGTGTGCTGCTTTACACTTTTCGTTAAATCGAGCTGCCTCACTCAGCTCCTGACCTGACCCTACCCGCCATGCCCGAGCATGATCTCCGCCTGCTCGCTCTCGACGGCGGCGGCGTCCGCGGCCTGTCGACGCTGCAGATCCTGAAGCAGCTCATGGATACCATCGATCCTGAATCGCCGCCAAAGCCTTGCGACTACTTCGACTTGATCGGAGGCACTAGTACCGGCGGGTCAGTATCGCTTTCTCTACTAGCTAGCTACAAGGCTGAAAAAGAAAACACAGGCTTATAGCGATCATGTTGGGTCGGCTGCACATGACGGTTGACGAGTGCATTGACGCGTATGCCACGCTATCAGACAGGATCTTTCGGAAGCAACGACACCGAGTTACGATCCGGGGCCAGGTCCAAGGACGATTCGATTCGGACGAGCTGGGGCGCGCGATTAAAGAGATTGTTGCGGGTCAGGCTGGAGCTGAGGATGCGCTGTTGAAAGATGCCCCGGATGCGAACTGCAAGGTGTTAGTTGAAACCTAGGATCCGTCCAGACTGATGTGACTCTAATGAGCAAATTGCAGATTCGTCTGTGCAACGAGTGGCGAGACGGGGGAAACCGTGCGGCTCACCAGCTACCGCTCTCGCGGCCGAGAACGCTTGCTCCGCACCACCAAGATATGGGAGGCGGGGCGAGCGACTTCAGCTGCCTCGTCCTTCTTCGACCCCATTACTATCGGTGTCTTTGGAGAGACCTTTGTCGATGGCGCGACGGGGGCGAATAACCCAGTGTACGAGGTGTGGAATGAGGCCCAGGATCTTTGGCCGTCTGACTCGTTTGAAGACAACGTCAAGCGCTTCGTGTCCATTGGGACGGGCGTTCCGTCACTTAGGCCGTTCGAGAACGATGTGCTCGGCGTTGGGCGCAGTCTGCTGGCGATTGCTACGGACACGGAACGGACGGCGGAGCGGTTTTGCCGCGACAAGGCGAGGCTACACAGTGCTGGGCGATATTATCGATTCAACGTGCTCAGAGGATTGGAAGATATCGGGCTGGAAGAGGCGAATCGCAGGAATGCGATTGTTGCGGCTACGGATCGATACATCGAGTCGCAGGAGGTGTTTCAGAAGATCAGGGCATGCGCGGATAGCACGTCCGGAACAGCAACAAGTTAGTGCTTTTATAGTTTGGGTTTGCAGGCTAAGTCTGGACGTTTGATAGCTTGAATTCTGGAGCTGACTTCAACTTTTTTCTAGATAGTGGAAGCCGCGGGGCAGTTATCCTCAGAGCGTTGGCCCAGTCGATGCGCGATTTGGAAGACCGGCGCTTAAGAGAGGCGGGGCAGCGCCTTGTTTTGCATGCCCACTCACTGCGGGTGAACGCCGTTGCCTACTCGCCGGATATGAAGACGGTTGCGTCCGGTTCTATGGACAGCACCGTGAAGATATGGGAGATTGAAACGGGGACCCTAAAGGGCGAACTAAGCGGTCACTTGGGGCCTGTCAATGCTATAGCCTTCTCCCCCGATGGAAAGGTGGTCGCGTCTGGCTCTGCTGATTCTAAATGCAGGCTATGGAATTTAGAGTCGGGAGAATTGGAATGCGAGCTCAGCCACGCGGGCAGCGTCAATTCTCTCGCCTTCTCTTCGGACGGGCGGTTGCTCGTGTCTGGCTCCTCTGATCGTACCATCAAGGTGTGGCTGGCCGGGACTGGGGAGCTGCTCAAAGAGCTAGAAGGACACACCAAGGCGGTCAGAGCCGTGGCTTTCTCGCGCGATGCAAGTGTCGTCGTATCCGGCTCTGAGGACCGCGCGGTTATGGTATGGAACGTCGAGTCCAGGCAGCCGTTACGAGAGCCCATATGGTGTCCCGATACCGTCAATGCTGTCGCGTACTCGGCCGTTACAGATACGATTGTGTTTGGGTGTGCTAATGGGACGATGAGGGAATGCGCGGTCGCCAGGACGGATACGGTGTGGGGGGTGAAGACTGCATTTGTGGAGCTTGTGGGTCACTGGGTAGCAGTAACCGCGGTGGCATTCTCGATGGATGGGCGGAAGATTGCGTCGGCTTCGGCGGATAGAACAATCAGGCTGTGGCATAGCGACTCTGGCCAGCTCTTGAGAGAGCTTAAGGGCCATGATGGGGAAGTTACCTCTATCGCATTTTCGCTGGATGGAAAGACGATTGCCTCTGCGTCCTCAGACAAGACAGTCCGGTTTTGGGATGTACATGATTAAGTTGGATCGAGACGGTACTGGAGCACTGTGGTTGCAGAGACGGAACTCTTACGTTCTGTTTTTCTTACTCTATGGGCCCATTGCATTGAGCTTGAACGCCACCTTACGCTGTCCGTCGAGGCGTTCACAAGTCGAAAAGCCCCTGTATCCCGCGTACCAACTTGTCCATAGTCTCGGTGTTCACTTTTATCGCCTGCTGAACTTGGACACTAGCTTGGGTATTCCCGCTTATAGCCGATGCGATTTCCAGGCTTGTGAGTTGGAGCAACTGGGAACAAGTGTTAGACTGGTTCCAATTGTGTACACTTTGAAAGGGGAAGATGGCTGCGTACCTGCTCCTGAATGTTCTTGGTTTGCTTTTCCATCCTCAACGAATGCTGATAGTTGCTGTGTGCCTGTATCCGCAGGCGCTGAAGATTATCTTCGATGCGGTCGAAGACGTGGTCTGGAACATCGACCATATCTCGAAACCGCCCATGTTCCTTTGCCATGGCATCGATCATGACTTTCATCGACGCAAGATGGTTCTGGTACTTGAGCTGGTATGCCAAAAGATCGTGGAGACGGCGAGACGTCTCCTCGAACTCGTCCCTTCTGAGTGCGCGGTTGAAGACTCTGTTTTGCTATATGAGGCGTCAGCATAGCCGGGGTGAAAATCAACATTCACAGTACATACCTCTTTGTCGATCTCTCTTTGGAGAGTCTCAAAAGAGAAGGTCCAGTCCTGCATTGTTTCGGAGAAGAAGAGAATATGGATCGAAAACGGATCCTCTTGCATACTCAACTCCTGCCGTTGCCTCATGGCCCGTTCGAATCTCCCCTCGCGAAAATTCCCACCCTCGTCGAGGACAATGACGGTGCATGTTCTTTTCTGCAAGTCGTATTGCAGGCAGATAGATACACGCCAGATCAGTATGGCCCAGCGATTTTGTTGAAACAGACGAATGTCGAAGAGGCGCCGGAAATCTTCGGTCCCGATGATGTCTCGGGTACCAGGGGCGTCCGCTGGCCATGTTCGCGGGGCAGAAAGCGACCACCATGTCTCTAATCGTGATTGGTAAGCGGTGAACTAGTCAAGAGAGGTATTGGAATGACGTACCAAAGGCTTCGGGGCTTTTGTTAGCACCGCCACGCCGAATATAACTGCCAAACGAAGACAGATGAGACGTTCCGACAAGATGGGGAAACGAGGGATTGACTTGAAGCACAGAGAGAAGCACGCGCATACACGGCATCCAGATGCGGTTGGAAGCACCTGGCTGCACCATGAAGCTATTCTTTAGTTAAAGATGACACGGCTTGGTAGCGAAGATATTTGATACTGACAAAAACTTCAGCCCCGTGCTGCTCAATTCTTGTGCGCGCTGTTGGGAAGGCAATGTCAGATACGTTTTCGAACGGCTTTGGATTCGGTTGCTCACCTCTCTGAAAAAGGGACAAATCTCCCGAAAATATAATTCCCTCTTTTCCCCTAGATGCGGGTTGTATTAGTATCTTGAATATGGAAAGAGCTGCCCATTGCTTTCTTACCTATGCCATCATTAGGAAGCAACCTGACCTCAAATGCCAATCCCTCTGCGTCCGGGTGGTCGCTTTGGCTCTGGAAGTTGCGAGATATGAGGTCCAAATGCTGTGCATCTCCCTCGGCACTCACACAATTCTCCGGGTAGTTGAGGTGATCGTCCAACATCATGAGGTCGAGCCTTAGGGAATCCATAACGCAAGAAGGGGCCACCTTTGTAATGATGAAGTTTGCCTGATGGTTCGCCTGGAGTAGAGGCGCGAGTTACTTCCTCCTTGAAAGCAGCGCTATGTAAGGAAATCTCAGGTTTCGCACAGAACTGGCTTAGAGTCAGCATATGTAGGATGTAGCAGGAGACAACTAGGGCTATCTGCCGCGCCTCTTCACATAATCGGTGACTTGCGCCCCTGCAAATGCCTCAGGGGGAGCCTATGAGAGTGGCCATCAGCTTGCCAAGCAAAGACACACGCGCAGCCCTTCAACGCATGCAATGTGATGTATGCCCATATGCGTCGCTCGTGGTCAGCTCCAAGTTCAGCTCCGAGTTCATGTTGCTTTTGAAGACCGGAAGTAGGGAAACTAAGCGAGATCCTTGGCAATCGAGATGTCGCCAAGCTTTATCCATCGCTTTTAGCTTCAATAGCTGCTGCTTCATCAATTGCACAGCGGCAAAGCAGTCGCAGATACCTTCTCCCTTAGAGATGCTGAAGGCAGACTCGAGAATGTTCCCCGGGGTTTTGCTTGAAATGAAGACAAAGTTGGAATGGTCGTAGTTTATTGAACAGACTTTTTCCGTCGCGAAGTCCATTGGAAAAGAAGTTCGTAGGTTCGGGAAATGCTCAATCCGACGCGGCTATTTTCCTTAGGTTTACGCCGCCATAGCTTGATTCAACTCGCTAATCAGTCAGGGCCAAGCAGCTCGTAGTTCGGTCCGAAAACGTGGATGGAATCTGGAGAGGTGCTGGATCATACGATTTCATAACGCTTCTATGTTTGTGGTGTTGGGCCGTAGGCGGCTGCCCGCCTGCTCGAAGTCATCCTTTTTCCGATATCTTCTCGGCGGAGCGCAGTGTAAAACAAATATCGTACAAAAGGGTGTAGTATTCTGGTGAGAGGGCTGAGGCGATGAAGCGAGAAGTTTATCTACGCCAAGGCACTGATATCTCTCTAATCCTTTTCTGGTATAGCATCTGTGGGGTCGAGAGCGGCTACAGTTAAAGCTAGGAAGGAATGGCCTGAATTGAGAAGGGGCGGGTTTACCGGTAGTTTCGCGTGCCGGGGCTGCGCCCGCGCCAAGTTTATATCGAATACGCAGGGGGCTCAGCTGCCAGCAAAAGGTTGCAGGCAGCCGTCATTTCTCTCTTGCTCAAAGTAGAGCGAAAGAACCTTGTCGAGGTAGCGAAGCATGCCCTGCATTATTGGGATGTGGGTATGTTCAGTAGTGGATATGCGTGTAATTGCCGATTAGATCCATATCTTAGTCACAATATTGACTCCGATGCTTAGTTGGTATCCGGTTGACGAACAAGTTCCTCGAGCTTGGCGATGCACCTCTGCAGCAACAACAGGTGCCTTTGGACGACTTTCAGAACCTGAACGTCGAAGATCGAAGGGTACGCCTGAAACACCTCAGTAAACAGGATCTCAAAGACCTCTTCGTTCAAGTTGTGGAAGAAGCTGAGGATGCGACTGCGGCTGTGCAGCGCTTTCAACAGCTCCTTCAGGAGTGATATTGTCAGAGCTAGGTCTGATCATGCGAGCTTGGACTCGAAGCAGGTCTTGCAAAATAAGTAGAAGCTCAGTAGTGCATTAATGTAGATGCACAATAAACACACTTCAATATTAACAACGTTCAGGCTTCACATTTAGTGATGCTTATCACCATAGCACTGAGCTATGTGCTCGTCGGCCTTGCAGTCACAGTGACAGGGAATGGTCTTTGACGCCCTGCGCCCAGCATCCAACACACCAAGGAAAAGAAATCGATCCTGACAAACCAGTGAGATTGCTGTCACATGCACTCAATCGTTTTAGCAGCCAGGAAAAGCAAGAATGCTCTTTCATCATTAGCAGGCAGCCTTCCATGCCTTCGTCAAGTTGGTTTTTGAAGCCATACCGTACGACGTCTCTTTTCCTTGCCCGCTGAGTTCCATAACTGTTCCTATTGCACGTTTTCACTGGCTATACGCGAGTAGAACCCAATTTTAGAAGGCCTCGGATACTTGACACAAGCCATTGAGGGGGCATTGGCGTCTGTGAAGACTCCGAGCCAGGACCTGATCTACATCGAGTAGATTCTTAATCACTGTGATAGATTGTAGCTAAGTCACAACGGTCACGGTTGCCCCTTGGAAAATAGTGGTTGCAGGCGTCTGAAGGTGTCCGGTTCCCCTTTTGTCAACGGTCTCACCCTGGGCAGATGGATAGAAGCACGGAATAGCACATGTTGTCCTTCTTTCTCACTCTACCGCTGATCAACCGGTGGATCATGCTGCAAGACACGTCGGAGACCGAATTTTCCCACAGCGTCGGTCTTTGCGCACAACAAAGTCGGTTGAATGTGAGGCACAGCATTATGAACCTCATGCGTCCATATCGGCAAAAAGGTGTGATGGACGACATACTAGGGTGCTGCAAGTGTCCACTGTCGCGTCGAAGTCCGAGGGAACCTCCTGCTTGGTACGCAGACGTCGGACTCAGTCATCTTGTTTGAGAACCTGGAGCCTACGAAATGCAGCATCTGACGTACGTCGCTAGCAAACATTGAAATTGTGCGGCGAGTGTTCAATATCGGACATCCATGTATTACTCGGAGATTGGAGCAATATTGACGGTTGTTGCCTTTTCTGCGCGTTGATGAAGTCGAAGGTTGCCTTCTTCCTGCATGCTTCGATTTCCAACCTCCTGGGACATCGCTCAGTTAAAGAGCGGTGTCCGCTTCATCCTGATCCTTGCAAATACTGAGCCTGAAATGAATTGCAGGGGTGGCTCAATAATTCATGCATATTTGCGATAGCATGGGAGATGTGAGAAGGCGGAGGGTGCTCGTTGATAGATTTTGCTGCAGCGCCGCAAACATACTTTGCCGGAAATAACCCCCCACCCAAACGCTTGACGGCGCGATTTTTACCTGCCACTGTGCCTCCGAACTTCATGCAGAAGGATCGTAACCCCAAAATTTATCTGATCTGCATAAGCGCCCGGGCGGGTAACCCAAGCCACGCTGATCGGCGGTTATCGCACTGCGGGCTCGATGTTCGAAGCCATGTTAACTTCGCGTTCTACTTCTGGTTTAGAAGCTTCCCACGCGGATGATTCACTGCCTCCCGTAGCACTCTCTTCAGTCTACAACCGAGTCTGATGGGCTTCACAATGTTCAACTTCTATTCCAGTCGCATGGTATTCTTTCTGTGGGTGTTCTCCTGGGTGTTCTCCTGGGTGAATGCGGCCATCCGTCGCTATCAAGCATGGAAATACTTGCTCTACGGAAGGGAGATGATCCGGGAGAAGGCGGCAATTGTACGTACAGTATGCCTTATTTGCTCTGTTATCTGCTGAATTACATACCCAAGGCTGGAGACGCACCATTCTCCTTACCTGTTTTCGGCTTTGGTGGTAGGATGCACATTGTATCGACAGCTGAACATTGGGATGACCTGAAGAAGGCGCACGTAGGGCATCTTTCGATGCACTACTGGGTCAAGGAGGTGAATGAACCTCGTGATGCGGATGTTTCAATCGTACGCTAATGATGCTACTCAGATATTCCAGCCCAAATATACACTCATAGACGAATGGCATGACAACAGAGACGAGATTGGAATGCCCGTGGTGCGCGCTATTCGCACGATTACTAGCCGTCTTTTTCGACATGCTCCCACTATCATGAGGGTCTTCGAACGCGAGCTCCGAGTGAAGATCCAAGCTTATCCGACATCCGAGGGTATGTATTGGTGCTAGTGCGGAGGAGACCAGGGTCACTGATACCTTCAGATTACTACAAAGTTGCATTGGCCGACATGGCAAAGTGGGCAATGGTCAAGGTCAACACATTGATCATCTTGGGAGAAGATACCGGTAAGTTCTCTGAGGAATTCTATTCCAACAGACGTTGAACTACCTGCAGCCAATGACCCAGAGTTTATAACCAGGGGTTTTGCGTATACCAAAGAGATGTCTATGATTGGAGAGATTGTCAGGATTGTCCCAGCATTCTTTGCTCCGTAAGTGAGCTTGTTCAGGTATACGAACGACTTCAAATAACTAACCTTCGAAAGCATCGTCGCCAGCGTGGTCAAAAAGCGGAACCTGAACCAGCGATATGTGCTTGATACCATGATGCGACTTGTCGAAAAGAGGCGAGACGCAACAAATGGCTTAACAAAAGAAGCGCTTCCTGAGGCGGTAAGTACAATTTGCGCGCAACTTCTCTATGCATAAGATTGATGGTAGTTAGGAAACCATATTGGAAGCCTTGGCTGATCAAGGCCCGGAGCTGTCAACCCGTGAGGTGGTCCATCACATCAACATTTTTTGGACCACGACCACCCACTCTACTGGACTTGTAAGGGAGCGCGCGCTCATTTCAGACTTTGGGACTGACTATGAACCAGGTCTCCGTCCAATTCATCAAGGACATCTATACTCACACGTCGCTGATTCCGGCATTATTGGAAGAAATAGAAGCAGCTCCAAGCACGCCCCCAACTTCCACGACAGCGAATGATTGTCTAATGGAAGGAGTGCTCATGGAATCCATGAGACTCCACTGTTTCCAGTCGACTGCAATTCATCGAAAGGCTATCAGTCCTTTCACATTCTCTGACGGCTACACCATACCAGCAGGACAGAGTGTGCAGTTCTACCAAGAGAGAGTACATCTGGATGAGAACCGGTATGGCCAGTCTACCACCTTCGATCCTCGAAGGTATAAAGGCTCGTCTCGCTCGGTCACGGACGTGGGGATGGAATGGCCGTTTTGGGGTGCTGGCAGGAATGCTTGGTAAGTGTTGTGTTGATTTTGTAGCAGATTTTATGCTTACTTACTTAGTCCCGGACGGTTCATATTCTCTTATAGCGTCAAGATATTTGCGTCCTTCTTGCTCAAGAACTACGATTGTGAGTTGCCGACGCCAAGGAAGAATTGGACATGGGGCGAGAATAGTATCCCAGATTCGAGGAATTTGTTACTCATGCGGCCCAAGAATGTAGAGAAATATCACAACTAGGCGGTAAAGTTCTGCAGACACGGTGCTTTTGTAGTGATTTCTTTATCATTCTACCATATCGGATACGGAACCTAAGTAGCCTTGGTTTCGCTTGAGGAAGCCATCATACCCAATTATCACGATTCTATATTGAAGTATACTTTGAATGCGTTTCCTGATATGGTTGCAGCTATTTGCAGTGGGATCAGACTTTCCATGAGTGCATCAATATGGCTGTTCTTTTAGAAGCATAGACGATATTTGTGACAACCCGAGAATCACATCTCCGATTTTGAGATATGAAGGTGTCACCATGCGTCTTGCCATACGGTCCCTCCTAGCTTCGACACGTAGTCTAGACCCTAAGACCTAATAAAGTCCCGCGTACATGTCCGTGCCATGTGTATATTCAAAACCAGTATTTAAATGATACGATTTAGTCATATCAATCATGCACCGAAGGTCATGCTCGCTCAGAAGCAAGGTCGTACAAACGGCGGTAACGAAGTCGCTGAATACCTTCCACTGCATCTCTCCGTGGACTTGTAAAAGCGCGCACTCTATTCTGGTCGTCGTTTTTGACACGCGAATTTCATATTGCTTCATATGTGAGAATATCAATGAAGACCCATGGGCTCCCCTCATATTTTATTCTTTTAGCTCTTACATAGTCATAACAGCAGTGGCACTGCATACCTATTTTGGGTAACTGGGAAGGCAGAAGTAATTCAACATAATTCAATGTACTCCTTCAAAGACTGTGTTTAACGTATACCTATCGGTAAACGTCTATCTAGCTCTCAGTGTTGGTTTGCCTCTCCTCAAGATTACTTTCTCTTCTCTCAAGAATAAGCTTCGCGGCAGGATTGGGTACGTTTACGTCCCGGAATTGGAAGCTCAGATTATCAGTTCGCTCAAAGTGAGCGTCATAGTTCATGACGAAGTAAACCGCGATCAATTTCGCGACGTTGGTAACGTGGAACCGCCCAGGGCTGCGTGTTTAGATAGTCAGTTTTCGGTCAAGATCTGCCATAACAGCTGGATACGTACCACGCCAATTTGGAATTGCCCCAGAATGGCCATTCCATGCCCATATCGCAAGATGTTTTCCCAGTCCCCTTGAAACGTTCTGGGTCGAATTTCTTGGCGTCACGGTATATTGAGTTGTCGCTCATCACCTTGTGCTGATAAAACTCCACGATTTCGCCCGCTGGGACAGTATAGCCGTCGGAGAACGTGTATGATCGCAATGGGACTCTGTGTATTACGGTAGCTAGAAAGCAGTGAGTCCTGATAGACTCTACCAGAAAGCTTTCCAGCAGCGGTAGGTTGGTCATGTTAGCGGAAGGATCATCGAGAACTCCTTTGACCTCCTCTCGTAGCGCTGGAAGATATTCCGGATGTGTATAGATGTCTTCGAGAAGCTGAGTGGCCATCTACGAGTACGAGTCAGCGTTGTCAGTTCGAAGGCCCGCTACTCACGATTGGGGTTGCCGTCGTCGAAGATATGAAGGTTGTATTCATATCGAATCTTATACGCCCGCCATACTTTTCTTCTGGGAGATTCTGAACGAGGGCCTCCAAAATCGACTTCTGCTCGACACTTAGCGGATGATACAAAGCACGTTGATTAAAGATGCTACTTACCGGCTTACGGTGAGCATTTTCAGGAGTGAACGCCAAGGCATCATAGTACTTCTGAGTCTCGCTTGCAATCGTGTCCAATATATGCTTTTGGTTCTCATTGTTCCCTCTGATCAACCATGCGGCAATACTTTGGGTTCGGGTTAGCCATGAGGTTATCTTTCAATATGCGTGGCTATAGAGGGACTCATACGGAATCAGCCAGGTAGGGAGATTTTTCGCGGCTTCTCCCACCAACGTCGTCTCGTCAATATATTTCAAGCCTCGATCCACGGTAAAAGGATTGTTTGCTGACTTGGTGTCAGTCATCTGAATGTGAAATGTCGTGGGGCCATAATACGTACCCACATCTTCTCCAAACATCATGAGCATGTTTATCCTAGAGCCAAAGTGCTTAACCGTATCCCACAGTGGTATCTTACTGGAGCCGTTGGAAAGTATATTTGCCTTGAACGCTTGGTCTAGCTCTTCGCTCATTATGCCAATGAACTTCTGCTTTAGTTCTGGGAACCGATTGGTCATTGTTCTGACAGCACGAACAACGGGCATGCCATCCACATCCCTTCGGTCAGCCCATTCGTAACCAAAGGTATACTTGGGCTGGAAGTGCTGCTTCGACCAGGCATGGCTCGAGAGATGGTTGATGCTCGTACTATTGAGGTCGTTCCAATGCTCTTTGCTAGAAACGACGTGCAGCCTGTTTCCAGGAATGAGCATTGAGAAGGGTGCATCTTTGTGCTGTTATGGTTGCGTGCATCAGTAACTAGTCGCGACAGAAGCATCATACTGGCTTACCTTCTCGGCAGCCTCAATCAGCATACGTCTGCCATTGACAAGGAACTTCAACGATGCATATGCCGCATATACCCTGTTCCTGTACACTATGCAGAGTGAGAGGGCAGCCAGAGCGACGATAGAAGCCGTGTAGAACATCTTGGAACTTGTCTTGTTTTTAGAGCAAGAGTGTGCGCGACGATCAAACTTGACAAGCCTGGCGCCAGTCGAGAGTATTTTGCTCCAGTCGAAGGAGCTTGAGAGAGGCGTCAGGCTCAGCGAATTTTCGCGCTGTGCCGCACTCTTTTGTGTAACCACAATACCCTGTGTATTAACCGAGTTTCGGTCGGTTCCCGAGCGCATGCAGGATCGTGGAAATTTGCCCCAACTTGATATCGGCATGCTCCATCGCGCACCCAAAGCTGTGGATTTCAGTTGCGGTGAAGAGTGCGTTCAGCCAGCTCCACGCATGCAGAAACGCATGCATGTTTTGGTCGTGGACAGCATGAAGTCCGGTAACATAGTAATATATACGCGCCGGGCAATTTACCCGGAGGCACACATCCAGACAGTCAGGCTTACTTTGTGGCGCGTAAGAACGTTTGCCTGGAATGGGTTGCATATGGACATTACGCGAGCGGCTCCTTCTCATCAGCGCCTCCAAATCGACGCGATGATGGTGGTGCTATCAGGGACGGCCCGTACCTAGGGCTACGCTCTTACCACGTCATGTATCAGCACGTGATGATACTCGAAACAAATGCGATAACTCCTTAGAAACCATCTCGTTGCCAGTGTTGTCCATTCTAGGGACGTCAAACGATTCGGTATGTGGCATATCCAACTCCGACGATGACGCATCATCGTTGGAGCCGGCTGGATCGACGGCGACCCTCTCGCCGCCTAGCACTATTTGTTTGAGACCAATCGGACATCTAGATTGCGGCGTGAAGGTACCCAGCTTGCTGGAGGCACAGTTCGAATTGAGCATCCACGTAATTACCTGTCTCACATGCCAATATATTTTCCCAGTCAGTTCGGACGAACCGACAAGACAGGAGATTGATCCACCATGGCAATGGCGAGCTTGACAAGGATAGAGAAGGCTATGACCTGTCGAGGCAGCTTTGGAGGTGTATGGAGTCACCCCGTTCTGCTGTCTTAGCCAAGGAAGGCAACGGTTATTTCAAGTGCCTTACTGTCTTGGAAGGAATTCCCAAGGCTTACTTCACAACACTGACTCCGGTCTCTTTGAAGGCACTCCAGTGATTCTTGTTCGCCCAGCAACGTTTGCGCCATGCTTCGTGAAATCATCATTCTAGCGTTTGGACAAGTCGAACTACAATGGAGCTCGCTATTGAGCACTCACTTTGCGCTCCTTGTAGTCGGGTTCATCTTAGCTGAGCTAAGAAGAGCACTCAGTCGAGGGAATAATGAGCAATGCAACAAAGATTTGCCTCCCTTGATTGGTTGGAGGATTCCATGTATGTGTCTCCCTACGGCATCTGCTATACTTCACTAACGAAAATCCAAAGACATAGGTATTATGGCATGAACTGAAGGTGTACGGGTTTAATCGAATGCGTGCAGGGCATACTCTATCTTTCATCCGCAATTCGGAGGCCTTGTTGACCTATGGAAGGTACGAATTCGGCGCAGAAGTAGTCCTGATATCATCTTACATTTATGCAGGAGACTGTACGGAAATACACGCAAGATGTTCGCTATCCAGGTCGGCCGTATCACGTTTTACATACTCAATGATCCCCGCCATGTTGCAACCTTTTACCGCGAGACCGAGACACTACCCTTCGACCATTTCCTTGCGAAGACTATCACTGGCTTTGGCATCTCATCCGAAGGAGTGAAGAAGATATTCGCAACGTCTCTATCGGAAGGAAGAAAGTCGATCGTCTGGAAGGCCCATGACCTGCAAGTCCACCAAACACGTGGTGAGAATCTTGCAACACTAGACGCGGCTATCTATAGTTTTTTACAGCGTGTGATACATTTTGACACGACCCACAAAGTGGGCTTTGCTCGGTTCGGGAAAAAGAGGCAAGCGTCCTGGTCCCTTAAGACCTGGACCACCGAGACGATCATTCACGTATTGCAGGATGTCTACTTCGGAGATGAGCTGGCAAGGATCGAGCCCGACATGCCTCACATTCTTGCGGAGTTCGACAACGTCAGCCATCAGGCGTGGTACGGATATCCTTTGTTCTTGACGCCCACACGCAACCGTCTCGACCGTCATATCAAAAGCTGCCTTAAACGTTACTTTGAACTTCCGCAGGAGCAAAGAAGAAGCACAGCATCTTTCACGCAGAGCCTCGAGAACGAATGTCGGGCCATCGGACTTGAAAATGAGGACCTTTTGTCACTTATGCTGTTCATGTACTGGGGGTAAGTGAAGCCCGGGTTCTGCTTTTGTCCTGTGACCATCTGTTAATAAACCTCCAGTATCTCCACGAATACCTCAAAAACCGCTTTCTGGTTCTTCTCACATATTATCTTCCGCCCTGATTTGGCTGACACGATTCGAAACGAAACAGCAGCCGCGTTTCGTGACGATGGATCGGTCGACACCGAGTGCTTAGTGTCGAAGTGTCCAGTATTTCACAGTATCTGGCTGGAAACACTTCGTCTCTCAGCTGCCTCTACGGCCGTGAGATACATTATGGAAGACACAAAAGTCGGCAACACTGTCTTACCTAAAGGCAACGCTTTGATGTACTCAGCACGTCAGCTACACCTCGAAAATAACGCCTTCGGAAACGATCACAATGAGTTCGACCCTTTCAGATTCTACAATCGTCCTGCTTTGAAGCACATTTCAAGTTTTCGTCCTTTCGGTGGAGGGCAAACGTTGTGCCCTGGGAGGCATCTGGCGAAGCATATGCTCTTTACCTTCGTCGCCATAACTCTAAGGCGATATGACCTTACATTGGCCTTCCCTCAGCAAATTCCCCAGGTACAAGGAGCGCAAGCCTTCGATTGGAATCATCAGCGGGCATGATGACCTAATCTTCGAGGCCAAAGCGAGGATTGTTTGAGGGAGTTTTTCCATGCGAATCGTGGGTAGTTCTTCTTTGCTTCTTCGAAATTCGTAGTAATACAATCTGAAAGCGCTTGTGGGGTCCCAATCGTGCGTCAGTACCCCTGTCATGGTGGTGCGCAGCAGTTGCCTCGTTCCAGTGCTTCGGTACCACACCCTCAGCGAATGTAGATTGATTTGGCCATGCCGCCACGCCACGGTGCGAAGCGAAGTCCATATGCACGTCTTTCTGGAAGGTGATTCTCCGTCTGCAAGTACAAGCCCAATCTGCAGGCCGACTGGGATGGCTTTCCGCGGCAACACTGGCGTTCGCGGCCCTGGACCAGTCGAGGTTTACCGCGCCATGATCCTACATACACAGGTGTTTCGAGGAACGGAGTTCTGCCTCCTGGGGTACATATGCTCGCTTCCAGCGAATACCCAATCCTCATCCTCTTCAAAAGCCTTCTTGAACGAATTTGTTGCAGCATATTGCACTGATCTCTCTCTCTCTCTCTTCAGACTTACTTCGTTAGTCGTTGCAGACCGAATCGGCTTCAAAATGTCGTGCTTACCCCCAGGGCTTGATCTCTCCATGCCCTCAAGAGAGCCGCCTCCAGGGGTAGTTCCTGACTATGTCAGTCACTCTGGGCTTCTCGACTTCACGATCAGTGTAGGCGCTATCTTTCTGCCCTTGATGTACCTATTCCTCGGTATTCGCCTGCACATGCACGCACATGGCGGCATCAAATGGAAGATCGATGACTGTGAGTCTTTGCTGGCTGCTTTGCCCCGAACTTCATCCAAAAGCTTGTATATTGACATGCGTATCAGCAATCGTAATATTCGCGGCGATAGTGTGTACCACACTCGCTGCATTGATCCTGGCATATGCGGATAAGCTAGCAAAGCATTCTTGGGATGTTCCGCTCGGTGTTGTAATTGCTGCTTCTACTCAGAAGGTGAGCAAGAATGCTAATATTCGGGCGTATTCTGCCTTCATCAGCCGACTAAATGTGCTCAGATGATGGTCGCCCAGTTCCTTTTCAGTAACCTCGCGCTCTTGGCCGGAAAGTTCTGCCTACTCTCGATGTATTACCGCATCTTCGGACATATCAAGAAGGTCAGATGGCAAATCTACGGCGCTGGAGCGTTGACATTGCCGATCTTTGTCTCCATGATCGTTCAGCCAGTCATGATCGCACCACCTCTAGGCAAGCCCTTTGGTTGCCCTAATGGGGATAAGGAGAACATGGTAATAGTAGGCTTGATGGGAGGGATAGACAATCTCCTGGTGGATCTAGTGATTGCATACATCCCACTTCCAGTTATCAACCAATTGAACCTGTCCAGGAACAAGAAGAATGGTGTCATCGCTCTTTTCGCCACTGGATCGATGTGAGTGACCATGGCTGCTGGTACTGCTGCAACCCATGATTAACGCCTTAATAGTGCGATTGTTGCCGACTGTATCACGCTATACTTCCGCACTCGGCTCTTCCATCATGTTGACCAACTCCGCGATGGTTATGTCGTCCACAACTGCGCGTAAGTATCAACAACCCTCGGCGCTGTCAAGGTTCCAAACTGATTTGAGCAGCATCATCGAGAGCTAGATATCCATCATTCTGAGTTCGCTGCCATCGACGACCAAGCTCTTCCACGTATACATCGAGCCTACCCAGATGTACCAGAGTCTGCGATCACGTCTCGGATCAAGCCGAGGCACTGAAAATGGCAGCTTCAGAAATCGGTCGAACCCTACCATCGGCTCAGGCCCCAAACCCGCCAAAAAGAAGCGGGACCCATATTCGATCAACATGCCTACGACCTTTCTCTCTACCAAACGTGCCAGTCTAAATGACAGCTCGGAGCTTGAGCTATCGCCCAGGAAGAATGGTGATGTTCAGACACACGTCAGGTCATCGCGTGCCTCGGAAGAGCTAGCTTCTGGGGACATACACAGGAAGATCAGTGTCGAGCAGTCATCGGCCTCTTTCCATGGCTCTGAATAAAATTGGCATGACGAAGGGGGTCTGTTGAGAAACTGAGATTGGTTGGATTGGCTTGTTAGCATCTGTGTTTGCTTAACATTAGCGATTTAGCTTGGTGTTGAGGCCTATCGACTAACCAATCGGCTTTACCGTAGAGGAAGCAGCAGGAGAACGAAGTAAGTTATCTCTTAGATTACTGATTGCTTCATTAGGCTAGATCAATGTCAAGCGAGTTCTAAATTTAGCCTACCACACCAGTTTGGCCGACAACTCAACTCGATGAACGACACTCTTCTGATTGTGTAGCGCCTCCACGCTCAACGCAATCATCGTTGCTTTGCCCGAGTGTTCGGCTCCCAATACCTGTCTCCCTGCAAGGTCCCGCTTTTTACTATGAACCGAAACGCTGTGGTGTGAGCCGGCTACAGCCCTGACCTCTAGCCTGTTTATCGATTGGATACCTTGCGCTGATTTGTCCATAGAGTGATAAGCCTTGGGAGCCAGGCGCTTAAGGGCAGTTGGTTTTCAGCCGTCAATGCGGATAAGCGCCAGTGCGGGCCAAAAGGAAGGTCAGGGAGCGACGTGGGTCCTACCGTTCTCGAAGGGCCCGTGAGCTCATGCCGTGTAGCCGGACGTCGTCACCTGGATAGCAGTAGCTGGAATGCCAGTGGACGAGAGAGAGTTTCAGTTTCAGTGTTGGACGCTCGGGCGACACGAGATCACCTGCAGAGGTATTGCCCTAGCCTATTTCGGCTTAGATCGGCGCGTAATCTCATCCCGCACCCGTGGAGAAGCCTACCCACTGCCTCTCGAGCACGACGGTACATGGCACAGCGCTTCAGGTCCCCGTGCGAATGGTCCACCGCTCCAATCGATGCTCGAGCCGTGTGCAATGTCGTGCAGCACCGAACCCTCGTCCAAATGGATAAAAGTCCGCTCATTCCCCAGCTTTGGACCGTCAGAGGATCTGGATCCGCTCGCACCTCACCCCAGTCTTTCAAGCATCGTCTTCTTTTCGCACACCGGCTGTGCCTTGTTCTAATTAATACGTGCTGTGCACTAGTACTCCTTTGTCGACTCACAAATTCAACCAAAATCCAAAAACACCTAATTCCACACTTTTAATATTCACGAACATCGTCAATCATGCGTTCCGCCGCTCTCATCATCGCTTCCCTTGCTCTCACGGTTCTTGCCGCTCCGGTTCCGGTAGCTGAGGTACGTTTATCTCATGTTTGAGATGCTGTGAACGTTGCTAATTCTGATGGTAGGGACAAGCACTTGCTCGCCGCGATTTTGCAGACAACGCCGCCCCGATCGAGACAATCATAGACAAGCGCACTTGGAGGAATCAAGAAGGCGAATTGGTAGGATCTCGCGACGTCTCGGATCAGGAGGCCCAGGTGGAGAAGCGGACCTTCAGGCAAAACCACGACCGTCGGTCAGAAGATGAAGACGTGGACCCGGAGAAGCGGGCCATGCGAAAGAACAACGGTCGGTCAGAGGATGAAGTAGAGGCGGAGAAGCGCGCCCTTTACCGATCCGGCGACCGCAGCCGTCGGGAAGAGGAAGTCGAGTCGGAGAAGCGTGGCATTCACAGAGATGGCAGCCGTCGGTCAGAGGATGAAGGAGCCGAGGCGGAGAAGCGCGATTTCAGAGGCAACACTCGGTCAGAGGATGAAGCAGTCGAGGAGCCAGAGAAGCGCAGCCTTTACAGGAGCAAATACAGCGACCGTCGCTCAGAGGATGAAGTAGTCGAGGGGCAGGAGAAGCGCGGCTTCAGAAGCAGCAACCCTCGGTCAGAAGAGAAGCGCGGCTTCAGAAGCGGCAACCCTCGATCAGAGAATGGAGTCGAGACGGAGAAGCGCGGCTTCCGAAGCGGCAACCCTCGATCAGAAGATGGAATTGAGGCGGAGAAGCGCGGCTTCAGAAGCAGCAACCCTCGGTCAGAAGATGGAGTCGAGACGGAGAAGCGCGGCTTCCGAAGCAGCAACCCTCGGTCGGAGGATGAAGTCGAGGTGGAGAAGCGCACTAGCGGACCCAAAACCCTCGGCCGGAGTATATACAACGGTATGGTCGGGATTATTGAAGCCTTGAAGACCCGAGGTTTCAACAGCGCAAACAATATCCCAGCAAGGGAGCCAATGTGAGAGGCAGAGGAGCACTAGTCTACGGGAGCCGGCGGGCAATGATCAGCTCTACGTCTGGATGACTACTTATGAGTTCGAATGGCCAGATACTGCCGAGGATTACGTCTTGCGAATGCGAAGACCCGTCTGGACAGTCATATTCCTCAAGTCTTCATTTCTCCACCTGTTATAGTCCTTCGTTAGAGGAGCGGGATTCGTGGTGGGAAAGCGGGGAGGTGTGACAGGAATCAAGCCAATATCATCGTCCTGTCATTGATACGTGCCTCCTAATTCGTGCGTCGTCGTGATCTCGGACGTGACAATCTTGTACTCTTGATGTTAATTGCTCTCCGCAGTATAAAGCCCAAATAGCTAGCAGCGTTTTCAGTCTGGTCTACCATCAATTGCGAGTATTGGGCTCTCGCTGTGCTCCCTTCTCTTCGCAATCACTATGAAGCAATCTCAAGGTTGAGTCTTCCGTTGCACCTGATCTCGCAATCGAACCCGGTCTCACTCTGCTTGGATTGCCTTCCAAAGGCGCAATTTGATTCGATACAGACCACCGCGTCTCTTACAGCAGGCGGTGGAGTGAGTTTCAGCGCCTGATCGTAGCCGCTGAGAGCACGTGCCGCATAGTCGACCATTTACCCCAGTAAGCCAACGCCAAGATGTTAAGGAATTCACGTCCGTGCCCTGGCGCCTACATCTCGGCCCACACTGGGCAAATCACCCACCAACCATCCTGGCGCTTATGTAGTGGTTGACTGCTTCCAGCGGCTCTGCCCTGCCGTCCTGCAGATTCTTCTGCCTACCCGACTTTGACGCGGTAAGTGAAGGCTCGTCGCTTGGCATGCCGCACTGCGGCGTGAAGCTGGTCGCTGCGTGTAGCCCTCGCCGCAAGGGGCGGCTTTAAAGGACGACAGCCATGGCGCCCTTCGAAAAATCTACGAGCGCCTGCCGGGCACCAGTCGTGTTTGAAGAATTTCCATTTTTAGCTACATTTTATGCCTATCCATCCACGGCTGCCAACTCATCGGACTCAGTTGAGTCTTGTTTTGCGCTCTTCTAGCAGTTTGTTTCCCTTCGGTCCCGCATTTACGAGCCCGTTGAACATCCGCCATCAAGGACGGAGGGTCAGTCAGGACTGACACTCTGCTTGCTGCGTCCGCCACAGAACCATGTCGAAGCTTCCGGTCTCCCCATTTTGGTCTGCGAATACAAACATTCCGATATATCTTGATACCTGCGATGAACGAGAACTTCCAAAGGCCAAGGACCCTTCCGACTATACATGTCCGACCTGCGAAATCAGCTCGAGAGACCAACCAATTCACTGCATTTCGCTTGGCTCGCCGTCCCCGCCATCCTACAGGTCGACCTCCCCGGATGCTCCCTCGACCGGCAACTTAGCTGCCCCAGCCCTAAAATTGGAGATAGCGTCTCATCACTGCTCCAAACCTCTACCTCCTCGTCCTGCACTACATTCTGATTCCGAAGGAAGACAACGCCTGCGGTTCCGTCGAAATGCCTTCTCTCCTCTTACCCCTGCGACCATTAAAAAAGGCGATATTGACTGGAGTCGAAAAAGCTACGCAGGGCTAGGAATACCAGAAGCTCAGTTCAAGCCCGACAAGAGCCCGATAACGCCTGGCACAGCAGAAAAAAAGGGCGAGCAACAGGAAGGAGGCTTACAAGAGGCTTCCAATTTTGCTCAACGGATCGAACAAAAGCTGTGGAAATACAGCGCGTCCAGGAACGTTGTGAAGCGGTGGCTACTCGAGATCATCAGTTGGTCGCTCAGTGCTACATGCATGGCTGGTATTGTGGGCATGTTGATTGCCTACAAGGATAAACGCATTCCGGACTGGCCCTTGGGTCTGACGTTGAACGCCTACATCTCGGTTTTGTCAAAAGTCGCGTCTGCTGCTCTTCTTTTACCTGTGTCTGAAGCCCTTGGGCAATTGAAATGGAGCTGGTTCCAAGGGTCCAATTCTAAAAAGATGTGGGATTTCGAGCTTTTTGACAATGCTTCTCGAGGGCCCTGGGGCTCTCTCCTCCTCCTTATGCGTACGGTACGTAAGTTTGGGACACAAACTACTTTTCTTTCTTACATATCCTTCTCCATCGGCCGGCGATGCGCTTCCAGATCAGCGCTACACAGACCAGACGGTTCTCTTATTTGGGTGTTTGCTGACCTTGTATCTCTACTTTTAGAAGGGGAAATCGCTGGCAGCGCTTGGCGCAGCTGTGACTCTTTTTGCGCTAGCTCTGGATCCTTTTTTCCAACAAGTCGTCGAATATCCTGAACATTGGCGAATCCAGGAAGGAACCGGCTCCATTCCTACAGCGACTAGCTACCAGCCATATCTATCTGGCCAAGAGTATCGGCAAGGCTTCGAGAACATAGAACTGGACCCAAATATGATGGCAGTCTCGCATCATTTCTTTTACGACAACGGCACTTTGCCAATAACTTTTGGGAAAGGAGTAAGGGCTGAAGTTCCGCTGGTATGTCCCAACAGCAAATGCACATGGCCAGAATACGAAACCCTCGGCATATGCAACGAGTGTACGGACGCCTCCGACGTTCTCGAGTTCAAATGTATCAACACAACGCTCGACTGGGTCCAAGCTCCTGGCACGGATCCTGAAACCGAACAAGTCACATTTTCAAACGGAACCTCGTGTGGGTGGTACCTCAAAGCAGACAATCCCCTTCTCATGACCGGCTACAATGTCGATCGCGATACGGCTTATGCAGGCGAGATTCTGATGATGCGCGCTCAACCTATATACGACATCTTCACCCGAGAGCCACTACCTGGATACACTGTAAAGCTCAATAACAGTCGCAACCCGTTAGCGCACGCTATCATCGTTTCCGGCGAGAGCTTGGACAATATCCAACGAAACGCGACTCCCATAGCGCATGAATGCCTTCTTTCATGGTGCGTTAAGACGATGATGTCAGAATACACAGAGGGAGGTTATACCGAAAATGTCACTCGCACCTTCACCAACGACACAGTGGGCCCTTCGCCTTGGGTAACAGAACAGATTCTCGACGATGAAGGCGCTTTTAGTGGTACCTTTTACTACTACCTCGAGAACGTCACCGTGAGAGGCCACAGCGGATATGAGTACCATGTCGACAATACCACCCATAGTCTTACTTTGTTCATGTTCGACGACACATTTCCTTCGTCCTACACGCTCGCAAATAGCTCCGATCCGCATGACGCTATGCTGAGATATAAAGAGTATACTACCGTCCGACCTTTCTCGCGGAATTTGACCTACAATCCTTATATGTACGACAACATCTCGGCACATCTGGACAAGCTGGCTACTGCAATGACGAATCAGATGCGATCAGCAACAAGCAATACAGAGTTGATAATCGGTCCAGCGTTCGACAAAGAGAGCTTCGTAGATGTGCGATGGGCATGGCTAACACTTCCTCTTGGTCTCCTTGGCCTTGCTTTCATCTTCCTGGTTGCAACGGTCATTCGCAGCTCATTCGAGCAGGAGCACGTGGGCGTGTGGAAGACATCAGCCATCGCGACGCTCCTTTACGGTCTACCCGACGAGATGCAAAAGAAAATTACTTCATCAAAGGAGCATGGGACGCCGCGAGCGAAGGCGAAGGAGGTCAGAGTTAAATGGCTCCCCAGGGGAGGATGGAGGTTCTCGGGCAACGCCACTTCCCCAACAGCGCCAAAAACTCACAAAAATATGCCCCCCGAAGGGTGGATATGAAGGCGACGCGTGGGATCTGGTGGTTCGTTTGCATAACGGCGGTTTTCTAGGCCACTTCGATCTGGTCGACTTGTAGGATGGGTAATTAGTAATATACGATTTACGATCCCAAGCCGTGCACTTCCAACCAGGTCCGTACTTTCCGTGCGCTCGTCGGATCGCCACTAACGGAAGCAGGTGACAAGGTATGCCTCGTACCGGGCTGCGACATTCATATCCCCCCTCGCTCGAGCCTTTCCTCCTCCGAATTCTTCCTCGTCACCGATTTGTGCTTCGTCCACGGCCTCTGACGCAGAGCCTCTTCTCGTACCACTCCCGTCTCCCTGAAACTCCAGACGCTGTAAAGCAGTCTCGGTTATCGAACAGCGCATTTTGTGGCCGAGGAAATACTCAGAGGAGATAGGGGAGGATGCCAGGCTGCCTCAGCTTCAGGAAATGGGGTGTCGTGGTACGGGGAGGGAGGCCATGGTGAGGATCCGTGGGATTTTGTGGTGGACTATGTGAATGACGGGAGCTTGGAGGTGGTGGATTCAAACCCAACGATGTTGCCTGGGGCTTTATGCGAGAAGGGGATCGAGTGGGATTGGTTGCGGCTAGTTTGATGGATTCCCTCGTTGTCAGTTCCGGGGAGCCGCACAGTCCTACTCCGCTACTGCGGAGCGTTACACTGCTATGGATTTGTTTTATTTATCAGTCAATCGGTGCCAAACAGCTCGTAACACAGTAGACTAGAAAGTGTGAATAGATTCCGGAAAGGTCGCTCGGATACGTATCCGTTCGACGCTAGTTGACAAAAGAGGTTAGTGCAGCAGGTTTCATCACGACTCCACTTCGAACCTGAGCTCCACACCATAACCCCTTCATCGCCGTCCATCAGAACATCCATCCTCAGGAGAAACACTCCCAGGGACCAAGATGTTCGGATATTGCAGATATCGTCAACCGAGATTCTACCCTGCCTGCATTTAGCCTGTACCCTGACCATGCTAACGTCATCAAGCCTCTCCCCACATCAGAGCGGGGAAGACATGAACCATTCGCGCTTCTCTCCGCAGTGTGCGGCTCAGCTCCACCTGCTAGATGCTTTTCTAGCAGACTTCTATCCGCGCTACGGAAGAATTGCTTTCGCGAAGCCTGGAATCCGCGCTGGAAATTGTCGATCATGGCGCCGACCCGGTGTAGTATCGGTATATTAAATACCCGCGTTTGCGGTTGTCGGTGATCAGGAACGCTTTCATATATGATGTAGGTTTCTTGCAACCGCGTACCTGGTACGCGATCTCCCGTCCTTTCTTCCCTTCTGAATATTCAAGATGGTGCGGTTACGCCTATTACTGAGCCTATGCGCTCTTCTCCCCTCCGCCCTCTGCGATTACAAGATCACTCTCACGACATCTTCGGGACTTCTCTTAACAGACGGAAATACCACCGTTGTAAACAACACTGCCATTCTATCTGGCTCCCAAAATACCACCGTCAGCGCCCTCAAGAACAGCACGCAAGGCCTCAGCTACAGCTTCATCACGCCGACGGTCGCGAAAGTAACGCTCAACACGTCCAATGCTTTCAATGGCGCTAGGTTCTCCGCCTCCTCGGACACGCACTTCTACGGCGTGTGGGAATACCCCTTCAACTACCGGATCAGCAACACCAACGTCTCCTTCGAGCTCAAAGGTGTCGGCAACAACGTCGGCATCAATTGGTCCAATGCTCGTGCTCCGTTCTTCCTCACCTCATCCGGTTATGGCGTCTACACTGATACCCTGAAAATGGGGTCGTACGATTTCACAACGCCAGGCGAGGTACAATTCGTTTTCAACAGCACTAGTCTGGTGTACTACATTATCCTACCAAAAGGAGATGGCAGCTTGAAGAGTATAATCGAGCAGTACACGGAGATCTCAGCACGCAGCGAGATGCCTCCAACCTCTGGCCTTGGCCCGACCTTCTGGTCCGACGACTTCACCCAGGACTTCCACGGCAGCGTATCCAATGCACAAGAAAACATCCAAGACGTGGTAAACCATCTCTACTACAACCGCATCCGCGCTACATCTACGTTCTTGGACCGTCCTTACGGATCTGGGAACCGCAGTTGGGGAAACTTTGACTTCGATCCTGCGCAGTACCCAGGCCCGGAGGGCTTTATGAAGAACTTGACGGACTTCGGATTCGATCTCCAGGTCTGGATCGCGAATCGCGCGCAGCTGGGCACAAAGATTTTCAACGCCAGCACGGCCAACGGATGGCTCTTTCCGGACGACCATCCCGTAGGTGGCTTGGGCGAAGCACTCAACCTCTCTATTCCAGCGGCGTACGACTACTTTGAGGAGAATTTGGAGTACTTCGCGAGCGTGGGCGTCAAGGGGTATAAGATCGACCGCGGCGAGGAAGGTGAAATGCCAGACTACGTGCAAAACGAGCAGATGGCGCTCTTCCTCGACCTCGCGTACGAAACCATGGTGCATAAATGGGGCAAGAGCGGATTCTACAACTTCGCCCGGTCGGCAGTCGATCGCAGCAGAGCGAAAACGCATATCTGGAACGGCGATTCAGCTGCGAACTTCACGGGCCTCGCATATACAGTCGCGAGCGGGATCCGCGCCGGTCTCGTTGCCTTCCCAATCTGGGGCTCCGACACGGGTGGCTACACACGCGAAGGAGCCCTGACGCCCAGCGCCGAAGTATGGGCCCGCTGGATGTGGTTCAGCGCCTTCTCGCCCGTCTACGAATTCATGCTCGGCACGAACCACACCCCCTGGTATCCGCCGTACAACCAATCCACCGTCGACGTTGTGAAGCAGACCGCCAATCTGCACGCCGATCTGACTCCATATATCAAGTCTTGTGCGTATGAAGCAACCAAGACCGGCCTCCCCATCATCCGCGCACTTTTCCTCGAAGCACCGGAGGATACCAAGACGTGGGAAGTACCAGATTCGTATTTCTTCGGCGAGGAATTCCTCGTTGCGCCGATCATTACGTCCGGTGGTTCGCGGAGCGTCTACTTCCCCAAGGGCCCGTCGAAGAAATACCTCGAGTACTTCAAGAAAGAGAACGTCTACAGCGCTGGGACCACCGCAAACGTCACCGTAGGTCTCGACAGTATGCCTGTGTACGTCAAGCAAGGTGCTATTATCCCGCGCGGCGACATCTTCCAGGGCAACGCGATGTGGGTCGAGGACTGGAAGCCCTCTTTGCGTCTCGAGCTTTTCCCGAGCTACGACGTGCCGGAGAGCAGGTTTACGTACTTTGATGGGGAGGGGCAGGATGGCCGGACGGTGGAGATCGTCATGACGACAGATAAGGAGAAGAAGGCGGTGAACGTGAACTTGGGGGAATTGGGTTTTGGGGTTACGCTGGTTTGGTACCTTAGAGGCGCGACGGAGGGGAGGGAGATGAGCGTGAGCAGCGAGAATGGATCGCTCGAGCTTACAGAGGTGGACACTCTGTTCTAAGTACGGACGAGCCGCTGATAAATAAATTCTGACAAGTGTAGCTTACCAATCTTCCTAATCGCCTCTTCCCCACCCCACAGGCAAAGAAAAGACTCCCTAAGCCTTTCCACTCAAAACCTCCTCCCCACTCTTCCCCTTCTCATTCTCCAGCACCACAATCCTCTTATTATTCTTCATCCCCCGATCCGTACTCTTCGTCAGCAACGCCGCGCCAATAGCAAGCCCGCCAAAGCCCAGCGCGCTCAGATACGTCGTCCTGTACGCCTCCACATACGCGTACTTGACCGCCATCTGCGTCGCCGCGACGACCTCCTCGGTGATGCCAGGCACGGCTTTGTACGCCGCTGCGGTGTTAGCGGCCGCGGCCTTGAGCAGAGCGGTCATGGCGGTGAAGTTGGGCGCCGCGCGGGACACTTCGCCGGGCAGGTGCGAGGCGAAAGTGTTGTTTGTGATGGCGGTGTAGATCGCCGTTGCGATGGAGCCGCCCAGGAGGCGGAATGTGCCTGCTAGCCCGACGGCGCAGCCACTGTTATCGCGTTAGTCTTGCTTTCCTTCCGCTTTCCTATCTCTTCTCCTGAAATTTCGCAAGAAAGAAAAAACAGCACACTCACATATCATCCCTAAACTCGTCCCCCAAGCCCAGACTAATCATCGCAAAGCTCATCAGCTGCGGCAGACTAATGCTGATACTGAGAAACGGGATCGTGGCGATGGCCTGGATCCTGTCGTCGACGCCGAGCGAGGCCAGCGAGCCGATCAGCGCGGTCTCGAGCGTCATCAGGAAGACGAGCTGCCAGCGCTCGTGGCCGATGCGGGCGCAGACGAAGGCCAGGATCAGGCCGCTGGTGACGGAGCCCAGCGGGATGAGCTCGGCGTAGAGGCCCTGGATGATTTTGTTGGGACCTGTGAAGAGGAGTTGGGATTGGCGTGGCCAGATTACGTTGAGGGAGTCTTGGGGGAGGGTGATTGGTTAGTTTCATGGAGAAGAAGAAGATGAAGGGGGAGGTAAAACATACAGTATAACATCCCGCCGACGAAGCAAATAACGTAGATCATAGTGACTTCTCTCCACTTCCTGAAGATCTTGGGCGGCATGATCGGGAGCGGCAGATCCGCATACACTTCGTAAAATCCCAGCGCGATGAGGCACAGGACGCCGACGACCATGGGGGCGATGACATGGGCAGAGGTCCACGCGTACTGGCGGCCGCCGTAGTTGATGCCGAGCAGGAAGAGCACGCAGCCTGCTATGAAGAGCAAAAGGCCGATGTAGTCGATCTCTTTGATGAGCTGGGTCTTGGTTTTGCCTGAGCGCTGTCAGAGCGAGTTCGTAATCGCACGGTGTGGTGGTGCTCACCATCATGCTTGTGCTTCGTGTGGAAAGTTGGGGGATAGTAAGTGAAGAACATGACGATGCCGAAGAAGCCGTGGAACGCGCACACTGCACCGCAATCTATTAGCATCTACTCCGTCAACGGGCCTTTTAGGGATAACTCACTATACCAATATGCTCCCCTCCATCCAATCTCCGTCTTCGCAATGAATGAGTAAGCGACTAGCGGCCCCGTCTGAGCGATGAGCCCGAGGAAGTCGAACAGGCCAACTGCCCACATCCTATACTTATTCGGCACGATCTCCTGACAGGCAGCGTAACCCATCTCCTGGAAGCCAGAGCCGAGGCCGAACAACACGCCAGAGGCAATCATCTGGTTGATAGACTGCGCGGTGGCACCGACGATGGTGCCGATGAAGCTGATGGTGGCGCCGCAGATCATGAAGTAGCGTCGTCCAAAGATATCTACAAGGGGTTAACAATCGCTGTGTGAAGTTTGAGGGCGAAGTATACCGGACAGTCTTCCACCGACGGAGATGAGGAAAGAAGCACATAGAGTCTAGCCACATCAGCCGTGTCCGCGAGGGGAACGTAGGGGGTGCAGGTCACCCAAGACACAGTGATCCAAGGATAGTTCGAATTCGGTCCCAAATCCGCATTGATGTAGCTCAGAGTAGTCGACGGAATAAGCAAGGTGAGGACATAAGCATTGTACTGCGATGCAAGAGCCTACTATCTGTTAGCGTTCTGCTCGGAGCTCTGTAAAAGAGCACCGTCGACGAAAGGTGTGAATGTACCAGGAAAGCCAGGCATGTCTGTAGATTCATGCGCGGCTCCATCTCCGCCTGCTCGTACGCAAGGGTCGACGACTCGGCAACGTCTTCGAGGTGCGTCGTCTGCGCGGCTTCTTTTTCTTCCATCACGCTGGTGTCGTTGTGCGGTAAAGCAGTCATGCTCGGATTGGTCCCCAGGGGGTTTATGCAGTGGAGTAAGAGAAGGAAGGCTTGCCTATGCAGACGCAAAGACCCCTGAAAATCCTGTGATCTGTGGTCATAACACCCGCGACGCAGCTGTATATATATATCCATGTCCCGCAGTCTCCAGCATTCCTCCTTTACCATCCAGATGATCGTCTAGCGCCACCACCAATGCGGGTAACGAGCTCCACTCCCCGCACGTCGGAGCTCCCTAGTCAGACATCCTGACCTCCGACCATAGAGTCGGAAATTCAACGACTGGGAATTCCGACGTGGCGTCCGGGGTGGTGGATCTCGCTGTGGCTAAAGCACCTGGACCAGCAAGCCGCCCGAGCAAATGATTGTTTGAGTGTGAAGCGCCCGCGCACAACTCTTGCTACCAAGACTAGGACTCATCTTCCATGGGCCGAGCGAGGACGCCATGTTATAGATAGAAAGGTACCAGTCTCTCACGGCGGGGTATTCTCCGGATATACGACGTGCGTAACAGCTACTCTGGAGGCCTTCGCAGGTGCGTACAATGGAACGTATAGTTAGCAGACCAACCAGACGCACCTCAAACAGCACGACGCATCCCCGCATTCTCACCTCTCGCCAACACCCCACAGGGGGCGCTAACCAATCGGGCGATCCAAATCCACCATTGCCGGAAGTTGATCAGGAAGATGCATTTCCGTCCAAGGCTTGGCACGCTAGGACGTTGTAAATGCAGAAGTGCAGATCCGCCTAAGTGCAGTGGAGACGCGAACCCTTCGAAGACTAGGAGCAAACGTAGAATAATGGTTGGAGAATGTATAATGGGGGGATGGCGAGCGGCCAAAATCCTAATATGCGAAATGCACGCATTGTCATGGCCTAAAGCGCTTGGAGGTTAGCTGAAGGCATTGCGCCGTTCCCATGCACTTACGGTAGCAGTCGAAGACTCAGCGCCGAGAAGGCTGGTGCAAGTAATGATCGGAAATTGGTCAATTTTCGCTCCTCCACCCTAATCCTCTATCTACCCCCTCCGCCCCAAATCGTTACATAGATATCCATTCCCCGACGGCTATTGTGCAAGACATCCATTAAGACACATCGGCCGTTCACATCAGTCGGTTGCATATTCGTCAGTTCAGAGGCAGCATAAAGTACCGAATACACACAATACTTTTCCATCCCCAAAATGCCGGAGGAAACCATAAGGAAATAGAGCATCGTCAAGAGGAAAGAGAACGCCAAGTCTATCGAGAATGCCGCAAAGAGGAATTCCGCTGCCAAACCTGCGGAGCTCAGTTCTGGCATGCTGCGCCTGCCATCGTCTCCTCGCAAGCGCACATCATGAGCCTCGTCTAGCGAGTAGAGAAAGCCTTGGTGACGATGCGCTTTAGAGCTAGCTCCTTCTTCTTCAGGTCGTCGGCGGAGGCATCTTCAATCTCAAGCTGGGCCATGGCGTCGCTAAGGGCGGACTCAATCTTCTCCTTCTGGCCACGCTTCAGCCTGATGGAGGTGGAGGGGTCAGAAACCATCTCCTCAACACGGGAGATGTAGGACTCGAGCTGTTGCCGAGACTCAAATTTCTTGCTGAAAGCCTCGTCGCTGCTCTTGAACTTGGCGGCATCTAGAACATGTCAGCAAAACATCCTTCTGGTGGATAAAATTGTACTTACCGTTGATCATAGTCTCGATCTCAGTTGAAGAGAGTTTACCAACAGCGTTGGAGATGGTGATATTAGCGCTGCGGCCAGATGTCTTCTCGGTGGCAGTGACCTTGAGGATACCGTTGACGTCGACCTCGAAGACAACCTCAAGGACGGCATCGCCAGCCTTCATGGGAGGAATAGGAGCCAGAGTGAATTCACCAAGGGAAGTGTTGTCCTCGCAGTTGACACGCTCACCCTGGAATACGGGGAATTGTACAGTCTGCTGGTTGTCTGCGACGGTGGTGAATGTCCTAGTGAAGATATTAGAAGCTGCTGACGATGGTCGACGAAATGCTAATGAAATAAATCTTATCCTCGGACTGGCTGGAGAGGGGAACGTGTGCTGAGGTACCCCAGGCCTAGGGATGTACAATGAAACCGGGAAAAAGCTGGAGAAGGGAACGTGTGTTGACGGACCCCAGGCCTGGGCATGTACAAGCCAAAATCACGAAAGAAATCACAAACCTTTTTTTAATCGTAGGCACGGTTTGTCCACGGGGAACGACGGGAGCAAAGATGTTGCCTTCCATAGCAACACCAAGAGAAAGCGGAACGACGTCGAGAAGGAGGAGATCGGCGGTTTCAGCGGAAGTGGCCTTGCCGGAGAGAATACCAGCTTGGACAGCGGCACCGTAGGCGACGGCCTCGTCGGGGTTGATGCTCTTCTCGAGCTTCTTGCCGTTGAAGAAGTCACTGAGGAGCTTCTGTATCCTAGGGATACGGGTGGAGCCACCAACAAGCACGATCTCGTCAACCTTGTCCTTGGCGATGTTGGCGTCCTTCAACACCTGCGCAACCGGCTGCAGAGTGCCCTGGAAGGCCTTGGCGTTCAGGTCCTCGAAGCGAGCACGGGTGATGTTGGCGTTGAAATCCTCACCGTCGAAGAGCGAGTCGATCTCAACGGTGGTCTGCGTAGCGTTGGAAAGCGTTCGCTTGGCACGCTCGCAGGCAGTCCGGAGACGGCGGAGGGCACGCGCATCGCCAGAGATGTCTATGTGGGGGTTAGCTTGATTCTAAATATCGTAATGTTGCAAAGAAGAAGGAGCTACTACACCTTTTTTGGTTTTTTTTTGGAATTCCTTCTTGAAATGTTCAAGGAGATTGACATCGAAGTCTTCACCACCGAGATGGGTATCACCAGCGGTGGCCTTCACGGTGAAGACACCACCCTGAATATGCAGAAGAGACACATCGAAGGTACCACCACCGAGGTCGTAGATCATGACATTCCTCTCCTTCTCAGACTTGCCGGATCCGAGACCGTAGGCGATGGCGGCGGCGGTGGGCTCGTTGATGATACGGAGGACGTTGAGGCCGGCGATGGCACCGGCGTCCTTGGTGGCCTGGCGTTGGTTGTCGTTGAAGTAGGCAGGGACAGTGATGACGGCTTTCTCAACCTTCTTGCCGAGCTTGACCTCTGCGACCTCTTTCATCTGCGTCCCTGTCAGCTTGTGCTACAGCGGCAGCCTAGGCAGATGTTACCTTTCCGAGAACCATGGCAGAGATCTCCTGGGGCGAGAAAGTCTTGGTCTCACCCAAGTACTCGACCTGAACCATGGGGCTGCCGCCCTGGTCGACGACCTTGAACGGCCACGACGGAATATCCTTCCTGACCGTCTCATCGTCGAATCGGCGGCCAATCAATCGCCTGCAGATGTCAGCAACGGGATTGCTGGAAGAGGGTGGGAGGGCTCACTTGATGTCGAAGACGGTGTTGGCCGGGTTCATGGCAGCCTGGTTCTTCGCCGCCTCACCGATCAGACGCTCCTCGCTCGTGAAGGAGACGAAGGAGGGGGTGGTGAAGCTACCCTGCTCGTTGGCAACTGCGTGCGAATGTTAACAAAAATCATCCTAGTCGCAGGGATGAGCGACAAGCAGGAACGGAGACATACTGATCTCGACATTGGTGCCCTCGTAGTTGGCGACACAGGAGTAGGTTGTGCCTAGCGGTGAGGGTTAGTATTCGCACCGTAAGCGCGATCGCGGCGGATATGCGCACCGAGATCGATGCCAATGGCACCCTCGTAGACTTCGTCACTCATGATGAGGGAATGCGGGTATTGTTCGACGAGAGAGTGTGGTAGAGGGGTGTGTGGTGCGGAGGCGGTGGACGACGAACTTTTTGCGCTTCCAGCAAGGCTAAAGAAATTGTAAGTGCCAAGATTTCTCTTGGCGGACCGTATCGATAGCCGAGGCGAGGGTCCACCTTGGATCTCGCAGTACTTGCGCGTTCCTCGTGCATAACATAGGAGTGAAATATCATAAAGTCCGATGAGACTCCTGCATGCTCCTGGCTGACCCATTTCACATTTTCCTGCTGCTTGTAGGAGATTTCATTCAATACGAAATAGGACGGGACGACCAAGATGAACCACTTGATAGACTCCGTGCTAGAGAAATGGTATCATTGGGAAAGAAGCTCTAACTGATCCTCGTGCTTATCCTATTCCACGAATACAAAAAGGCGAGGCCGTGTCGTCCATTTCAAAACCGTCTTCCCAATAGCAATCGATCCAACCCGTCCAACGCCTATGCCTTACCATGCATTGCCGCAAGTCACGAAAGCAACGATCATCGGTCATCCAATCCCAATATAGCCCTCGGCATGTTCTGTCCTTTCCGTTTAAGAAAGAAGTTGGCGTTGCCATGCTTCGCGAGCGTCATGGGCAGCTCTCTCTGCCCAACCTGTTCCACTCCGCGGCTCCCTCTCGGAACCCCCTTACACATTTTTATCATGAAACACAAAGTTGATATCCCTCGGCCTCTGCGTATTGTACCGCACAAAGTTCTCATCGCCCGGCGGCCGCTCCTTCTTCGTATTGCTCGTGAGCATACTCTGTAGACTGACGCATATGCTCTCGACGTTGTGGACGGGGCTCCAGCCCTGACGATCGAGCAGGTCGAGGCAGATGATGCCGTTGGAGTAGACGTGAGGATGCCAGGGGATAGGGTGCGATTCGTCTCGAACGAAGACGACTTCAGGGGCCTGGTTGTGAGGAGCGTCAGCGGGCATATGTGGGAGAGGGATGGAGATAGGAGATGGGAAGGGAAGGGTAGTGAGGATAGCGTACCTCGATAGGATATGACTGGCTAAAGTTGAACTTCAGCCGGTAGACTTCGCCCTGGTATAGCGGATTCGAGTCGATAACGCGGATATCCATGAGCCATTCGGAGAAGTCGTCGGCGCGGATGAGGGTTATGCCAGGTGGAAGCTTTTCGTGTAGCTATATTGCAAGTCAGCATCGCTCAGAAATCCCAGCGATATAATCCAGTGTACCTTTGCCAGCTCCTTGAACATTTGTTAGCTTGCGATCGTAAAGAAACAGACAGGTTTCAGTATCTGCTCACCTTCTGTAACCGCTTCGACGCGAACATGATAACCGGGGATCCTCTCAGCCACGAAAACTCCTAGACCGCGTGGCAATACAGATAGCGTTGTTGTTTTCAGGTTCGAAGGTTCCGGCGGGGCAGCTGGAGGCGGAGGTAATTGCGGCGTTGGCGGGGCTGAGCTAGACGGAGCAAGGGAAAAAGAGGCTTTTCGGGGAATAAGATTGCAGGCAAGAAACTAGGTGAGCGGAAGGGTTGACAGCTAGTGCTGTTTGCGATTGTGTAGGGTTTGCAGGTTGAGTGACGCGGTGGTGTTTCCTTGGTTGTGCTCGATGCAGGAGCTCCAACTATTGCACGTGATGGGGTGTCTGCCTAACGAAGTTGAGAGAGAAGCTTCAATAGAAAGATTGATGAGATCGTTGATATATCTAGGGTGGACGTGACACCCAAGCACCTTACAGAAGCTTTTTCCAGCCAGTACACATGAAATCCTACAATCCAATACCAGAGATATCCAATACCAGAGATATCCAAAAGAACCTGCCCGTTGGGTCCGAAATATGCCACAACATTAAAGAAAACGTAGAAGAAATAGGATCGCTCAATGAGTCTACGAATAGAACGCTCCCTTCTGGAAGCTCTCAACGCCAATATCACCAGCCTTTCCTTCAACCTTAGGAGCCTTCTCAGGCAACTTTGAGGTCATGGTGGCAGCCCTGCTTCCGGTGGCACTGCTGGTCATCGTCTGGGCTCTGCTTCCCACTGGACTGCCGGCCTGGCTTCCGCTAGTGATCTGAGCCGGCTGTTTCCGCGGGATAGTCTCAAGGTATACTCCAGGCAGGTATCCCATCCTGCCATCGCGGGAACGGCAGCGCCACCATTCTGAGGGGTTTCCAAGCGGATCTGACTTGCTGAGCACTGCAACCATGTCGCCCTTCTTCACGGCAAGGTCAAGGCCCTGTACCGCACTCATGTTCGTGTCCGGTGTGAAGTCATAGAGCACGCGGCAGAAGTCAAGCTTGTTAGGGTCTAGCTGCTCGCCGTATGCTTGTGGATTCTCTGCCATTTTACGCTTCTCCTCCTCTTCCTGCGACCTTGCCAGGACCTTGATGAGCTTGCCCATCAGATATGGCAGTCCGAATACAGCCACCATGAACATGATGAAGGGCTTCTTGGAGGGCTTGGGCGCAAGCGGTCCTCCGTCTGGGCTTCGACCGTTGAATGCGGCGAAATTCGAAGGTGTCAATTCTTTGGACGACGCGGGCAGAGGCCGTCCGGTAAGTTTGGCGATAGCCGTCCGTATCCACCGCATCAGCGTGAATATTCCGAGGACCGAGCCGAGGGTTTGTCGAAGATTTCCGAACTGCTCCGCGACTGATACCATTGCTATTCAAGCCATGTTAGCCCTGCGCTTCATGCTGGGGGTGGAGGAAGCCTACCAAAGAAGGAGGAATGTGTCGCCATGTACGTGCTCTCCAGCATCTGCGCGAATCCACCGAACGCGCCTACGATGCTCTCAATCAGCTGAAATGTCGCCTGCGTGCTCTGGCTGAACGACTGAGTAAGGCTCTGGTTGTTCGGATCGCCGGGCATGCCCATGCCCCCGTACATGCCGCCCATGCCCATGCCCATACCCATCCCTCCGTACATGCCGCCGTATCCTCCTCCGTACATGGACCCATAGCCACCGCCCATTCGAGAGTACGGCGATGAGTAGCTGTTGAGGCCTCCATAATTGCTGTACGGCGATGCGTATCGGTTCGCGTTCATGGTCGAGTAGTTGGTCGCATTCCGGTTGGCAACGGAGTTGAGCGCGTTCGGTATTTCAGGTAGCGGCGGAGGATTCGAAGATGTAGATGCGCCCGTTGTTGTCGCGGTTGACGCTGGTGCTGTGCTGCTCGACCCTGTGAGGCCTGAGAGATGGTTAGTCTGTTCCATGCGCTGCCGTCCGAGGTTGAAAGACTGACCAACCGAGGCGCTGGTTGCGCCGCCGCTCCGCTCCCATGGCTTGGGTGGTGACGGTGAAGCCATCTCTCCACTTGCCCCGTCTCACCGCACCGTCATGGGGGAGTATATGTGACTGGTGGAAAGCGATGCTAAGGTTCAGGTGCGATGACAGGCGACGTCAAAAGAGGCTGGCAGGCGCCGAAGCGAGTTTGCGGGGTTGGCCGGGTTCGTCAGAAAGCAATCGCGCGGAGCCGCAGCAGCAACAGCCAACCTTTCAGACCAATTCTGAGGGCGCGATAAGGGACTGGAAGCGTGTAGAAGAAGCTGTGGGGTTGCGGAGGCAATAATGAGAATGGGTCAGCTTCTGCGTGTTCGGCACAGGCCGGTCTTTCACATCCGCGGCAAAGGACCTCGGTTTCTTTCGCCTTCGACGGAAATCACAAGCGTGCGCCGTCACGAGCAGCGGCGTCAGCCACAAACCAGCTTTTCCTCGCACGACTCTTTTCGCCACACTTCTCTCGTCGCCCTCTTCTGAAATGTTTTGGGCATCGCATTGCATCTCCACCCCCGGCTGAGTGCCTCGCCTGAACTCATCATCTGCCTATGTTATCAAAGCATTCAATTATGCTACCCTAGAAAATGCTCCGCGCTGCAGATATAGCCCAATATAATAGTCCCAACGAGAGTCGGGCGACCAGCCGATTCGCCAGTAGAAAATGCAGACACCCCACGTCAATCCCCTATCGCAAACAGCGAATGATGCCCATCGTTCGGATCATAAGCGATCATATCGTCGATCTGGTCCTGCGTCAGGGTACTGGAGAAGTCGAAGCTATCATCCAGCACCTTCGCCGTGATATTCCAATTGTGGAACACCACCGCAAACTTCAGCGTCTTTCCCACCGGCCGCCGGAAGTAGTTTGAGTCGCCGCCCTCTAGGTTCCCTTGTCGATGGATCGTGGACTTTGCGCGTTCCTCCCCCATACCGAGGACTTCGAAGGCATCGAACTCGCCGCAGCCGGTTGACCAGCACGCACAGGGGATGTTGTTGCGATCGCTGCCGTATTGCAAGATGCGCGGGATCGCCGCGTTGAGGAACCACCAGGCAGGTGCGTCAGAGATGGCCCCATAGTTTGGGCCTGTGTTGTTGTAGTGGTCCATTTGGAATTCTATCAAGAAGGCTTTCGAGGGGCCGTCCCACCCATCTGAGACCATTCAGCAACTTCATCATGGAGGAGGGGGGCCGAACTCACAATATGAAACACCACCGGGCCTAACGTATCCACAGTCTACATCGGTACCACATCCCAGGTCCGTGAAAGCTGCGATTTCAAGCTCAGATGTCTCAAGTGTGCCGTCGAAGGGAGTGGGATTTGCGGCAACCTTACTGCCATCTCCGATCACGTAGGACAATGAGTTGCCGAACGAGCTATGCACCGGTTAACAACAGTCAACCCATTCTAGGAATATACCCTACTAGTCAAAGGTACCAGACCTTTGCGGATCTCCGAGGTTGGCCAGGAAGGCAAATCCACTGGCTGCAGCTGGTGCTGCGGAGGTGTAATAGGCAACGCGACTCCAGGTAGAAGCAGCAGCCGCGATCACATCGGGGTCTGAATATGACGTAGGGGTAGGTGTCTTGATGGGAGAGGGAGCATCGCTCAGCACAGAACGTTGTTCAGAGCGTTTCACTGCTCCAGGAGTATCGAAGGAACTTATTGAGGTTGATGTGGTTGTGGAGTTGGCGCTTGACACTCTGGTCTCAAACGTGGACCAACACGGGCATGAAGGACCATGATACGTTGAATTCGCAGGCGACTCGCTTGTCGGCCAAGGGCTGCTGGACGTACGGCTTCTCTCGCAGACAGTCTCAGTGTCGGTGACCGTGGTCGTTACTACGACCGGCGGCTGCTGAGCGATACTAGATGCGCTGCCCGGCTGGCACATGCTGCCTCTGACGTAGACGGTCGTAGTCACAGTGGATCTCGGGAGGCAGTTGGTAGAGCTGGGAGGTTTATCCCAACGCTTGCCATTGTGCTTCGGAGAAGAATTCAATCCAATTGCCTCATTTCCAAGGCTATCGTCAACTCTGTGGATATACCTTGACCGACCATTGCGGCCGCTGGTGCTCTGGCCTGTAGCTGCCCGCTTTGAGATTGACATGCCCGGCAGCTTGTATACAGCTATCTGCGAGACATTCATTGGGCCGCGTAAATGCATGGAAAGCTGGGTCCGTTGGTTAGCATACAGTGGTTCATGGAAAATAGAATGGTCTAGGGTACTTCTCCGATCAGCGGTGTGGATGCCTCAATGCCGGAGTAAGAGATGGTCTCATGGTCGCACAGTCCGGTGTTTGGATTGATTTGCGTTGTTCGATTGTATTTCCCGGGCTGGCTGATGTTCTTGTACGTGATCGCTGTGACCTCGGAGCAGTACCAGTTGCCGTCGCTTGAGAGGGCTGCCGTGCCTCGACAGAGTTGCCCAGCAGTCTTTCCGGAGGCGAATGGTGAGAGCAGGCTCACGATGCTAAATAGGTAGTATAACATGATGGTTAAGCGTAGAAAAGCGTATTGGGAGATTGATGTATTGCGAATCGAAATATGCAAGGAAGTGGATATTTTGCCCGAAAAGTGGAGAATTGAACGAGGACGAGACGATTGATTGTGTATTTGCGTAAGGCTCTTGGCCAGCGTGGACAACGCATAGGGCCGCAGGAAAGAGCCTTCCAGAGTACGATGCCTGAAGCTATCATTGCTTCCTTCCTTCCTCCACACAGCAAGAAGCTCCCAAGCTCGAAGACAACGAGGATATATACAGGTGCGGGTAGCGCGGTAGGCTCTAATGTGGAGGGTATCTAACGGATGTCAGCGCCGATGTCATCAACAGCTAAGCTGACAGGTAAATTTGAACGAGGAGAGTATCAGAAGTCCATTGAGATCATCGTCCGAGGACGGACTAGCAGTAGAGGTACCAGAAATAAATGTTTTGGAACAATTCATCATTGTATCGGGACGTGGGTGTAGGTGCCTGTCTTTACGTACCTTGTATACTGTCTCCGCGCACACAAACGCGCAGTCATCAAAGACGCAAGCATATAAACACCATGGCTCACAATCGTCCTCAGACAGAGGCGTTGGGGAAGGTGAGGTTGAAGTTCGGCTGCCAGAAATTTCATTCCTGCAGGTTCCGCCAAGACGGCCCGTGCTCTTAAGCGAATGTCCACACTCCCGCTGCAAAGTTCGCGACAACCTCAACCTCGAATCTCCATCGCTCGTCTTCTCACTCGGCGCCAACAGCACAAATGGGTCGACTCCACTCCAACGGAAAGGGCATTTCGTCCTCTGCCATCCCCTACTCGCGCAACCCCCCAGCCTGGCTCAAGACCACGCCAGAGCAAATCGTCGAGCAAATGTCGGTCCCTCCAGCGCCTCGCAATCTCCAGGACACCCTCACTGAATGTTCACAGATGCCGTCTCGCGAAGAAGGGCGCTACCCCGTCTCAGATCGGCGAGATCCTTCGAGATAGCCACGGTATCGCGCAAGTCAAGGTGGTCACCGGCAACAAGGTACGCCCTTCCCAGATGGACTCAATTTCCCACAAAGTGTGGACGCTCGAGCTAACGTCCAGTCGTAGATTCTCCGAATCCTGAAGGGCAATGGTAATACATTTTCCCGCCCGTGTTGAAGCGCGTGTCGACGCAGCTCTACCTCATGGTATCTGTAGCGCTATATAAATTTGGCTGTAGTCGGTTCCTTTTCAAGGTTGCTGACACAGGCCCAGGTCTCGCGCCAGAGATTCCTGAAGATCTCTATATGTGAGTAGCGACACATCGACGGCCAAAGCTTTGTAACTGACCCGCTTTCCAGGCTCATCAAGAAAGCCGTCGCTGTTCGCAAGCACTTGTCTCAAAACCGCAAAGATAAGGATTCGAAGTTCAGGCTCATCTTGATTGAGTCCCGAATTCATCGCTTGTCCCGTATGTGCTCGATTGGCAACTCAAGCGGTACAAAACTGACTCGAGAGCAGGATACTACAAGACCGTCGGTGTCCTTCCCCCGACCTGGAGGTACGAGAGCGCCACTGCCTCTACCCTCGTCGCATAAAGGAATGTGGATTGCTGTGTGCGGTCTAGAGGGTCATGCTCAAGGGGGATTCGGTGGATGCGTGGATGCTTTACAGCCGCAGGGCTTCTTCAGGCACGGGCATGACCTGTAGTAAATGAAAAGCGTCAGAACTGATTCTCTTAAATTTTGTGCCGAATTCGCTTGAACGCAAGCCAGTTATGCTTCACCATTGGAATGTGATGTATTCCTAACTGATCAAACTGGGTATCTCCCGTGCTGTGACGCGCCTTGAAGCCCTTGCAATACTTTTGAACGCCGACCTATGCACATCTCGCAGCATCATCTCTTGTACCAACCCCTTTAGTCGTCCGTCATCCCTCAACTTCGGCACTTTTCTGCGCTAGGTACTCGCTCAACCACTTCAACGGTTTCTCCGGCCTGTAGAGTATTAGATTGTCTTCATCTTCCAATCCCACACAAGTTGATCCACTCACTCTGTAGTAGCAAGATGTTTCAGAGCCTCGAGCAAATGCGGTGTTACATGCTGATTCAAGTATACTCTCGTCGGACTACCGTGTGGATTCGGCAGTGCGGGCGCTTGTTGTGGTATGCTTGGGTGCGGCGAGTTGCGCGTCGGCGTTTGGACGGCAGCGGGTGCTGGTGTGGAGATTTGCGCGGGCTGGGGCGTTGGCTGGGAGCGACCGAAGAATCAGTATGGGTGTGGAAGGGGGAGAAGAGGGGGAATGTTTACTTCGCCGGGCAGAGCTTGCGAGTCTGCCATTTCTACGTCTGCGGTGCCGTTGGGGAGTGTGGTTGGCACGGGTGTGGGTGTGGGTTCTGGTTCTGGTTCGGCGATTTGGGGTGTGGGGATGGGAGAGGGTTCTGCCATTGTGGGTTTCTTTCGGTGAGTGCGATTTGGTGGAGTCAAAACAAGTCAAGTTCTTCACCTCTGTTCATCCAGCATCGACGTGTGGGTGTAGGTGAAAGTGACAGAGTCGGCCGGATTAATAATGCGCCGCCGTATGTGGTCCGTGCGCCTTCCGCCTCTATCTGCCTCACGAAACTTTACGCAGCCCCTCGACTCCACTCGACCGTCACCAAACAAACCCGCGACAATCGCCATACCTGCAGCACCATGGCCGGCCCGCGCGCAGGAAAGAAGTCCATGGCCAACGGCTCCGGCGGCCAGAACACGTCGAGCAAGCAGTCGCTCACGGAGGCGTTCGACAAGGACCTGTACGACGGCAACAACGGCGTCGAGAAGTATGCCGGCTACAACATGTCCATCGCCGCCAATGAGGACGAGGAAATGCAAGATGCAGGAGAGTTGAATGGGAGGCGGCTCGTCGGGCAGTACACGGCCTCGAAGGATATGCTCAACGAGTTCGCGCACGGCGATACCGCGGAGGACGACATCCTGCAGAGCCGCGAGCAGCAGGCACAGATCGCTTCGCGCGAGACCGGCTACCAACGACGTCGATTCGACCGCAGGTTGTCACCAGATCGAGCAGACCCATTCACCAAAGATGGTGCCAATGGCGGCGTGGCGTACAAGGACGTCATGAAGGAACGGGAGCTTGAGCGCGAGGAGGTCCGCATCAAACGACTCCTCGAAGACCGTGAGAAGAAGGGCAATGAAGTCCTTGATCATCAGCCAACCCTGAAGGATGGCGCCACGGTGACCGATGGAAATAAGACGCCACCAATGGAGAAGAAGCGCAAGAGGCGCCGATGGGGCGATGAAGAGCCGACAATCAAGAAGGAAGAAGAGGAGGAGAAGGAGGAGGAGAAAAAGGTAGTGCCCGTGGCCAAGAAGAAGTCGCGGTGGGCTTCTTCTCCAGTACCAGAAGTCAAGGCAGACGAGCCGGCCGCCGCCGCAGAGCCCGTACGGTCGCGATGGGACACCACTGCTCTCCCCTCCTCCGGTGCAACGCCCGCACCCGCTACGAATGGCGCCCGACCTGCTGCGCCCATGACGTTCGCTTTCGGCACCGACATCTCAGCCCGCAATGCTCCTCTATCGGACGAGCAGCTCGACATGATGCTTCCCTCCGTAGGCTACAAGATCCTCGAGCCGCCACCAGGCTACGAGCCAGTTCGCAGGCCGGTCGGCATGCCGGCGCTTCCAACCGGATACCAGGGCTACCTGGTGCCAGAGGCAGACAACAGCTTGGCAATGATGGGCAAGCAGGTGTCGACGGAGATACCGGGTGTTGGTGATCTCCAGTTCTTCAAGGACGAGGATATAAAGTACTTCGGCAAGCTCACGGACGGCGCCAACGAGAACGAGATGACCGTGGAGGAGCTCAAGGAGCGCAAGATCATGCGACTCCTGCTGAAGGTCAAGAACGGCACGCCGCCGATGCGAAAAACTGCCCTTCGACAGCTTACCGACAACGCGCGCCAATTTGGTCCTGGTCCCCTCTTCAACCAGCTCCTCCCTTTGTTGATGGAGCGCACCCTGGAGGACCAGGAGCGCCATCTGCTCGTCAAGGTCATCGACCGTGTCCTGTACAAGCTCGACGACCTCGTTCGGCCGTACGTCCACAAGATTTTGGTTGTTATTGAACCCCTTTTGATCGACCAGGACTACTACGCTCGTGTTGAAGGTCGTGAGATTATCTCCAATCTCAGCAAAGCTGCCGGTCTAGCACACATGATCAGTACAATGCGCCCGGACTTGGACCACCAGGACGAGTACGTACGAAACACCACCGCTCGAGCGTTTGCCGTGGTTGCATCTGCTCTAGGTATCCCAGCCCTTCTCCCCTTCCTCCGTGCCGTATGCAGGAGCAAGAAGTCACCGAACGCTCGTCACACCGGTGTCAAGATTGTGCAGCAAATCCCCATTCTCATGGGTTGTGCTATTCTCCCCCATCTGAAAGGTCTAGTGGAGTGCATTGGTGAGAATCTCAATGATGAACAGCCAAAGGTACGCATGGTTACCGCACTTGCGCTTGCTGCCCTCGCCGAAGCCGCTTCTCCCTATGGTATTGAGTCCTTCGATGACATCCTTAATCCTTTGTGGACTGGAGCTCGTCGCCAGCGTGGCAAGGCCCTCGCTTCCTTCTTGAAGGCCGTCGGCTATGTCATTCCGCTCATGGACGAAGAGTACTCCAACTATTACACAAGCCAGATCATGGAGATCGTCATCCGGGAATTTCAGTCTCCTGACGAGGACATGAAGAAAGTCGTCTTGAAAGTCGTCTCCCAGTGCGCTGGCACAGCAGGTGTCACTCCCGTTTACCTCAAGGATAGTGTGCTTCCGGAGTTCTTCAAACATTTCTGGGTCCGTCGAATAGCATTGGATAAGCGCAACTACCGGCAAGTTGTCGATACCACCGTCGACCTGGCTCAGAAGGCCGGTGTAGCCGAGATCGTCGGCCGCATCGTTAATAACATGAAGGACGAGAACGAGGCATACCGCAAGATGACGGTGGAGACAATTGACAAGGTTATCAGCACTCTAGGTGCACATGACGTTGACCAGCGTCTCGAGGAGCAGCTCATTGATGGCATCCTCGTGGCTTTCCAGGATCAGACCATCGAGGATCCCATTGTCATAGATGGTTTCGCTACCATTGTGAACGCTTTGGGTGAGCGGACGAAGACCTACCTCCCGCAGATCGTCGCTACCGTTCTCGCTCGTTTGAACAACAAGTCTGCCACTGTTCGCCAGCAGGCTGCCGATTTGATCTCACGGATTACCTTCGTCATGCAGAAGTGCGACGAGGATCCGCAATTGATCAAGCTTGCACAGGCGCTCTACGAATACCTCGGTGAGGAATATCCGGAAGTCCTCGGATCGATCCTGGGTGCCCTACGTGCCATCGTCACCGTTGTCGGTCTTACGGCAATGCAGCCACCCATTAAAGATCTTCTCCCTCGTCTGACGCCCATTCTCCGTAACCGTCACGAGAAAGTGCAAGAGAACACGATCGATCTTGTCGGACGTATCGCCGATCGCGGTGCAGACTACGTTAACCCGCGTGAGTGGATGCGTATCTGCTTTGAGCTACTTGATATGCTCAAAGCCCACAAGAAGGGCATCCGTCGAGCCGCTAATAACACGTTCGGCTATATCGCTAAGGCAATCGGTCCGCAGGACGTCCTGGCGACTCTGCTTGGTAACCTTCGTGTCCAGGAGCGTCAGTCTCGCGTTTGTACCGCTGTTGCTATCGGTATCGTCGCAGAGACCTGCGCCCCCTTTACTGTCCTCCCAGCTGTTATGAATGAGTACCGCGTTCCCGAGCTCAACGTCCAGAACGGTATTCTCAAGGCGCTCTCTTTCATGTTCGAATACATTGGCGATATGGCTAAAGACTACGTCTATGCTATCACGCCATTGTTGGAAGACGCTCTGATCGACCGCGACCAAGTGCATCGCCAGACTGCCGCCTCAGTTGTCAAGCACGTCGCGCTTGGATGTGTTGGTCTCGACTGCGAGGATGCTATGATCCATCTTCTCAACCTGCTTTGGCCAAACCTGTTCGAGACCAGTCCCCACGTCATCGACCGTATCGTGGAAGCTATTGAGGGCATCCGCAACGCTGTCGGCACCCCTCTGGTCATGAACTACGTGTGGGCCGGTCTCTTCCACCCAGCTCGCAAGGTTCGACACCCGTACTGGCGCATCTATAACGACGCGTACGTCCAGTCCGCCGACGCCATGGTCCCCGTGTACCCGCAGTTCGAGGAAGAGAATCTGAGGAGGCACGAGCTGGAGATCTTCATCTAAGTGAAAAATGTAAGCACCCAGTACCTCCCCCATCGCTTTCCCCTGGGACTGCCATCCCAGGGTCGCGTTGCTTTCGTGTCCGCGTTGGATGGAGCGGGAGATGCTAAGCAGGGGTGGATTGGTGATACGGGAGGATTTCTCAACTTAGACTGTGGTAAGCGATTTCCACCTTTTCATTGACTGGGGCTGCCAACCCCGACATGTACATCACTTTTGCATGGGATGGAGTCTGCCGAACGAGGTTTACATCGGAGTACAGGTGTGCGTACGTGGCGATTCGTCCAGCTGTATATGGAGTGATGGATACCTAGTTGTGGTAAAATACAGTTACTATGATGCTCTCACTGTGCGCTGATTCTATTTAGGGTTTTGTGGTTGCTTCATCATCACCCCATCCATCCACGTGCAAAGAGCGGTAAGTGATGCCAAGTGTTTGTCGTTGGGCTAAGTCTTCAAGCAATCCGTGCGCCGATGCGAACTCCTCCCTGATACTGTACTCAGGCACACGAAAGGTAAGTCGCGTGACTTGAAACTGCGAATACCGGCATGGCGAACCTGCCTTCGCGTACATAAGATCCAAAATCGCATCGCGAACTCCACTCCATTACGCACCGTCAGGTATGCGGTAGCCCGCACCCGCGTATAACTATAGTCGTGCGATTTAGGTAAGACCGACGTCTACCACAGTATCGTACGCACCTGTCCGTAGCTCCCGAGGTCCCGGTGGCGTAAGACGTACTGTAAATGGGACGTTGATGGCGAGAAATCTATTTCGGGAGCTCAGCTGCGGGGCACGAGATCCTTCGCAGCCTCGTGTTGCCCCATCCCGAGGCGAATTATCGAGGCGCATCACCAAGACGCAACGTCGTGTACCGGTAAGGCGAGCTTGGCTGCGCATGGCGTGCAGCCGCATTGCAGATTTTGAAACGCTCACAAATTATTTCCTTGCGTCGTGGGGTTGCTCGGGTTTGCCTTCGTATCGATATGACGGCGAGAGGGCGATACGGCTGATGGATTCCTAATATATGCTTCTGTCCCACGTCGTGCTCCGCACATCTCCGCTCCGTTCGACTTGACCTCTCGACGTTTGTATTGAACCTGGTTGGTTGCTGGTGTGAATTTGGTTGCGATGGCCGTTGTTGCACACGAACACCTGCAGCAGAGACGACTCAACACTTTTCCCTTCGCCCAAGATGCCGAGCTGCAAGATGATCGGCTCCACTTGCCGTTCCTCTATCCCCCGCAGCAGTTACCGCTCAGAGACTCGAGAAAAGCGCAACGGATGCTGGGTTTGGTGACCGAGTTTCCAAGCGAACGCGCTCGAAGATTATCGTTACAGCCTCCCCAGCCCCCACCAAAGGATTCCAGGAAGGCGCAGAAGACGTTGGGCTTGGCGACCGACTCGCCCAGGGAGAAGAGATGGGAGAGTGAGTTTGGCAGAAGGAGGTTTGAGGCACGGCTGGAACAGAGACTTGAAGTGGCTGAGCGGGAGGTCAGGAGGTTGTCAGGCCTGGAGTGGGATGATGGGCAGTGGAAACAGTATTCGCCCGTGTCGCCGCTTGAGGAGCAAGGACAAATCCCGGAAGACAACCGGCGCGAGTGGATACAGATTGGGCTGGAGCAAAGGGGGCAAGAGGAGGATCTAGTGCGGTATGAGGAGCAGCCGGTTGAAGTGCCGTTGCTGCAATCACCAGAACAACTGCCTCCGGATGTTTCTCCCATTACCTACGAGCCGGAGCCGAACCCAGACCCACAGGAAGACCTTCGGCCGCCTCCTCCTGCGAAACCATCTCGGCCTGTATCTTTCGCCGCCTCGCATTTGCACGATAGACCGACCAACAAGATCGCCTCCTCCAGATTCCGCGGTCTTCGAGCCAATAGCTACCCAAACTTCTCCCGTCCTCTCTCAGGAATCGCGCCTAAACCCGTGCCCGGAGAGGAGATAGAGCGGGATCCGGTATACATGCAGTACCATGATGATGAAGTGGGACCACCGACGCCATCTTCACCTGTCGCGGGACCCGTTGTCTTCGACGACAAGGCGGATGCAGGAGAAAAGGTGCATGTGAAGGGACACAAGCCGCGGAAATGCAGATGGCATAGCTTGCCGTTATCGCTAATTAAATTTGGGAAGAGGGCATCGAAGAGTGAAGACGATATTCGCAACGAGAAACAAGGGAAGAAGAAGGGTGTCAAGTTCGACTTAACAGAGGAGAACCTACAGAAATGGGAAGACGAGGTCGGGTATGTGCCGAGAAGTTATAGGATGGGTTTCGATATGCTCGTTAGCCCGATTGAAGTCGACATGACTGTCGAACGAGGCACACCAGACCTGCGGATGCTGCAGCTCCCTGAATTGCAGCGATTCGAAAGTCTGAAGGTAAATCTACCAACCTCGCCCGCGCTCCCCACCGACACTCAAGCACAACCCGACGGGACAAGTCTCGCCACCGTCCCGTCAACGCTCTCCCCTCCCGCACCGCTCGCCAAACAGTCAGCAGCATCCGTCACGCCCTCAACGTCTATCATGCAGACGCCGTCATCGGTAGAAGGTCCACCCATGTTCCTCGTCTGCGCCGTCTGCCACGAACCCAAACCTCCGTCGACATTTCCGATTCGCCACATCAGCCTTACATGCGCGCACCCGCCGCGCACCTGTCAAGGATGTCTCCAGAGATGGATCGAGATATGCATTGATACGAAGGGGTGGGATCGAGTTATTTGTCCAGAGTGCGGGCAGCCAATGAGCTACGATGATATCAAGACGTTTGCGACGGAGGAGCGGTTTCGGCGGTGAGTCGGGCTTTTCGGTATGTTTTGTCCAGCCGTCTTCTGCGGCGAGGGCTGATGAAGAAGGGGAATAGGTATGACGATCTCGCGACACGCTCTGCATTGAGTTCGATGCCGAACTTCTATTGGTGTCAACGTCCGGGCTGCGGATCCGGGCAGATACACTCCGCCCCGCCCTCCAATAACCCCGTCTTCACATGCTCTTCGTGCGGCTACAAACACTGCCTCAACCACCCCACCATCCCCTACCACACCGGACTCACCTGCTCCCAATACGAATCTCGCATATCATCGCCAAGCCAGGCAGACCGCGTGCTGGCAGAGAAAGCAGGCCTGAAGAAAGTCCAAGAGATCGGCAAGCGCTGCCCCAACGCGATGTGCGGGTGGTGGATCGAGAAGAACGAGGGTTGCGATCATATGACGTGCTGGAAGTGTGGGTTTGAGTTTTGCTGGGAGTGCGCGGGGGGGGTGTCGGTATTGGGGGTGAGGGAGCTAGAAGAGTACATGGAGGGATGAAGAGAAGATGTGATGGGCTTGAATGAGATTGTGGTAATGAGACCGGGTGGATGCTCGGTGGAATGTTTGATGAAGAAGTAGGTATTGTACCGTTTTTGTGGTGCCTACCGTGACTTCTCGTTCTTGTGGCTGATTTGCAGTGATGGAGTTAGACTTCCATGCATCATCGGCAGAGTCCCTACGCCTATCCTCTCCACAGCGTCAAAGACGCCGAGAGGAAAGAAATAGTACTAAGGACGAACAGCCATTCCCTCTTCACTCGGCACTACCCTCCCGCTCCCCGCCAGCACCCGGACTCTTGCCGCCTCCCGGAGAAGAAGCCCCCTGACCAGCCTCGCCGCCATGCTGCTGCCCTTGACCTTGGCCTTGAGCAGGGCCTGACGGCTGGTTTCCTCGACCGGTCATGGTGGTGGGGTGCTTGCTGTGTGTCGCGGCTTAGGGTCGGACAGACAGTGATGAGTAGCGAGCGATGTGGGTGTGAGGATGGAGGAAGAGGGCAAGCAAACGTCGTACGTAGGACATATATATAGTGGAGAACCTGGGAGTTTTCAAGCTGCTGCTGCCGCCTACTAGTCTACATTCACCGCAATTAGGTCGTACCATTGTTCGTGAGCGGTCTGTCGTGTAGGCTAGGTTGTTGGTATTATGCTCTAGGTGATCCATGTTCGAACGACTGCGTAGTATTGTTCGTCTGCTTTGAGGAAGAACATGTCTGTAGGGTTTAGGCTTCATAGCCTCGAGACTATAGAGAAGTTCTTAGACGCGAAGCTGATATTGTTCGTTGTAATATTCCACAAGGATGCCCTAGTTGGGGTATTTAATGCTTTACTAGACGCAATGATCGCGTACCGCATATCGGCGAGCCCAAGTGGGCTCTCTTCGAACTAAATTTTTCTAGCAGATAGGTCCCTTATACATATTATCCTCGCAAATTGTAAAAATGGAAGCGCTATATCCTCGGAAGGCGCAAATATATTCGATAAAGGGAGAGGACGCCGTGAGAATGGCCATTGTTCTGTGCATCTCCTATGGAGTCACCACGCTCATGGACGTTCGCGCGTATGTAACGCTGTATGAGGTATTAGTTGAAGCTGCTGAAGTTTGTGGCGCGTCAAACACGCCGACCCAGTGATCTCGCCTCTACAGAACCAAGCCTGTGTCGTAGCATTCAAGCATCTCCCATATCCTCCCAAGTCCTCTCCATAGTCACTTCGGCCCCTGGGTTCAGGCGAATAATGCTCGCCTCCACGTCTCGCTCGGCCGCCTCTAATCCCGCTGGGTACTCCTTACGTAGTGGCGCTCTCTTCTCTCCAAGTTCCAGCTGCACATAAATCGACGTGTGGACACAAATACGCCGCAGCCCACGGGCCTCCGCGAACGCCAATTCCGGATATGTCCACCACTGTGGATACATAAATACATGGCCGGGAAAAATGAAGACGTGCGCTCTTGCCCTGAGCCGAATGGACGCGACGGCATCGCGCCGGGCGGGGAGCAAGTTCGCCAGCCATTCTCTCAGGACACCCGGATCATGCGCGGAGAAGGTATTTAGCTTGTACGGGAGGACGGCTGTCTCGGCGTAGAGCCGGCGGGATACGGCTAGGAAGCTCAAAAAGTGTTTTTCATTGCCGGATACACTAAGTAGCTTTCCTTCTGCTGGCCTGTAGGGTTTTTTGGTGATGTGTACCGTTCTCCCGCCGAGCACATATTCGTAGATGCGGTTTCGTATCTCGGGCGGCAGTTGCAATAGCGGCGATTCTTGCTGGTTCCTCTTTGCGCTGTGCAGGTTAGCTTCGTGCTAACCAGCTACTCGGGAGATACTTACATCTGGAGATACTTGCCCGTCTTGCGGGTAACGTCCAGAAGCCCATTCTTGTGACGACGCACCTTGGGATACTTCCCCCTGGTGACTCGATTCCGGGACTGATTCTTTGGTGCCGCTGGCGGAGACTTTGCTTTTGGCTTTCGCGGTGCCATGACGAAGGATTCCGAAAGCGGCTGTGTTGGAGGCGTTGAGTTGTTGGATTGATTTATGGAGTTGCTCTTCCGAGTGGCGGGTATGGGAGATTGGGAGTGTTGAGAACAGAGGAGAGTGAAGATTTAGCGTTGGTCTCCCTTCTTATGAGGGGCCCTCAAGCTCGCCAAGTCCATCCTACTAACACCGGGAGAACGTGGCAAGTGAAAGAATACTGATAATGGCACGAGGGCTTTGAAGTGACTTCCTTGGCACCTTGTGTTCACGTTCACTACTCTCGCAGCTTCCTCATGCCGACATGCATTTTGGTCCGCGAATTAAGGATTCGACGCCTCGAAGATGCGAAGAAACTGCCATTGCGGACACAGGAACAGCCTCGTAGATAAATATAAGAGAATATTGAGCTATTATTGCTACGCTTGCTATCCATACAAGACGCACATGCAATTTCGACCAATTGAAAGAAATGAGATCCAAATTGTGCCCCTAATCTTGCTACATAAACAGAGCCGGGTGATAGATACCGTCCAATGGCATCCAGAGTGTTGAAAAGGGGGAAGTGTGACTTTTGTAAGGTAGCAAGCTCGGCTCCGGAAAAGTTCCGGGAACGAGGCAGGACCAATCGCGAAAGAATCAGCTCTCAATGCTGTGATTTCGAAGTAGAAGGGACCTCGATCAGGTTAGGTCTGTAGTTGATCGTAGGCGGTCGCCGCCTGGGTGAAGTTGCCGAACCAAGCAGGGTGAAGTAATGCCAGTTGAGACGGCCGGACGCTCTTTCGCATCATAGCTTGTTGATATGAGTTTAGAGTTCAGGCTGAGAATCACCACCTATAAGTCAAGTATTAGCTGAGGACTACCGCAGAGCACGGTACTGAAGTGAGGCTCTCAGTGGCATGGCTTTAACTTACTGCGCGCAGTATAGAGAATCCCCCGTGTGCACCTCGGAGGTTACTTCCACGTGTCCACGCAAAGCTTCGATCCGCTTGCTCCAATGCTGCACGAAATTGTCGACTTGGTCGGTACTGGAGAACAACCGCGCGCGGATATTGACATGTCGCAATCCAGGAAGTAGCGAAGAGAGATTCGGCAATGCTGGCCCCAATACCCCGCCCCAGAGCGCCCCCATCCGTGTAGCTTCGCCGGTCTCGAGTTGTATTGTAGATATCTGATTGCATTGAATACGTTTCCGCTTCTTGACGAGCCCTTCTATGCCGCAGAAAGACCAGAACGAGAACGTGTTGGCTTTGAAGGGGATCAAAGCGGCCTCTGCGTAGATTTGGCGACACGTTCTAAGGAGTGCCATTCAGTTCTTTTTCTCGGCGTGTCTGGCGCGTACTTCTCCCCGATACTTCCTCCCATGGCCCTGCCTGAACACCATGCCTCCGAGCGCGTACTCCCAGATACGATTCCTCATTTCGGGTGGAAGTCGCAAGAGCGGTGATTGCTGGTTTGACCTGACGCTGTACTATAGTAAGCACATTTTATCTCAATGTATTACTGGGTTGATTGAGGTGTGCGGCTCCCGGCGCATACGTAAAAATGAGGAAGTCATGGCCGACCCTCGTATGCCGTCGCCCCATCGACTTACAGGTCTTTCTCTTTGCCCTTTGGTGTGACATTGAGCAGCCCATTTTTGAACTTGTGGTACCTGACAGGGCGTGAGTGAGAAGTTCAGATGAGCCAAGAACCAACATTACCCGCGCTTCGGTCGCTTAACCACGCAATCGTTTGCCTTCTTGGGAGACGGTGACTTTGCGCCCTTGATCGTTGGCTTGCGTGGCGCCATTATTGGAGGTTCTGAGGTTCTTGCCGAAGGAGAGGTGGAAAGGTAGGGTACGGTAGGAGACGAAGAAACAGAAGCCTGAAATCATCAGATATAGCGTCAGCTGTAGCCTTAGGGTGAAGGCAGATTGTCGAAAAGAGCGGTGAGCGTGACGTATCACATTGGACATCGCTCACATCCCCTGGAGAGAAACAATGTGGTGAAGGTGAGCGCACTTGAAATTTTTGACATGCCGCCTGGAATGAACGCGTAAGGCGTGAGAGTTGATAACTAGTGAAATGGAACCTTATTAATGATATATCGGAAAGCGGAGAATAAATTCGCCAGTTTTGCTGTATTATAAAAGCTGAAAAATGTTATTTGATTTGCGTGGAGTAGAAGTTTACGAGCTCGATTTGATCCTGTTGTCTAAACTACCTAGGTAGACGGAGATCGGTCCCTGCGCAATTTTAGATCTAGCTGGTTTTGCCTGGCTTGCAGTCTCCGCTCAATCTCGCCTAGAAGTGTGCTCGACCGATGGCATAATTACAAGCGCTCTGGAAGCTCGGCGATCATCACACAGTCTCCATGGATATCGTAGCACAATCAAAGCATCCCTTCCTCTAAGAACAAGCTCATATATATACTAGTGGGCCTCTCGTGGTAGACGGAGAAGGGGAGATCGCTCGGCTCTGCAAATCGTTAGTAATATGATCAATCGGGCGAACCCAAGTTACATCTCCACGTATGGGCCAATTAGTGTCGTATCGATCAGACCATTCCTAAACGGGGAATCCCTCTCAAAGGCTGTTGATCAATTTATTTGCGTAAGTGTAACAGTGAGGTGACCGTCGAACTATATCCCTCGATGCCTTGAGTTTCATGGCGTTGATATGCGGGGCTGACGGTGTTGCCGAAATCACACACGCTGCAAAACCGTGTATTGGAGAGGATGAAGAGGAAGCAGCGGACTTCAGTTTTTGATGGGGAAGTAGTTGAATTGCAGCAAATGATGAGGGAAAGTGCAGTCGGACTGGTCATGCTCTGAACCATGCTAATCGCACACGTGATGTCCACAATGACTCCGAGAACTCGGGAAAGAGAATATCTGGCTAGAAGACACACAATATACCGTAGAAAGTATCCACTGTGTTTTTCCGTCCGTCTGCTATCCTATTCATTCCGCTTTCTTGGGTCTCCAAATATATCTCGTTCCAGCGCCCTCGAAAATGATCTCGACGTCCTTTCGCCCAATGCAGAAGTCCACACCTCTGACAGCTTCGGTCCACAAGAACAAGTAGTCTGGATCGTCCTTATGCTTTTGCAGAATGATGCAATTAAGCCGTGGGAGTTGTCGAAGGGTGGGTTGGTATTGGCGACAGAGGGGAAGCTTAGATTGGGGCATTGCCGCCATTCTGGTCTCTCCAAGATTAGAGACATCAATGCCGATGACCGACATCCCACGCCTCGATAAGCTGATTGTCGTGATAGCATTGCGTTGGGAGTCGGTAAAGTGGCTAAGCAGGAGCGGGAGCGGATCGTCACTGCCTGCAGGCATTTTTCTGCGGCCCGTCCAGTGTCCCTTTTGTTGACCGAAAGAGTTCAGTTCGTACGGTAGAAGCGCGCTCTCGGCGTGGATTTGGCGGCACACGGCCGTTAAGGCGAGGAAGTTCCGAAGACAGCGTAGTTTCGTCGGATACGTGCCAGCGGGCTGTCCTACAGCTATGATGTCTTTACTTCCTCCTTCGACCGCGTAGATCTCCATTCCACCAAGAACTAGTGCGTATATTCGGTTCCGCAATTCCCCAGGAAGACGCAAAAGCGGAGATTGGAGTTGATTCGTCAAGGTTCTGTGAGGAGAGGTCAGCTACTTCGTCGAAATTGGGAGCAGTCTTACTCACATGGCGGTTATATTCACCTCTGCAATCTCAGGTCCGTTTTGGCTGCGTTTGGGCGATGGGACATCGTTCTCATGACCCGGTTCGCTTCCGTCGCGCTTCATAGATTTCGAGGTTGAAGAGTCCATAACGAAGTAGTTGCGCCGTGAGTCGTATTTAGGAATGGGAGGGGTAGCGCGGAGAACGAGAGCTTGTACTCGAAGTAGAGGAGAAGAGGGTGGGTATAAATACTAAAGAGAGGATTCGAGTAGTCAACTAGAGGTGAAAGACAAGACAAAGGGAAAGACAACGGCGCCAGATTGCTAGCGCATCGCCACAAGAAAAGCAGTCAAAATGCACAAAGTGAAATAGACGAAAATCTCAGGCTTATCACGGTGTCTGATAATCAGACTTTGTCTAGGAGAGCGTTACATGACTAGCAATTCCCGATCGCTGACTCGATATCTTCGGGAACACGCTTCCCTGCTCTACCCTCTGAGATCATCTCAGTTCGATTGCGCTGGAGTGCGCCCACCTCCACTGGATTCATGTTGTATATGTCGATATCCGGTCTCAGAGGACACATTTTGAGGTGATGTGAAAAAGTGAAGAAGGGAAGAAGAGAAAGACGGTAATACGAGTTGAAGCTAGGTACGCAGCCGAAGGTAAAGGGATGACGAAGAATCACTAGAACGATAGATCACCCTCAATGAAGAGAAAATGAGGTGCTTACTATGAAAGCAGAAACAATATCAAGTCTATCAACTAGAACATCAAAACCAGCATCTAAACATCCCTCCACCCCTCCGCCCTCGGTTCATCATCTTTGGTACTTCTCTCAAACTGCCTCACCTTCTCTCTCAGCAGCGCACAATGCTTGATCATTCTATCCATCTCTTCAATATTCCCTCTCAAACTTTTCAGATTGCGCTCCGTCATCGCTGCCAAGGTATCCAGTTCAGAGTTCAGCAATGAGGATCGGCTCGCCGCCCGTGGGCTTCCGCGGGGCGTAGATCCGGCCGCGTGTGTATGTTGTCCTTCCGTGGTAGGCCCAAGAGAGATCTGAGAGCTCGTTCTCCCTCCAAACAATCGCCTCAGTAGTCCATTTGCTTGACCCTGAGCCAGACCCTGAGCCTGCACACTCTCCCTCATCCCCCTCATCAACCCCATCACCTCCCGTTCCCTCTTCCAGCAACTCCTAAGTACACCCTCCACCCACGCCAGACACTCCCAAACCGCCTCACCCTCCTCCTTCAACCCCGCAACCACAACCTCCAACTCGCCCACCTTCCACTGTGCCTGCTCGAGCCACCCCGCCACCTTCGGTAAGACCTCATCCTCCAACGCTATATTCCTCTCAATCAAATACTCGTTCTTCTCCCTCAGTTTATCGAAGTTCTTATGTAGTTTGCGGATGAGTTTAGTTTGCGTGGCAATTGTGCGCTCGTGGTGGGATATAGTAGTTAGAGGGGAGCAGCGCGGACTGGGGGAGGAGAGGAGCCGGTAGAGGGCGACTTCGGGGGTCGTAGCGAGGCCGCTGGGGCGGGCGTGTGTGGGATCGGAGTAGGTGGTGTTTAAGCTGCTTGCGGGGGATGAGCTCCTGGGAGGGACGCCATTCGGGAGGGGTTGGTTGGGGAGAGGCCAGTCTCCAGAGCCGCCTTGGATATCAGGCGTTGCTTCGTATGGGGGCGGTTCTCCCTCTACTGTAAATCCCGTGCGTGGCCGATATGCGTTTTCCAGCTCTTCCTGCTGCGGTTGCTGCAAACGCTCTGTGAGTAGCCGATCATAAAACGCACTCCCTGCAATCGGATACGAAAAGTTCGGCACCAATCCAACATCTACCGCACTCACGAACCTATCCATACTATCCCCGTTCTGCCTCTTACTCTCCTTTATCCTTTCCCTAACGCCCTCTTTCATCGCCGGATCCACAAGCTCATGCTCAAGAATGCGATTCAGCGCAACATTCCACGTCAATCCCGTCGACTGCTCCCTGTGCGGACTTGGTTGAGGTGATGGCGACCTTCTCCAGAAAGGATGGGATGGTTCTGACATGGCTAGGTGTTGCTGGGGAGTGGAGGGCAAGACGAGTCTGCGTTGGCCTTCTTCGTTGCGGTAGATGTACATTGATCGATCGACGGGCAGGAGCACGGATTCGTCGAAGTCTTTGCTGGTTCGTGGCGTAGTGGTTGTTTGGGAGCTGCCTGTGCGAAGTTTGCTGGAGTGGTAGGCTGGGCGCGGAGGGAGCGGAGGCGGGCTTGGGGTGGACTCCTGGGAGAGGTGGACGGCATCGGACGTTGTTGGGCCTTTGGCGGTGCTATTTGAGGGGAATGCTGTTTCCAGATAATGACTGCGCTCGCGTGGTTTCGGTGAACTGCCAAGTGGGACATCTGCCTTCTCTTTGCCTTTGCGCGTTTGCGGCACTGAGTCTTGGACATTTCTGGCCTCCTTCGCTTCCAGTTCCACTAGTTCTTCATTCTTCCTCCGAGCAGGCCTGCTTGGCTCTTCCACCCGATAGTAAGGATACTTTTCCACTTTCCTATCCCTCATACGCTCCTCTCCCGGGGGCGGCGTGTCCTCTTCGCGCATAACACTATTCCAGAACAAATCGTCCTTTCTGCAATATCTAACGATCGGAGGTCCCATATCCACAAGCCGAGGGAGTTCAGGAAGCGCTTGTTCTGGATCACCTTCGTCGAGGTCGGAGTCGCGCTCTTCGTCGGTGTCGGCCTTTTGCTTCCCTTCATCTTCCTGCATTCGAGCCTGCCTTTGCAAATGGCGTCGAGAGTGTCCACGGAACGGATGCCGCAGGTGCTGAAAGAATGCTGGCATTATCTTCAAGCTTGATCTTCAGAAAAGTGTGCTTCTACGTTGGTGTCTGAGTTTGCGGAATGAGGAAAGTCCGAGAAGATAAAGCCACGAGGTAGGCGTTGTCGTAATGATGTGGCGTTTGATAGGTCCATGTAGCTCCAAGTTCACAAGTGACCGTTTGTCCGTGAGCTGTAGACACGCCATGACAGCAGTGAATCAATGATGCGGATGTCAACGTCAGAAACGTCAAATGTTAACCGGTATTTCACGCCTGTCAATTAGAAGAAAAGATTGGGTTACGTGAATGCAAGATGGTGATGCTGAGAGTGTGATGTACCGAATATTAGTTTGCGAACTGGAGGCCACAATCACTAACAGCCTTCTGATACTATACAGTACCGGTCTAATGAAGAGACTTACGATGATATCAAAAACCATAACATCGCTATTGTGGCAGATGCCATACCGCTCGAAAACCCCACCACGCAGCCTTAAGCTCCATGGGTATGCAGTTGAAAATGCACAAACAACGCCCCCATCCAGGTATGCCATGTATCCGGGCCCAAGCTCCGAGAAGTGGCAGATCAGTACTTGCGTTTGTTCGCTGCCGCTTTGCTCATGGCCATTAGCTTTCGCTTCCGTTCCTCCTTTTGGCGCTTCAGTTCCGCCTCCTCTGCAAGCGCCTCCGCGTCCTCCTGCTTGGCTGCTTTAAGGGCGGCCTGCTCCTCCTGCTCGACATCCCAGATGCCGCCTTCCATGTCGGACAAGTCATCCTCAGACTCGTAATCCTCCTCCTCCAACTCTTCGTCTGACCAGCTGGCGTACCCGCCATAGCGACCTTGAGATACTTTCGATTTAGCTTTGGCTGCGGAGGCTCCTGGTCTCCCAGCAGGTGCGGCGGAAGCTGATGGTCGTGCGGTCCCTTTGTAACCAAGTTCGACTGGTTTCTTGGCGGGCCGTGCAGTGCCTTGATAACCCAGCTCTACTGGCTTCTTCTTCTCCTTCTCGGCCCCTCCCTTGCCGTTCATAGCTTTTGCTGGTATAGCTACACTGGGCTTCTTCCCTTTTGCGGCTGCCTTTGCATTCAAACGAGCCTGTTCGCGCTCCCTCTTTGTCATGATCTTTGGAGCCTCGTGCTTGATTGGAGGAGCAAGAGGCTTGGTCTGATCCTTCTCCTTTGCCTTCTGTAGTATAGCCAAATATCCACCAGGTTTCTTTGTTGGAGCTGGAGCTGGAGCTGCTGAAGCAGGAACTACTCCCGCAGGCTTCAGTGCAGGCGCTACTGCCTTCGGGGTGGCCGTCTGAGTGCTGCTGGGAGCATTGGGCTTCTTTACGGGCATATTCGCAGGTCTGGGGGCGCTCAGCCCGGCAGTCCCACGGTAGGCTCCTGTCGTTGAAGACGCGGGAGGATTTGGTTTCGTGGGCCCGGACGGCGCGGCAGGTCGTGCAGCGCCATTTGCTTGACCCGTTTGAGGAAGGGCATCTTTGCGCTGAATCTTGACATGTCCACTGTCTACCGGGCCCGACGCTTTGCGCTTCAGCGCTGGTGATTGTGCTCTATCCGCCGAGGCAACGGGTCGTGGCACGGGTTTCGGCGGACCAGAGGAGGGCGTTTGGGCAACAGTTGACACGGGCTGCGACGGGCGTGCGGCAGTCGGATCGATCGAGGAGATGAGGTCTTTGAATAACTGAGACGTTGAGCACGGATGGCCTCTCGCCAGGGGCAAGGCCTGACTCACGCTCATCTTGGGCGATGGATCAAGAGTTGACTCACTATTACCGGTCGTGACGCTTTGAGGGCGAGTCGCACATGCTTTCGAGGGACGAGTTGGGGTAGAAATAGAGCGGGAGGATGAGGGCGAGAGCGCGAAAGCGTGGAGCGGCGCCGGGGCCTAAATAAAGGACACGCGGGCAGCAGACTGTGAAGTGGCGGGCAAAAGACCAAGTCGCTCGGGACTGGCGACTTAGGTCTTTGTCTGTCACGTGCACGTGTGAGGCTGAGATTTTCCGTTCCGAGAGCGCTAGCCCAGAGCGGTTTAGCCCTTTCGGCATCCCACTGCCAATTTTGATAATTATCGTTCCAGGTCGAACTTTCCCCGATCTCCAACCACGAGAACTTGAAGCTTCAGTCTCCGTTAACGCGGTGCGTATATCCCCTTCACCGGCACTGCTACTTCGCATACTTATTCCGCAGGTTAAACCGATTGTGCTCCTGTTCTTACCCACTACATCAACCAACCATCAAAATGAAGCACCTCGCTGCCTACCTCCTGCTCGGCCTCGGTGGAAACACCTCCCCGTCCGCTGCCGACGTCAAGGTCAGAAACCTGGCAATGTAACCTTGGAGCAATATCTCACATATGCAACAGGGCGTCCTCGAAGCTGTCGGTATCGAAGCTGACGACGAGCGGCTGGAGAAGCTCCTCGGTGAACTGAAGGGCAAGGACATCGACGAAGTATGGTCTCTATGAAATGGTTGGAGTGGGCAAGAGGATGTGGCACGGGCGGACTGTGATCTGGATACCGCGAGCCTGAGGCTCTGAAGCGGATCAAAGCATATGTCGTCACGGCCAACCCTTTTCTGCACATTCCAGCCCAAGTCGCCCGAAACTATTTCGCTAACCATGCGCAGCTCATCTCCCAGGGCTCCGAGAAGCTCGCCTCCGTCCCGTCTGGCGGTGGTGGTGCCGCTGCCGGTGGCGCTGCTGCTGGCGGCGCTGCTGCTCCCGCTGAGGAGGCCAAAGCCGAGGAGAAGGAAGAGGAGAAGGAGGAATCCGACGAGGACATGGGCTTCGGTCTCTTCGACTAGGCGCGTCGCTAACTTCGACTTACCGAGGACGGATTGCCTGGCCGGTTTCTCTGCATTCACGGGAATCATGCGATACGAAAAGGAGCATTTGGGTGGTGTCGAGCGTGCTATCAATGGGGTTATGGGAACGCTTTGCGGCAACCTTCGATGTTCGCTGCTAGGATACATTGAATGAAGTCATGCACCCCCAACTTTTACTTCAGATTCGTGTTCCGAAATGTGTGGAAATAGGGGAACTGTGCTATAATACAAAGGGATCATTTTAGGGCACGAAAGAGGCCGTGCTGTCTCCATACATTCTAAAATTGTTGACACTAGAGTGAAGTTCCAGGATCGTGAAATGCCAAGACTTTGTGGCGCTAAGCGAGCCGAGCCCACTGCACCTGCGCATTTTGAACATTAACGACTCTTCAATCTCTCCGACGCACACCAACCCCGCAACCATCGAAGTCCCCCGTCCAGCTACTTCAATAACCCGCAATCATGGCTGACGAGAACTACGTACGTTTCTGCCGCGCATTTGATTGAGTGTGACCCTGCTAACACCACGACAGAACGCCGAGGAGGCTGCCGGTACGCTCTCGCTCTCTTCACGTCCTTCCTACTAGCTACCACCATGTTCCGCCGCTACGAATTGCTATGAAACATCGGTTTTGGATCATCTTTGGGGTGGCTGCTGGTGGAAGGGGGATCTATAAGCGCTGGAGATGGACATGGGCTAACGGCTGATATAGAGCTCAAGAGGAAGAGAGCCTTCCGCAAGGTAAGCGACTCGTACGTATCTGCAATTGAGAAGCTGCTGACGTCAAACCAGTTCTCTTACCGTGGCGTCGACCTCGACCAGTACGTTCCCATTCGCCCCTCGCCCCTATCCTCGATCCATGTCGAAATTCCGACAACATAGACACCATGTTAACGCAGCCCAGGTTGCTCGACCTCTCTTCGGAAGAACTCCGTGACCTCGTCCATGCGCGCGCTCGCCGTAGGTTCGATAGGGGGTAAGGATGCCCAGAACCACCCGTAAATCATGCCCCGTCTGACACCGGTAAACAGTCTGAAGCGCAAGCCGATGGGTTTGATCAAGAAGCTGCGAAAATCCAAGCAGGAGGCCAAGCCCAACGAGAAGCCCGACCTTGTCAAGACGCACCTCCGTGACATGATCGTTGTCCCCGAGATGATTGGCTCCGTCATCGGCATCTACTCCGGCAAGGAGTTCAACCAGGTCGAGATCAAGCCCGAGATGGTCGGCCACTACCTCGGAGAGTTCTCCATCTCATAGTACGTTTCCAAACACACGCGCGATAGGAGAAGCGAAATGACTAACGATCCTATAGCAAGCCCGTCAAGCACGGAAGGCCCGGTATCGGTGCCACCCACTCTTCCCGTTTCATTCCTCTCAAGTAATCGGTCTGGGTACTCGGCTGCATGGGTTCTTTGGTGGGGTGGAGAAGACGTACGTCATGACACAACGAAAATAGGTGTTAGGTGCATCCATGACTACGCTTTGCGGTCGACGTGAAGCACAAGCGGCGATCACGGCGGGCGTGGAGATTTGGTGTGCTTTCATGTAAAGAAACGAATCCACCTCAAGTCTCTTCGAATATGCTTTCGTGATGCGTTTATTCGAGTTCTTGCACTATAGCCAGTACAGGCGAGGCGCTTCAGATGTCCACGTCCTCAGTGCCCAGGTCAACCGCTAGCTCTTCCAACCATCGCTGCACATCGTTATGGTCCGCATGCCCACGCCCAGACACAAGGCCCAACGCCTCCAGCCAACCCACCACTCGAAGCAGAGTCACTGCCACGCCCCATAACGCTGCAGCAACAAGAATAGCGACTACAGCTCTTAGGAGAGGGATATGCGCCACCTCGTCGCAAAGTTTCCCAGCGCCCCATGCCGCCACGCACCACCCACGCATTATGCTTCATTGAGCCACTGCCCAGATACCCGCACCTGCCTTGAGAAGGATACTAGGTGTAGGTTTAGCAGGCTTAAAGGATCAGGGAGCTGTGACATGTGGTAGCTTGGAAACGGAGAGCTGGAGGCAAGAGGTTCTATTGGTAGATAGGTGGGTGTGCTATGTAAGGTGTTTGAGGTTATAGACAGTGGGTATTTGAGCAGTGGAAAAAGAAACGGAAACGGTGATTTGGGAAGGGTGTGCATCGTTACCTGCCCATACGCATTTCTGCTTTTCCGTACTTCTGGAGGGCTTGCAGGAAAACTTGGTAGTTTACGCCTTTGTTGTCGGGCAGGTGGCTAAGCGTAGGGTTAGTAAGCGGGGGGTATACGACTTGAGCGAGCTGGTAGGGATAATACGTACAATATCTCCGTCAACCGCAGCTGCCACGGCGGATACCCTTTCAGCACCACGGTCGGACTGAAGAGGATGAGAAGGTCGGGCTCTGTGCTCACGTGGTCGCTCAGCTCCGCGTCTATGAGGTTCGAGTCGATTTGGTTGATGCCGACGTCGCCTTTCTGCGCCATCTGGGCGAGCGTTACGGTCAGGTCGATGAGCGTGTCGCGGCCGTCGTGTTCGGAGAGGAGCAGCACAGTTATGTGGGGGCGCGCGGTGGACGCGCCGTTCTCCGTGGGCTCGGAGTTGGGTGTCGCGGGCGGAGAGTAGGATGTCATATGCGGCGCCTTGACGGTGAGGGTAGGGCGGCGGCGGGAGCCAAAGTATGTCTCGAGGCTCTTCCAGATGGCGGCGTGGGTTTGCGGGAGGTAGTTCTTAAGTACGCCTAGAAGATATTAGTATTTACACTCAAGAAAAGAAGGGAGCAGAGAAGCATTTACCCTTCCTTTCGTAGATGCTCAGGAACGAGATGCCCGCAGCCGCGCTCCACGCAGCGATCTCGCACACGTCGTTAAGCAGCCCCTCTACCCCAGCAGTCCCCTGGTCCTCGTCATCCTCATTGTAGTCCAGAATAACACTCAAATGATTCGGCAACCGCTCCACATTCCTCACATCGCTCACTATCCACTCAGGCGTATGGTGGTGGTGCCCCATAATAGCGCGCATCTTGTACCAGGAGAGGCGCCATGCGCGGCGGAAGCGGAAGAAGACAGAGAAAATGAGGGAAATAGTTTGGTATATGAGGAAGTGGAGGAATGCGCGGACTCGACCGTGTTTGAGCTTCGGTTGCGAGGACCGCCGACGCTTGCGCTGTTTTGAGCCGGACCTTGAGGGCGAGGGCGACGAAGAGGTTGGTTCGGGCGGTAGGTGGGCTTTTATCATCTCCTCGCGCTCCTTGGGGCCCATTTGCTTTCCGTCTAGAGCGCCCCGGCGGAAGGCGAGCTCTTCTTTGGGCGAGATGCCTGTGGATGCCATTGCGGCGGGAGGAAGCAAGCTGTGGGTGTATGAATATGCTGTCTGTGAAGTTTCAGCGAGCGGCAAGCGCACAGGCAAACGAGAGCATGTGCGCTGGTGGAAGAATGGCTGCTGTGGTGTTAGTTTGTGCCGAGCGGTGCCGTCATAAGAAGTTGGAAAGTTGTGAGGCTGGAGCACCGCGTGGCGCCGCTGCTTCCGAAGCTGGCAGCCAAGAGGCGGTGCTCAGCCATGTTGAGCAGGCGCGATTGCGCGTAGCGGTCGCAATTGCTGATGACGGCGCCGAGACGCTTTATCTGGCTTTGTGGCAATGGAGAGAGGGTTCCATGGCGGGGATGAGGTTGTCTTGATGCATGAGGTCAGTCGGCAGCTGCTCGCCCAAGGCTCACCCAAGACGCACCTCCGACGCGGGGCGCCACAAGCCACAGCATTCGCGGAGCTCCATCTGGCCAATCTCCAGAAACCACGCAGATACGCAAGCACTCGACTTAACTGCCTCGAAGCTTTCACTCTCGGCGAACGACATTGCAGACTCCATTGCGCCTCTCGAAGGGCTACAGTCGGACATTCGTCGACCACCGCTCACATGCTCCGCAGGTAGGCATAGACAATGTCACGCCCAAGCGCGGACTCGGCGTCCCTGCTGTCGCATACGACGTCGAGGTCGACCCGTGGCTTCAACTTTACGCTAGAGTACTTCTCCGTAAGTCCCCCAGTTGCCTCAAAGTGATTTCGTTAACGGGCTCCAGAATAAGGACTTCATTGTCAAGGACTTTATCGAAGCCCTCTCCGACAGCGCCATACCTGCCTCCCGCAAATCCGGACCCAGCGCCGACCGAGCGCACTTCGACCCCAAACCGCTGATCCGCTCGTTCGAACATGCGTTGACGCGACTAAATGGCTTATCCGAAGAGCTCGAAGAGCGCGAGAACGAGCTCTCCGGAGCCGTGCGCCGCGCCGAATCCCAGCACAATCAGAACGTGGAATCCCTGGGCCGGAGGCTAGATCAGGCAATCGACCAGTTCCAGCAATTAGATAGCTCGTTGAACGGGGGTGGTGCGGAGGACGTCGCCCCAGACGCTGGGGGTAACGTTGCTGTCCGGATAGGAGAACGACTGGAAGAGCTGGATAGACAACGGCAAAGAGCCCAGGATGCAAGGTTCTTGATCGAGTGCTGGCAGGAGGTCAGCCAACGGGGAACCCTTGACATTCTTGAAGACATGAAAAGACGCGGAGGTACGGTGCGCTGTGCCCATATCGCGCGGCAGCTCCTGAAGATCAGCGCGCGTCTCGATCCTGACGGGTCTCAGGCTGTGAACGGGAATGGAAATGCCCCCAACGGCGTGAAGAGGAGGCCACTCGGCGTGAAGCACAACACGAAAGAGATTATCGAAAAGTTTCTGGAGAATCTCGAACAGGACTTGCTGTCTAACTTCGACGAGTACTACCGACGGCCAAACTATGACGGAATGCGGGAGTGTGCTGTTGCGTTGAAAGACTTCAATGACGGTGCTAGCGTGATTGCGACCTACGTGAACCAGCACTCGTTCTTTATCGATCGCAACCAGTTAATCACGGAGGAGCTGACGGGTGATGCGGAGACGTGGGATCGTCTTCAGGACCCGGACGCGGAACCGCCAGGTGTGGAACCAAGTCTACAGTCGCTAGTCGACGAAGTGAAGATTGTCGTGCAGGAAGAGTCGGCAATCATCAAGCGGGCGTTTCCCTACTACGAGGAGGTCCTGATAAGATTCCTGCAGAGGATATTCCAGCAGTCGATCCAACAGCGACTGGAGATGGTCCTGGAGAAAGCGAATGAACTGTCGTCTCTCGCGTTTCTCCGTTCATTGCAGGCATCGAGGACCTACATCACTACTCTAGTAGACGATCTGAAAGCCCACGGCTTGACTGAACACCCCGAGCCTGTGACATCTCAGATTGCCGCGACTTTGGATCAACAGCTGGAAGACCTGTTCGTGCCGTACTTTGTCGGTTCGTCCTACATCGAGCGAGAGAAGAAGAACCTAGAGGAGCTCTATTCCTCTTTACTCCTCAAGTACACAATCTATCATTCCCGACGGCGGAAGATGCCGACGACGTACTTTGCGTCACTCGCTCAGCGAGGCAAGGAACTCGCAGCCTCTGCACGAGATGCATATATGGAAAGGCTCGACAGCACAGATCTACCACCTACCCAGAAGGCCATGCTTCTCCGAATTGCGGGTTTGAAAGAAGACCAGAGTGAGAAGAAGGAGATCGAAGTCACGGAAGAAGACGGGAAACTATCTCTCTCCACCGCAAAGCGTATGCTAAAATGGTTGGCAGAAGGCGTAGGGCGAGGCCTGGAGCTTTCGCCAAGCAGCGAAACACCAAAGGATGTGCAGAATCTCCTAAACCTCCTCCTAACACACATGGGCGAGATATACCTCGAGACCGCCCTAGATGCGTAAGTCCCGTCGCCCTTCCCATACTCTTCATCACTAACGGTATCAGCGCGTCCGACCACGCCGCCTCGCAAGAAAACCTCAAAACACCCCCCGACCTAACACACCTCTCCTCCCTCCACACCATAACCACAATTCTGCACCTCCTCCAGCAAACCACCGGCACCATTCTCCTCCCCCTCGCGACCCCGAATCTCACTATTCGTCGGGAGATTGAGAAGTCCACAAACGCCACCATGGCGACCCTAGAATCGAAGCTTTCCAATATCCTCAACCTCACGCTTACTGCGACCCTAAACTGGGTCTCTAAATGCCTCGCCCAGCAGAAGAAGACTGATTTCCGGCCTCGAGACGATATGGACCTCATGGCCGCGAGTAGCGAGACACCTGCTTGCCAGGCAGTCAGCCAGTTCCTAACCCGCGTCGCCACACAATCCACATCCGCCCTCAGCGGCCGCAACCTCTCTCTGTTCCTCTCCGAGCTCGCGCTCGGTCTGCGCTCCCTCGTCCTCGCGCACCTGCTCAAATTCACCGTCTCCCAATTCGGCGGCATCACCGTCTCCAAAGACATGAACCGCTACGCGGAAATGGTGCGGCAGTGGCCGACGGGTGAGGATCTGGTACCAGGTGCTATGGATGTCCTGGTCGACGTGAGCCAGCTTTTCGTAGTGGGCCCGGAGGCGCTAAGGGAGAGACTGAGGGGCGCGAGTGCGAGTGATGCGGCGGAGTTGAAGCAGTTTATTATGAGGAGAGAGGATGTGGGGAGTGTGGGCGTGCAGGCTGTGCTGAATGCTATGTAGGGTAGTAATATTAGGGCTTGTAGGGGTTATAGAGGTTTGAGCGGGTCGCGGTAGGATAGGATACCATTGTGTTCATGTTCGTCCTAGTCCGAACCCTTCCAAAATCATCTCCACTTCCAACCTACCCCTTCCCTACACCCTCGCGCGGATAATCCACAACCCTATACGCCCCCGGCAACAGCTCGCAATTCAACACCACCCTCAACCCTCCCATCCCTTCCCCTTCCCCTTCCCCACTCCCATCCCTCCCCTCGCCTCCTCTCACAATAACCCGAATCCCCGGACACAGATCCAACAACATCTGCCTACACCGCCCACACGGCGGAATCACGCCCCGCCCCTCATTCCCCACGGCGACGATATGCGTCAGCTGGTCGGCCGCGCCGTGCGCAGCCGCGTTGCCGAGCGCGACGATCTCTGCGCACGGCCCGCCCGTGAAGTGGAACACGTTGACGCCCGTGAAGACGCGGCCGTCGGCGCTGAGGGCGGCGGCGGCGACGCTGTGCGTGGCGGAGATGGGGAGGGAGCGTATTGTGCTGGTTGCGGCGGTGACGAGGGTTTGGATTGGGGTTGAGGGGGAAGGAGGGTGGTGGGGCGGGGAGGTGTGCATTTTACTTTCTGGTTGGCGGGAGGGGTTTTGATGGTGATGATGATGGAGAAGAAGGGAGGCAGAATGGGTGCGGTGCTGAGATGCGTCACGGTGCCGTTTCCACGGTCCGGTCGGTCGGCTTTGGGAAGACTCGATGCGGTCTCCGTGTTGCGGGGAAATGGCGTGGTCTTGGGTGCAGACTGGCAGTACTTAGCATTTATGCTGGCAACAACACGCATCCCTAACTCTTTTCTTCATCGATGCTGGACATTAACGCCTCTCGTACAGGGGTAGGGGGGTTTTACGCGGGTGTAGACCTGGGACTGACCGAGCGTGCAAGGGGCACTAATTCCGACCTTCTGGCCAAGACAAGCTGTGTGGTATGAAGAGTGCAAGGGCAAAGTCCTCTCTGTGTGGTTCGTCGCCTCCGTTATTGGTTATATGAGTATTACCGAGAATGTCTTCTGTATACGCATCGATGACTCGAGCGGACTTCCCTGACGGGTTTAGTTCCCTTTCAACTACCTAGGTAAAACCCCTCTTCGTTAGAGGTTCCTCCGCACAAAGCTCTGCGCCAACATCACCGTGCTACGGTAACATCCATACTCTAGTTTTGCTTTTTCTACTCGCCGCGCGCCGTTTAAAGTTCACCTATGAAGGAGTCTCGGTAAAGAGTATACTTCAGCGCAGATCAACAGTGGATAGATCCGACGACATGCAACATGGCGCCACAAAAAGAGAAGGAACACGAACAGGAACACTGGCTCTCCCGCTACGCATCCAACTACCATGCATGGAGAACAGAGCAGCCTCTCCGGGGCGGCAAGAAAGTCTTCACCCGCCCGCTCGGCCTCGTCGAGTACTCTTTCGACACCGACGGCAGCGACTACGGCGGCCGCGCGGATATGAACGCCCTCTTTACCCTGGAAATTGCGCATTGTCTGCCTTCAAATGAAGCGTTCAGGCGAAGAATAGCGCTCGCGTGGGCGAGTCTGAGACTGCAGCACGTCATGCTGATGAGTCGCGTGCGCGAGGACGAAAAGAGCGGAACAAAGCGTTTCGTGGTCGATGTGCCGCGGAGTGCGGAAGAGGCTGTTGAGCAGGCGATGAGGGGCATTGTTTGGGTGGAGGATTTTGTGGATGGCGAGGTTGATGGCGTGGAGCTGCATCGGCATTGTTTGAATGTGGGAAGGGTCATTGAGCCCGAGACGTGCTTGTCGAAACTGCATGTCCTGCCGCTCGTTGAGCTCCCCGGTGGGAGGACCTTTGAGTTGAGGTTTCTGATCGTGATGGCGCATCAGATTTCTGATGGGCTGGCGGCGTATAATTGGTTTTCGCATTTTGTGCGCATTTTGAATATGTCGGCGCGCGAGATTGAGCGGGAGATTGAGTGGTTTAGGGAGGAGGGCAGGATGAGAGCTAGACTGCCGCCTGCGCAGGAGGATTTGTATCCGCGAATTGCGGGGAATAAAGCGAGGCAGAGATGGTTCTGGGCGATCATGAGGGTATTGAGGCATGTTAGGAAGACGCTTCCGCCTACCTTCACGAACCCCCTCCGCCGCTCAGAGAGACTACCGCAAGCGCCCGCCCTCCGTCCGACCTTCTCCAAGCTCTTCGACTACTCCGTGGCGAGCAAGCCCCCGATGAATTCGGGACATTGCTCCGTCGCGCTATCCAAAGCAGCGTCAACCCGCCTCATCGCCCTCTGCCGCTCCATCAACGCTAGCATAGGCGCAGGCTGCTTCGCCCTCGCCGGACTCAGCATGATGGAACTCCACGAATCGCTTCACCCCAACATCCCGCTCCCCCAACGCCACGCCTTCGCAGCCTCCTTCCCGCTGAATCCCCGCGCGTTCTTTGGCTTCAACACGCCGGCCGATAGCTGCATGTTAGCGTTCAGCGACGGGATCGTGATGCCGTTTTTAACATCTAGTCTGCCGGTTGAGGGACGGTTTAAGCTGATTGCGCGGCAGGCGAATCGGGGGTTGAGAGCGTATCAGAAGAGGCTGAAGGGAAGGGAGACGAGCGGCGGGCTGCTGGACCCGCATTCGCCAGGGCGTCTGCTCGCGAACGGGTATTTGTTCCAGCTCGAGCGCGTGGAGTCGAAACTGCCTCCTTCGCGCCGCACAGGAATCAACCCCCAGGGCGCGCTTCCCGCGAAAACATTCATGGCTGGGGCTACGTGCGGTGTTAGCTCCGTTGGGTCGACGGCGGCTTTTTTCAAGCCTGGGATGTATGATTTGGGTCAAGTTGGACGGGGAGAGGGGACGAAGGACTTCTCGGCGGATTTTCGCGGGCTGAAGATGGGTGTTAGGGCGAGGGAGAATGAGTTCCTGGTCGGCAGCTCGACGGATGCGGACGGGATTGTCGGGTTTGGAGTGAGCTATGATGCGAATGCGATTAGTGAGCAGGCGGCGGAGATGTGGGCGGAGAAGATTAGGTCGCTGCTGGAGGTAGAAGACAGGCCGAAGTTGTGAAGTGGTTCCTATCATGATGCAAGGTCTGTTAGGTTGCACCGCCTACGCCCGGGCGGTTACAAAAATCAAACCCTAGCACTGCGATACCTAAGCGAGAACAGCTTTTAGAGCTTGTGTTAGAATTAGTAGAAAATATAAGTTATAGACTTAGCTACTTTATAACGCTCGTGATAGCGAGGTGCAGTGTCCCTGCGCACACGCGTGCTCACGTGCCGAACGGTGAAGACGGAAGGAGCGCGGAAAGTTGGTAACAGACATCCTGGAGGCCTTCGTAGGACTATACAGCGGCAGTTAGGCACAAGAATAGCTAATAAGATCCGGGCAGGAGTGCTTTTCTAGAGTAACATCTTCGTCAATTCTCTAGATACGCGATGAGCGTAACAGACGTCCTGGCGGCCTTCGCTGGAGCGTACAATGGCAATTTTCGAGCATGGGTAATTGAATGCTAGCAGGGATGCTTTTCCAAAGGTAACATCTTCATTGTTGAAGACGTGCATAACCACTATCCTGGAGGCCGTCGAAGGAGTGTACTATGGCAGCTCGGTATAAGGATAGCTAACGAGATCTTAACGGGAATCCTTTTCCAGAGGTGGTATTGTTGTCGATTCTCTAGATATGCAACGTGCGTAACAAGCATCCTGGTGGCCTTCGAAGGATTTTCCAGAGGGGACCTCTTCGTCGATTCTCCAGATATACGACGTGCGTAACTGCTACCCTAGAGGCCTTCGTAGGTGCGTACAATAGAACGTATACTTAGCTGAGCATAGAAGTAGAAGTTTGTATCATTCCGTATTCTTATCTCGACTCCATCACCTGGGTCAACAGCTGCCCCAGAACATTCAAGCCTCCTTCATCAGTAGTCAATATCCGCTTCGGAATCTCAAACTCCACCTCTGGATCCTTCTTCAAGTCTCTTCCAAGTTCCACCTCAAGGAGCTGCAAACATCGTTAGTCTTTGCCCTCCAATGAATAAAGAAGGCACATACCGCGCTATAAGAGTGGTCCAGGAAGTCCTCCAGGTTGTATGATCGTTTGGTGAATTGCTCAGAAATGATCTTGGCTAGTGTTGCGACGTTCGGGTGGTAGTGCGACTGCAGCGACTCAAGCTCCCACACACTGCTCTCAATAGCGTTTGTGAGCAGCGGATCCTTCTCGTCCATGTCAAAGGGATCGTCCATGCCTTCTGCTTCTATCTCTTTCTTCAGCTCTGGATCCCGTGTTTCGCGGTGCATCATGAATGTGCATGCAGGGTGGCGCTTGAACATGTTGTATATCCAAGGTACGACCACAACAATGCCTGCCGGTGGCGCGTACAGGGCTAACCTCGAGAGACGCTTGATGAAACTCGCAACAAGGGCCGCCGGCAAATGTGTCGAAGACATGAAGGTATCTAGCAACCGGAAGAAACGTGACCTATGTTTGGAATACAGTAAGCCCTCATCCAGCAGGGAGTAAAGCTTCTGGTAGAAAGAGGGATAGTCGAGGTTCTTCTTGGAAATTAGATAGTACAACCCGGAAAGTGCCAGGAGAGATGTGGCTCCGCCAACGTCGTAGGAGTCGGTAAGAAAGTCCATGAGCATCTCGGGCTGCGGGAACCACGGGGCTATCTGATGCGAGAAGACGGCGAGAACAGACTTTCGCTGCTCTTTCGTGATGCCGGACCGCAGCGTTGCTAGCCAAGCTTCTTGTGCCCGGGACTTGTACGCGCTCAAAGAGGGCACTGGACTCTTCCCTTGAGCTTCTGTGTAGAGGTTCTGGATGTCCTCTTTCGAGGAGGGAACGATGTCCAAAGCGAGGAGCAGTGATAGGCTATTAGATGCTACAAGACGCTTCGCTGAGTCTTCTTGGCCTGGTTGGAGAATGGTTCTTCCAATGTTAGCATGCTACATATCAAGCTGTCGGAGGTGCTTACTTGATGGATTGAAATGTGGAGATGCGGATATCATCGAACTTCTTGAAGTATTTCTCCACAAACTCGTCCCGTGTCGGATCGTCCCCCGGTAGATGCAGCACAGTGTCCACTATCCGTGGAAGCGGACTCTTGTAAATGTTGAAGTCTTTTTGCTCTTTGGACTCCTCCTTGACAAGACGCATTAGGAGCGTCAATGCCACGGACTGCTTCGGTGGCTGCTCGCTGGGCAGGAAATGCTCCAAAAGCATTCTGATATATTCCCGGTATCTCTCCTTCAGCCACGACACAATAACCGCTTCCGACTCAGCCATGCCCTTGCTTTTCACCATGTCCCCGGTCGAGAGTAGTCTGGTGAAGATCCGACATAGTGCGACGGCGGCGAGGATTGAGGTCTCGGTATCAGCAGTCTGACTTTTCCCTAGCTGGAGCAGGGTCGCAATGTTGTTGTAGTGTCGGCGCGACTCAAGGATCTGCGATTCGAGGCGCAATATCTCGGCCTGGAGGTCGCCGTCGCCTTCTTCGCTAGAGGACTTTCGGCGGGTCTTCGATTTCGATTCGCGGCGGTCTGCTTTTCCAGATTCCCTTTTCCTCTTGACGCCAGCCACGGCAGCAGCCTTGGTACCCGACATCTCGATTTCGGACCGGTAAAAGGTGGTTTGCCGAATGTGTTGCTGTCGCGGTCGAGATGTTCAACGAGCGCCAGAAAATGTTCGGCGGGCCGAATTTTGGTTACTAAGCCGCCAAGACCGCGTCGATTCTGCACCCGAAGAGCTCCAACACCTCTACGGCACCCCAAACCTCTCCACTCTCATCTGCAGCAATGGCCTCTCGTCTCGCACGGAGCGCGGTCGGTAAGTGCAAGCCCATTGATGAACTGCTGATGCCATTGACCCGCTTGCTCACCCACGACAGGCGCCGCCCGTCTCCGCCCAACGCTCCCTCTCCGAACCTTCCCAGCCATCACGGCCCAGATCACGCCGGCCCGCTACAACTCCAATGTGCCGCAGGAAGACCCCAAGAAGAAGGCCCAGTCGCTGCTGGACGCGATACCCGTGCCCGGAAACAGCCCCATCACCAAGGCCGCCGTGCTCTCCGCCGGTGCGGGCTTGAGCGTAGCGGCTATCAGCAACGAGCTCTACGTCGTCAACGAGGAATCCATCGTCGCCCTCAGCTTGCTGACCATTTTCTGGGCCGTCGCTCACTACGCCGGCCCCGCCTGGTCCAGCTATGCGCAGCAGCAAATTAACAAGATTTCGGGCATCCTAAACGCTGCTCGGGCGGATCACACCCAAGCTGTGAAGGAACGCATCAGCAGCGTCCAGGAGCTTGGGGGTGTCATTGATGTCACCAAGACCCTGTTCGAGGTGTCAAAGGTGCGATATGCCGTCCCGAGAGATGGACCACATCTCCGCTGGGCCGACCGCGACTGACGATGCTTAGGAAACCGCCCAGCTCGAGGCGAAGGCCTTTGAGCTCGAGCAGAAGACCGCCATTGCTGCTGAGGCGAAATCCGTTCTTGAGTCGTGGGTGCGATATGAGGGGCAGGTGAAGCAGAGGCAGCAGCGCGAGCTCGCTGAGTCCGTCATTGCCAAGATTGAGAAGGAGCTCGAGAACCCGAGGGTCCTCAAGCAGATTCTCGACCAGAGCGTCGCGGACGTCGAGAGTAGGTGGCTACCCTATGATGATACTCTCGATACTGACAACGTCCAGGGATCGTTTCGCAAAAGGCATAAGCGACCAGAAAACGTTTCCTTATCCAGTCAATTAGGATCCGCCCCATGTTACATAAATCTGTGCAATAGTCAATCCGGTCCGATAGAGTACCCTCAGAGTCAATTTCATTTCGTTCGGTCAATGATCTTCATTACATGTGCGCTATCATTCCAGCTTTCCAGACTGCGAGTCTCCCACTCAAAGTCAAGCGGATTGCCAGGCCCGCAACGGAGCACTCGCTTCCTCTTTGCTCCTAACAATACACAGGCTTCACTCATACTGCCGGTGCGGATAAAGCTGCTCGCGGAACCTCGAACTTATGGGGTATTCCTCCTACATGCTCTCCTCCACCTAGAACAGGACAACACAGTCTGGCCACGCCCTTCAATCTTTCGGGGAGCGTCCGTTACGATAGCACCACAACCTAGAGAAGTCCTTCACACTAGGTTTCTTTCCTGCCAGCTTCTTCGCTAACATTTCCTCCATTCGCGTCATTCCAATGGGCTTGACACCGTTCTGCCTATCCTCCACAACCGCGCCATGCGACCCATTCCCGTTGTTCAGCAATGTGTCGAGAAAGCCCTCCCGAGCCTTCTCCTCGGCACCATCGCTGGTAAAGGATACCTCCATGTCCATGAAGTCATTGTGTTCGAGCACGCGCTTGTCTTCACCGAGCGGAAACATGGTGTTTAGGTAGTGTTGGTTTAGGAGGTGCCCTGTACCAGGTCGGATGAACACGCGGCCCATGTATCTATTCCTCATCCGCGCGAACGTGAGGACGCCCCAGCGTGCTACGAATTCTCCGGCGTCGGCGTAGTGCTCGATGTGGCGCACCGCGTTTTCACTGCTGCTAGCCCCCGTCGAGCGGCGCGGCGGGTTGTTGAAGTGGTTTGCGGCTGAGCCGAAGGTGTATATTTCGAGCTTGTGGATGGTGTCGTGAGGTACTGTTTTCTTGGTAAGCGTGCCGCCAGATATGTATGAAGAGCATGGGAGCGCTGACGTTCACTCAGCAACCAATCCAAGATCAATCCTCCTTCGATCCCCCCTTGGCTGTGCAGAATCAGGATAACCTTTTTGTTCTCCTCTTTGAGAAGCGAAGCCTTGATCGTAGAATACGATCTCCGGATATCGGCAGTCGCGTAGCAGAAATTGCGCTCGATGATGCATTGGATGAGGTCGAAGATAATGCCCAGCGTGCGGTTATGGACACCAGTGATGGGTCGCCGGAACGTCAAAGCGAGGCGATCGAGATTGGTTTGGAGCCAGTGGTGTCTGCATTGATTTAGCACGCGCTGCGGACTTGCGCAAAGAGGGACGCCTACCCGATCGACACGCCATTCAGATAAATCCAGCACTCCTCCGGGTGCTTCTTCGCATCCGCGCCCAAATTCACCCTGCTCTCCAACACATCCTGCGTCCCGTTCAATATCAAACACACCACCCACACCACCGCCATAACGACGGCGACATACGCCAAGGCCGTCCATATCGGTAGCACCACGAGAAGCGGAAGGCTAACCAAGAAGAGCGCCTCCCAAAGGATCAAGAACCCGTGCAGCACGAGCGCGACCACGTTAAGGAAAGAAAACGGATACAGTTCGTCGAGATCCCCGCATAGCCATTGGTCCCACGGATGCAGGATCCCGGGGATAGACCACGCGCACTTGAAGAACAGCAGTAAGTCGGCCCAGCACAGCATCCACGTGTTCCCTGTATACGGCACCGGCGCGCCGTCGGGGCTGCTGAGTTGCGAGGGGATGAGCGTTACGGACATGGTAGCGAGCAAGCGAATACGTGGTGTTACGTTGGAAGATGGAGACAGGAATGTGGGGACTATGTGGAGATATGATATGGCTGGGAGAGGTAATGCGTCATGAGGAATGTCTCAGAAGCGTTCAGGTACGGATGAGGGCATGCCTTATACATACGCCCCCTGTGAGTCGATCGAGAGAGCATGTGAGAAGGCAGTTTCAGCAAAGGAAGGACGGAAGCTGCCTTTCCTTCTTTCCTTCAGCCCTTCAGCCACTCTTGAAGAAGGCAATGGCTTGTTGGGGCTGAGAATAGACGGTAACGATCGCTGCGTCCTTTCATGTTTGCGCTGCCCAGCATGTGGTGGGGGCTTGGAGGGCCGTTTGCGGCTGTATGAATGAATGAAGCTTTCGCTACTAGCTAGGTCCATGAACCCTGACGCGCATCGAATGAAAGCGCGTAGTCTACCTCTGCAATTCCTATGAGGGGGAAACAGAGTGTAGGATCAGGGACTGTCAGGTTCCCAGGATGACGGTCGCCTTCTCGCGGCTGAGTCGCTGAGGTGTGGTTACACGGGCGGTTTGCCTTACCAGCCGTTCGGTTCCTATACGAAAACGGCGACATGGAGCGAAGCCCAGCGAATACCACAACCTTAACGGGCAAGCCACAACTTTTTTCTGGGAATAATGGGCGGTGTTTAGCTGAGGTGGTGGAGGGCTGAGACGGAACGAAACGGTGTGGATGTGGGCTTGGCCATGTGCTTGGATGGTCTTGGTAGCTTGGAGGTCAGATGCCCAGCTCGTTTCTGGACGGATCATGGGGGTGGGTTACACCAGCCTTGGCGAAAGGTGAACACCTGTTGCCCCATTTAACAAATCACCTCGTGCGTGCTGATGGAATTTTTAGGAGTCTGCGAGGCCGTCTATGTTCTTTTGAGACGTCGACTTCGGTCCTACGGAGCACGATGGACTAGCCTTACATTCCGGCCTGCTATAAGTGCTCGCAACGGCTTGGAAGGTTGGTGCAGTTCGTTCGGTATGTTCGATTCGTCGATATCTGCTTGTGCTATGTTGATGTAGTGGGTAGACACGCCCTGAATACCGACTTGCCCTTCCAGAACATCCAGGCATTAGCCAAGGGGAACGTCGCTCCAAGTGCGTCTCAAGTCTTGGAGAGCATGGAGATGGAGACCTGATTTCCAAGGCAGGCAATTTCACCCGGAGCTTCGGCGCATGGTTTGATCGAACGAAGGACTCCATCCCGAATGTCGTACTCCGGCATGGCTTTCAAATAGACATAACGGACTTCGAACCTCCCAAACATACGCAGAACCGACATCATTCGTAGATGGCCAGGTCGGGTATATATTAGCTCCCAGGAGGCTTGTCTTATCCCTAGCATCTCCGCATAAGAGTTTCTCCTACCGATCTTAGGGGAACAGTGGATTGGCGTGAGGTTCTTTGATGTTGTCTCCAGTTCCAGCCTTTGCGTCGCTCCAACATGAGCAGAGGAGCACATAGCGCCGTCAACGCGCCGATAAAGGTGAACGTGAACCCATCACCCACTTTGTCAATCAGGGGCTGAAGACCGGCAAGTGCGCCCGCAGCTAAGAAGCATCGCACAAAGTTACAACACGCCTGGGCCGCAGAAGCATTCTCCTGGTCCAAATCCATCAAAAGCGTGTTCAAAATCTGCTCAATATATTAGCCATGCTAAATATTTGTACCGGCCCGAGGGTCGATCACGGGATGGGTCGTACCGTGTTGCACGACTGGATTGAGCAACCGATGAAGAGTTGAAGTGCCAACGGAATAGCAAAATGCTGAAGTGGAAAGGCCCACTGTTAGCGCTATAACGCCCTCTAAGATAGGTTCGAGCTACCAACCGCGTGGAAACGCAAAGCCCACCCATATCCGATAATGCTGCTGACAGCAATTAACATAGGAAGGAAGAAGCTTCTCAATCGTGCCTCTTCGATGGGGAAGTTCAATAGTTCCTCTCCCACTCTTTTGTCCACACTGAGTCCCCGAGATTGTGCGGTGATGCGATAATCACGATCTAGTATTTTCCCTACATGGTTAATCGTCAGAAAGTGTATCCCACGAGGGCCTTGGTGTCAAACCTGCACAAAACGCCATGGTAGCGCAGCCGATACCGTAAGGAAGGTAAATAAGCCCGGCTTGGAGTTGGTTGAATCCATATATATCCATGAAGACTGTGGAGAGTGATGCCTGGAGACAGGTGTACGTCATATATTGAATGCCCAGAGCCACAAGGACAATCGCCGAATCTTTGCGAAGCAGCATCTTGAGACATGCCAACGGGTTGGGGAATTTCCATCGTCTCGATAGGCTAGGAGGCAACTCGGCTGTCTCCTCAGCAACGGGATGTCCAGCCATCTTCGATATGAACACTTTATGAATGCCATGTGCTGGAACACTACCGTTTCCGACGACTGACCGCGCCGTTTCTGGGAGACTTAGGCTAATGGCTGCCAAACAGAGACCGGACAGCAGAGCCAGGATCCAGAAGATCCATCGCCATCCGGCCCTGGCATTCATAGCTGCGCCTAGTACAGGCCCAACGCTCGGGGCGGTATTGGTGCTGAGACATAAGCTGTAAGTGCCGAGCAAAGGGCTGAGTGTTTAGAGATACATACCCAAACGCGACAATTCCGACAAAGGTCCCTCTTTCGGCAGGAGTAGCCAGATCAGCAACCACGCCGTATGTGATGGAAAAGGTCCCTGTGGTCCTTAGCAGGAGTCATCGCAGATGGGCGACAGAGGATTAAAGCGTAGTATCACATATCGTACCTGATATTCCTGCAGACTGAAGCATCCGAAGTGTGAACAGCGCTGCGAATGATGTTTGGCATGCGAGGCTAATATTGGATATCAGATAGACAGTCAAACAAATTAGGTAGACGGGCCGTCGTCCTGATCTATCGGCGAAATGGCCAATGAAGGTGGGAGCCACGGCGGCAACGAGTAGGTAGGATGTAACTGTCAGATTGATTCTCCCCACGGATGTGTGCAGTACCCTTGCAAGCGTGGGAATGGCTGGGAAAAATATAAAGCTGCTGAGGGTAGAGAACCATCCGGCTACGGCGACGAGGAAGACAACCCATCGCTTTTGCCATTTCGTAAAGACTGAATAGCGAGTCCTGTTCATCGCTGCTAGTTGTTTACAATCACATCCGTTTTGAGAAGCGCAGAAAGTTTGCTTTGCAGAATGCTGTTGAGGAATCAGGCCGCTTGCAGAAGCACAAACGTCAGCAGCGCGAATGATTGGCTGGTGCACTGTGCGCTGCCGCGTTGAACAAACCACTATAAGTGAAGGGCAAAAGGCTCGCTGGAACGATTTAAAGTGAACCTTCGTCCACCCAGCCTCAGAGTCAACACTTTTCTTAGATTCCTTCCTATACTACCTGAGAACTAGCACGATGCAACCAGATTCTCATCGAGCCTTCTCCCGTGAGCTTCGGGAGCTATTGGGTAACGAGCACGAGCAGAAGAGTAAGTGTAAACTCGCGGCCGTCCGCAAACAGATCAAAAATTCACACTCACTGACTTAAAGATGTTGAGTTTGCAAACGAGTTGAACAAGATCATTGAGAGCCCCCAAACGAATCCACTCCCATTCGATCCGTTGTCCCAGGACGACCAGCAGTCACCAAAGCCACCCTGCGCACAGTGGTGTCGCAACGCCATTGCGGAGCAACTTCAGAAGTTGAAGTTCGACGGTGTCAAAAAGCTGGGAGAGGAAGGATTGGTCGCAACACTTATGAATGGTACCGGGAAAACGGTCTACCTTTGGGCGGATTTCGAACGCTTTGGCCGTCAAGGTCAAAGCTGTGACAGCAAACACGACGAGGAGCCAGGAGAGTCGCATCACCTTAACGGGTGCGAATGTGAGCACAAGCAGACAACGGTCAAACTTTTGACCGCATCGATCGCCCTCCAGGCCGCGCTTTTGGGTTGGAGTGGCACCTTAGTGTGTCTCGTGGAGCCGGGAAGCGGTCAGTAGCGGGGAGGCGCCCTTCACATCGACGATAGAGATGGTTGCACGATCCAACTTCCTTTACCCGATGTGATTATATAGTGTTAGAGCCGTGCTCTTTTAGAAGGGCTCTCCATGTCCCGCCAAAGTAGGAGAGAGATATGAGGACGTAATGACGCATCACTCAACGATAAATACATCAATGTTGCGAGCGTAGTGGCGCTGATCACTCTGTGGACTCATCTCCTTCGCATACCATTGCATATTAGACGTGACTGGCTGTTGCGGTAGGGAACCTTGGAATTCTCCGGATCCAAGGGCTCGCCGTACAAGTAAGATTAGCTGGCCTATTGTACGCACCCGCGAAGGCCTCCAGGGTAGATGTTGCGCACGTCGTTCTATCCGGAGAATTCCACACCGTGAGAGCCTGGTATCGAGTTGCCACCGTTGCTCTTGAGTGCCGTCAGAATTCGAGGCCTCTGGAAACCGAGACATAAATCACCCATGTTCGACATGTTACGGTGTGCCTGCCGCCTAAAAGAGGTTGAGAAGCACAAAATAACTTAGCCTCCAATCTCAACGCGAAGTCCCTGTGTGATAATACTCTTAGTCATCCGTGGACTGGCGATTCTGTCCTTCCGGAGTGAAGCGGGGCTTCTCATAACTCAACCTCCTATCAACACCACAAAACTCGAAAGGAAAGCCGACGCGATGGCCGCCCGATTGAAATACTAAGGCCAGAACGAAACACTACCACACTAGGATGATCCAAAACGACTCACACGACCCCATGCCAGAACCATCAGAGACCAGGCCGTTGCTGCAAGGCCGTATCCATGAGCAGGCCGTCAAGTTCCAAGGTCCTATTCGACGATTTACCTCCACAATTGCAGCGACGCCCCGCCCAACGGTACTTGCATTTGTTCTCTTTGCGACGATCAACTTCTCAACACAGGTCTTGGAAGTGCCCCAGATCCGGTTGTTCGAATCTACGATATGCGAAAGATTCTACCGTATGGAAGAGGCACTGGCCTTCGATAGCATCGACGAAACAATGTGTAAAGTGCCGCAAGTTCAAGCGCGCCTTGCAACCATTGTAGGCTGGAAGGCGGCGCTCGATGCACTTCCTGGTCTGGTTGGCGCACTTCCTTACGGCTCACTTTCAAACTCACGTGGACGAAGACTCGTATTGTGGTTACCTTCACTCGGGTACATTCTCCAGCTGATGTGGATCGTACTGGTCTGCAAATTCAGCCACATCTTCCCGACAGAGACAGTCTTGGTATCGAGTGGTTTTCTCCTTATCGGAGGCGGTCAACGAGTTTTCGAGTCTATGATACAGACGATCATAGCAGAAACTTCGAGCCAGGATTGTTGGACAAGGTACATGTCCTTTCTCGGCGCTATACTCCACATCGGAAAGCTATCAGTACCTCGTATCACTGCAGGACTCATGGGAAGGAGCCTTTGGGCGCCCTTCTGCATCGCCTCCCTTTTGGTATCTAGCAGCGCCTTTCTCTCCATGTGGGTGCCCGATCGCCGATCGTCGACGGAAAGACACAACCATAACCTCTCTAGCCCTAGAGACCAATGCACAGCAAACGAGACGTCGAATGTCATTTCAGGAAATGATGCACACATGGTCTCATCGGCAGGTTCCAGAGCTGGGCCGTCCAACACAGCCTTTCGCCAAATCCTGCGGCTCATACAAAATGGCCTATCAGAAATCCGTCTCCTCCTTCGATCAAAAAGCCTGCGATTTTGTTTTTCAGCATTTCTTCTCAAGCGTATTGGCTTTAAGAGTGAAACGTTTATGTTTCAATACGTATCAGAAAAATTCCACTGGAGCCTCAGGATGACTACATGGTTGACGGTCACAAACGCTATGGGCGCCGTTTTTGTTACCTTGATCGTGCTTCCTGTTGCGGTCTCCATCGGTGCTAGTCACGGATTTCGCAGTGACCGGGTAGAGCTCTTAGCAGTCCGAACATCACTCTTGATCTTGACGTCTTCTTTCTTTGCGGCCTGGAGGTCAAGCGACGATCGAGGCTTCTTGGCAGGTTCGACCACACACGTCTTCTTTGTTGATCATACCACTAAATATCCAACAGCAATCTTCGGGATTGGGCTTGGCGAGGCCCTGGAGCCTGCATTGCAGGGCTACATGACGTACTCGACCGAGCCACACCTTTATGCGCGAATGTTTGCGATGATGGCCGTATGCAACACTTCGGCGGAGCTCATTGGGGGTCCGTGGAATGCGTATCTGATGAACACCGTCAGCGACTCAGGCGCTCCGCCCAATGCCCTGTGTTTTCTTTCCTCAGGGGTGAGGCAGTGCTGCTCTATTCCTTGATCCACGTCTATTTACTGACCGCCGCAGATTTTATTTGCATTAATCATGTTGCTGTCGATTGCACTCCGAGCGTAGAAGTTCTTTTGGAGACGCTCATGGAAACGATGAGCGAGTTCGTTCACCGGCCGTCCGAAACTGGGGGCTTGTTGTCGATGTATATTTCAATGTTAAATCTAAGTGCGGCGTGTGAATTCGCAACGACTCTGCCTATTTCCTCGTGATGACGATGGAACGCGTCTCAAGGCTTGTCCTGCACAATGCGTCCGCCGATGCGTTTGGATTCTCAAATGAAGTATGAGGCGGACATGCTGTACTTCGTCAGTGTTCAGTCATGCGTGGCGGCTGCCTGCCTTCTTGGACATACCGACTGCTTCCGTGTCTTCAGAGTCCCATGTTATGAAGAGAATCATTTCGTCATCTTGTTGTTCCGATAACCAAAACCACTTTTGATTTTGTTGCCGGATATGGTTACTACTTCACGTGACCTGGTCATGTATATATATAGCCATATTTCTCGTATTCTCAATCAATCAACTCATGTCTCAATACTCTGCAATTCATCCAATAGATTTGAATGGTACTTCAGCTGATACCCCTCTTCCCAGTGGTCATGATGCACTTTGTCAACTGCTACCAAATCCTGCTTTCGGACGCTTCGAACATCGCATAAGCAGAGAGGCGCTCGCTCGATTTTCGGTACAAGGGGCTGCCATGTGCTAACTTTTCATTAGAGAGCATTCCTCACATCCGATTTCTGAAGTGAACTGACTTGACGATTCGGATTCTCCACTCATCGGAATTATACTTCGTCAACTCCGATGGCAACAGCTGCCTCTTTACCCTAGCTAGCCCACCATCTCGCGAATAATCTAGTCTCTGTATTAGCCTCGGGTTCATTTACTAGGCAGGGGCTTCCGACCCGAATGTGCAACGTTTGCTGGGCCGATGGGTGTAAAGCGAAAGTCTTTTGGGTCGATGCTGGTGTAGCCGGCGCCCTCCTGACGAATCTGTCTCACGCATGTGCACTTAGCTACGTCACACGTCTCGAGATTAGGTAGTTACGACTTACCCTCCAGTCGAAAAAGATCACACAATCTGCGTGCAGCTCTTTCCTTAGGAAAGAAATGACTCTTTCAGTGTACGCTTCCACTTCCGCTGGCTCTGGGGGACGAGGAGCATCGGAGCGAGTGCGAACATGTTGAAATCCGTGAATGAACTTGAATCCAGAAGTGTCCAAATCGAAGTTATGCTCTCGGCCTCGAGCATCTTCCAACCGGATTCCGAAGTGTATCATCGACTCACAGTTCGTTGTCTTCGTTCCTGGTGGCACAGGTATGAATAAACTATACGGCTTCTCAACTTCATAAAGAGGAATGTCGGAAAGAAAAGCAAGATCGACTAGCATCTTCGTAGATACGACAAACAATGTTTCCGTGGATGGGGAGGCGTAGATGAGTGAATCTACCCTGTGAGGTATGATGTGATAACAAACTGTAGGCGTGGGGCGCACAGAGTGTATTAGCAAACGAATTGTGGTTGCGCTGCAGGCTCAGGCTGACACGACACGCGATCTGCGGTCTCAGGCGAGGCTGACCCTGTCTTAGGCGGCCCCTGTCTTAGGCGGCTCACGCGAAACCCTTCCTAGCTCTTAGGTCACTTCAGCTTCACTGGCCTATTCACGACACTCTTATCCTGTCTTCATTGGATTGGAGAGACCATGAATTTTCCTGTTCGTGTAACCTCAAGGAACGAAGTCGCGACGATCCCTGGGTAGCTGACGCGTGCGCAGTTCGGCCGACGTCGCAAAAAGAAGTTCGACTTCTCTACTCTCGAGCAAGCTCTCGCGGGGCTACATGGTAAGCAGCGCCCCCAGTTCGATGGAGAGGACGCTTTCGGGCCGCTCGGCTTGAATACAATTCACTGTCCATCGGAACCGTTGCTAGAGTTCATTTTCATCCAGATCTTCGACGCAGATCCGTAGTGTCTTACATATAGAGACTTTGCACATGGTGTATAGGCATGAGTTGACAGTGTATTGCTACCTAAGTTGTCTGCCGTTGTTGCTCTACCTCCTCTCCAGATCCAAGAGGTCTTGGATCCAGTCCTCTTTCCACTCGCTGATGCCCTCAATAGCCTTCTTCTCCTTAGTGTTGTAGCTCTTGTCCTTCTGCGTTTTCTAAAGCAGACCTTTAACAAACTCTTTCTGTTTAAGGATGTAGTTAGTGTCGCTTAGAGTGTTTCTCTTCTCTGCTTTACGTTAGTTGATGCTTTAGAACGGAGGGGTATCTATACTAGCTCGCTTCTCTAGGATCTTAAGGTGCTACTTAAGGAACTGTAATGCCCTTGTAGTGTCGTGCTTAATAGAGCTAGGCTTGTAATTCTTGCTAGCTCCCCTTCGCCTCCTATTGTAGAGCTTATTAAATATAGCTACGTCTATACCTCGTAAGCTCGCCTAGGAGTTCTGTGTTGTCTAATAGAAAGAGTTCGCTAGTCCTTTAACGGAGAGAAGAATTAGAGGTGCTATCGTTCGTGTGTAGTGTAAGCTGCTTAATTAAATATTGTGCAAGATGTGGTAGACTAGAAGCGCAGGCAAGAGACTCTGTTTTATACCTGTAGGCCTCGCGCGCAGCGTTTATAGCTGTCTACCCTTACTGCCCTTTTGCTAGTGTTGTTTGCGCCCTTTTTAATAACTATCGTCGTTGTTGAGGAGCTTTCTAGGGCTCCTTTTTCGTTAGCAGCTTCGTGCTATGGTTCGTAGCGCCGTGGTGGGCTACGCCCTCGTCATCCGCGCCCGAACCGTTCTTTTCTGTCGACTTATGCCACCTGCCCGTGGTTCTGTGATACCCTGTTCCCTTCTCTTAATTTTGGCGTCTTTTGAGCCCTTTTGTGCGTAGGCGTAGTCAGCATAACCTCTATAGGTTGGTGACTTAAAACGAGAGAAATCAATCAATCAATCAATCATTTTCATCCATGGACTGGGCGGAGGCTCGAGAAAGACGTGGAGCTACAGTTCCCGCCTTGAACACTTTTGGCCGAAAGAATGGCTTTCAAAGGACATAGCCTTCCAAAATGTCCGAATCCACGCCTTTGGATACAAATCTACTTGGCACGACATGAGAGGGAGCATTCTGAATATTTGCGATATTGCCGAATCCTTACTCGGCGCCATTCACAACTCTCCGACCATTCGCAAAGCCAAAGATACCAAGATCGTCCTCATAGCGCACAGTATGGGAGGTCTCGTAGCCAAGAAGGTGGGTTCGATGTTGTATTCTCACATACTTCGGTACATACGTACCCGTACTTATACTAAAGCCCTCCAGGCATATATCGAAGCCCGGGTGAATCCCAATTACAACGACCTTGCGACGCGCATCCACAGCATGTACTTCCTCGCTACGCCCCACCAAGGCTCCGATATGGCTAAGCTCCTGGATACTTTAGTGGCCCTGTCGCCCTTCCACGGTGATAAGCCATTTGTCAAAGACTTGCGGCCGACGTCACAGGCTATCCAGGCCATCAACCACGACTTCCCCAAGCACTCACAGCACTTGCTCCTCTACTCGTTCTACGAAACTAGGCATACATGGGTGGGGTCATCTCAGATCATTGTTAGCCACCACTCGGCAACCTTAGGGTACGACAATGAGAAGAGAGCGCCCCTTCACAAAGATCATAGAGGAGTGTGCAAATTTCAGAAGCCGAGTGATCCAGATTTCATAACCCTACGGAATTCTCTTAGTCGAACCGTCGTCGATTGTCAAAGAAGGTGAGACTCTGGCCCTTGATATTCTCACTCTGCTAACGTCTCTCAGTCTCTATACAGGAGCACCCTGTCCACGTCGAACAACTCAGCGCATTGAGAGACTTCCTCGGTATACAGGACAAGCCTGAAGACGATATGGTGGATTTCGAAGAGCTTTGTCTGGCTGGTTCATGCTCATGGTACACATCCAAAGAATCATTTCGAGAATGGCGAGACGGTCCCCTCCGAAGCGCTTCGCCCACTTCAAGCCCCGGGGGCTCTCTACGCGGCACATCTCCAGGCTCGAATTCGCGAGACTCCGCCTCCTTTAAGGTCATATGGCTCCATGCAAAGCCTGGCGCCGGAAAGTCAGTCCTTACAAGCCAAGTGATAGACCACCTGGAGAACCTCAACCTTGACTGCAGCTACTACTTCTTCTCTGGAGGCGACCGTACTAAATCGACTGCCAGCATGCTCCTTCGTTCCATCGCTTATCAGATGGCCCTCCTCAGTCCTGTCGTTCGGCAAAGGCTCCTCGATATGCGGAACGAGGGTACGACTTTCGACAAAGATAACGAGAAACTCATATGGCGCAAGGTGTTCCTTCTCCGTTGTCGGTTTGATCAGCCTCAATACTGGGTCATCGATGCTTTGGACGAATGTTACAACTACAACTCTCTTTTGCCCATGCTGATAAAATTGGAGTCGTCAATCGCGCTGCGTGTTTTAATCACCAGCCGCCAGTCTCCACAGCTCAAAGACAAACTGTCGCTGTTGGACCGTTACCTTTACGAAGATCAGATATCTGCCGAAGATACCCTGCCCAGTATCAGACGTTATGTGGAGCATGGCCCCAAGTCACATGCGCTGAGACGTCAAAGCGACGAAGCCCGGCAAGATGTCGTCGAGAAAATATTGAAAAAGTCAGACGGCTGTTTCCTGTGGGTCGATTTAGTTCTGAGTGAGCTGGATGCCTATGGCGTCACGACCGAAGCTGTTACTCGGATCTTAGAAGAAGTACCACCAGGAATGGACGATCTGTATTCCAGAACACTGGAAAGGTTATCCGAGCAGGATCACCCAGACGGAAAGCGCATATCAAAAGCTATTCTAGATTGGGTAGTTTGCGCTGTACGTCCATTGACGGTGGCCGAACTGACAAATGCGCTCAAGTTGGATCTTGACGTGACTATGTTCGAACAGGGAATCCGATCCTCTTGCGGCAACTTGGTCGACATTGACAAGTCAAAAAGAGGAAGCACAGTTCAACTTGTGCACCAAACGGCAAGGGACTTCCTGTTAAAGGCTGATCATCCGCCCGAAATGACGATAACAGCGGCTGATGCTCATCGTCGCATCGCCCGTACCTGTCTGCTTTTTCTAAGAAGCTCCCGGATACGTCCAGTCAGAACCAAAGGCGCATCAGCGGACAATAGCTCACGGATCTCTCGCACAATCGACCAATCCCCATTTGCGCCGTACGCGTTCACTTTCTTTAGTGCACATGTTCGGAGGAGCCCTTCAGACGATGACTCCCTCATTGACGAGATATATCACTTCCTGTCAACCAATGGCCTCAGCTGGATTGAACACGTCGCACATACTGGAAGATTGGATGCGCTTGTCCAAGCCTCGCAGGACCTCAATGGATATTTGCAGGCTCGAGCTAAGCATAAACCATCCCTAGACCAGAAATCCCAGCACATCCAAAAATGGTCCGTAGACCTTGTCCGTCTCGTGGCAAAGTTTGGAAAGCATCTTGTGCGCTGCCCGTCCGCCATCTATGGCTTGATACCCCCACTAGCCCCCGGCGACAGTGCGATTGCTAGCTATAGGGATTCACGAGGCATATATGTTGTTGGGCTCTCTAACAATATATGGGATGTCCGTCTCTGTGGTATATCCTATCATGGGAAAGCCGCTACGGCAATAGCTTGCGGGGACTTCAGCTTTGCTGTTGGCCTGCAGAACGGAGCCGTGTATCTTTACGATCATCAGACTTTCCAAGAGCTGCACATTTTCCAACACGAGGAAGCGGTAAAGGTCCTCAAGTACAACTCTTCGGGCGACCTCATGGACCGTGATTTCGTTATTTGTGGTATGGACGACGGCACGATAGCACTCTACGACACGATCAAGGGTCGGAGATTACGGGATCTCTACCATCACGACTCTAGACATTGGATTTCGGATATCGCTTGGAACTCGACTTGCAACCTAGTAGCCAGCGTGGATGGGTCCAACACATTCTTCGTAAAGCATCTGTTTCAGCATGGTGATCTTTGGGAAGCCGATGAGCACATCCTCAATGAGCGTATTGATTGCCCCATCAAGCAGATTCTCTTCAGTGATGGGGGGCTAAATTTGCTCGTGGTAACCACCGAGAATATCCTAGCGTATCATCTTCCTACGAAGAAGATGGTGGTCTCGGCAGATATGAGGTCATCCAAGAGGTGGATCAACCACCCGTGCGACCCCACTCGACTGATCGCCATAGATTCCATGTCGCTTCAGATACATGATTGGTCGAGCCTTGAGATCACTGCCAGCTGGGAAAGTAATGAGCGACCAGAAGTGCCCATGGTTCAGGAGGTGATGAGCACCGCGGACAAGAAACTTTTGATCCTCAAGCTGGTAGATGGATGCATCAAGTCCGTCGACCTCTCTCTTGTTGATGACGAGAGTCCTCGTTCAGAAGATGGAGAAGGTTTCACACTCAATAAGTGCAAGACTATTACATCATCGAGCGAGCATGTTATCGGATGCTTGGGGTCAAGGCTTGTCTTTCTCACAAAAGATCTTTGGGTGTGTTCGACAGCTACGGTTGGGTCTTACAGTCTCACCAGGCACATGTTTATCCCCGACGAGTGGATCAACACTAGCAGTCGGTTGCTACTTCGACTGAACACAAAGGAGGATTTGGTTATGGTCCGAAGAGATGAAATTGCTGTGATAAAAAGAGGCCTTTCCCACCGAGCAGCTGTGCGCGAAAGGATTGGACGGGTACAGTCGATAACTTTCTGAGGCAGAAAACAACTTCCCGGTTCAGACGAACGTGTCATGGCGTGCTTAATGGCCGGGATTGGTCTTCAGCCAGCCTTCGTATCCATCTGGAAACAGCCGTTTGGCCTCGTCAATGAACCTGGGGACCTCTTTCAGCACCGGACTCGAACGCAATGTTCGCAGACTTACAGCTTTCGAAACTTGGGATCCCCTGGGAACAACGCGGAGTCATGGAGTTCAGATCGCCTTGTCTTCTATTAGGTACTTCAGTCTGTTGGGTTTTCAAAGGATGTCTTACAAAATGTACAAAGCGTTTCGAGAATCAAAGTCTTCCGCCGGGGAGGCAGCGGGATAATGCCTGAGATAGGCACTCTGCCAAGCCCGCCCGAATTTGTATCGAGTTCTTGCTCGCATGGTTCTCAGGTCGTCTGTGAAGAAGTTAAAGCATGCCTAACGCGGAACGTGCGGAAGAGTCATACATTCATTATGACCCCAAAAGCAACATGCATCGAAAACGATGGGCTCATTCGTCACAACGTCGGTGGAAGTATTTCCCTGCCACATATCGCCGTGGATAAGGCATGGCTTGATATGCCTACCACCAGTCTCCATCGGTCGCAGCAGTCGTGGGATGACCTTTTGGAAAAGAGGCCCAATCAAGTCCTTCATCTCTTTCGGCTGTTCTCCTTGTGCCTCTTCCTCCAGCTCAAGCATCCGTCTCAAGCCTTGTACGAAGAAAGCTTCCCACGTATCTGTCCACCTATTGTCCTGTGCCAAACTGCCGTTATGTGTTGTGACATGAAAGCCGAACCGTGGCGTGGGAGACTGCTCGTGTTCGGCTTTCATGTCCATATGTAGCTCTGCGCTCTTGAGATGCATCGCGGAGAGTTTGAGTGTAAAGCGCTCCATATCAGGAACTTCTTGGTCCATCTCGTGAAAGTCCTGCAAGAAGAAGTGAAGGTCCGGATCGGAGGTGAAGGTACCCCAGCCTACGGGGCCCGGTGCGAAATCGGATATGACCATGTTAATGGCTCTGGAGGACTCGTGTTCGCCCCTCATCATGCTCAAGCCATTGGGGCCGGTAGCTACCTACAGGAGAAATAAATATTTTAGCAGATGACGTTTTAGATGTCGCAAACACGGTGAAAATCTCACCGTCAAAAAGTATGACTTCGCCGTCCCGTCGGCGAGCTGGACGTCAATGCGGGCGAACCGCGTCCAAAGGCTCGCCCCATGCCCCTTCGTGCCCACGACTTTGCAGCCTTGCGGCAATTCTGTTTCAGTCAGGCAAGGCTCTAGTCGTAGCTAGACAGGTCACTGTATGGCAAGAAACTTACGTTGAAGAACAGCTTCATCGACTTCGATTTCGGACGCGATGGATTCAGGCTTTATGTCCGGCGCAATTTCGAAGAGGTTGGACATGATTGCAGCCGTAGCTCGGTGGCTTTAAGGCGATAGCCGTCTATCGGAGGGTGAGTTGGGCTTGGCTTGAACTCATTGAATTGACCTGGCTCTGAGAGCTATGCAATTATTCCACAAATTCTTTCCTGCAGGGCAGATGAAGGAAAACCACGCGAAGTGATGAAAAACCTCCCTCTTTTTGCCTTTGTTCTTCAAATATGAAACTGCATTATGTAAGGAGCGGGTCGTTGGACACAAAGCCGTGAGGATGCATGTAGCTAAGGTAGTTTGAGCATTCGATAGATAACGTTCCCATTATTTACGGCGCTAGTGACTAAGCATCCCCCTGGTCGCCTCATTATTCGCGGAAGCCGCCATACGGCACCTGGCAAGAGGACTAGAGCTGTATTATTTACTGTTAAGGATTACGTGTTAATTACGTAATTGCGCTAGCCTAGTATATATACCTAGAGCTTTTAGCTCTCATATAATTTACAATGTTATTCTCTACTTCGTTACTTTAGCAATTATCTCTCCTGCACGCTCCCTTTCGCTGTCTTGTATTCACAGCTACTATTCGCTGTCTTCTACAATGCAGCTTCTGGGACGCGTCGATTAACAGTCGTTCTCTTTTAGCCACCGATATGTCGATTTCCGCATCACCAACACTCAGAGCCAGCATGCCTCGTCCCGATGCGAGGTCGACAACGCGTCATGAAGCGGAGAATCTGGATCAGATCATACGGACTTCACCTGCCACTCGACATTACAAATCTCTTCCTCAGAGCCTCACTTTGCGCGGGCTTCTCTGTGGTATTGTTCTTGGGATCCCGCTCTGCACTTCCAGCATGTATTTCGGGTTGCAAACCGGGTGGTCCATGGCGACGACAATGCAAGCCGCGTTACTAGGATTCGGCGCCCACAAGACTTTCACAAAGCAACTGTCTTTCCCATTCAGCCCAGAAGAAAACGTTTTGATCCAGACCGTTGCTAGCGCAGCCGCCTCAATACCGATTGCAGCTGGTTTCATCAGCGTCATCCCTTCCATACAGTTTCTCACCGAACCGCAAGAACGTGGACCCTTGCAATTGAACGGGCTGAAATTCCTGACTTGGTCGCTCGGGATATGTTTCTTTGGTCCGCTGTTCGCTATGTTATTTCGAGTCCACTTCATTGTGAAGCAACAGCTTCCTTATCTGACCGGCACAGCTACAGCTTCTCTCATTGATGTCTTACATGGTAGACAGAAAACCAATGACGAGGCGGATGATCTCGACCAGCAGCGAAGACGCAATCGAGACCACACCGCTCAATGGAAAGGATCTATCCACGAACAAGGACATCCGCGGTCTTCTGTTATCACTCGCCTTTTCTGGCATCTTTGTATCTCTACACACTTCAGTTCGTAGGCTCGTTTTCCCAATCACTTACCATTCTGCAGACTTTGTTAAGCTACTTTGTCCCAATACTACGGAACGTACCGATCTTCGGTACGATTGCTGCGAACCAATGGCTATGGACTATAAACATATCTCCAGCCTATATTGGCCAAGGCATCATCATGGGCCCTACTATTACACTTCATATGCTATTTGGATGCCCCGTCGGGCGGGGAATACTATCACCTTCGGCCGCATCCACGGGGTGGGCGCCAGGCAAGGTACGGGATTGGGAAACCGGTTCCCGGGGCTGGATTACTTGGATCAGCCTTGCCGTGTTGTTAGCGGACACAGGGGTTTCTTTTATATGGTTCATCGTTCAGCCGGCCGTCAAACATTACCATTTGTCCAAATGGGGTTTGGGGGTGTTCATGCACCCGCTGCAAGGTGCACACGAGATCGAGCCCAATTACGCCCCGCTCATGGACTCTGGCAGTGGTTCTTCAGACGGATTCCATTCGCCATTTGGTCCTGCCCCAAGACTATCGACGAATGATGATGGAAGTCTCCAAGTTCCAGTGAGACAGCGGTTTCGCCTTCGAACACGAACCATTGTTATAGGGTTGATCGCAGCAATTGCGTTATCTATCCTCACAACTGAATACGCGTTCGACGGTCTTCCTTCAAAGGTGTCTATTCTAACAGCAACCTTGGTATCGATAATTTTGAGCATCCTAGCCATGAAAGCACTCGGCGAAACTGATGTCAACCCTGTCTCCGGGATCGGTATGCCAACGATCCCCCAACCTCAGCCTCTATTACGCTAATAGATTTCAATTACTTAGGAAAGGTTGCACAGTACCTTTTCGCACTGATTCCGTTCCATACTGCTAGTAGCCCGGTTCTATTGAACCTCATAGCCGGCGCCGTTGCAGAAGCTGGCGCGCAGCAAGCAGGAGAGATCATGCACGACCTCGAGACGGGCTACCTCTTGAATGCGAATCCATACGCTCAGTTCATTGGTATGACAATTGGGTCTGTCGTTGGTGCGGTTACATCAACTGTTGCATACCTGCTTTATTCGGCCAACTACAAGATCCCAGGCGATCTGTTCGAGGTGCCGACAGCATTCATATGGATATACGCAGCCAGGTTATTCAATGGTGGAACCTTGCCTGATCGGGTCCCTCAGTTCGGGGTGGGTCTAGGCGCGGCTTTTGTTCTGACCTCTATCCTGAGATTATGGATCGTCAATGAGCGGATTCGGCAATGCCTTCCAAGCGGGGTTGCGTTTGCGATGGGTAGAGCATCACTTCGTCCTTTACACTAGGCAGCTAGCTTACACACTCCAGGCATGTACAACGCTCCCAACTTTACTCTCGCCCGGGTACTGGGTGGGGTCCTATTCTGGTATTGGACCAAAGTTAAAGATAGAATGCCATCCACCATCATCATAATAGCCAGTGGTTTAATTCTCGGCGAAGGGCTAGCTAGTTTTGTGACACTTGGCTTCCAGTCGTTGGGCCTGCGCCATCTATGACCTTTTATTAGAGGCCTACTCCTGCTTCCGGTCGCCTTAGCTCGAATATGATTCGAATTTACGCATTGATGCGAAGTGTTTCTAGCGATCTAATTCCACGCTCAAGTCTCATCTAAGGCCCCTTCGCTACTAGGACTATCACTCGTAATCGACTTGACTCCGCCATGTTCAAGCAGCGTGCTGGCAGATTTCTAATAAGGCGCGTAACATCTAGCTAATGCCCGCTTTTCCGTATGGCCTCCTTTGGGTTTTCTCTATCCTCATCTCCTGCTTCCCTTCTACTACCTAGGTAGGTACCTTGTGGTCCCCGGCCGAACGATTTAGAGCCCATGCAGAGTTGAACAGTACGCTATTTCTGAAGAGAATATGAGATTATTTGCTAACGTACCATGCGGGCAATCGGATCGGCCATGAGTTCGCTGCCCAGCGTGAGAAGGACGAGCAATCCGGGAAGACCGATCCAGCTCGTGGTGGATATACTAACAAAACCCGGACCCCTCGAATCCGCTTTCCAAACCCGGTACTTACGGGTATAGCAGTGGTGGCCCAATAAGAAACAATGCTTCCCGTGGAGACACGCGTCCATACCGTCCTGGTCCCGGAAGATTTCACCCATACTCGAAACCAAAAGCCACTCGTGGAAGGCTCTTGGGCCACAGCTCGCTTCCGGTAGAGTCTCACTAAACCGAAAGGTTTTTTGGCATTCGTCCCCTTGACCCCAATTAACAATGATTTCACCAGGACAAACCCCAGCTCGGTGGCCAGATTCAGGAGCTCATCCTCAACTCCAAGACGCCCTGCCCGGCTTTCACCGCCTCGGGTACCTACAACGGACCCTTGGATCCACATTCCCTTCCTGGCCCCCTTATGATTTCTAACACATCCACAGGTACATGCATTGACCCAGGCTGCCTAAACGTTCACAATACCAAAAAGCTAGCCCTTTGCAAAGGGTTACTCTTCAAGAATAAGTGCGCCGAGCTTTCCTTCTGTCGACTCTCTCATCAGTCTACCCGGAAAACACACCTCACTGTGTTTATTTCCTTCAAGAGCGACGCACCAAAACCCCGTGCAAGTTTGTTCATGCACATGTCGTCCCCGAGGCGCTGGTCTGTGACGCATTTGGATGATTCGGATTCTGCCAGGACGGCGACCGCTGCAGGAAACTTCACGTCTTTGAATGTCCAGGTTACGCAAACGAGGGCATCTGCGCCGCTGGCGATGAATGCTATCTGAAACATGTCCGTCAAGCTGCTCGAGAAGCCAGCTCCCTTATCGAAAACAATGACGGTTCTACCAACAGCCAGGAGATTCTGGATGACACCGTGGAGGACTTCCCCAAGGATAATGACGACATACCGGACTCTGCAGTATGGGGAGCGTAGGTAGTGCTTTTTCCTTTTCTCATGAGTCTGGCATTTCCTGAGATGGATATACCCTAGGAATCGGCGTCTTGTACTTTGGAAAAATCTGACAAATGAACTCCATCCATGGTGCATTTTGTGACGCTGTGGTAATAGGGCTCGGACTTAACTGTCCTTGTACGCTCCTATGGAGGCCTCCTGGGTGCTTGTTACCCGCCTTCGTGAGAGGGAGGCCTCGATGTGGGATTGTAGACTTGGTTGAGCTCGTCATTATAGTGTTTATACCTAAGTGCCCTTGCACACTCCTACGATGGCCTCCAGGATGTCTGTTACGTGCCGTTATATACAAAGAATCCAACACCGTGAGAGGAGATCTCGGTGATGAGAATGTGCATTTTGTGACGCTATGGGAATAGTGGTTGTACCTAACTACCTTTGTACGCACCTGCGAAGGCCTCCTGGATGCCTGTTATACTCGACGTCATATGCGAAGGTTCCCACACTGCGAGATGGAGGTCTGGTGATAGTGCCTATACTGGTATGACATTGTACACTCCTGCGAAGGCCTCCTGGATGCCTGTTACGCCCGCCGTTCTATGTGAAGAATCCAAGCCGTGAGAGGGAGGCCTCAATGTTAAGAAATGCATCGCTCAGTTCCCTGTTTGATCCCTTGCCGGGTTGGTGGCGCGGTGGTCGTAGTGCCCACGCCGAAATATCATTGTACCATCCCGCAAAGGCCTCCAGGGTGTCTGTTACGTGCGTCGTCGTTTGCGAAGAATCCGATGTCGAGAAAGGCGGTTTGATGGAGGCTGAGGCGTGCGGCTGTGCTTGGCTTGGTGCCTGTCCCGCCCTTACGCAGCCCTACCATTCGACAATCCGCGCCGGTGCAGCTATTTTCAATGCGCCTGCGCCTGAATACGTTCGCTACAAGTCAGCGACGATATAAGACGACTCTCAAGATCCAGTAGTGTCATTGCTAACGTCACAGTCATCGCCCGCCGCCATTGAATCATCGCCGTTGAATCGTCAGCCGCAGCTCCTGTAAAACGCGCCGTCGCGCAGCGCTCAATTGCCCACCACCATGACGCTCAAAGACCTGCTGAAGAAGAAAGACAAGATCAAGGAGGACGGCGCGGCCGAGAAGCCGCCTACGCTGTCTCCGGAAGTCCCAGAGTTCACGTTCATGCGCACGACGACCACGACCCAGGAGACGATCGAACCGCCCAGCTTCCCCGGCGACCCGACGCGTCAACCGCCGCTCCTCTCCCCCGCGCCGCGAGGCAAACTAGGCAGATTCAGAAGGCATAGCAATGCCGCCTCTACCGCGAATGTTGTGGAGGAAAACAAGGCTAAGCCCGAGCATAGGTTGTTCCATCGCAGTACATCCACCAGCTCGGTCAACGTGCCGCAGAACCTGCCGGAGGTGGGAGGCGATGGGGTCGCGAGGAACGAGGAGGACGAGGCCAAGTGGGAGAAGAGGGCTACGGTGCTGGTGGCTGGGAACAATGTGCTGAGCAAGAGCGGGAGTACAACGCCGAATCTCGAGGCGAGAAATCCGTTGGAAGGCAAAAAAAGCAGGAGCAGGAGCCCGAGCATCAGCTCCCCTGCGGATGAGGTGTGTACCATGAATTGGGCTTGTCGACGAACGGAGGCTGATGTTTGGGCATAGGAGAACATTCAGGAGGCAATTCGGTTACACGAGAAGGGCAGTATGTGACTACAGACAAACCCGAGCTAGAGAAGGGCGCTAATAGGGCATCAAGATCTTGAGGCTTCAACGGCTATGTTTGGAAGGCTGGCGGATCCCAATGGCCCGAACAATGCGCTGAGCCAGGTGCTGTACGGGCTCGCTCTCCGGTACGCCACACCCGTCACCGTTCACTGACACCTGTGACATGTCCATACCCAAACTACGCCCTTTCTCGAACCCAACTGTTACTTACGATGACGCAGGCACGGCTGGGGCTGCGAGCCGGACCAGGAGCAAGCCGTCAGGTACCTCGCCATGGCTGCCTCCAATAGCGCAGAAGTCGAGAAGATGGCGCTCTCCGCGGGCGTCAAGAAGGGCGGTGCGGCCAAAGGCGAGCTGGTGCTCGCCATGTATGAGCTGGCAAACTCCTTCCGGAACGGCTGGGGCATCAAGAAGGACCCTGTGGCTGCGAAGCAGTATTACGAGACGGCAGCCAATCTGGGCGACACGGACGCCATGAACGAGGTTGCATGGTGTTATCTGGAGGGTTTTGGGACCAAGAAGGATAAGGTTAGTAACGCATTTCATCTATTCTCGCCCTTCTCCGTACTAGGGGAGCGCGCCGTCCTCACCGGTCGCTATAAACGATTATGCAACGCGAACGGTGTGCTCGAATGGAGCTATACGATGTCCCAACATCACGCGGAGCATTTTCTGAGACACAAGAACTCATTCTTCAGCCTCATTTGTTGGGCAGCATTATCGAGGAACGCGGCTGACAATGCAATGCTACGCCTCACAGTTCAAAGCGGCTCAGTTCCTACGCCTCGCCGAGTCAAAGGGCAGTAAGCAATTAGGCAATACATGGTAAGTCCAATACTCCATTATCTCTGCTCCTATCACCACGATCTCTCCGCATCGAGATCCGGGCGGCGATCTTCTCTTCCGGGCGAAGCAGAAGCACATGTCGCACACCCACGGCCCTTCATCGCCGTCACGTTATCCGGTCTTCCCGATCCGTCGCTCAACACCACACACCACACGCACACCATCAACAACACCAAGCCAAGCCATCACGACTCGCACGCTAGGCCTCAGCGTCCAATACGCTACCTCTGCAACCCATGGCCCTTGGTTTCAACGCGCAGACGCCAAGCGGCATCGATTGGCCGACACGCTCCCATCTCACGCACCCTTCGCTTAGCCGGTACGGCACTCGACGGCCCTCGCCGCAGCACCACCTGTCACACTCCTGCCCGCTCCCCCACCATCACATCACTCGTGCCATCCGCCAGACCTGTTCCGCGCCCGGCTCGGCCTGTCATCTACCCTCTCTGTCCATTCTGCCGGGTCCCCAAGCCTGTTTACGACATACACGTGGCGCGCGCTCGCTGGCCTCGGTTCCGCAGTCAATAAGCGGGAGAGCTTGCGCGTGGATGGCCGATGACGGAGCTGACAATCACGGCCTGTATATTGCGGGTTTGGCGACGGCATTGGCTGGTGTTTGCGTGCATGACGGTGGTTTTATTGAACGACGGGATGCGGGAGGGCCGTGACGACTCATCGACTCAGCAGCAATAGACCATCTAGACGGATGATGCGAGGCGATGCGACGCGATCAAAGCAACCCACTCACCACTCCGGGCACTTGGCTACACCACCACGGTCCGGGCGAGTCAAACCTCACTAACTGCGCACGTGCTGACCAAGTGCCACAACAGGATCTGGAAGGAAAAATACAATCCGAAATAGCCCACGGGCTGTCTTTGGCCCCAGCTCTATACTACTCCTGGTGTAGCTTACTTCCGCCGAAGAAGGAAGGCCTAGCCTTCCGATCTTCCTCCCTCACTATCGATACGGACGGTTGCCTACCTTACCCCGCGCCGCATTCCGCTGCTCGTGCGCGCCCTGAATGACCGCTTTCGCCGGCCTTGCCTGGGTCAGATGAGGAGTACCCGCGGGAGAAGGTCGCTCGCTCGCTCGCGTTGCTTATTGCGGAATGTTTTACATTGAGCGAGCGAGCGAGCGAGCGCAGGCACCCACATCATCAACGGCTAGGCTTGTCTCTGATCGATGGTCGTCGATGGATGCGTGGATGAATGCGATGGCGCAATATCTTCGTCTTTCCTCTTCCGTCTGTTCCCCTCCTTCCCTTTTGCTTTTTGGAGCCCTGTTCGTGTGGCGCCGCTTGCTGCTGCTGTCATCTGGGGATTATATGCGTTTGCGTTGCCTTGTCTCGTCTCGTCTTGCTTGTCTTTTTGCTTACTGTACATACACGCCTACTCGGCGTTATATTATCTACATGGGTCCGTGGCGAAATCTCGGAGGAAAAAAATATTCTAGCCCTTCTCAGCCTTTCGCTCAATCAATCAATCAATCACTATCCTGTGATAAGGATTTGCGCTGGCTGCGCTGGGCTGGCTGGCTGTTGTGGCATGGTGGTACGATAACGGGGCTTGCGGCTTGTGTTGGGGTGCAGAAGCGATGGTGTGGTGCGCACAGCGCAGGGTATAGCATATCCTACGCCTAGCCGCGTTTCAGGCAGAACGATCGAAGGCGATGCTGCGTGCGTTGCGTTGTGGTGCTGCTTTTCTTTTGTGGGGTGCTGCTGCTGCACTGCGTTGTGCTGTGCGACTGAGATGCTGCCAGAGTGCAGGATCTGGAGCGAGCTCGGGGTTTGATGGTCCGGATGGGATGGGATGGTGTTGTGGGTGTGTGGGTGGGTGGGATGTTGGGGATCAGTGAGTGACGAAGTGACTTCCCTCGTGAGCAGTGCCGCGCAGTGTAGCGCAGTGGATGAGCGTTGATATTCCAGCCACTCGACCTATCGGCTCGCGAGAAAATGGGAAATAGAAAATGGAAAATCTTAAAACTATCAGATCGTCTGCTAGTCCTGTTAGTGGCAGCGGAGTTTTTCCTCAAGCCGTTAGCATTGTGTAGCTCGGCGAGCGGGCAATGTGGATCTGTTTCTGTTTCTGTTTCTGTTTCAGGAGTATGCTTGCGGATTTGATATCGCGATGGGTTGGGATGAGGGCTGCGCAGCTTGGCTTAGTGTACTGTGCCGGTACCGGTATAGAGCAGACGCGTATGTACCCCGGGGAACGTAGTTCTAGGGCTAAGTACATACAGTACAGTGGCGCATTGGATGACGACTCGCTGATCTGCTCTGCTCTGAACTAAACTAAACTAACTCATGAGTGAGTTGCCGAGTGCCAGATGCTAAGCAAGCACGGAAGGTTAGGAAAGGTATCGTACGACCTCTCCTCTCCTCTCTTCTAAGCCTCCCCGTTGGGGGCGGAATTCCGGCTGCGGATGTACGTACCTACCTTCCTACGTACCTTCCGCTTCAACCAACCCAACCCAACCCAACCCATCATCAGCATCCGAAACAGTCAGTTCAGCCATACCAGACTCAAAGTACACGGTAACGGGGTCCTACTCCCCCCGACCCCCGCAGCCCGGAAGACGCCGACGCACGGAGTTAGTGAGCGAATAAACCGCGCGCATAGCGTGATCTCCTACTCACTCGACGGGCGTGGGGTAGGTAAACAACACGCGGTGTCGGATACCGGTGCGGAAGCGGGAATGGCATTGATGTGGAGAAGCGGAGCAGCGTGATGCGCGTCCGAGATGGCGAGAGCGCGGCGTCTATGGCTTCAAAATACATACGTGCATACAGGAGAGAAGCGGGGCCCCTCGCGTTGCGCTGCAGTACTGCATTACAGTGCGGGATCTGTCTCCCTCTTTCTCCGTCTGTCTGTCTGGGGTACATACATCCCGTCCAGCACGGCACGGTACATACGTGGAGACGCCTCCCCCCGCGTCTGCACGAGGCGTGGGATGTGCCTCCCCATCCCCCAAGTACCAGGCCCGTATGGCTTCTCCGCACCTCGTCTCAAGCACAGGAGGCGGGAGCGAGCTGCAAGGACGCGGAGAGCGTGGGGATACTTCATGCTGATGCTGGAAGAAGGGGTACCCGAGGGTCTAGACGGGACTGTAGCGGGCGAGCGAGTCAAGCGTGCAGTTTCCGCGTTAGAGATCAGAGCGCAAGAGCGAGTAAAAGGCGCAGTAGGTAGAAATTAAAATATAGAATTTAAGCCAGTGACGGCTAGGGCTAGAATGGATACAGTCTTTCCTCCGAAAAGCAGACGCAGAGGCAAAACGGGAATGGAACGAGGTTGTCTAGGAAAGGCGGAGGCGCGGGAGGTCGCGTTGGAGTCGGTCGTTCGATCGATCGACTGTTCGTTCGTTCGTCTCTTGAAAAATCGTGATACTACTATTCATCATCATTATTTGCTCTTGCAAGCAGGCAAGCAAGCAGGCAAACAAGCTCTTCCTCATCTGATCGGTTCAGTTCGTTTCGTTAACCCAACAAAAGCCAAAATTCCCTCCACCTGCTTGCTACCAATAATAAGGAGAACGCAAAAAGCAAACTATCTTCATGCCATCAATCATTTACAAAAGGGGGAGGGGGAGGGGATTGGGTTGGGGATGGGGAGTGTCGTAGCATACATGTCCTGGTCCTGATCCTGACTCTCATTGCGAGAGAGAATCAATCGTCAATCATATAGAACATAAGAAAGACGTCTCAAAAGGACGCGCTCGCTCGCTCGCTACGCTCTGCAAAAAGAGTAAAATCCAAGAAAATCAAGCAAATCGAACCCAATTGTGCCAAATTTCACATCGCTCGCTTGCTAGCTATCCCAAAATGCCCCAAAGAAATAAGCAGAAAAATGCACGCTGTCAAGAAGCTGACGAGGCGATGCCATTTGTGTAGAAGGACAAAAAAGCGTTTGCGTGGTGAGGTGTACTCCCCATAGCCACGTTTCGTAGAAGAAGTCAGATTCCGCCCATATATGCTCAAATGCGGTGATTGATCGATCGATCGATGAGAGAAATTTCGGAATATCGACGTTTTGCCGTCCAATGTGAATGTTCGGCTGGCGCGATTGCCAGCGACAAAGGAGAAGAGACGGCGACAGTGCGATGCTCGTCGGGAGCGTTTGAGCGAGATACGCGGAAAGTAGACAGATTCCAGCCCAAGATGCAGATTTGTCCCTACTGAAGAGGGCCATCCCATGTACGTGGGACGGCACGGAGAACCGAAGCGCTATGCTGGAAAAAGCAGACTGATGCAAGGCAAGGAAACGGACATAGGGAAGAGGCGGTGGTCGGCGGTGGTGGTGCGGGGGTCAGGTGATTTCTCCTTCATCCGACGTTCTCCACCTTTTGTGGCGTGCCTCCGCCCGAGGTGCTGGGTCGGGACGATGCCGCGGCAGATTCTTCAACCATGCGCTTGAATTCGATGACGACCTCGGGTGCGATCTTGTCCCAGAGCAGGCTGCGGGTGTAGATGTCAGCGGCAGCTTCGCCCTTGTTCTGCTCCCTCATGGCGGCGAGCGTTTCGGCAAGGTTGCGACGGTGCGATGGCTGAGAGCTGGGCGATAGCGGGTCACTGTAGTCGTCGCTGGCTATGCTGTACCGTGGGCGGGAGAAGTCGATGGAAGTCATGCTATTGTACTGCGCGGGCGTGATGGAGAACAGTTGCTCGTTCTCCTGGTCCTTCGTCGGCGCCGTGAGCTGGTTGTGCAGCTGGTCGAGACTTGAGCTAGAGATGCCGGTCATTTCCGACCCTATGGCCTTGGGCCAGTTGATGCCGGACGGGCCGGGCTCGACTGCTGACACACGGTTGGCAACGACGCCTTGTTCGGTCAGAGTAGGCGCGACACCAGCGTCCTTGAAGATGCTGTCGAGCACGGTGGCTGAGGCGGCGCGAACGTCATCGGGCATGCGAGGGATGGGCGGGGCGTTGGAGCCGGAGGACTTGCTTGCGACGAAAGCGCCGCAGAGAAGCAGCATAAGGAGGAGACCGGATGCGACGGGCTTGTCTTCGTCCTTGGGTCGCGGGATGACGGCGAGAGTTTGCTCTTGTGGTTGCTGGGGCGTCTGCTCGTCGACGACGAAGTCACCGACGAAGACATAGTTCTCCCACTCGCTGTTGCCCATGTTCAGGTTGTCCATGTCAGAGGTGAAGTCGTTGAAGGTGGTGCTGGGAGCGATGGATGCGGAATTGCTGGTGGCACACTCGAGCCTCTCGGTGAGGACAGAGACCTTCTTGCGAAGCTCTCCGGTCTCCAGGGTGTGGGTGCGGACGAGCTCCTCCTTGTCGAACTGCAGCTGGCCGATCATATGGTGCATCTCCATCTGCTCGCGATGCCAGTTCTCCTTCTCCGCCATCAACTGGTCGTACTCTAGTCGCAGGTTGTTGAAGTCATCTTGAAGCGTGCAGAACTTGTCGGTCCACGACTTCTTCTCTTCCTCTAGCTCTTCAGTGTGCTTCTTCTTTCGTTGCCGTGAGTCAAGACTGTAGCGACGTTAGCGTGGGAATAGGGAGAGAACGAACCAAATGGCGGGCAGAACCAAATTGGCAACGCCAGAACCAAAGGAGAGTACGTACGCGGCCTGTCTGTTCCGGAGGAGTCGTTTCTGTTGCTTGAGCTCCTTCATTTCGTCTTCGTTGGTGCAGTTGGCGATCAGCTGGTCGATGTTGAACAGGTTTCGCTCGGCCGGGATGTCAAAACGGGCATTCTTCTTCCTGATGCCGCCGTCACGGCGCGGGGTGAAGGAGCGGGGAGGAGAGCTGGGCCGCATGCGCTTGGGTCCAGGCCGTGAGTCCATCTCCTGCTGGTTGAAGGCCATCCACTCGGAGTTGGTGTGCGGCGACAATGGCTGCTCCGGAGGCGCTGGCGGGAAGACGGAGCTCGGCCGCACGTTACTCTGGACGGGCAGTCCGTGGTACGGCATCTGCTGCGAGTGCTCTGAGACAAAGGGCGGCGGAGCAGCACCAAAGTCGCCAGGGGCGAAGGGATTCAGCGGCTTCGGGGCGGTCGGCGTCCGTGAACCTGAGTTCTCTGGGACGGGCCACGACGTCTGCTGGCCGTAGGTAGCGGCCTGGTTCGCAGGGAGGCGGGCGAAAGGGTTGTTGCTCTGCTCCTGGAAGAAAGGGTTGTTGCCGTTGGTGTTGACGACTGAGCTCGTGGCGGTTCGGTCAACGAACTGGCCGGTGGAGTAGTCCTCCCAGATGGAGGTGTCGGGCGAGAAGATGCCCTGGGTGCTCGTGGTCGGGGACATCAGGACAGGCGTGTCCAGGATGTTGGTGTCCAGCGTGCTGTTGTCGTCGAAGGAGAAGGCGGAGGGTTTCCGGTCGACTGAGCTGAGGGTCGACGAGGGGCGGTGGTAGTCCATGTGGCTGCCGGAGGAGGAGAAGTCCATGGCGGACTCTTGTAGGGGGTGCAGCAAGTACCGGTGTAGCGGCGGGACTGGCGGTGTGGATTGCTCTTTTCGGTAATCGCGATGGCGGGGATCTCGGCAGCGACGGAAAACGAGCAGCAGACGGGCGATTGCGCGAGGGATAAGCAGGCCGGCGGATCAATGGGCGTCCAAAAGCGAGCGATGGGAGCGAGCTCAGCGCTGCGCGTCAAGGGCGAGCAGCGGGCAGGGTGAGGGTGAGGACGGAGGCGGGGAGCGGGAGCAGGAGCAGCGAGCAGCTAGTGCTGGAGGGCTGGGCCTGCTGATAAGTGTTGGTCTCAGCGGGCGCAGAGTGCGCAGTGGGGTGTTGCCGGGGGGGGCGCTGGGAGGCAGGCTTGGGGGCAGGCTTGGACGGGCTGGGGGGAGAGATTCCGTGGGATGCACGCGAAACAGCGGCGGGCGCTGCGATTCGGCGCCCCAGCGCCGTCGGGTAGGCCTGCATCACGGCAGCGGCCTTTCCAGAAACGAGTGGCTGCCGGGCGCTCGCCCATGCAGCGCAAAGCCAGAGACGGCGGGCAGCGGGCGGCGAGTGGACGCGCTGCAGCCAGCCATGGCCCTTCACTGCGGTCTCCGCACCTCCCAGACGGCCTGTTTGCCCTGGCCCGTCTGCCCCAGCGCACGCGGCGCGGGCCCCGTTTGTCGCGCGTGAAGCTGGCTCCTGGTCGGGAGGCTTCATTCACGGCGTGCTAGCAAGTAGGAGGAGTAGTCTGGTGCGACAGCTGCGGCGGCGTATGTGCGGTATCGATACCTACAGAGGCCTGCCTGGCTGGGTCTGCGCGGGCCGGCCCTTCTTGCGAGATTCTACCGACATGATTCGCCCGTGCGATCCCGGCTGGCCCGCCGTGAAAACTCTGAAGCCAGATCCGCGAGATGCGGATGCCCTCTCCCTGCCCTTGCGCCTGGGAAGCGTGCCGGTGTCGTCGTCGTTGCGCCCGCGCATCGCATCGTGAAGGCTGGTGGTGGTGCCGGTGTAATCATGAGGGCGCCGCCGGGCCGCAGTCTCCCGACGACGACGACGACGACGACCCCGCGCCCGCTCACTCTCTGCGGCCTCAACACCATTCGCATGACGCTCTCGTTCTGCCGCCGTGTCAGGCGACGCTGGTTCCAACTAACTCCCACCTCACCTGCCGCCAGCCCTGCCCTGTGGCTCGCTCGCAAGGTGAACCCTCTCTCGCCGCTCTCGCTCGTCCGCCCATGGTGTCATCTGTCCAACTTTCTCCGCTCCAGGGCTCCCTCTGCCGGGCGCGAGTCATCTCACCGCTTCCTCGCCGACCCGCCTTCCCTGCCTGTTTTCGTCCCTTGACATCCCTTCTGTGTTGCGCTTCTATTATCGTGAGGAGTTCCCGGTGTAAGGTACCAGGCCGCCGCATCTCCATCTGGCTGGCGCACCGCCTGCCCTGGGGCGATCCGAGGCAAACACTGCAGCTCCTGTGTTGCCGTGCTGTCCCACATCCACATGCCGAATCCTCTCGTACCGGCCTGATGGAAACTGCTCTGCATTTCTCTATCCGCCCGTCATTCGTCAGTCGTCCTATTTTTCTCCCTCATTTTCCTTTCGGCCTTAAAGTTATCGCGTGGTTTGCGTCAAGCCCTCGCCTGACAGCCGTGGGCCGAAAAAAGTGGCAAGCAAAATCCCGCCTTCGCCAGCCAATGAAGCCGTTGGGTTCTGCTTTTCCTGTTTGTGGCCGCTACCCGCAATCGTGTAACAGATAATAGGGCAAGTAAGACAATCCATCCCAAACCAAAGTGGAGCACCAAGGAATGCGGCCATTCGAGGTGCCGCGACGGCGCCATTGTCCCTTCTGAAGCCCGGGGCGGCGCCGGCACCGCGGACAGGCACAGCCACCGTTAGAGCCCATGTGCAAGAGCTGCTTGCTCTGGATCCGGATCGACCGTTGCGGTTGATCGTCTCTCGGGCGCGTACGCGTATTTCCAGGGTCGTGCCGTAGAGCTGAATGCCTCAGTCCACTCAGTGTGCGCAATGGCTTCTTGGCCCTCTGCTCCGCGACGGTGGCCATGTTCACCGGAAGCCCTCAAGCCTCACCGATGGCATTCAATATTCATGCCCGGGAGCAATTCAATAATCATGCCGAAAGAGCATTGAAGCCCAACGATCGGGGCGAAAATCACGTTGTGCCATTTTGGGAGTTGAGCCATTGCGGCTGCCAAAATCGTGAGGCGGCATAGCGGTGAATGGATCGCTTAGTGCACCCCATCTGGCACCGCGCTCCCACTTGCTGCAAGTTCGCATGCCTGCATGTGTTGTGGCCAGTTGCCATTATCCTTCCTGTTGGGTAGAATTTTCGAGACGATTTGCCTTGGCGCCGGGTTGGTCCACGTAGATTCTGTTGTTAGCTATGAGTCAAAGCGAAAATGGCCTCAAGATCCTCCGTAGTAGCCCCGGGAGATTTCAAAGAGCTCAGAACGCTGAGCGATGACGACAAGCGTCCTATGCTCCCGGCCGGCGACCTACGGTAACTCCTATTCTCGTAGAAAGTGGAGACGTAGCGTTTCAAGGCGGAAGCGGTGAGCAATCCAATTGACTATCTCATCCGGTTTCCGAAGCTTGGGCGCCCACGGTTGTCCAAGGAGAGTTGGACACAACTGCTTTCCAACCGTTGGTCAATTGTGCGGTGAAGAAGAGTCATCGCAGTATGTTCTGGACATGTGAACATTTGAAATGGGAAAGAGATTCTCGTCGCTTCTCCCTTGCGGTGTGTTGGAGACATGGGAATGGGTTAGAGCGCAAACGTCTCCATGTTGCGGGCGGCAGGGTAGCAGCGTGCTTTGTCTTGTGCGACCGAGTGCCAGAGTAACCTCATGGCAAAACGGCCCTCCCAAGGCGCCCGTGGCATGACCTTCCTCTCAGACTACGCGATGACGGGAGCGCCTGCGTAGACTCCTGTCTGTGCGTCGCATGGAAAATCGAATGGTGAAAAGTTGGCAGCATAAGGAGAAGGTATTATCCTAGAGACGGTAAATTGATTATGATTAGTACTTGGAACTTGAGATGGAGGAATCTTGCCTTTTCATTTGGCTGAATATGCCCGACACATTCCTCCACAGCCGCTATAGCTGTTCTAGATGCGCTCGCTGAAGCTACAGCATCTCACCGCCTCCCCCTCCTCCATTGTAGCGTGACGCAGCTGTCGGCAATAGGGCTCTCTTTTGTTGCTGCGGCCGTGAAGCTGAAGCTTAGTGACTTAGCGTTCCCCTGCATCCGACTCGGTATAGATTGTTCTTTCCTGAGAATAGGGCATCCTCTCCTTCATATGCCTTCCTGATCGTCCCTTGCCCATAACTTCACCGTCCTATCTTTACCGCCACTGACGATCCAAGTGGCATCGCTGGTGACATCAGTGCTGAATACAGCCTGCGAATGCCCTTGTAATGTTCTGCAATGTGCCCAGTCGTCGGCTGAGAAGACCTGGATATTCTTGTCGAATCCCGACGAGATGACGAAAGTGGACGCCTTCTTTGGTACCACTTCCCCTTCATCGTTCTCTTGCAGAGGCACGCCGCTTGTTGGCCCGTCAGTGCCCTTGTACCAGCGCAAGTCGGTAACGCCTCCGGTGTTGGCGGCGATTGAGTTGGTCTCGCGCATTGCGCGTACGTCCCAGCACTTCATGAATCCGTCTCCCGAGCCTGATAATAAGCGATGGCCGTCAGTGCTCCAATCGAGGCCGTATATGGGCTTAATGTGACTCTCCAGTAGGTAGATGACGCGACCAGTGCGAACGTCCCACACTCGGCCTATGCTATCCAGCCCGCCGGTTGCTATCAAGGATCCGTCACCGTTGAAGCTGACTGTGTAGACCTCCTTCGAGTGTCCTTCCTGGATAACGAGCTCCTGGCCGGTGTTGACATCCCAGAGGCGCCAGGTCGTGTCGTCAGATGCTGAGGCAAGATAGCGACCGGAAGGGTGGAAGGCTACCCGACAGACGCGGTCGGCATGCCCCTCCAGAGTCCTCAGTGGCTTGTCATCGTCAAGCGACCACAGCTGGATTTTACCACCGGCACCACCAGAGGCAAGATTAACACTTGACGATGAGACCGTTGTGCCGGGGAGAGTCGCACCCGGCATCCAGTCTATTCCAGTCGCACGTTCGGTGTGGCCGCCACGATACGCTTTCTTCTGTTCAAGGCTGGGGACTTCGAGAAGCCTGATGTGACCCCCCCAGTTGCCATATGCTACGTACTGGCCGTTGGGGGAGAACCGAACAATGCTGACAGGCCGATCTGACGTCTGCGATCCGTACAGTTCAAAGCCCTTCAGTCGCTCCTTGATCTTGTTGCGGAACTCGATGTGGGTCTTGAGCGGTATGGTGGCTTCCCGTCGCTGGAAGGCAACTCGCTCCTTCGCGCGTGGCAGAGAGTACTTTGCCATGTCTCTCCGAGCTTCCAGAAGTGATTGAGTTCCTTGAGTGTAGAATTCTTCCTGCTCATCCCCCGGTGCTTCTTCCGCCTCTTGCATCTGGATATCTCCATCCTCACCTGCGGCTTCTGCCTGGTCGGCCAGTAATGCTCGTAGTCGATCGCGCCGTTCCGAAGGTCCTTCGCCGAACAGGGTGATCGGCTCACCCAGTGAGCGTAGCCGCTTCTTAATATCGCGGTCGGCGGTGGGAACTATTAGCTGCGCCGCTCGTCGTTTCCTCTCAAATTGTCCGAGCAGATCGGAGGCCCTTTCGTTCGCCGCTCCGGGGACGCCTGTTGGTATGTAGTGATCCCGGTCAATTGGCACATTGGCCAAGTCAATGCCCTCCATGGCATCGTCCTGGTGTTTAGACGTATCGTCAGCATGTCTCTGGCACAGGGTAGTAAAAAAGCTAGGAACGGGCTGCGGGATATGGTTGCCTCCAGCAAGAGAGATTATGCTTTTGGACTGAGAACGAACAGCGGTACTTACATCTCCATCCTCCTCCACATACGCCTGTCGCGCCGGATGCATGTTCATTTTGATCGTGTCCTCCGGGTGCGCGGAGTCAAAAGCTACGTCGTGGGGCTTGCCGTTCTCCAAAAGTTGAGGCCCGGGCTTTACCCGGTAGGGCTGGCCTTGGCACTTCCGGAACCTGCGAGGCTGTGGTGTTTGGGTTCTGGCATCTCCAAGACAATAGCCAGATCGCTTTGTCTAGGACGGTTAGGCAGCCGCCAATGCCACTTCTCGTTTGTTTCCCCCGTTTGCACTGTGAATCTGCGGACATAATGCTCAATATAATAATGGTAAGTTCAGCCATCCACTAGCCACATTGGCATGACGCCAGTGCCGAATTTCACCCCCCGGTTCAAAAGTCGCTGCCCTTTTCTTTCACCCTCTGCGAAGGTATTACGCCATGTCCATTCCACGCCGTCACGCTTCGCTCTGGCACTTTTGGATACTGACTCTGCATCACTAGGCCTGGGCTGCGGCCATGTCACTTGCCATCGCTGGCGCCGCTGTTCTTGTTCGGCGCTCCCCTCGCGCTGCTCCGCGTCAAGCTGCATCCGCCGGCTTACTCTTCTGCCTGTCCACATCCTCCCCGTTTGCGCCCGCGCATGCGACACGGACGGCCAATTTCCATTCGCACCGATCGGCATCGCTCTACGCACCGCAGACATGTCCATTGAATAGAGATGCCAGTCCGGCCGCAATTGGGCTTAGATCCTTCCATTCGACGTCGCATCACTGGGAACGAGCGCCCCAATTCGCCTACCACGTTGCCGCATCCTACTCCGCAAAAGGCCACAAGTTCAATGCTGAAGCCAATATCTATACGGGCGACGCCTACAATGCCACCAAGTACGACGTTACAAGTCTGAGGGAGTGCAAGAGATGGAAGGATAAGCGAAAACGAGCAAGGAGCGGGCAGGATGCCTTCTTCTTCAGCCAGATTGGAACCACAAGGAGCACTGCATTTGGCGTAGCAGACGGCGTCGGGGGCTGGGTCGAGTCTGGCATTGACCCCGCCGACTTTTCGCACGGCTTGTGCGAGTACATGGCTTGCGCTGCGAGGTTGTGGTCGCAAGAATCCAAGACGGCGTCGTTACATCCGAAGGATCTGCTTCAGGTGGGGTATGACGAGGTCATTGAGGACAATAGCATTGTCGGAGGCGGCAGCACGGCATGTCTAGCGGTCGCAGAACCGGGCGGCAACGTCGAAGTCGCCAACCTTGGAGATTCCGGCTTCATGCACCTAGGATTGAACGCGGTACGACACTTTACGCATCCACAGACCCACGCGTTCAACACGCCGTATCAGCTCTCCAAAACTCCCCAGCGCATGCTGGTGCAGATGGCGGTGTTTGGCGGTCCCAGCACGCTGTCCGACCTTCCGAAAGTGTCGAGCGTAACGCACCACAGAGTCCGCCACGGCGAAGTGCTAGTCTTCGCCACTGACGGCGTATGGGACAATCTGAGTCCGCAGGATGTCCTCGGCATCGTCAGCCGCAGCATGGTTGATTTTGGTGGATGGGTGGACAGAGACGGCACTATCGATGTCGGCCACGAGCTACTCAAGCTCGCGCAAGCCGATTCAGCTAGCAGAGCGGATGGTACATCATTGCAGGCAAAGCTTGCTGCCGCAATCGCAAAAGAAGCAAAGGAGACGAGCCTCGATACGCGCCGAAGCGGACCTTTCGCCAAAGAAGTGCAAAAGCACTATCCGGGGGAGAATTGGCATGGCGGAAAACCGGATGATATTGCAACTGTGGTTGCGGTTGTGGTGGAGGAGCCGAACGAGTGACGGGGCTTCTGTATCTGTATCGTGTAAGCTGATTTGCATGGGCTGGCGTTGAAAGAGGTCATATGGCGTGCCTGCATAGAGTCTGGGCGGATCTTCTTGTTGGTTAGCACGCATCGAATTGTCTACTTTCTTGTACGTTTAAGCTATGCAGCTATGCGCATACAAGTCCTCATCTGTTCGCCGTGCCTAATGCAGCAATGTTGAATCATAGGAGAATCATTGCGCAATCCACACAGCTCTTCAAGGCATGGATTGAAGTATAATGGACTTGCGGCAGTAGCGTTTCCAACGTTGAGGATATTTCTGTACAAATCTTGCACAATTGTCGTAGTGGAGTGGTCTGTTTACACGCGTTGCCCGGCAACCCGCCACGCGAACTTCGAGATCGGCCACCACGCGCCCACCATCGGACCTCACTCAAGCCCACCACCGCCGCATCCCTACAACGAAAACAGCCGCCGGAACCACCGCGCCTTATGTATGGAAAACTAACTCTACAGTCTCCAACATTCGCTATCACGACTTCTCCGCTGCTCGACTTCAGATAGCCCGACACGCGCAGCGGCTATCCACCCGCAATGGCGACCGCTTCTCCCACCCCCATGGGCTCCTACTCCGGCCTCGGGCGCATGCGCTCGCAGTCGACTATCCGGCCTCGCAGAGACTCGCCGCTGTCTGTGCTGGGCCAGAGCCAGGGCTTCCGGGCGGACGCGCCCATGATGCAGAATATAAACATTGGGGACAGCTCCGACGACGAGATACCGCAGCCGATGAAATTGAGCGCCCTCACGACAGCGCTGCTCGCTCAGTCGCAGAACGAAACCAATTCGCCGGAGAAGGCAGCGGGACGGAGACCTAAGCTGCGGATATCGCGTGGGTCCAGCTCGAACACCCCGGTGCAGGATACGGTTACGCCTGCGCCGAGCTTGAGGATAAAAAGAGTGCCGCTGAGGGGTGCGCCGATGAGGAGGCTGCGCAGGACGCCGCAGAGCGAAGAGCAGGATCATCCGCCGAGCCAGGACCAGGAGAATCTCCCTGTGTCGGTGGTGAAGGTGGATGCGATGAATGGCGCCGATTCGGTTATGAAGGTCACGGATTCGGTGATGAAGGTTGCGGATCACGATATGCGGCCTCCGCCTCAGCCGCAATCGCCTGTTCAGAGACAAGAGAGGCCGATGCCGTTGCAGGCGATAAGCGCAAACACGCCGCGACGGCCTGCACCGCCGCCGCCGCCCAAGATGTCCGTTCTGGAGACTGCTACTGCGGCTGCTGGTGCTGCGACGACGAAAACAAGAGAGAGGAAGAAGAGGAGTACGCTGGCGGTTAATGGGAAGCACTATTCGCAAATGGATCGCATTGGAAGAGGAGGGAGTTCTGCGGTGTACCGGGTGATGGCAGAGAATTTCAAGCTACTGGCGTTGAAGAGAGTAAAGCTTGAGGACGCCGATGAAGCTGCCGTGAGGGGTTACAAGGGCGAGATCGACCTCCTGAACAAGCTCAAGAATGTGGAAAGAGTAGTGAGGCTGTATGACTGGGAGGTGGATGACGCACGGCAAATCTTGAGCGTGGTACGTACAGCTTACACTCGTCTGCCTTCCATCTGTCAAGAATGTCTCCTTCCAGCTAAACTATGCTAACGCTCTACAGCTCATGGAACTCGGCGAATCGGACCTCGCCCGCATAATCCGCATGAAGCTCGACCCAGCAGACGCAAAGCTTGACCTCAGCTTTACCCGCTACTACTGGAAAGAGATGCTTGAATGTGTCGGTGCCGTCCACGAACACGACATAGTGCACTCCGATCTCAAGCCCGCCAACTTCCTGCTGGTACAAGGCCGCCTCAAGCTCATCGACTTTGGCATCGCAAACGCCATCGAAGTTGACCATACAGTGAACGTCCACCGCGATTCGCACATCGGTACCCCAAATTATATGTCCCCCGAAAGTCTCGAAGACAGCGCTGGCGGCGCAAGGGGCCAGCTGAGCAACGGCAATGGAGCGAAGGACATGAAGCTCGGCAAACCGAGCGACATCTGGAGTCTCGGCTGCATACTGTATCAAATGGTCTACGGCAAACCCCCCTTCGCCCACATCGCCAACCAAATGGCGCGCGTCCTCGCCATCGTAAACCGCGACTACGAAATCCACTTCGCAGACTACGGCATCGGCGACGTACGGGTTCCACCTGGTCTGAAGGCCACGCTCCGGCACTGCCTGGACCGAAATCCAAAGAGAAGACCCACAATTGCGCAGCTGCTCGATGAACGCGATCCGTTCATATACCCCGACGGCGGGGACGATCTGAGGATACCCCAGGATCTGCTCGCCCAGATCATCCAGAAGGTTGCGGACCGCTTTATGGACCCGAAGAAGGAGCCGCCGACGGACGAGGAGATACGACAGTATCCCGCCTCGTTTTACGAGAAGATCAGGCAGCTTTTGGAGAATGCGTAGGCTCGCCTGTTGTCTACCTACCACGTCTGGACCCTCCTCGTACTCTTTTGCATAGAAGCGCGCTTCCTCACTTCTTTTCTCGACTCCTAGGACACAACCTACGTTCTTCCCTCGTCGCGCGACGCACGCACCAAAAGATCTATTTTAATGACCGTAACGGCGTATTCTGGGACTGGGCTGGCGGCTTGCTTGATTGCTTACTTGCACTCTTGTATCTCCTTTTCTTTTTGTTTTCCAATTCCCCGCGACGCATACGCATCCATACTCTTCTCTAGCGTTCAGCGGGTCGGTTGTGTTGGATACCATGGCGCATGGCGCTTGGCGTGCAACGGAGTGGCTTTTTGTATATATTTTTGGGTTTAGGGGGATGAGTGATTCTCGATGAGGAGGAAGACGATGGTGATGATGATGATTAAGAAGAAGAGATTCTTGAATGTTCAGATCGTCCTGTGCATACAACTTGGTTCCTGACCGCGGCTGCAGGCTTTGTCGTGTGTGGGATGGGTTGCGTAGCAAAGAGAATCGCTCTACTCTGTTCGTAGGGACGGGACTGGTGGCTGTTGAGCTGAGGAGAGAGGTTTTGTTTACACTCGAACGAGTGAGCTCACACGCATGACATGTTCTCGCTGTTTGACGAATATTTCTCTCTGCGTCCGTGAAGAATTTTGGTGTCTATCCGTCGTCGTTAACACCTAAACGGTGTAGTCTAGTCGACCAGATACCGGTATGTCATTTCTGCCCTAAAGGAAAAAGGTTAAGATACGTAAGCAAGATGGCCGCGTTCGTGGTTGTGGCTGTAGCGTGTAGGTCGTACTGTGTACTGTACGTTGCTCTTATTCCCCTCCCTTGCGAGAAAAGAATTTCGACAACTGCAACAGAAGCGAAAGCTTACCGGTAAGGTATTATACATCTCTACGTTTAACAGCTAGAATGACTTAACTCTAACGCCACGATGCTAGAACCCAATTCTCCCCTCGGTGGGAAATGCATAATAACTCCACTCTACTCCCAATCATCCCAATACCCCTCCTCCCCGGGGTACTCAAATGCCTCCCCATCCACCGTCCCATTCCCCACCCCCGCCCCCTGCAGCCCCGGATCCACAACCCGCCCATCGCCCCTCCACTGCGGCCCCTCCGCCGCAACATCAATCTTCCCATTATCAAAGCACTCATCGAATCGCACCCGTGGCAGCTCCGCGTACTTCCCATCCCACCGTGCATCCATCGCATCTTTCAGATTCTTCACCGCGCCGTCCTTGTGCAGCTGCTGCCACGGCTTCGTGCACGCGTTCCCGCTGCACGACTTCAGCACCAGCAGCAGCGCGTCGGTGCGGTTCAGCAGCGCGGGGATTTCGTAGCCTGCGAGCTGCGTGGTGCCGGAATCGTAGGCGTTCTTGTGCGGCGGCGTGGAGGGCGCGGAGGGGTGTAGGTTGTGCATCTGCACCGGGTCGGTGAGCATGTCGTAGAGTTCGTGAGAGTTGTTGCGGCAGTGGACTGCGTACATTAGGGAGTAGCCTTTGCCGGCGAGGCGGAGCGATTTGTACGAGTTTACGTATTTACCCGTGCGGTTGTTCCCTGGGGGGGTTGTTAGGTTCTGTGGGGTTGTAGGGAGTGGGAAAGAGAGTGGAAGACGTACATTTGTAGGACGCGCCTTCCCAGAACTCAACGTTGGTGTATTCGTCCTGGTCAGAGCTCTCTCTGCTGTCTATATCCGCTGCCGTGTGCGGAATCGGTCTTCCGTCGAACTCTGCGCGCTGCGACATGCCGGCCATGTCCAGGATCGTGGGTGCAAGATCGACATGTGCGGTCACGACGTCCGTTTTCCTGTTCTTGGGAACGTTCGGCCCGCGGATGATCAGGGGCACGTTGATATCCTCCTCGAACGCGTATTTCTTGCCCGGGCCGAGCCGGTGGTGCCCGAGGTGGAAGCCGTTGTCGCTGCTGTAGATGATGTAGGTGTTTTCGAGCTGGTTCGCGTTGTCCAGGATGTTGACGATGCGCTCGACCATGTCATCTACCGATAGGAGTGCTTCGGTGCGGCGCTGGTAGTTGTGGTGAAGCATGTGCTCCTGGGACTTGTTGAGGCGATCGAGCTGCCAGACGATGTTTACTCCGGACCTCTGCTCATCAGTCAGCTGTGTTTGACGGGTCCGAAAGATATTGTAAGAGTAATTTTGGAAGAAAGAACAGCCAAGGACTTACGTTCGCAGGGTTGAAGTTCTCCGCGGGTGGGACTTCCAAACCCGAAAGCGTGCCGTTATATTTGTGCGCTGGTACTGGCGGTTGCGGATTGTGGCCCACTTGGCTGTGCGGCGTGATCGGAGCGATTGCCACAAAGAATGGATCATCATGTTGGAGAGCCTCGTGGAGGTATCCATATCCGTATTCAGCCACTTTGTCGGTGCTGTACTCCCCCTCGAAGGACGTATTGATCTTTTCCGGATTATCCCAGTTGTCTCTGGTAATATGCTGGAATGGCGGATTGTAGTATTGGTACGTCTGGCCGCCAACTAAGAGGTCCTATAGTTCGAACTGGTTAGGGTCACCACGGAAACGGCGAGATTTGGGAAAGAAGCCTGCTTACAGCTTTCGTCCACCCTCTTGCCGTGGTTTTCTCGACTAATTTCTTTTCCATCCCGTTATACAGTTTCCCAGTGTAATAAGTCCGATATCCATTATTCCCCAGCCAGATGGGAAGATACTTGGAGTTCAGCCCTTCATCGTGGATCTTGTGCCAGCCGCCCCAAGGCTGGATTGCAGAATCAGTATCGTCTAGCCTGTAGGAGGGGATGTGTCACACTCACCCCACTGACAGAGGTGACCTTGTGGTTATGTGCAAGTAGGCCAGTCAATATGCTAACACGTGCGGGACAACATAGTGCTGTTGGCGCGTAGTGTCGGGTGTACCATGTTCCTTCCTTGATGAGTAGCTTCTGTACTTTTGGCATGTGGTCGAGGGAGTTCATGCGCGCGTCTTGGTCGTCGGTGAGAATGAAGACAACATTGTGCTTTTTGCCGGCCTCCTGGGAGGCTGAAAGGGCTGTGCATAGCAGCATACACAAACCGATCGCGAACGAAGAAAGATACATGATGGAGATACTGAAAAGTTTGCCGCTGGACTCTAGCTCTCTTTGGATGAGGGCTTCCTTCTCTTATACCATTGAGCACGTAGCACAAATTATACGAGCTATGGGCCTTGCGATGCCCTGGAATGGCGATGCATTAGATGAAAAAAGCGGTCGGGCAGGATCATCGGCCGCCAATTTCGTCACCGAAGGCCTAATGAGCGAATTCGTATTTTGAATCTCCTGAAAGTAGCGGGCTCTGTTCGCCGCCCGCGCACTCGCCATGTCTAAAAACAGCCCACTGCATGGAGGTATTCAAGCTTCAGTGATCTTCCGCTTGCGCGGGTGGCCTAACGAGCCGTAACGCCTTTCAGGCCTTACCACCAGGAAGGAAATAGGCCTTTCTACAACTCCGATCCAAGGTGGCATTGGGTCTTTAAGCACAGCCCAAACAAGTTCCGCCGATTTCCTGTTTGGGCTAACCTGCAGCTCCCGTGACTCTAATGACGTCAATCTGGAGCGTACCTGACGAGCTGATGTTAGCGACATGGCGCGCGAAAGAAGCGAACCGCAATGGGTTGCCTGAAGAGCTTAACTATACGTACCTATGCAAAGGGTTTGCATCGTAGGATATTGTTAGTGGACCTCATCGTTACGAAGCGAAAGATACTTCACCAGCAGACCGCGCAGATTCCTGAGCGAGCGTACACCTGGACCAGACTTCCAATCTTGGTAACATCATACACAAGCTGCCTAGCCTTCATACTACCTATGCAGCCTTGAGAATGATCTTAACGTACCAAGAGGAGGTGTATGTCGGGATGGTTGTCGGCCCGAGCGGGGTTGAAACCACGTGGTGTTGCGTTATGGAGGGGCTATGCACCAGGCGCGCCCACGGACCTGCACACCTCAGTCTTTCCACTTTTCGCCACGGCACGTCTTCGAAATGCCGTGATTCCGGCTTCACTTTCGAGCTCTGGACAGCACGTACTGAAGCACAATCCAAGTCGTTCGCTCCCGTGGGCCCCCTCAAGCGGCTTCCTTCCTACCAGCCCTCAACTCGCTCAGGATGGATTCTCTACCGCCCGAACTCCTGTTGTATATATTCGAATTCCTGTATCCCCTGGACGTCTCGTTCCCAAATGCATCGTCTTCAACAAGCTATGAGCGCTCCAGCGACCTCGCCCGGGTCTGCCTCGTCTCTCGGAGAATCAACCAGATTGCTACGCCTATCTTGTATCGATCCATAGAACAAGCGCCAGGGAGAACACCGCTCTTTTTCAAGGATGTCTTGGTAGCTCTATGCGGGAATCCAACCTTGAAGCAGCACGTCAAAGCAATTAAGCAAAGAGGATCATACCGCTTTATCTCCTGGACAGCTCATGTTTCCCCGCCGGAGTGGGCGATGCCTCTCTCCGACGGGATGGACTTACTACATCCGGATGAGATTTATTCCCGCCTCGCGAGCGGAGAAGACCCCTTTATAACACTACTCGCCCTTCAGTCACCAAATCTGGAGCAGCTCTGCGTCGACTTTCCAAAACATCGATTTGACGGTGGTGGGAAATTACCACTCCTTTTGGAGAAGATGACGGCAGTACTGGCAGCTCCTTTAGGTTCACCACCTCAATTCCACTCGCTTCGTGTTCTACGCCTCGACTTGAGATTCTGGGACCACTTCCCGATCAATAGTATCTACCAGATTCTTCTTTTGCCCCAGCTCAAGGATCTTACGCTCGGTCGCTGGGGAGCTGTATACGAGAGGGACCGGGGAGCGTCTAGACCGGATCCAGATCATCAAGATTCTCATGTGCTTGACCAACCTTGGATATGGCCCGTACGGTCGTCGCCGATCGAGAGGCTTTCGTTGCTGTCGTCCAGGGCTCCCGCATATATCATCGCGAATCTAGTTACGGCCTGCAAAGCGCTGAAACGGTTCGAATGCGGCAGCCCAGCCAGATTTACTGGGGCAGAATTTCGGTACAACCAGGTCTCCGCGGCCGTCGCGGCGCATTATGGCAGCTTGGAGGAGTTAGCTATTGGCACAAAAGAGTACCATCCGCCAGAGGACTACGGAGAATTCAAATACTGCGAGAATCTTAAATTTCTCAAGGTGCTACGGATTCCGTACCGTGTCCTGATGAAGCACAACCATGCATCCGGTCTTTTGCAACGTCTGCCGCCAGACCTCGAATTTCTCATCCTTGACTTCCCGCGGCTGGACCGCCTGAGCTTTGACTTTGACGGCATTCTCTTGGTGCTAAGAGAAGCTGTCTCTTCAGGTGGCTTTTCTCAGCTGAAGGCGGTTGAGTTCAGGTTACTTGGCGTCGGCGAGCAAGCTGTAGCTGCTGTTCCAGATATCCATAAATATAGATCGGCCTTCCAAGCCGGTGGGACCCGGCTAGATATGGCAATAGCGATTGGGAATCCATTCGACAGTAAGCATTGACAATAGGTCTTAACGCGTAGAGTGACTGACGTTGCAGTGCCGCTTTCACTAGAGACGTCGCATCGGCTAGAGCAGCTGTTCCCCGGCTTTGTTCGGTATGTCAAGGGACACCATCTCATTTGTGCCTCAACCTGCGAGAGACCACATACGCCCGTCTTTGAAGAAGAGGAGGAATATATTTCTCGAGATCCGTATAGGGAAACTTGGTAGAGAAAGGTGCCGGACGAGCGGAGCTTTCCGCTCTTGTTTCCATTCATCAGAGCATGCGGGTTTTCGCACCCGTTGAGCTACCCTTTCAAATGTTCGAAGTCGTTCTTGCCTCAACATGGTACTTGGGTTTTGATTCAAGTCGCTGGTAACTGGCCCAGCCTTCGCGCCTCTCCCTCGGATTTGAATATGTATGAAGGGGTATGGGCAGAGCTACACATTTGCTTTCTTACATCAACAGTCCCTTAGATACCTTCTAGGGCCTGCTGCCGGGCTTTAGCAAAATCGGCAGCTTGGAGTGGACGGCCTCTGACAGCCTCCTTCCACTTCATAAAGCAGTGAGCGGTTCTCGTATGCGCTTCTCCTTGCTCGCAACCCCCCGGAATTGTCTTGTTTCTCGAGCCCTTCTATCCAAGAAAAAAAAAAAAAAAGGTCATGGACCACCTTCATGGAGAGCTCTTCGGCACATGCGCCGAGCATGCCTCACCCACGAACTAAAAAAATGGCGACGTTAGCAACATATACGGTCCTTCAGCTCCAATCGTCCACTCCCGCAGTGTGGTATCTTCCCGTCTGTGAAAGCTCCTCATCTCTTACTCCTCCCCATCTTACCAAATCCAAAACAACAAAAAACAATGGATGGCATTCTATGCGGCGCTTCCCTTGCACTTCCCAAAGAATCCGACTCGTAGACATAGGAAGTACCTAATCTAATCATTAAAAGTTTGATTACGCGCACCAAGTGAATTCATTCGATATGGTCGTTACGGGGGGGTGGGTTCTTTTGAATACATTCTTCTACAAACGACTGCTCGAGACCCTTTAAGTGCCTAGTGTTCTTTCTTCCCCGACTTTTTCCAAAAGGGGTTGCAAAGAACATAATGGGAGTGCAGCGCGTTTCGCGCGTCATTTATACCCGGGGGGACGGGATTTTGTCTTTGCTTTCTCTTCTCTATTAAATATATTAAATCCCAAAGATGCCAAATCATGGCGACCGCACCTCCTGTCCTCCTTCACACCGAAACGTCAACCGAGGACCTCAATGCGACCTCGCTCCCGCCTCCTGCAGCTCTCAAAAAGCCCTCAACAACATTCGCGATGCTGGAGAACCTAGAGCCCTCCTCTCTACCTAAAAGCAAAGCATCATCTCCATGCGTCTGTCCGCCACTCTCTCGCCCTACCAGAAACCAGTTTCCACCATGCCATGGCGAAGCTTCGTGCTGCCTCCCGTTTTCCCGCCAAAAGCGTCTCTCAAACAACGGCATGCTCGTGTCCCTCTTCCACCTTTCCAACATCAAAGCATCGATGACATCACGGTATGCGGGCCCGTGTGCTCCTACCTCGAAAAAGAATGCACTCCTACGTTATGGAGCGCCTGCGACGGCGACTTGGAGCAGTTCAAAAAGCAAGAACGAAGTCCAGTATGTCGCCGTCGGCTCCTCGCGACGGCTGGCATACCAAAACCCCATCGTCGAGCTTGCATGCTTGTCCCTCCTGCTCCCTTCCGGCGCTATACCAAAAACTTTATAAGGACTACCCACTCAAAGAGTTCTCCGCTCTACGCCTTTCGAACTCAAAGTTAACGAGCACTTGCTCCATGAGTGCACTTTTGGCTTCTGCTGTATGCATGCATAGCATTAGAAGGGCTGTTGTTTCTAGAAATGGTCTCGCTCCTGCGCTCCCTTGCAGCTACTGTTGATGCGGTAGTGCACGGAGGTCGAAGATCCAACCTCGCAATCTTTAAAACCTAAGGAATGAAGTGTACGCCGGATCTCTAGCCGTGCCGTGGACAGAAGACTCCACCAAAACCAAGCACCGGACGATGCATGAAGAACTCGGCACTCTCTCCAGTCCAGACTCAAAAAAGAAACTTCCGTGCTCCCTACACGTCCCCTTCTTTACGGACCCGTTCCACATGGGGATCCTGGTGTGCGGCCTCGCCGGCGTCTCCAAACAATCAAGCCGTCTCTGACTATATTGCGCCTCCATCACACTTCGTTCGCCAAAATGACATTCACTCAAAATGCATGCGCAGCCCTGATAAGGGACACACTCCTACGTCCTTGCAGATCCAATTCCCAAACACTGGTTTGCAGACCGCTCATGCCTTCTCTCTGTCGGAGTACTGCGCGCTACCTAAATCGCGCAGCGTCCGACGGTATGCAATGGAGGAAAAAGAGGCCCAATCTCGGTTCCTTTTCTAAACCATCATCGAGCGGGAACACACTTCGTGAAGGTCAAACATAAGGCCCGTCGTCCCGAACAGCGCACCCATGTCAATGACATGGAAGCGAAAGCCATGGATCTGGCTGACCTCATTCTCAGGGAGAGGGCGCTTCAGGAGGCTCGAACGAAAACGCAGGTGGAGAGCGTCGTCAAGATGACGCCGCAGGAGCTGCTCCGTCACTTCCACAGTGATATGGACAAGAAGGACCCGAAGAAACTGGATGCGGAAAAGAAGCGCATAGAGCGTGCGCGAAAGAGTTTTCGATATCTGTTCCTGACGCTCCAAAAGGACAAGCGACGGTATAAACTTTACACGTTGCGGAGTCATCTGAAGGCGTCTATCAAGGCTTTCGTGGAAGACTTCAAGGAAGCACCACTGGATGGGGCAACGGCGAACAGACTCGCGGATCCATACCGCAGCCGCAAGGAGGGCGGCGTAGAACCCATGGTTCCGGACTACGCTATCCGCGACGAGCCCCTCAGTAACGACGACGTAGCGCAGCAAGTCATCGCTGACGAAGCAAAAGTGGTCGAGCGCGGCGCAGAAAACGAAGGCACGGGAAGCAGAGACCCCAACCAAGAGGCCGCAGATAGTATTACAGGTGAGGGGTTAGGGAAAACGGCACTAAATATCCACATATGCTGCGCCGCGCTGCGTCTTTCCTCCCACCACCCAAAACAGCAACAACCCCACTGTGATGCAACCCCCTTTTGCCAAGCAAGCTCCCCATCTCTAAAACCCAGACTACAAAAGTTCCATGCCCGTGTTTCCTTCCCTCTGCCAGTCAGACTGCAAGTCCGCTACCAAAACTTCTCGTCCACTTTCTTTTCCTTACGAGAAGAAGCCTGCGTCTTCGCTGCTCAACGACTCCCTCCCTCCCAGAAACTGCTACATACACAACATGAACGCAGTAGCCTGTGGACTCGCATACCCGGAAAACAACAGCGCAAGTGGCATGGCGCGTCCGAGCGATCTTTGAGAAATAATGAATGGACCGTGATGTCTGGACAAAAAAACACACGCTAATAGCACCACATGAGCCACCACTCCGCCCCTCGTCCGCATCACCAAAACCGCAAACCCTCCCCCGTCCACCCAACCCACCACCGTCATCAAAAGCTCATCGCCGTCGATTACACGGCGAAAAGGCCTCGCTATTCTGTAACAAAACCGTAAAACCCACCGGCTATGGGGACGGTCGAAGTCCTCCTTCCTCCTTTTTCCGCTTGTTTCCACCACACCAGCCAGCCAGCCAGCCGTGTATGTCCTTGCTCTTTCCTCTCCCCTCCTTAGAGCTAGAGCTAGATAGAGCGAGATAGAGCCATTGGACAAATAATCCATCCAACACCCACCTTCTTATATATGTATATATATCTATCTACCCACGAACACCCAATAGCCGCGTCGTCGAATCGACTTTTCCAAAGTTTCCAAAAGCCCAACAAAACAAAAAAAAAAAAAAAATATGAACCTCGCCGGTATGCCATGCTCTTGCCATGCTCTTGCTCGCTCGCTCCCCCCGCCATCGTCAGTCGCAGTCGCAGTCGCATCAACACAGCACCAAAAACAAGCCTCATCACAAGCCATGAGAGAAGTGAACCCGCGCTTCTCCATACGATCGTAAAAACCGAAGACGATTTCGGGGGAGGACGGAGAGGAAATGAGACAAAGAACGGTGCCCCTCCTTACACCACGATACGCATCACCATGACCATCGCCATGCACAGACCTCAATACTCAGCACCACTACTCCCATGCACCATTCCTCCACAGTAAGACTTCCTCCCAATGCAACGCGCAAAACAGCATCACAGCATCACAGCATCAACCATCTCAGTCAAGTTCAAACTCCAAATATCATTCCAGCCACCGACACCCAAAAAATGAGCCGACGATGCAAATGCCCCCAACAAATGCATACAGATACACCATCTAATACTCCCCGGAGAGCTAACCCATGCAATCCAGAAACGCAAGCCTTTTGATGATGCATTTGTACATGAGAAAAGCTCAAGATACCCGCCCATTAAAAAGCGAAGCCTGTACCATGCAAAAATGTACAGGGGAAGAACCATCCCAAGAACGCATTCCCCATATGATCATTCGTATCGTCACTTCATAATTCGATCGTCTCCGCCCTTTTCAACGCCTGTCATCAACACCTCACTGCCGCCGAGTCTGCCCCTGCTGGTGCGCATAACGAGCCGCCGCTTGCGCCTGGTCGAAGCTAGCGCCATAGGGTTGCGTGACGTGCTGCTGCGGTTGCTGCCCTAGTTGCTGCCCTGGTTGCTGCTGTTGCATGAAGAACTGTCCCTGCATCGGCTGCGGGCTTGGGGTCCCCCAACCCTGCTGCATGCCTGGCGACATCCCCTGCTGCGGGAAGTAGCCCTGCTGCTGTTGGTACATATGCTGCATCTGGCCGGGACTCGAGTAGGCGAATGCTGGCGGGTACACCTGCGGCGTTCCCATCATGGCCGGTGTCGGTGTAGAGTATCCACCAGGCATACTCATTTGCTGTCCCATTGGTTGCCCCATTGATTGCCCCATTTGCATTTGCTGCTGACCCATCTGCTGCATCTCCATCATCTGCCGTTGCTGTGCCGCCATCATGCGCCGATCAATCTCAGCCTGCATAGCCGCCGTGCTCCGATTCGCCTTCGCAGCAGCCTTCTCTTTCTCTCGATGATCGATGTAAGCTGTAAGGCCCGACGAAGACGGCTTCTGCTCTTTGTTCGGATTCTTCGTCAAATCGATGAGTGGCGTGTTTGTTATCCGTGCCACCTGCTCTTGCTCGCGAGCGGACAATGACGAGGGGCGCTGATCAAGTAGGCGTTCAGCCCCTCGGGACAGCGGTCGGCTGAGGGGTCGGCTCGGTGGACGTGCAGGCATGGCCTCTGGAGTTCGTTGCAGATGAGACCAATCGCCTGACTGGTTTCGGCTCAAGGGGGGTGGAGTGTGAGACTTGCTCCTGCCATGAGGATACTCTCGTGGCTGGGCAGCGGCAGCAGCACGTTGCACTACCCACTCCTCCGGATCAAGCTTCTGCTTATCTGGGTGGCCTGGGGATGCCATACCGGGTTGCCAAGCGACGCTCCGGCTATCCGAGGGTTGTGGAGAGGCTGAGGAGCTGCGCATGTGTGCCGCTGCGATGGGCGTTGTCCTGCCTGAATACGACAGCCGTTTCTGCTCATTCGGAGAGGCAGCAAGATTCTCCTTCGACCGCGAGACACTATTGTCATGGAAGGCTTGGGTCATAGTTCCGCTAGTCCCGGGGCGTTTGGCGTCGGGCGCTAGAGAGTACGTGGGACCAAAATCAATGGTGGGGATGTCGGACGACGCTTCCGCTGGCTTCGAATCGGGTTTGTAATGGGCGTCTCCAATAACAAGATCAGGCTTGGGATTCAGATCTGGGTTCCCAACAAACTTCAGCATGCCACTCCGCGGCCGCTCTGGAAGCCTTGTCGCCGGCTTCGGTGCTTCTTCACTGGCCGTGCTTGCATAATCGGGCGTAGAGGTTGACACTGCATCATCTTCATAGCGACTGCTTGACTGACTGGGCTGCCTCAGCAGTGCTGGATTGGTGTAATTGAGGGCATCGAGGGCTTCGGGATCGACTACGTCGTTTCGTAAACTGCCGAGACTTGAGCTTGTGGCCGAGTGGGTATCATCCCCTCGCAGGGACAATGAAGACCGACCTGGTACTGGTTTACGATGAATTGAGTGGCTGCCTCCGCTGCCGGGGCGCTGCTCCTGGGCAAACTCAAGGCTCGGCCGCGACGGCGGCAGCTCGGCGTGTTCGGGGACAGGTGGGGCTGTTGGCTGATATACTGTAGGCGATTCCACAAATTGCTCCTGTTCCACGAACGGCGAGGCAGGAATAGTGGGAAGACGACTGCCCGAATGCCCAGGTCTAGAGTAGTTCTGACTCTGGACGTTAGCATTCGGATAGTCTTGATCTCTGCTTCCCTGTCTGTCATATTCGCCGCTTCGCCTACCACCCAGACTGTCATGACTTCGCCACGCTGCAGCTGCGCCGGCCACCGCAACTCCTGCCGGAATAGGCGTGTTCGTCGCGTCAGCCAGCTGATGAAGCGTCGCAGAATCCATATGCGCGTCCGGCTTCATCGTAAGAGGATGATATGGCTGAACTGGTGGCCTCTGGCTCGGTGCATGAGCGAACGTTGGAGGGTGCTCGACTGGACCCAAGGGTGGAGCCGTGGGCGCAAGCTGGACCTCGGGTAGATTGCGAGCATCTGGGCTTGGAGTCTCTCCGTCAGAAGTCTCGTATCCTTCATGCGGCTGAGGGGACCCATCGAGCTGACGGTGCGGTGGTGGAGGCGGCGGACTGTTGTAGTCGTCCACACTCGCTGATTGGGCGAGACGTGATGGTGTTTCGGCGTGATACTGCCTGCACCCATTCGTCTGTTCAGAAACCGAACGTTGATGGCGTGGCGTTGAAAATGGCGCAGTCGGTGGTGCGGAATCCACTCTCCGCGGTTCTTGTGGCTGGTTTTCCCCGGGTCGGGCTGGAGATGTCTGGCGGGTAGACGGTTGGGACCGTATCGAGCCACGTTCCTCGAATCTTAGGGTACCGCTGCGGGACGGTGGTAGGCTGGTGCGGTTAATCGTGTTTCTACGGCTAGTAGTCCTGCTTCGATCGCGCGGGGTAGATGCCATGCGTTTAGATGTCAAATCCTTCAATTGCTTCCTCCACTGCCGCTCGGACCAGTTCTGACTGCCATCGGTGTGAATCAAGCTGACCACATCCCACATCTCCAGGTAGCCGTAACGCCTGTCCGAAGGCATGGCGAACATCAAGCCGCGCGAGTCCAGTACATCTGCGATCAACTTGGTCGGGCGCCCGTACAGGGCAAAGGTATCGAAGACCGGGAATAAGAACTGAAGCATGATCTCGAAACCGGACACTGCCGGGCGCGTTTCAGGCATGACAAAAACGAAGCCCTCGGTGACCTTTTCCGGGCTTGAATGGATCGTGATCTTCCCCTCAATCTTGACTAGGGTTGACTGGTCAATGAGCGGCTTCGACTGCGGGTAAATTGCGTAGCACGAATACGCATCGTTGACCGTGGCGATGGGTCGGCTCTTCTTGGTGACCTTCTTCGAGTCGTAGAACTTTATGTCCCCCTTAAGAACCACGGGCTTGTTATTGTAAATGTTCTTCTTTTGCGTCTTTTGCAGCTTGGTGTACTCCTTCTCGTCGGGCGGGTTGACGACGGCCCAGCACCGGCGCCACGGCGTTCCCGCGCCGAATCGCACACGCACCCAGTCTTCGTACTTTGTGCGTTGTCGATCCAGGATCGCGCGGATATTGTTCAATGTCTTGCCCTTGCCGGCAATTAACGCGCCCGTGTACGCCTCCTGGAGCGTCGTGTGCTCGTACATGGCCAATCGGATGCCGGCGGTCCATTGCGTTAGCGAATTGAACGAGTTGAAGTGGAACAGGTACTTGTTGCTCGCTGCTGTGGACACGCTCAGGATGTTGTCGAGCTTCTTGCCGTCGCTCAGCACCATAGAAGGCATCTGCGACCGATTAGCGAGGATTGAAATGTCGTCATAGTTGGACGCACCATGTGGATCGCCGCGTCCGTGAGGTTGATGAATGTCGGCAGCACCTCAGCGTCGCTGCTGACTCTGTCCAGCTCGCTCGCGTCCCAGAGGGACAGGATGGTGCCCACTAGTTGCGCGAAGCACTCTTGCCACACCCGATCTGGGGCTGGGCGGCCGCCTGCGCTTGTCAGTGTCACGAAGCGGCTATTTGTGGAAAGCTTGACGTACGCGTATCGGTGTCGTGGAACTTGAGGAAGTAGCCCTCCTGGTACAGCTTGTTCGAGTGGCTGTTCAGGAACATGAAGATACGTTGCAGCTCGGGCAGCGTGTCCTGGCTGACCTCCATGACGGGAGGCTGGTATGTCTGTATCATGGACATTGGGCGCGACGACGGCCGCGAGTCGGGGCGCGGCTGCGAGCCGGGCGAGTTGAAGTCGCTATCGTGGGTGACGGAGGAGACGGAGAAGGAGGACGCATTCGGCGGCTTCTCCCTGGGCGAGTGCGGAGTCGGCGAAGCTGCGTTCGACGAGGGCGTCCGGCGGTTTGACGAGTGGCCTCCCCATTCTGACATGAAAGAGAGCACTGAGAACGCGCGAACCGAGGCCAGCATTAGTGAATGTTGCAGTTGGTGAAGGCAGGAGCGGAAGGCGCGAACGACGGGGGGTATTTACCTCTCTTTGGGCGAGCCATGGCCGCTGCAGAGCAATTGGCTACACGTGTAAGCGAACGGCCCTCCGCTGCTGACGGGCTTCTGTGTATCTGCTCAGGCGCGTGGTGTTGTCGGATCAGCCGCGCAAGCCACGGATGCGCCGGGTGGATGCAAGGGTGGGATAGTAGAAAAAGTTCCCAGCTAGGAAATACGCAAAGCGAGCGACGGGCAGCCGGGACGGGCGCTGCGGATGGCGCGGATACGGCTGGAGGGGGGGCTCCGGGGTGGAAAAGACTGGGAGTGCAGCAGAGTAGAGTAGAGGAGGGAGCAGGAGCGGACGCTGTGGGGTGGAGTGTCGTCGTGGATATGGCGGAGGAATTCTGGGCACTCCCGCGGCAAGGATCCGCGATGACGAAAAGCGCGCCTTTGGGGAGTGAAGGGCCCGCGCTATTCACTTGGGCTGGCACGCACGCACAACCAGGTCACTGATGATGAGAAAGCGAAGATGCGCGAGCAAACGGCGTCAAAAGCAAATGTGGCCGCATGTCTCAATATAGCTACCCGCGAACCTCCGCGTATTCGCCTGGCTGCGTTTCCCTTTGCAGCCAGCAGAGCGTTCCGTCAGAGGCGGACCTGCGAGCTTACGAGTCTTCTGTCACCGGGCCTTTCGTATCCAACCGCCTCAACACCTGAGGAGCTAGTCGAAACCGGCTTTCGCGCACCAGCCACGCCGCTCCATGTTGACGTTTGTGGCTCCGGGTGATGATGTCGCGAGGGCTGTGCGCTTGGCCGTGTGTTTTGGCAGCGCGAGGGAATGAAGGGACTGGCTGCTGAGGAAATTGAACACAGCAACGGCCAGCCACGGCGGGTGAGGAATGCGGCTCAAGCTGTCCTCTCCCCCATGTAGCTCCACACCTGTTTTGCTTCACGATGCACTGTCAGGTCTAACCCGGGACGTACGGTATCAGAGCTGGTCCGCAGTGGGCCAAGACTTAGTCACCACCTGGTCCCAGTCTGGCCCGGCAATTAATGCCGCGAGCCGTTGCTTCCGGACAGCTGCGGGGGTGCTTGACCTACGTGTACACAAAAGGTACAAAGGCCAACACGAGTCGACGATGCCGAGCGGGCGGCCGAGCTGCAGAGGTGAAGGTGATCCCGAGGGCACGTGATGTCGGAGCTTCGGGGGGTGGTTTTTCCAGGCGCTAGTGAAGCCCGCACCGCACCCATAGCTCCATCACGTCTGGCACCTCGCGACCGCGCGCGCCAAACGCTCCGGGGCTCCTTACCGGCCATCTCCATTTCCATCCAGTCACGCTCGCAATTGCTGCCCTGTCTGCTCAGCATTGCGGAAACCAGACTTCTGTCTGGAGCCGACATTTCGCCGCAGCCAGCGCGTTGGGTTTGCGGACCCACTCCGCCCGCCGTTCATCAGGGCCACCTCCATTGCACGGTCTCCATCGAGGATCCCCACCTCAAGCGCGAATTGCACCCACGGACGGGGTGATGCACCGCCATGATAGCCCGCAAGAGCAGCGAAAACGCGCTGACACCGGCCAAGAATGGCGCCATGACGGACACACCAGAGAGCCACAAGCGCAAGCGCGAAAGAGTCGATTGGTCTTCCATTGACCAGAAGGGGACCTTCCACGGCTTTGAGCTGAAGCCTCTGAAGGCGAGCAAGAAGCGCAGGTCCATGAAGGACTTGAGGCTTCCGCATATCGTGCAGCCGAATGTCTTCGATGGCTGCAACCTCAGCGAGACACAGTTTACCGTCACGCCGCCGTTAGAATGGGACAGCACTGGCCGGTACAAAAAGTTCACGAGTAAGGCGCCTCTGGCGGCTGAGCTTCGTGGCTGACCTGGAGCAGTTGGACAGGCTGAGTTTCAGGTCGGTGATATTGTTTATATCAGGGCGGATGAGAGCGAGATTGGCAGCAAGAGCGCCCCTCTCCAGGCCTGGGTGGCCAAGGTCCTCGAGGTCCGCGCTGGAGATGAGGTATGCGCTCTTGCAGCTACACCCCTGGCCCGAGCGCCTACTAACCCTCCCCCCAGAATCACGTCTACCTGCGCGTATATTGGATGTACAGGCCCGAGGACCTTCCGTCAGGCCGGCTTCCCCATCATGGACGTAACGAACTGATCGCGACCAACGACATGGCCATCATCGATGCCATGACCGTCGATGGCCCAGCCGACGTCGTCCACTGGCAAGAGCGGCAGGATCAAGGAGAGATTCTCCACCCAGACCAGCTCTTCTGGCGGCAGACGCTGGATGTCACGAAGAAGTCGTTCGTTCTCTCGGTACGTTGTCCTGCGCAAATTCACTGTCTAGCTCTAACCGGCACGCAGAAGCTTCCAATGCACTGCGTCGACAATGCGCCCTGCAACCCTGATCAACTCCTCATCCAATGCTCATCGTGCTCGAAATGGCTCCACGGCCCCTGTATCGAGAAAGCCGCCCTCCACGAAGCCTATGAATCCTTCGACCTTACATACCCGGAGGAAGATACAGCAGCAAAAGACGAGAGCCCCAAGAGGAAGCGCAAAGCGCCCTTGGCGTTGCTCGCGACGATCAACTCAACCTTATCGGGCAAGACGCGCTTGACTATCACGGATAGGCGGCTCGGCCTCAAGAAGAGGAAGACATGGGACGTCCCGATCAAGTGTCTCTTTTGCGAAGCTACAATCGAGGACGTCGAAGAGCCACCCGCGACGGACGCAGACCCCACCGAACCCGAAACCCCGCCCTCTGGCATCTTCGTCAGTGAAGCCATAGTCCCGGCCTCTGACGCAGCCCCACACACCCCTCCCTCCCCCCTGGACGAAGACTCAGATGAAGCAGTGCCAGACTCTGCGGTCGGCAAAAACAAAATGTTATCCTCCCCCCTGAGGAATGCCGCGCCCCCAGCCACAAGCGGCGCACTAGCTCCGCCTGAAGAGCCCAACGGTAACGGTGAGGCTGCCTACAACTCCGACTCCTCATCTCCCTCTGCCTGAGCTGAGCTAAGACGACAGACGCGGTAGACTACGTGGACACCACGCCGCGGAAGAGCAAGCGCCGCGCGACTACTGAGACGCCAGGACCGAGTGAGACGGAGGGCGTGCTGGAGAGTAGCGTGAAGGGCCTTAAACGGGTGCTTTTTAAAGACTGAGTGAGCAAGTGCGTTGCGTGGATAGCCGGGCGCATTGGAGTGCGGGTATTGCCTTTTCGTTTTGATAGGCTATATGCGGTGTGGTCCGGTGAGGGAGGGGGCGTTTGCTGCTATCCCTAACCTACCTTCCTTGCGTCTTGAGCTCCGGCGCTGTGCGAGGCTGACTTGCTGCTGACGCGCTTGCGAAGACGGTATACCTACCTACCTAGGTACCACTTGCTTGCTCCGGCAGTCTGGCTATTTGGTTTATAGCTTGGATATGCATACGCCTTATATCATGGTAAAAAAATTTATTACCTTTTTAACTCCTAAAACGTCTTGTATTTTCTGCGCGTTAACGATACCAACCTCAATGATTACATAACAGACAGGATCAGGACGCCCGCTCTCTACCTCTGCATATCTACTCTAGCAGACTACTTCGTTCCACAACCGTAATTTCTACGCAGATGATGGTGTTTGGATAGAGAGTGGAAAGTCGCATGTCCCTGTCTCACATAATATTTTGCTGTTGAGATATGGACGCTCCGACTGAAGACCTCCCAAAGCTAAATACGCTATTTTCTGGATGTGGGACGCCAGCGGCGACTGGGAGAGCTTGTGGAGCGTTCATTAACAGAACCTGAGTTATCACATGTTCGAGCTCTCTCCGGCTAGATGCTGAACATAGCACTTTCTGATATCTGTTTTAGCGTCGGCGACGGGGACTCGTCGTCGCTCCAGCACCCCGCTCAGCTCTTCGCTCAGTCGATCTCGTCGCACCATGATGTGCCATAGTGGATGCACGTGTAATATATGATTGGCAAACACATCGGCGACGAGCGATATCCAAGACCGCTTCAAAGTACTAATGGAACCTTGAATAAATTAGACTGCGGAAGCGCTTCAATGTCCGCGAGCTTTTGGCGAGGTGGTTGCGATAACTGACCAGATTACTCCGTATTCTGAGTGCTGGCGAATTGCTACTCGCTTATTCTCGGCTTGGAAAATTAATCTTCTGAGATTTATTCTTTCTGACATAAACACTGACCTGATTACCCTCCTAACGATTATTTACCTGGGAAGAATGCACGTGTGGCACTTTGGCATCAGCCGTCAATGTTGACGTCAAATGGCCACAGCTTCCTCCCTCGATCTTCGTTCACGTCAGGGTCCTCAGATTGAGCCGCGGTCTGCATCCATTCCTCAAAGACCGATTGATTAGCGTCTTTGGCTGCTTCCCAGGCTGCGGAGGGCACCCAACCGTCGGTGTTCGAATTGATGGAGCGAACGAGGAACAGTTTGAGGCTTTGAAAGGTTTCGAAATCCTCCCACTCTTTCGCGTGCCTAATGAGCTCCTGCGGAGATGGCTGGTAGGGGCATGAATTCGGGAGCCCCAGTTCATTCCAACGCTGAGACAATTCAATGAGTTCTTGACGGAGCGCAGCTGCACCATCTCTCCAGGATGTATGGCAGTATCGTATCGGCCTGAGTAGTGTCTCGTCAAGAGCCCGGGCATCGTGCAACTTGGGCACCCAACCTTTCAAGGCAACCTCGAAAGTTTGCTCACAGATAGAGATTTCCTTTTCGCGTGTTTTGTCGTGTGAGCTCTGCGTCTGATTAGGTGACGTGTCCGGCTCGTCTTCAAAAAGGGGCATGTCGATTGTACGATCGGCAACCATATCCGGCGTCTCGTTCGCGAAAGAGAACACTGGTTCGACCCCAGCGGATTGCCAGTCAATCACAGCAGTTAGGCGGGTGGGGTCGTCATTGGATACGAAAATGTTCCTTTTGTGGAAGTCGGGGTGCAGGAGCATTGGTGCGGAGACGTTCTGAATAACCGGGCTCTTGATGACCTCTTTCACAACTTGTTCGCTGACTTCTAATAGATGTAGATGGTCTTGGGTGATTCTACTAGAAGATGTTCCGCCCGCGGGGTCCGTGGAAGGTATTCGTGAAAAGCCCGTGTCTATTAGGCCAGAACAATAAGATAACGCATCTGTCCCTAGATGTGTGGAAAACGTCAACGTCACGTCTAGGGGGCACATCGACAGAGTTCGATTAACTTACACGGTCCCTGGTTTGGTTTCCTCCTATCGTAATAGCGAGATTCTCCGGGTTCCAAGCACCAATATTGGGTCGCACAATGCGGGCCTATGCAGAATCCGTTGGACAAGTCCAGTTTTAACGATGGATTGATTGGGGCATCGGCAAAGTACAAGCTTCCGTATGCCGGAAACTGCAGTTTTGCCATCTCCTTTACTACCGTGGCTGCGGACTTGACGCACAGCATTTGCTGAAGTGTATTCATCATGTTCCATTTTTCATGTAGCTGGGCCCCCGAGGCATGCTCCATAATTATGTACTCAGTGCCAGTGGGATTGGCAGGGTCGTCGTTCCAGTCAATGACTCTCGGTACAGGAACGGAGGTGTGAGCACGAACTAGGAAGGTAGTCAGTTACCTCATTCTTAACACGGGTATAAGCGTTATGTACTATAGGCCATAGTCGCTACTTCAGAATTAGTCGTCAATCTTCTAGGACCGGCGACTCGGAATGGGACTCTTGCCACAACCGTAGCACCATTGTCCATATGTAAAAGAAAGGCTCTGTTGTAGGTGCCTTCCTTCTTCTCCTGTCTGGCAATTCTATTAGCGCCAGGACATGCCTGTATTGCCTTTTTGCACAGAGCCGCAAAGTCGAACTCGATGTGACGCGCTTCCCGTTGCAGTTTATCGTTTTTGAGCCAGTGTCCGCTCGTGTATGTAAATGGATCCAATCCTTTGTTCTGTTAGTTCTGTATTACTACGTGATGCCGAGTGCACAACCGGTAGACCGACTGTAAGCGGGTTTGGAGTCTCCCTGCAAAGTGGTGGCCAGGGTGGTTTGGGTCATCGCAGTAGTTGAAATGGCACGCCGGGTTATCGTAGTGGGTAGCGAGGTCAGGCAGGAGCGGTAGATAGGTTTTAACATATTTAAGGAGCAGCATGTGCTAGGTGGCAGAGGGAAAGGATGAAGCTTCGAAGTCGTTTCGTCGATAACGCCAAGAAACAAGCCCGCTTAAAATGCACCGCCAGGCCGGAGCCTCGCCAATCAGACAAATACGAACTTCTAAGCTAAAACAAGCGTCCCTCTAGCGTGCTAGGGAATTTAGATCTTCCCCAACGCCCGCTTCTGCAGCTCCTCCAGGACTTTACTTGTCTCTGCATCAGGGTCTGCAGCTGTAGTATCAAAACGGGCAATAGCCAGCTTAGCGTGAGTACCGTTCTTTTGCACCCATTACTTTAGTCCCGTACCCTTGGCTTGGCTATTCACCTGAAGAACAACATTGCGATATTTTCCATCTACCAGTTCCCCTGCGTCGATTCGGCATTAATAATCCTGGTCGTTCTTCTGCGTCCGTGATAGTACAATGCGGTTTCCAGCGTTGTATAATGCTTTCAATTTAGCACTCATCCTTGTGGAAGGTGTCGCTCTCCTTTTCCGATGGAGCATTACCCCCCTGCGTATGTCTCTCTTTTTGCTGAAAATTATTGCGCGTTAAAGTTTGGGCTGATCAGTTCATCGCCACTCGAAGTGTCTCACCGCTGAAGCGGAAGCGCGCAAGCATCGCCATGCCTATTTCTAGAGTTAGGTATAGAAGAACGGCGCAGCTAATAGTAGCTTAGCAGGCTGCGTAAACGCCAGCCGTAGAGACTTTCCACAAAGAAATTATTTTAAATTGAAGTCTCCGATACATCTACTCACATAGTAGTCGTAGTAGTAGTAGTAAAACCTACGAGGGAGGGGTATCTCCTATCCTAATCCTATCCTATCCTATCCTATCCTATCCTATCCTATCCCATCGCACCCGCAAAGACGAACGCCGTGCGCTAGATGCTACTACTACTAGTCCCCAAGTGCTAATGTCTAGCGATAAACGTGCCAGAGTCGTTAAAAAAAAAAAAGAAAACGCCATGTAATGCATACCAATACCGATCCCGCATGTAAATAACCACCAAGTCCATCTCACACTTCAACTCGCTACCAATGCTACTGCATCGCCCAGCACGATATCGCCCTCTTCCGCGGTTGGAAATCAACCGGGCGGCAACTTGCCCCTGCCCACATTCAGCTTGAGCAGCAGCTTCGGCCGCTGCCCGCCCACTCTCTCCACCGAGACACGATGCCCCTGCGCTGCCGTTCCATTACTCAACGGCGGCGCGGCGGCGGGCTCGGTGCTCTGCCGCTTCGCCGGCCGCGGGACGTCCAGCTCCCCGTCCGCCTTGCGCTTCTTAGTATTCGCGCCATTGGGGAAGCGCGCCAGATGCTCGGGCGCGAGTTTCAACTTGACGATGCGGCTCTGAGCCTTCTTGCCCTTGGCGGTCTTTGGTGTTGCGGCGGGTTTCGGTGTAGCCGCTGTCTTGGGCGGGGCGCGAGCTGTAGGAACCTTGATCTTGACAATTTGCGAGGGCGCGGGCGGCGGTGGGGAGGCTTGCGGCGTAGGCGCTGTGATAGCAGCGGGGCTCTCGATTACGGGCGGTGCAGGCGTTGTGGATTGACGTGGTGGAGGCGCGGCGGGAGAGGGTGGCTTAGCTGGCAGAGCGGGCGACAGCGCCTGGGAAATGGTGGGGGCTGGTGCGGGAGAAGGACTCTTCTGGATGGACGGAGGAGGCATCCATTCTGATGCCCTCCTGTCCGAGCCTTCTGTCGGGGGTGCGACTGCTAGGGAATCAGCCGATACGGAGAAAGGGGCAGACACAGACGCAGGCGAGGGCATAGCGGCGGACGGAGGCCCCGGCTTGGAACTACTAGGCTTGAGCTTGAGCTTGATCGGTGGTGCAGCTGGGGCTTGTGGCTGAGCCTTTGCTTGAGCCTGCGGTAGGAAAGGCCGCAACGGTTGCGTCCGTATGCGATCGCCGCGGTAGAAGCGTAATCGTCCCTCGGGGCCGCCGAGCCATTGCACCTTCCAGTATCGCGGGTACTGGAGCGTGATCTCGAGCTTGGTGACAGGGTCGACGATCATCTCGCAGAAATCCAGCAGCTCTGACACGTCCCGTGCCGACATGCTCCTTGACTTCAAAGCAACCTCCAGCGATTGCCTCAGAGTCTCATTGTGTCCCATATCAGCCTTCAGCCCGCGAAGAGCACCCTCCAGCCTGCGGCGCGCAATCTCGGCTGCTCGGTCCGACACGCCGGTATTGTCTTCAAGGACGAGACCTCCATTGGCCTGCTCGCTAGGGTCGTCAAGAACGAAGACGTCTCCAACGGCGACCTGCCCCACAGCAGTGCCGAAAATGCGGAGCATCTGCGCCCTAAAGTATGGTGACGGATCGGAGTGGATCTCGTGGAGCATATACTTGATCACGCTATCCTTCTTCTTGAACACGCCCAGCTGGATGAGGCACTCCCACGCCTTCAGGCGCACGTTGTCGGCGTTTCCAATCTGAGCGTACTGCAAGAACTCCGAAACCTTGAATGGCCTAACGCGGTTCTTGATGAGCTTGACCGCGCACTCTAGCGCGGCCGTCGTGTAGATGTTCTGGTACGTAGGGATCCACTCGTCAAGCCGCTGGTGGCGCTCCAACTCTTCAATAGCTTTCCTAGCGAAGTCGAACTCTTCCGCCTCATCTACAAGGCTGAGCGTGGGGTCTGAGTCCGTGAGGTTCGGTTTAGAGCTGACGAGGCATTCTGTGAGACATCGCATAAGCGTAGCGAGGTAATGATCATCGCTGTAGTCATTGCCCCGATTGTCGTTGTACCGAATAATGTCGAGCAGGAACCGCTTCACCTCCATGGGCGCCTTCCCGTCATTACGCTTGATCTTGGCGATTGCTTTAGGAATGGCACATTGGATGAGATATAAGCTTCGGTCAGAAAAGTCGTTGGGCCTGGTCATGGGTGAATTAGGTAGACAGAAGAGCTCCTGGAAGGCCTTCTTGAGGTGGAAAAAGCCAATCCATCCCGTCTCTTGCATCGCACTTAACGCCAGGACCTCGGCAGCCATAGTCCGAATCCCATGGAAATATCGACTGTCCATGAGCGTCTTGACAAGGAAACTCGAGATGAGTCGATGACCTTGTTTAAGTGCGAGATACTGAATGGACTCTGCTTGTGCCACAACATCCTTGTCCTGTTGCAACTGCGAGACATACATGTACGACGGCATGTCGTTAATGTTGGCTCGACAGATCCATTCGAAATCCGCGTCCACGCGAATCCATTCATAGGCTTCGTTATCCATCTTCTGTTCGTCGTCTGGAGGCCAATCTGAGATCTGCCACTCGCTAGCTTCCTCTGGCGTTGAGAAGAGATCTCCTAGGGAGTAGAAGGTAACGTCGTCTTGTGCCTCGCCGGTTGCATCTAGTCCTTGCGCGGCAGCCATTCGTTCCTTGTTCAAGCGATTGCGCTTCAAACGCTTGTACTTGGTGTTGTAAGGTATCTCCACCTTCACATTAGAAGAGTTAATGTCGACGATATGTTCGTACGGCGTGCCATCCGCCTCGTGGATGCGAATCGTCATGGGACCAACAAACGCTGGCCAATCAGGGTCCGGGTAAAACTTGTGCAGCCTCTCTCGGCCCTCCCTCATGAACTCTTCAGCGGAGAGGGTATGGTCGTCTAATGACATTGTCGGGTCTGCCTGCGTCTGTTTGATGGTGAGCTGAATGACCTGCTTCTTCTTATTGAACTGTGGGAAGCACTCGAAGGTCGGACAGCCGGATCCGTAGACCCATTGCTTGAAGAAGTTCTCCAACTTTTGGTGTCCGACCTTTTCGCAAATATCGCGGAATTCTTCTGTAGAGATGGCCCCATTGTCAAGTTTCCCGTTTCCGAGCATGAACAGCATTCGATATAGGCATCGATCCACGCCGTTCTTCCCGCTCGCCTTCACAAGTCGGTTGTGCAGGATGGAGAGCACTGACAGCGCCTTAATCTCCATGAAGTCCCGTTCGCCAGGATCAAGAGGTAGGTACTTCCCCAGCTTGTAAAGAGAGGGTCGACGTATGTCCATCTGCATAATCTTGTCAACCATCAATTTCTGCCGAAATCGGTGATCGTTGCGACCAAAAAGTTCGCGGAGGTAGAACTCAGTCATGAACCAGGAGCTGGCGGATATGACCCAGTAGTCGGACGGGCTCTTGGCAATGAGGTCAATTCCTATCCACTGGCTGGCGACAGCGTGGATGAGGACTCTGGTGGTGTGTTCCAGCGGTTCCCACACAGTCTCCGGGAAGAGCAGCCGGGAGCTGCATATGGATAGAGAGGCCGTGTGTGCCGCGTCGCAGTCCAAGTCGTCCACAAACGCGAGCTTATAAGATTTGCCGAATCTATAGGTTTGGTAACGCTCGGTGAAACTGTCGAGGGTCCTTGCCAGCATCATGGCGCTGTTGCGGGCCTCGTCCTCCTTTCCAGGTAAACAAAAGGCATGCACCTTGATAGCCTCCTCGCGTAACCGGTCTTCGTCGGAGATGTCGCGGTACTCTGTAAGGTCCACGTGCTGGAACGGTCCGATAACAATGCCAATATGCTGGGGAAGAATGCCCATGGTGGCGTCGATGGTGAAGCTCGCGGTCGCTCGTGACGGATCGGTGCGGTCCTCGATCTAGAACAGTCAGTAGCGCCATGAGGGTTACGCAGTAACTCACGTCATCTGTCAGCATTCCGGAGCAGATGACCGTCATCTCCAAGGCCTTCTCCTCCTCGGTGAGGTCGTTTTGATCCTCATCGGGCTCGCTCATGACGCTGTCGGCCTTGTGCACACCGTTCATCTGCGGCTGGCCGCTTGTCCGGGCGGTCTTGCAGAGCGCATCCCCCATGGTCCGTGGATACCGTATAGCAACGTCAAAGTTGCACCTCGTGCTGCCGTCGTCTACGCAGGGAAACAGGCAGGACGCCATTCCCGGGAAGGGCGAGTTGCGCGTGTAGGCGTGTGGGTACCGCGCGTCTCCGTCCTCGATGCCCGCGAAGTGTATAGCATCCCGGAAGTCATCAAGAACATATTCGATCACCACCTTTAACGGCGTGTACGCTAGCACGCCTTCTTCTCTTGTCTCCCGAATGCGGGCCTTGTCTGGCACAAAGATGACCAGCTCTTCCTCGGCGCCTTCTTCATGCCGCCGGAGCCGCTGTTGTGGAAAGTGATACTGCTGCACGCCGGTGGTCGGGTAAAGTTGTAGCCGCTCGTACAGATTCTGGTAGCTGAAGGCGGCGGGCTTGTTCTCGACGGTAATGCGCGTGGGCTTGAGCTGCCGGCAGTTGAGGTGTATCTCCTTGAGGTGCGGCGTCAGCGGGACCACGTCTATCGCCGTGGTCCCTTTGACAAGCCGCGGGCAGAAGCTGAAGTCGAGCTCCACCTTCTGTCGCTGGACGTTGAACAGCGTCGCTAGGGACGTGTTGTCCTCCGGAACGCCGTCCATCTCGATCGGGGCCGTGGCGGACGGCGCGGGCGAGACCTGCTCCCGGTGTCCTGGTCACGATGGGTGCGGGTGGATAGCGGGGCTGTTGGCGGTTGCGTGTTGCGTCGCGTTCTCGATGAAGAGCTTCGGCAGCGGAGAAAGGCGTCGGCCTTGGCGCACGTTTTCTTGGCGCGGGCGCGACCCGCCATGACGTCGCGCCGCCTTTCACCTCCAGCACGACCAATTCCTTCACCACATCGAATCACCCAAGGCGAACGGTGCAATAATCCCATGTTGCTCGATTTCACGTACGCGCGGTCGGCTTCGTCCTTTCTTTTTCCCAGGAACACCCAGTTTCATTCTATAAACGGCTCTCGGATACAACTCGCAGAGACTAGACAAATCCGGAAATATTGCTGGTGTCACTCTATATGGAGATCAATATCGGTAAAAGCACAACCCCGTCGCTGCTAACTCGAAACCAGGCCTTTGGCGGGGCTCACGCCCTAACTCTGCGGGGATCTACATGATTGTATCGATTGACCTCGTATTTGGGACCCCCTAGATGCCGCCAAATTTTCTACATGGGGGCATTCATAGTTCTTTCGTGCCAACCTCGTGGATGCTTGGACGAGCAGCTAGGTCTATTTTGTCGTCACACGGAACTCCTCTCCGGTTTCTGAAGATCTATATAGCCTCATTCCCCTTTTCAGTTTACGCTGTCCGTCTACCACATCTGCCGTCACAGCCAAACTTCCATAATGTACATTTTCTATTCTCTCGCGGCCGTTGCCGCCCTTGCAGCAGCCAGTCCTCAAGGCATCCCAAGCAGCATACCACCCGTCTCGAAAGCCCCCAACTTCCGCATCACCGCAGCATTCGCCCAGGACTCGCCGCTCAGCGAAGTCGCAGGAGGCTGGAATCTGACATCCTACCACATCACGCCCTGCTACGACTACGCCGTCTTCACGAATCACACCGGCCGCACCTTCTATGCGAATGGCACCGACGAGCAATTCGCCAACCACACGTCCAACCTCCTCAGCGACGGCGGCACACCGCCCTGGCCATGGGGAACTGTTGTCGCCGCCGCGAACGCCACCGATGACGAAGGGCGGAGGCCCGTGTATATCAACTGCGGGCAGGGCACGCCGGGGTTCCAGGTCGCGGACTGGCCGGGGACGGTGTATTATGGCACCGGGACGTTTTACGTTTGCAATGCGACACTGCTGTATGGACCTGCTATTGCGCTGTATTGGAGGAAGAAGGTGGACCAAACGCCGGAGGGATGCGCGAATGTAGAGTTGCAGGCTTGGTGCTTGGACGATGATACGGAGCATGAGTTGCAGAGAAACTCGACGTGTTATGGGACGACCCCTTACCCCCCGAGGCTGCGCTGAGGGACATGGTGATGGTGATAGGGAGGCTTCGAGGTGGCTAGGCTGTGCGCCTCTAACGGACCCAGAATGGCTGCGCAGGCTTTCATGCTGATTCATCCGAAGGGTGGGACTCTATTTCCGTCCGAAAGTCAATGGAGTCCCACTTCGATCACGTGCTTCATGTGCCATCTTAGTCATCTCCTTATTCTCTCTTCCTATAAATTCGCCCTCTACAGCACCTATTATTCTCCACTCCTTCATGCCCCTGCCGCTCTAAAATCACGTCGTTCTTCAACTCTATGCGCTCCTCCTAAAATATCCTCCAAGCTACACCTATGTCTCCTCTTTGCCCCTGCGTCCCAACATTTCTCCAAAATTGTCCTGCAAACGCCGATAGGGTGGCCGACTTCTCTGTGGAAACCAAAACCGGCTCTACCATTTCGTTATGCTCGGACCTGAGGCATATTGAAGGTCGGCATCCTGGGGCGGCGTGGCTTTTCGAAGCGTGGAACAAAGGACTAGACGAAAGAACTTACGTGCTCGATTAGGCTCCGAGCTACTCATACAGTCCAAAATTTATGCTACGACCACTTCATGCCTCGGCTGGGCTTGATGCACTACTGAAAACAACTCCGCCGCTGGACATGGACGTCTCGGAAAAACAACTCCGCTACTGATCATGGACGTTTCAAAGTGCCTAAAAAAAGGAAAGGACGCAATGTATGGGGCTCCGAATGGAACCGCACTACAGTTATGGCGGAAAAACTCTCGGGAAGATAGCAGTGTTTTCTGTGAGGCGGTCCGAGCCCGGCCTACAGAAGGCGCGATGGCATCGACGCATGGCGGTTCGAGTCGACCGGACTTGCGCTCGCAGATCCAGTCGAGGAACCCAAAAGCACGACATACCCTCCCATGGACTCTGGGACCGTGGCTCTGCTGGCTGGCTGAAGCAGGGTATATAAAGCCCTCCTCCCTTTCCAGAATCTCTGCTTTCTTTCCACCACATCTGCATCACTGAGAATGAAACTGGATGACAGCCTTCTACATGGAGCGGAACTAAAAACATCGCTCGCTTCACGCCATGGCTCTCTGCCTCTGGCGGGCTCTCGGACTCCGAAATAACATGCAGGTAATCCGCATGCTTTGCGGCTCTCGAACGCGCCGAGATTATGTATTCACCTCGTCTGGCTATAAAGGGGGTCGTGTGTCTGTGTCGAAAACGCAAGCTGGCGGCTTTATGGCCCGGCTGGGAAGTGGACTAAAAGTTCACGACGAAGCTGGTATGGAACCTGGGGTTTGGTTCTTGACACGCTTTTTGTTGTCGAAGTTCCTTTTGGATCGGAGAATGCTTGATTGACGCGGTACTAAAAGCCAAGTTCGTCTCGTTCATGGACCGGTCCTCCTTCCCCTAGCGGCGGCCTATCTGAAATTCCTAGAAGAAACTCTCCATGCCGGTGTGGTGGACCAGAAACGACCTCCAGCGGAGTTCATGGGGAACCCGAAACCAGCCTACTCAGCCCTGATGAGTACCCTCTGCCCTGCGTCTTCAAACGCATTTAGAGCCAACTCATGAACAAGGCGTGGAGTACACAGACAATCAGATACCCTCTCCTTACGCAGTGCCGACGAAGGAAGGTCATATAAAACCCTCTACTCGCTCCTTCTCCTTCTCTTCACCAAGCGATGTCGGAGACTACTAAAACCAGAAAATGTTTAGGATATGTGCTCGGTACCAAAGGCGACAATGGTCAAGCACATGTTGGCCCGGTTGCTGCTCCCTTTCAAAGCGGTCAGTGCCTTTATTAGTATTGAGAGCATTTGAAGAAGCGCTAGAAGCGGCCTATTGCTACATCTAGAACATGCGTCTGGTGCGCATACTAAATCAGAAAGCGCCCTACCGTGTGACTCCGGAAACTTGGCCTCGATCTGACTTCACTGGAAGATGGGAATTTTCCTGGACGTCTGAAGGACCCGCATCGTCACCCTATGTCTCCCGGATAGCCAAAAGAGACTCAGTGTATGTGCTCAAATTGTCTCATCGCTCCTATCATGCTTCGTTAGCATCCCCACCGCTTACATCGAGGTCCACGGAAAACGAAGGGTACAAATCGCTCGTTGTTTGTCTCTGGCTTCTTCACAGCCAGCTCTCCCGGCTCCACTAAAACCAGAAACTGAGCGATACAATGTGTTGCTCCAAAGGAGCAGCAGGACGCCTCATGGAAGCTTTTTCTTCTGGAAACTTGATTGCCACTTCTCCTGTTTCCAAAAATGTGATTCGCCAGTCGTATGAGGGTCGTCAGCGTGGTAAACCCGCTAAAAAGCACTTCTTATAGCATTATGCTCGCAGAGTCGAGAATCGCAGATGATGTTGACATATGGTTCCACCAAAACCACATATAGCATGGGCGATGCCTTGCTCAAGAAGGCTCTAGCCATTCAATTCATGGAGCGTTCTTCTAGAAACCACCTTCTGAGCTTGTCATGCTTTTAGAATCCGAAGCTCATAGTGTTTATGAGAAGCACTGACTTCAGAAGTAATCCAGGACAGAAGCATGTGTGGAGGCGGGCCGAGAAAATTCAATACTGCCATTGAATGTCGCCAGATCATGATATCGGGGGGCGCTTGACCCGATCGCCGAAATCGACCTGAGATCTCTGGCCGATCCAGTGTTGTTTTGTCTCCTTTTGGAATCATTGAGTCGGTGGTGCTACGGAAGAGCGACTCCGTTCCCGCCGCAGTCCCCCTGACTGCTCCCGATCTATAAAGTCTTCCTTCCCCAGCTCAGTCTTCTACCTCTTCACCACTAATCCTCGCCTTATTGGTCTCGCTAAAAGTATCGCCAATGCCAATCCATGCGCTCCTTCTAAACAGGACCGCATCCTATACCATAGAAGACGTGCAATCCTTCCCTGTTCCTGAACAAAAACAAGGAAGATTCTCCGCCATGTCCGACTGTTCGCTTCTCTTTCTTCCAAAAAAGGGGCGTCCACGACGTTCATGGTGGGTGGACTACGGACATACTAGCCATTCAGCCAAAGAGCCAGAACGAGCACACATGGGCCTCATGAACACGTGGACCCAAAGCGAAGTTACAGCATTTCTATGCTCGCCTCCTCGCCCCTGAGCTCCGGGGACCAATAAAAGAGAACCACAAAAGACAACATGCTTCGCCGTCCGCCCTATCCATCCAAAAAGCTCAACTTCACATAACATGCTCTTGGAAGCAGCTCGAATATATACTCTACCGCCAACCAAATAGCTGGCTCCAAAGTTGTATCGACCGAGCGCCTCCTAAACTGCAATGCAGCCCTCCTCACATCCATGACCCTGCAGCATCATGCACGTCCTCTCCCTACCTCTCTGCCGAGTCCAACAGCGCACATACATACACTACAATACACCCTACCATACCCTTCATAGAACCAACACATCGATGTCATGCTCCCTCCTCGGGGAGGTATAAAACCCCAACCCAATCCTCACCCTTCAACTTCTTTCCTTCCTTCCGAACAGTTCACTCGTTCCAAAACTGCTCCAAAGCAATAAGGAGATACGCGCCATGAGCCGCGCTCCAAAAAGGACAGACCGCCTACACATGAGAACGACGGACCGACCTTCGCCTTCTTTGACGATCACAATCTGCAAAGCTAGCATTCGATGTCCCGGCTGCCTCTTTTCGTGCTAAAAAGAAACAAAACTCTGCGCATGTGGCAGAGCTGCGCCTCCTCCCCACAGAACCGAATGGAAAAGGCTTACACTACATGGGCGCTCTGTTGTCAGATTCCCGTACTTCCTCAGATGAAGTGCGGCTTCTCCAAAATGGTTCTGCGATAGAGGCATGTGTGTTCTTCCAAAAACCAGAGAAGCGTTTGCAAGTGCCGCGGGCGCCGCGCGCACAGCTACCCCATTAGAGGAGAAAGAAATGGGGAATTCCTCATGTCAGGATGATTGCCATTTCCTCCCAAACAAAGTGACGAGGAGCAAGCACTATGGATGACGATTCTATGGGTTCGGATGCGAGCTGAAGACGATAGCAAGGTCGAAAATGGGGCGTGCGGCGCGGTCACCTTGGGGTTCTGGCGATGGGTTCGAGACGAGATGACGGTAGACTGCGGTGAGGATCAGCATCAAGTCTTAAAGCTGATCCTAGACACTATCATGGGAGGGATTCGCCCCAGTGAAGAAGTCACCTCAAGCCAGTAAGTACGCCGAGCAACGCCATGGAGTAGGTACCGGATCTATGACTGTCAGCCCCGTCAGCCCAGCCCAAGCCATCCCAGCTCGCCCATGCCACGCTCACGTGCCGCGATCGGTATTATAATACTGCGAGGCCATTCCAATCCACAACGCACGTCATCGAACGAAAGCACGCAAACACAATCGCTCTTCTCCAGCCCCGTCTCCTTAAAGCTCACAAACAGCTTCCGTACCATACTCCCAGCCTCGCGCCAGCAGATAGTGCGCCTCGGCTTAGTAGTATTGATGTATATCTGCCGAGCAGTCAATCAGACGCCTACCGTCGCCAACGAAACCATCTCCAAGCACCATCTACAGGCTTATCCCGATCACACGCCTCGTGATCAAGCATCCAAGGCCGAAGATTCCTATTAGGAAAGTCGATAAACTCTTGCGCCAGAAAGGGCATCTCGCTGAGGCGCTGCTGACGCAAGTGGCTGGCTGAAGCCACCCGGTCTCCAGAGGCCTAGAACTCGGCGTGCAGCTGTGGAGTCCATGGCGTGCAGCAGGCTGCATGAAGAAAGGAAGCTGAAGGGCTAGGCTAGCTGAGTCAAATGCTCTTGTCAGTAATGTCCCTCGCGTAGAAGTCCGACGATGCATAGAAGCCTCGGATGGCGGGGCACACACATTCATTCCTCCCTACCTACCCCTCACTCCGAGCCCTAAAGCCCGCCCTATCTCCGACTCCTTCCACCACCACCACTCACCTGCTCCTCACGACCTCCCCCGCACACAGCACCAGCTGCTCACTGCTAAACCTCTCGATATCGCCAAACACATCGCCCGCCTCCGCGCCCTTGGCGGCCTTGTCAAACGCCTCCAGGCTCTCCCACACCAGCACGCTGTACGGGCTGTCCGGGCCGAGCTGCGTGACGCTCCACCTCTTGAGGCCGTATTTGGCCCACGAGGACGCGACGAGCGGCATGTGTGTCGACAGGTAGTAGGCCATGTTGAAGGTTGCGCCGTCTTTGCGCGGGTAGAGGACGCTGGCCTGGGCGGGTTTCGTGGTCATGGTGAATTCGCCGGAGTTGTGTTGGGGTGGTGATGGTTCTGCGGGGGTGTGAAGAGCGATGGTGAAGCTGGAGTTGGAGGCTCGCGGGTATGTAGTTGGAATCACGACTGAATGGTTAGTTGGGCGAGTTCGTGGAAAGAGGGGCGGGTATATGTAAAAGAGTTGGTGTGGCGTAGTTAGCGATCAGCCCCACGTCCCTTCATCTATCCGACGAGCACCGGAGCCATTCTGCCAGCCTACTCCACCGGCTTATCTGTACAGCTGTAAGCCGATTCCGACAGGCCAGGCTGGTTAGCTGAGATGCGGGGAACTCGGATTGCGCGTGCATGGTTGAAAAGCAGGCGGCCCGGACCCACACCAACCGGACTAAAGCGCATTGTAGCAGGGGCGAATTGATCCGAGAAACTTGTGGAATGGTTTGCCGCTGAATATCTACGGGTATCATGCGCGCCTGGTATTAAAACAGATCATTTCCAACTTATCCGCCCATGGAGATCAAAGCCTAAATCTCAACGCCGTCCAAAGGGTTTCTTCTTCGGTTCCTTGACCATACTCTTTTTCGTCACCACTACTGCTTCGCCGCCTGCTTTGGTCTGCTTCTGGGGGAAACCGAAGAATGGGACTGGGATGTCGTCTCGCAGTCCGGCAATCCTTACGTCGCCCCATGTCCGGTCGGCGATGGGGGTGGTAGGAAAAGAGGTCTTAGCCCAGACAAATTCCATCCGGTCCATGCCTTCGAGGCGCAGGCCAACGACCATGTGTACTTCTTGTACGATAGTGGCTTGCAGCTGGGGCGGCGAGAGCAGTCCGTTGATCTCCGGCGGCTTGGGCTTGACATACTTGACGGCAATGCTCGTTCGTTGCCCGATCACGGCTTCGAGGATCCCGATGGACGGTGTCGGACCTACAAACTTCTCTGGCAGCGGGGTCTTCACGAGGAGCCCGTCTTCCTCATGGGTGCAGTCCGTCAGGCGGAATCGAAGCTTGGGATCGAGGTCAACGGCGGCGTCGGATAGTCGTCCGCCGTCAATGGTGCACGAGAGCCCGGATTCGAAAAAAAGCTGTAAAGTCGGGAAGAACGTGTTCATGGTCCAATGTATGATTCCTATACGCTGCTATTGGTCTCTGTCCGCAATGCTGTACCGAGTGAACACGTACTCTCACCCACCAGAAGGCTTGCAGGTATTGTCTTGCCGAATTCTGCGGTCCGCATCAAGTTCACCTTTGGCGGGACATAGGCCTTGGTTATCGTCTCCACGGTTGTCGCATCATTCCCTCGATAGTCGTCGTCCTTCCGCAAGCCCTCGCTGAGTTGGTCTTGATTACCGTACGGCTTGTATCCACGTCGTTGGATTTCGTGCAGTAGTTCTGCGTTCGGGCATCGATAGTAGTCCATGCGGTATCAGGGAGCTATTCAGAAAGATGTTAGCTGGGCGTCTACGGATTTGGACTAGCGTAGTGTGGTTGAGCGGGTCGAAGCGGGTATGGACAAGTGTAGAGAGTATGGCCCGTGAAAATATTTTCACGAGGACAGCAGCCCCGGAGAGCCGTCCAGAGTGAATGGTGAAGGCCATTTCGCAGTAACCGTCAGAAGATTGGAAGTGCGGTTCTGGACGAGTGTTGTGTGTTTTGCTCATTTCAAAATTAGTGACGTGAAGGAAAGCACGACTGTAGATCGCGAGGGCCTAGAAGGAAAGCGCGTCCTTCGCTTCAACATTTTATACTCTACCTAGGTAGGGGCAGCCCTCTGGAGCGTGAAACCTCCACCCAAGCATTCTCCATACTCCTGTCGACGCATGTAAGTTTGGAGTCGAGCACCGTGTCTCAGTTCGAAATTTCAACGTCGGCATTGAATGGATCACGAAGTCCCGGCTACGGTCGCGCCGCCGGCGAGGCCTTCCTCAACTCAGAGTACCAAACCCGTCGACGTCTTTCTGGGAAGGCGAACGCTGCCGGACGACGAGTCGACGAGTCGACGATGGGATGGAGGCAATACTGGATGGAAAGAAAACTCTGACAGCAAACAAACAGTCATCTCTACCAACCGCCTGGCCAGCGTCGCAACAACAACCCATCGCCGAAGAGATCCACTCCACATCGGTCACCGCGGCGAGGACCGGTGAGCATTTTGAAGGACTCGACGCTTCACTCCACCGGCGCCGAAGATGTGGATCTGCACCCTACCACATGCCCAAAACGGCTAGCGCATCCGCAGCATAAACGAACCCTCACCGCCCCCAAGCTCCCAAGAAACATCGTCACGACATCGTTGGCACGCCGTTCGATCGCTAAAGAGATGGGCGCGGCAAGCTTTTAACCTCCGTTGCCGCAAGGAGAAAGAGATCGCGATGTTTCATCGGTGGCTTTCAGCCTCACCGCGCTTTTCGGCCCCTGCGAGCGGAGTGGAGCGCGTAACGCGAGGGCGGAGTGTCGGTCGATATGCACGTTTCCGCGTAGGGCTGTGCACAGGGTGGAGAAGCGTAACATGGGAGACGTTGCGCAGCGGGAGAGCGTGTTGCTACGCCTGGACAGGCGGTGATGCTAACTGCTCGGCCCATGGTTCGGCGCGTGGTTTGGCGACTAGATACGAGCGGGCGGACCGTTTTCCGTGTTCGTTTCAAGGCGGGGAGGTGGCGATGGGACGTTAGATACGAGTCTAGGCGGATCTAAGATCTCCTTAGACCGCTGGCTCTCCTCAAGGTTTGTGACTGCAAGCGCTTAGACGATGCGCCCACGGTACATCTTTGAGAGCGCTTGAACGACGCGCGGAATGAGCATTCCAAAATGCTCAACAGTTTAGGCTTTATTGACTAGGGCGACAGCGAGAGGCCCGCGGATATTTCTTTTAAGTCTCGGACGAACAAACAGTCTTCCTGAACAGGTAAATGGGGAGGTTGGACAGTCATGCGTTCATCAAAGAGCCTCATGCGGCTCCGTCCCTCAGGAACGGCCCTTGCTTAACATCTCGCGTGCGGAAAGCCGGAAGCAGTACTGCATCCTCTCCTCACCGGCGCAGCGCTCGTTACACATGTTCAACGCACGGCGGAGGAGAAGGGCTCTCGGGATCTTGGCCGTCCCACGGGTAGGGCTGCAACAGGCCACGGCGAGCGTGCCGGTGCGAGTCAAGAGGCTAGCGACATGCCTGCCAACTGACGGCATATGCAATCCGCCTATGAGGTCGGCGACGCGTGCCAGGGCGCCATTGACTCGGGCTTGAGGAGCCGAAGGGGGAGGGATTGCTGGCCAGGCTATCAACCTGCGGCGGGAAATCGCAGCGCTGGATTTCGCGGGGTAAGCCGCCATCGCGAGAGCCATGGTCATCGCGGAAGGGGTGTCGCTGCGCTTCTAGCACGCGAAGGGCATGGTGAAGGGCAGTAGATGCCCGTATCGAACGTTTCATGTCCTTCGAGAAGAAGCTAATCGGAGAATGCGTGCCTCGCGCATACATTGGGCATAGCGGGCATCGCCCGAGTGGGTTGTGGTTGGGTACACGGCGATGGGGTCTGCAATTCGGAGTCCGATGACTGCCTAAGCGCCAGGCTGGGCTTGCAGCTCTCCTTGCTAGCGACGTGCATGGAGGGCGTGAGATTCGTCATGGAGGCAGTCTGACGACCTGCAACCTGAGCGAGAATGCAAATCACAGGACAGGCACGCCCTTGGGGCCTTTCATGCTGCGAAGACGGGTCTCTGGGAAGTCCAGCGGTGAGGGCGCGATATGAACAGATGGACGGCGGGCTAAGGATAGAAACATTCGCAGGGCGAAGCCGAATTGATTGCAATGCGTGTAGACAGTTACATTGAGTACAATCTACGCTGGCCCAGGGCGGCTTGGTGTGATTGGCGGCGCGCGCACACATCATCAGCCTGTGTGCGTTGCCTCGCCGCGACCCCTGCACCCATGCACGCACCCCCAGGCGGATTACGGACGGTCCCCTCGCGCTGGCTCTGGCGCAGGCCTCAGCTTCAGCCTAGCCTACGCTTTTCAGCCCTCTGCCCCCGTCGTCCCGCCCTCCATAATCCCACTGCATTCCTGCCATGTAAGCTCGACCAACCGCGGCTGCACTCCGCATTTACGAACCCTCTGCCACCTCACCCTCTTCTCTTCTTCTCTCCCATTCAGTACATGCCGATTGAGAAGAGACGCAGCCATGGGCAAACTGGAGATCATGTCCCACGAGCACCTGGAGCTGCTCCGTAGCTCGGCCTTCGAGAGCGAGCACGCACAGCTCTACGACACATCCTACATGCAGCACGAAGCCGCCGCGCTGGCCCTCGAGCAGGAAATCGAGCACTCGCTCGCCAGCATCTCCCCGGACGAGAACGCGGACGAGCACAGGCGGATCGTGAAGACGCAGATTACCATCCACCGCGAGCGGCAGCGGGCGCTGCGGCCGCACCTGGAGAGCGGGAGCGGCGTCGTGGACGAGGAGGGGAACGAGTGCGTCTTCGTGCCGGCGCCGAACCACTGGGGCGCGAACGGTGATCTGGACGAGGAGAGCGGCAGTCTGTCGTCGGTACGTCCAGCCCTCCTATGCTCTTGGCAAACCCAGCTAACGACCCCAGGTACACAACCTCCTCACCTGGCAAGCCAGCTACTCGCCCATGTCCTACACGCCGCTCTACGAAGAACTCCCCTCGCCCGACATCCCCTACTACACGATGCTCGACCCCTCCCAGCCGCCCATGACCTACCACCTGCACCGGACGCGCGAGTGGAGCACCTCCGGCTGCCGCAAGTACATCTACACGGCGCGCGAGTACAGCGACAAGTACTCGCTGTACATGCTGGAGGCCTCGCACCGGGGCGACAACCAAATGACGCAGGCAGACTTCTTCCGCGTGGCCGAATACCCGCAGCACTGCATCTCCGTCCTGCTCTCAGGCATCGACAAGCGCGACAGCAAGGCGGCCTACAAGTCGCGCTGCATCCGCCTGAGCGGGCCCTTCTCCACCCCGATCAAGGAGTACCCGGACCGCCAGCAGAAGATCCCCTGGAGCCCGCGCCGCTTCACCTACGGCGGCCGCAAGTTCGTCTGGAAGCCCGGCGACCCGCACGACGACGTCATGCCCGAGACCCTGTTCGAGTTCCAGCGCGACTGGGTCAAGCCCGGCAGCCGCAGCGGGAAGCGCATCGACGACGCCCGCCCGACGAAGCTCGTGTGGGGCGAGAAGAGGCGGAAGGGCAAGGTCGAGAGCTACACGATTCATTTTGCTGGCGGCGTCGATCAGGTGTTCCGCGAGCTGCTGCTGGCGAGCCAGATGGCGCGGCAGGTGTGCCTGTTTACGGCGATGGAGTAGTCGAAGCCCATCTTCCCATCTTTCTGTGTTTTTCTTTTCTTTGTTTAGCGACGGCGACTAGCGAGCGCTCTTTGGTACGGAGCGGATCGGATGGCACTGTTATGATATGACATCAGCGGGTTGGGTTACTTACGGCATTATTGGGATCAAAGGGGACTCGGGCATGGATACCAGGCGTTTTTCGGGACTCCCGCTCCAGCGAGCGAGCGAGCGAGCGGGCCTTGCGGAATACTCATCTCTTGGAGTATTCATTCATTCGACATCGGATCGGATCGGATCGGATCGGATATTTCTTTATCCTCTATTCCTACCGGTCATTTTACTGGTTGGTTGCGTTCGCTCGCTGCTACGGCAGCCAGCTAGCTAGCTAGATAGCACAGCACGCTCAATTGACAGACAGAAGTCAGCTCATCAATCTCGTTTCATCGATTGTATTCTTTCATTTTCATACTACAGACACCTCGACATCCAAGCAGCCGATGAGTCCAGTCTCAATCACTCACCCAGCTCACCCCCCAACCGCCTCCCAAGCACTCAACGGATCCGCCCAGATCTCCCACCACCCAATCCGCCCTTCGCCATCAAACCCGCTAAACCGATACACAAACGTCTCCTCCCACCCCCGCCCCGTCTTCTTGCTCATAAACCGCCCTTTGCCCACTACACTCACCATCCCGGCCTCAGCATCCACGATAAACCCCTCCGGCCCCGGGAACGCGTCCGCGGGCAGCTGCATCTCCAGCGTCGCGGACAGCAGCTGGAAGTACTCCTCGCAGCCTTGGACGCCGGTGAAGGTTTTGCCTAGGAAGGGCAGGCGCGAGGTCGCCCAGGCGGGACCGTGCTCGGTGATTTGCGGGCTGGAGGGGGTGGAGGAGGTGAAGTAGGTGCTGAGGAGGGTGGTGGGTGTGGGGGGAGAGAGGAGGGCCTGGCAGAAGGCGTGGCTGGTTTGGCGGAGGAGGGTGGTGCGTTGCTGCTGCTGGGGGGTGGGAGACATGTCGACTGTTGTCCTATCTTGCCTGAGAAACGCTTCACACCCGAGGAATGGTCCTGGAAGGCTAAACAGCGTATGACAGGTACACCTCCAAGCAGCAGTGCAGTTCAACTCGCACGCCGCACGTCAGCGTGAAAGATGCTGACTAGCGGTCCGAAGAGCCCCGGTGGCGTGGTCCCTCCGCCCTCGTATTGGGTTCCTCGGGGCGGGTGGCTTGCGGGGGCGCAACAAGCCGTGCCTCTCTATCGGCGCGGCGTCGAACGGGTACGCAAGGCTGGCTGGTAAAAAAGCAAAAGGAGGCCTGGGACGGGGGCGGGATTATCTGCGATGCGAGGTGTGAGATCCAGGTGTGTAAGAATTTAGGGGATGTGTGAGGGGATTTCTCCTGGAATTCACGCGAGGTTGCCGCGTGCTGTTGAGCAATTGCGCGTGGAGATGGGGACTGGGATTGCTGGCTGGATAGGGGTAAGGCTGCGAGGTGTGCGGTGAGGGATGGGTGGTGGGAGGAATTACGTCAGTGAGGCTGGATTATGTAATCCGTGGTTTCCGTATCCTGAGGCAGAACGTTTCCACCTTCGACTCAACTGCAGGTGGTCTTCACGCTGCACTTCGCATGCAAAGAAGACAATCGGGCGTGGAGATGCGACAAACCTGTTTTCGACACTCGACACCTACAAAAGCCTGCTCGCGACCCCATAGGCCTCCCACATTCTGCATCGAACTCGCGCCAACAGCGAACGCCTCCATGAAGGACTTCCACATCTCCTCTTTTCGAAGCATATCGCGAGAAAGACTCAGTTTCAAGCCCAACTCACTGAACACCGATGCCCCAAGGCGTCCCAGTCATTGCATCACCAAGCAGACAGCTAAGCTACTTCTACTCCACCACCGTAGCTATACAGCACCCTGAAAGCGTGCCTGCCTCGGTATAGGCACAGCAGCTCGAAAAGTCCGGATGACATTCATGCGCGCAGATGAGATGTCGTCGGCCCATACACAGACAGCCGAGACAAACAGAAACAGCCCCCACAGCCGCAGAGAACACACCTCATCAATCTCACGCATTCGCAACCACGGTCTGACATTTTGACGTTGACTGACAGGAGTGCATTGCGCACGCACGCGCAACCCCTCACCCTCACGAGGCTCATCGGCGGCTGGGTATATGCACGCTTACATTATCTCGCGTCGCGAGGCGCATTTCTCCGCCGACAGTAGCGCAGAGAGCGCCAGGCGCGATATAGAAGTGCCGGCGGTGCAGCGAAGATCTCGAGCGAGCGGGTTATCAACAGTCACGGATTGATCGATAGGGGTGAGCGCATGCCACGAGGACGGCAATCTATCGCGGGCTGGGGTGCTCGCAGTGGCTGCTTCAACGGGTAGGTGATCACCGCTGCAGATGGGCGGCCACGAGGCCTTGTGCAGGGAGCATACAGTCGGATCTCAGGGTTTCCGACGAATTGTGCGAAGGGGTTTCAAGGGTTGGGCTGATGGTGGGTGGACTTGGGTTCGTGAAGGCTGACGTTGTGCGACGGGAGGCTGCGGATGGCGAGGAAGGATTCTATACGCCGCGTGGAGGGCGTCGGCACATCGTGAGCTAGTTTCGATTCAGGGACGAATATATTGGATCTTTCCGTGGTACTTTGGTCTCTTCGGCCGGCGTTTCTCGGTCTCGAGTTTTGCTCCGGCTTCTCGTTCGCGATTGGGATACCTGTTCCAAGGACGGATCCGGAAGTCTATCCGGATTGTAGTCGATATCCCAACTGAAATAGGGGCGCGACATTGAGGTTGAAGAAAGGTAGGGTCCTCCATAGGATGGTTTCTCTCGTAGACGAGTGTAGGTCCTCTCATTAGGCTTCGATGGATTCTTGCCGCGACGACGATTAGATTCGAAGACTTGTTTACCTCCGCAGCTTGCAAAGAAGCGGACTGGGTATTCTCTACATTTTGCTATAGCCAGTCGACCCAGCGAGTCTTTGAAGAACGCCATTGCTCGTGTATTAGGGAGTTCAATGTCTACAACCCCGCATACGCTAGCTTCTTTTGGGACCCCCAGGCGGACCGAGGCTAACAGCCCCTCTACGTCGCTTACTCGAAGCTCACCGCAACGTTTCTCTTTGCATGCCAAAATGTAGGGACTGGACACCTCTCCGTTGAAAGAATACATGGAGTGGAAGACTGCGCATACACAATGTCCGGTATCACGAAGACGAAAACCCACCATGATCTCGACGATGGCGCACTTGGGAGGTATCTCCAGCAGCATATTCCAGCCTTGAAGCTTCCTATAGTATCAACGAAGATTGGATATGGGCAGAGCAATCCGACGTACTTTGTCGACGATGCGAATGACACACGGTACATCCTCCGGAAGAAGCCATCTGGGACAATCATCTCGCCGGTAGCGCATCAAGTCGATCGGGAGTACAGGGTTATAAAAGCACTAGGGACTGTGGAAGGCTTCCCGGTGCCCAAAGTGTATTGTCTGTGCATGGATCTATCGGTCATTGGGACGGCTTTCTATGTATGTCCTTTCCACCCTGTCATGTGCAACAATTTCCTCTCTTCCAGACATATCGCCTTAGGTACATTACCAAGCTCGGGAAGACTGACAACAAGCAGGTAATGGAGTACGTCCAAGGCCGCATAATAACCGATCCGGACCTCAAAGACCTCTCCCCCACCGAGCGCCGCTCCGCCTGGTTCTCCCTCGTCGCCACCCTCGCCTGGCTGCACTCCATCGACCCCGACTCCATCGGCTTCCAGGGCTTCGGCAAGAAAACGGGCTTCTACACCCGCCACTGCAACACCTTCTCCCGCATCGAGGCCCAGCAGGCCAAAGTCAAAGACGTTACCACTGGCGAGGAACTCGGGCGCGCACATCCCCACTTCGACGAGATCGTAGATTACATTAGACGAAACGTCCCTTCTGATCGCGCTAGCATCGTCCATGGAGACTACAAGTTCGACAATGTGATCTTGCATCCGACGGAGCCACGCGTGATTGCGATTCTGGACTGGGAATTGAGTACGATTGGCCATCCGCTTCTGGATACTGTGTATGTCGTGGGTCCGTATTGGAATCGCGCAAGTCTACCCGGTGGACCTGCTGCGAAAGCGAGGGACGATCAGGGCGGCGAGGTATATGATGTAGAGAATCAGAGGAAAGCGGGAATGCCGGGTATGGACGAGCTCATGGATGAGTATAGCAGGATTGTGGGGTGGGATCCGAGGAGGGATCGGTGGGAGGTTGCGAAGGTGTTTCATCTGATGAGGGTGAGTGTGGCTATTTTGCGCACCGCCTTGATGGGTAGAAAGGGATGGGAATAGGGAAGTGTGGGCTAATGCGTGAACAGGGCGGCACGATTACGCATGGTATTCAGGCAAGGACGATTAGTGGGCAGGCGAGCAGCGAGTTTTCGCACACGTACTTTGAGCATACGAGGAGGAGCTTGGATGCTGCGTATAAGATGGTTAGGGAGATGAAGGGGAAAGAGAAGGCGAGGAGTAGCTTGTAAGGCGACAGTACGGTAGGCGGGCAATCGGGAGTGTCTGAGAGGCGTGGAAGCCTTCCAAAAGTAATGCCGAGCGTGAACAGAGATTACGCAAAAGCCATATTGAGCGGCGATTTTGCACCTAGCCCGGGTGGTGTTGATGATTGTATATGTATACAAACAACGATTGCCTTCAAAAAGGTAACAGCGGAAGATCTATGCAGTGCTTGCGCTGGAGGTGCCCAACACCACAGGCCACTAATCCTAGTAAGTCGACGTGGACGTCTTTCTCGGACTTGAGCGCAGCAGGCTGGCCTTGGCCACATCATGCCGGCAAACTTCTCCCCACCCCTCCGAAGCATGACCCCCACATGCGGCGTCGTTCAAGGAAGCTTTTATATAATCTTATACATCAGCGGATAAGGCTCTGCAGAATATCTGAAGCTGATTGGAACGGAACTCCGGGCGAGTGTTTGTCTGTCTTCAGCCTTGGGCCCGAGAGGATATATGGCATTACCCGCGCGGTCTTTTTCTTGGTTTCCGGCGTTTGTTTGTATGCTGTGGGACATTGAAACTCGAACACACAAAGTCTCGTTTGCTGACTGTCTCAAATTGTAGAGAATCGGCGCGCGAGCACGAATCAAGAGTGGGGCAGCAACCGGTGAGCTGCTCCGTAGGCGGTTCCCTCCGCCTACTTACGATACAGCGTTGGCACTAACCGCCAGCAAGGCTGAAAAATGAGACATAAATTCGAGTGGTTTGCCGCTCCATTTGACGGTCACAGCTACAATCGCAAGACCTACATCGTTCTCGTCCTCGCCTAGTAAGACCATCGTTAAAGAATTATTCATCTGGCTACAAATTGCTATGGAGATTCCACCCTTAGGGCAAGAGCATAATGAGTACTCCAGCAAAGGCATGGCTGCGTACCGAGCGCCCAACCTCTCGCAGCCACACAAAGCTCGCCAGGCTATCGAGGATGCCTACGCGGGCCGCATCCCCCCACTGATAGGCATATTCTGTGTCCTGGCTTCTCGATCCGTCACTCAAATAGTCGCTCAGCTCGGATTTGACTTCGTATGGGTTGAGTGGGAGCATGCGAGTATGTCTGTGGAAACTATGACTCAGGTATGCAATATCCGCTCTGGCGTTGCTTGTCCAGATCTCTCTCGGCGCAGATAGTACAGGATATCCAGTTCGTGAGTGAAGGAAAGAGTGCGGCGTTGGTCAGGTAAGAAGACAAAAGCTCGTACTATCTTGCTCTATGATGGTTAGCCATAGAGTGCCGGAAGCGAGCCGTGCGGCTATAGGATATGCGCTAGACGCGGGGGCGAGTGTCGTCATTCCGCAGGTCGAAACTTTGGAGCAAGCTCGACACATCGTCTCAGCCGCACGATTTGGAGTCCGCAACAATGGGAAGCGGTCTGCTCCGCCGGGACGCTGGATTCCCGGTGTCTCCATGCAATGCTGCGATCCCGACCTCTCGTTTTGGGAGAACCAAAACAAACAAGCGGCCGTGATCATCCAAATCGAATCGGTGGAAGGGATCAAGAACCTGGATGCAATTCTGTCGGCTGTTGGCGAGCATATCGACTCTGTGTGGCTCGGTAGCTTGGATCTTCGTGTCTCCATGGGATTGCCGGGATTTTGGGGTGAAGAGCCGGAATGGGTGGAGGCTATCGACATGCTTCAACATACCCTGAAGAAACACGACAAGCCATATTCGGGCCTGGCAACTGGAGATGACGAATGGCTGAAGCTTCGCGGAGAAGGAAGGTCACTGATGTTCACTTCTTCGGATTTGGAAGCTGTACTGCGCACTCGAGAGGAGCTCCAGCATGTCAGAGGTCTCTTTCCCAAGAAGAACTATTCGAGTCTCGGAAAGGCAACCTAAAATAACGTACAGTTAGTAACCTCTAGACCTTGTCAAGCTTATATGGTACTGTCATAAGTATTATTGTAAGACTGTCCTGCCCGGTGGAGTGAAATGCATGCAACTCAGAGAGAATCTTCAAACTCACCCAGGTTCTGGAACAGTTTTCCCCTTCCCGAGGAGCTGTGGTGGGCTGGTCTTGCCACCTCGTCAACCTCAGAGATAGTCGTATCTCCGTATCAGGTTCTTAATGGCCCCAGACCAAGTCCCAGCCTCCACCGCGACGGTATCTGCTCGTTTCCCATCCATCGTTTTCATGCCTTTCATGAAACTCCCATGGGTTAGCACTTCCTCCAGCAGAGTTGGGTGGCCTATTCTGGCCGCATAATGCACTGCAGCCCAGCCCTCGCTACTGATGATATCGCCTCCGTCTTCTAAGCCAAGAAGGGTCAGGGCGCACTCAACATGCGAGGCTGACAGCGCTGTTGTAAGCGGAGTGTTTCCTTCATGATCTTTGGTTGCAGCTAGTGCGAGATTGTCCGTATGATGCAGCAAGAGTCGCAATGACTCGCTTTCGTCCTGAGCAGAGGCGTGATGGAAGGCAGTTTTCCCAGAATCATCGATCAAATCCAGCTTCGCGCCACTGTCAATCAAAATCTTAACGCACTTGGGGTCGTCCAGAAAATCATAGAGGGGCGGCCTTCCGTCCACATCTTGGATATTGATATGAATGCCGCTATTTGCGCTGCACAGGAGAGAGGCGATCGCTCGTCTATCTTCACTTCGTCCTGACAGACCCGCGCAGTGGAGGGAGACCTGACCGTCCTCTTGCTGGACATTCGGCGATGCTCCGGCTTCTAACAAAAGCTTGACGCAGGCCGCGGAGCACCATGAAGCAACATGTAGTGGTGTTTCGGCCCACCTATTCTGTTGGTTGATATCGAGCTGATCAGAGCACCGTCTCTAAATGGCTAGAGCCCCGGCCAGGCCACGGTCAATCTTAGACTCCGCCGTGGCATGAAGGATGTTGGCATTGAGATTCGAAAGGATCGTTGGGTCTGCACCATGGTCGGCAAGTATTCTCATCTTGTCCACGCGTCCAGCGGAGGAAGCCCAATGAAGAGGCGTCCAGCTGAACTTCTTATCTTGGCGATCGACAAGATTGTGAATAATTTTGGCGCCTTGGGGCTGCTCGAAAGCCGATGCGCGAAAGTACTCCAGTATATCTGAGAAAAGAGGCGAGCGATGCCTATATTTTGATTTCCATTGCGCCCAATTCGTACTAACCGGTGCGTTGTTAGCATCGTCAACAAGCTGTATTAATCTGTCGCCATGTCAGAACTACTGCAAATAAAGGCATTGAGCTGCTAAATAATTCACTGTGATGGAAAGGCTTTGTGAGGGGGCTTCCTTCTGCAGTGGTGGCCGCTCTGCATCCTTGGGGGAATACATTTCGAGGACTGCAACGCGAATTGGAGTAAATTCGAAGTCACTCATGAAATCGTCTTTTTGAGAGAACACTTCCACAATATCATGCTCCACTTGCGTTGCATCTTGGCCAATGGACTTGAGTATGGCGAGATCGGCTGGCTTCCTGGTGACCTTAGTCGGAGTGGTAACAAGTATCTTCACTGACAACGGACCTTGACCCAACATCTCCACTTTCCGTATCGACACCCAAGTCCATGAGGTACTTGACGATATTGAGTTGACGATTATAGGCGGCAGTCTTGGTCCATCAGCATGTCTTCGCGCTAAACGTCACCAGGCCATACTTACGTGAAGGAGGGACCATCCATCTGGCGCTGTGTCCCATATAGTGGCTTCACCCGATTCAATACAAGTTTTCAACCTCTCCAAGTTCCCATGCTTGACATAGCGCATCGCATCAGAGCCCTCTGATACCATTCGATAGGTGTTGAGATCGTAGCGAAGGGTTATGCTCTTCGACGAGATGGCTTGGGACAGTGCCCGGATGAACGACTTCGATTGCGTTTGGATCTTATCCTCAACAACCAGTTTCGACTGGCACAATGGATCCGTACATCTCGCTTTGGCTGCTTTGTGCTTTCGGATACCTCGATGAAGCCTGCTCGCGTCCTGTTCGTGACACTTGCAATAGCAATCATAGCGACATGATCGGCGCGTTACCAGAGTCTCCTGGCTACTGCTACCAGTCCATGTCGACTTCGTTCTATCCATCCTCTCAGTTGAATCTTGCGTTGTTAGGAGTGGTCACAGATGCCTTATGCTCTCTGAGGTATGACGAGTAGACACGCTTCCGGAGCTCGAATCTGAACTGCCCAGTGTCAGGGAGTCCATGGACGATACGGTAGCATCGGATGTGCTTTCTAGGGTTGCCAACGAGCTCGCATTTGAGAGGCGGCGAGGGCCAGTGATTCTTTGCGGAACGTGCAGGGAATTAGAAGCCTCCCCTACGACTGCTTCGTTCGTGCCGGTGTTTAGAAGCATGTATTGTGGGTATTGGGTAGCCACGGAGAGAAAAGTTTCGCTAGTTGTAATGTCAGCCATAAATTAAGCGTGGGTAAGAAGCGCGACTGACGCGTGAGTGATAGCCAGGAAGGTTTGCAGCATCATGTTGAGTTCTTTCAACCGATCGTGCAGCTTCTTCACTGCGGACGCACCTTGGACCCATCTCACCCGCCGCACAGTTGACACACTGGAGTTGGACATCTGCTGTAACCGGTCGTCGAGCGTGTGGATAGTATCCAAAGAGTTTGCGAGCATGGTCTCAATCACCGATGGGGATATCCGGTGTATCGTCTGCCGGCTGCGAAGCACTCGTTCGAAGCCACTCAAGGCTTCCGCGAAGACGGAAACATCGTTTGAAAGGCTTAATAATTCCCGATCGGCATCCTTGAAGCTGTCTACCACGCGAAGGGTAGCTCTACTGGCGTGGATGAGGTTGGTCAGAGAGGCTAGAAGACCGATGACTGTCACCGGGTCCACGGCGAGTATGGCTAAGACTCATCTCGATGTCGTCGAACTAGAAAGAACATGAAAACGCAAGCGTGCGATGTCGCAAATTTATGAGGTAGAATGGAATAGTGTATCTCGTGCAGTTGTGTTAGGGTGAGGCTTTAGAATTCTCTTCAGGGCGAGGCTCTGCATTGCATGGAAAGGAGTTGACTCGCGCCCCTCGGGGCCGAATTCAGCTAAAAACGGTTGAACTCGAGTTGCGAAACGGGCCGGGCACTGGCCGGACGCCCACTTGTGCCGATAATACGTCCCGAAAAGTGGGCTCAGCGCGAACGATGAACGAGAGGCGAGTACAGCCGCGGGGTTGAGGCTAACTGTAGCCTATGAGGAGCCGATTAATGAGGGACGCTGCATCTGACAACTACGTAGGTGCTCTTACCTTTGCCACGAATGCGGGCTGAAGGCGGCTATCCGCTGGAAACGGAAGTATGTATCAGGTCCCCAGCTTTTCAATCTCTCATTGGCTTCCTTTGCGTGATACAGCAGAGCCTTTGCATACACCTCCCGTCCGTCCGTCCATCCTCGTGATGCCTAGCCGATTCGAAGGAAACGGAATACCGCCTTTCCGTTTCCTCACGCTTCCGCCTTCGCATTCTCTGTTGTCCCATAAGAATTTCCGCAATGAGTTCCAGTCAAGATGATGGCCTGCCCAACTCCCGCTCCTCGAACTTTGTTCTATACCACCTCACCTTCAGGGCTCGGAAGAATGCGTCACGGCCCGGACGAATACCTCAGCCTCGGATTGACTCGCTCACTCCTCGAGTAATCCCTATTTCTTACCTCGGTTCCGTTAGCAAAAGATGAACAAATGACTAGTTGGATCCTTGTCGATAAAAACCAGGCTCCAAACTACTGTCAGATTCACTATCTTGCGAAAGCTTCCGAAACCCATCTGTGACGAGTGATTCCAAGAGGACCAGGTCGTTGACAACATTGTCCATGGCATTGACAGCGTGTTCTGCCCTCCGGGATCAGAGGCCGATGCTATCCTCAGTGCATGATGCAGGAATTGGTGAAAGGGCTGCGTATCTGGCAGTCAAAAGGGCACAAGTGCGTTGGGAGCATCCTCTGCTCCGACATCGGAAAAGAAGTACTACGCAAAACTCGACTAGCGCCCTAATCCCACGAACTGTCACGTCAAGGTCAGTCCTGCAAATATCGAACGATCCCCTCTGGTCAGAGACGTCCCCGCGAGCGAGTTGTCAACACGAAGTGAGAGAGACGAGGCCTTACTTCGTCAGCATATGGCTCTTCCAGCAACAGGAACTAGTCTGCGCCTGGCAATCCTCTCAGATATTAATCATATGGGTTGGCGTTCGGCAAAGGAGTAGTTCGCTTGCTAATACCTCTTCGGAGAAGACCCGCCCACAAAAGGCGCCATCGCTGGAACCCCCGGAAACTAAGTTTGGGGGATCTGGACGCATCGCTATTATGGTAGACACGACACCGAATCAAGGAACAACGTGCTCTACATTCTGCGACTGGTCATCGAAGCAGACGAAACAGCCAGCCGGCTCTCTGCAGATGAATCGAAGATACCCATCGCTGGGAAGTACGATGAGCAAATGCGCTACATGAAGGGCACTCTCTAGGCTGCATAGACGGAAGCTGCACAATGGAAGCTTGATGTTGTCAAGCTATGGGACCTGACACCATTGGTCAAGCAGGTTGCTGCATATCCACATGGAACATGACATGGTGGAACGGGAAGAGGACAGGATTGCGAGCCTGTTGTGGTACGATGACACCGGTGAGAAAGGCGCTGCACCACCTTTGTGGGTGAACAAACGAGCATTATGCTTGGCTGTGATTGCAACCCTCGATCGCTGTCGCCATGAAAGCTGCACAGGATCAGCGCTGATTGTACTTCAGGAATAGCTAAAATAATTTTCGTCACCACTTCACTAATACTATTTCCGCGTTCACTCTTTCCTAGACGTTTGCCTATAAGGGGCAATAACGGACAACCTCTCCGGAACACAGTTTGTAGAGCCACGTAAAAGTTCTGTGTTCCACGGCGCAGCTGGCGGCTCAAGCCGCTGGAGGGCGGCTTACCGGAGTGCAAAGATAAAGCGGGCAAAGCCCCAGCTCTCCGCCCGGCCTTGTGCGAGGACTTGGACAAGTTTTTCTTCTCACTTCGTTCTTACACTAACCCACATCGCCTGCGCAACACGGGCCTGCAGTTGTGCCTACCTTGGAGCTTAAAGCATGTCACTATTGCTCTGGTCAGCCCAGCTAGCCGATTCGGCACGCATTGCGGAGATACACATGGCATCATTTGGCCCAAACGCCATGCTACGAGCGCAGTTCCCCACACCAGAGACTCGCGAGGCTCTGCAGGCGTCTATTGAGTTGAAAACATCAGCCGATATTCAGGATACGAACACGACGGTGTTAATCGTGAGACTTGTCGATGCGAAAAGCGAAGATTGCAATCCTCTAAAGAGCTCACGTGACACTGAGGAAGGAAAGACTTCGGAGAGCACAGCAGGCCGCATTATCGGGTTTGCAAAGTGGGCGCACGCAGTCGATGACGAGGACTATGTGGAGCCTCCGTGGATATGGCCCGCGGGAACTGCGTTGGATGTTCTGAATGAATGGACAAGACAGACCGAAAACAAATACAATAGGGTCATGGCATTCGCGCCGTGTTACCGTAAGCTCGGTTTTCCTTCTTTCCCCTAAAACCCTATCGTCGAATGTTGTTCGTTCCATGCTCAACAAATGCATTCTAAAGCCCGATATATCGCATATCTTAATATTTAATACGGTGTTGGCTGATGCAAGTCTAGGTCTCCATTCATTGCAGTAGACCCTGCCCATGAGAGATCTGGAACGGGCTCGCTGATGCTGCAGTGGGGCATGGATCAGTGCAGAAAGAGCGGCTACCAAGCATATCTCGAGTCCACAGTTGAAGCAGCCCCTTTCTACAAGAAGCATGGCTTCAAGGCTGCCACCACTATCTCCTTAGTCATTGGAGTCACACCGAACGGAGAGCCACTTGTGTACCGAGAAATCGGTTTCGTCTATGACCCGTCCAAGAGGGACAAAGGAGGAGGTTTTTTGTCACTTCTTGCTGAACTTGGGTGGTTTTCCTTCGTCCGCCGTCTCTGCAGGACAATTGTAAAATAGCTGGCCATCAAGAGGCTAGGACATTTCAAATGATACCAGCAGCCATCCAAATTGAAGAGCATATTGCGGATTGACTCGGCAAAGCTCATCCTGGAGGAGCTGGAAGTGGGTAGCTTGGACGATGTGAAGTGCGTGGCTCTCCTTCAGCGTCCAGTTACACACCGCAGCCACTGTTATGTGGCGACCATTAACAGTGATCTCGTCCACTGTAATGGTGTGCGGCGTCTCTTCCACTTCTTGTATGTCGGCGCCAAACAACTTTACCGATGCCGTTGGCGGGAGCCTAATGTTGGAGGAGTCGTAGATGAGGTGACGGGGTTTGATTGCAGCGGTCAAGAAAGAGTCGACGACCAGGAAACTAATGTACACCCGCGCATTGCTCCACAGGCTCCTCCACCACCTCCTCCCCACCAATCATCCCAGGCTCCGGTCAGGGCTCACAGTCCCCACCCACCTGTTGAGTTTCTTGAGTGTCCAGAGAGGCTGCCACCTCCAGCTAGTCCTACTCCAACTGGTCCTACTCCGACTGCTCCAGCTCCTCCTCCACCTCCTCCCGTTAGAGCAATCCAGGCTCAATCCATGCGTCACGCGCCTCCGTGATATCCTCCTTGAAGCTCCGCAGAAGCATCTCCTGTGTCGCGTCGTCTAGGTACTGAATTGCAAGAGAATATCGGTATGATGCCGCAGATATGACGCTGCTGAATGCTTTGGTCACATTTTCTAGTGTGGTTTGGACTTCGGCGATCTGGGCGTCTTTCTGCTTTGCTTGCGCCTGCAATCTCAGGACTTGGTCGTCCAATTGATCTCTCAGGGCTTGATTTTCCTTTTCGTTTTCATCTAGTTCCTTTACTCGCATCTCCAACTGCTTTTCGACCTGTTTTAATTTCCTGTCGATTGTACGTTTATGGCCCGCCATGATCTTAGCGTTCTGGCTCACACGGCTCCGAGTCTGGGCTGTATCAGTTATAGGACGGTGCGGATGAAAATATAACACACCCGACTAGATAGTGCGACAGGGGCATATATGCGCTTGATGATTTTGTACTCCCAACTCAATGGAAGAAATCGCAGAAGTGGTCCATCTCGACTATGTCAGTGTCCTGCACCTCAGATGCCAGAAAGCGACCTGCTGTTCCCATCTCTTTTCGCATTTCTTCTGCTCCGCGCTTCCTCAGCGCCTGCTGCAAGTAGTGCGGGTTAATGGAAAGAAGAACGACTCCGGGATGATTACTGAGCATGGATGGCTTCAGCTTATTATACCGGTTGGTCAAATATTCGTATCCAATGCTGAAGGACCCCAGGAGAACTAATCCCATACTGCCATAAAAATTCGCGCGATCTCGCCGCAAAGAATTCACGAACTTTAACCTTGGAACATTCGCCCTCACCTCCCTCGAAGTGGAAAGCTCGCAGAGTTCGACGATAGTGAGATCGATGTTTTAGCACCTTACCCGAAGGCAAACCTCAGTGAAATAAAACTAGGATGTAATTTGCAATAGGCGACGCGTTTTAACCTTCGGATAGTAGAATCTGCAAAGTACATCCTGGAGGCCATCAGTGCTGTATACTGATACCTAGAATATATGTATTCTCCGCTGAAGGTTGACTGCGTGTCTTCTTGGTCGAAAAGCGTTGGGCGTCAACGTTCTCCATTGCTGGATGTTGCCTACACTGAACCGTGGATCCTTTCTGTACTAAACCGCTGAACCTTTTGATATTACCCCTTCTGCCTGCGGAGTTTAGAATATCGCGTCTTTTTTGCTGGTACTGTATATGTAGTATGCTCGCATCTTCTTTATGACGAGGTCGAGCGAATCGATGACTGCGCGCGCTGCGCTCCGCTGAAGGCCTCCAGGCTGAGCAATCCGTCTCCTGAAGCTACCCCTAGCGGCCAGGCCTATTGTTCGTGAATTTTAAGAAATGCAGATAGAAAAAGCTCTCCTCAATGGCGTTTCCCAATCGAAATTTCCATCGTCTCGGAAAGCCGCCATAGCCAGCATACTGCTGTGCGCAAGGCTACCTGGTAACAATCAGCATTGGTAATTATATAGACGGGTCTTCGGGTCTGGCTAGGGACGAAGACTTGCCATGCCAATTTGTACGCGAAGGGTAGTGCATCAAAGGAAGACAGGACCACAAGCTAGCCACATTGTCACATCGGTATTACTTAACAATAGAATTTTGTGGCCGCAAACGCAGAGAAAAATGAAGCTATACGTATACCCAAAGTGAAGGAATTGCCTTCGTAAGAGCGCAGAATTCAAATTGACTGGTCCAGAGGTCTCCACGCGCTAAGAACGATGCAATTCAAACCTACCTAGGTACTTCTGATTACAATATGCGTTATCTCAGGAATGTATCGACAATCTCTCAACTAGCAATAGCGCACTACTATTATAAAGAAGTACCAAGCGCCACTTCTCGGCATCAAGATGTCGCTTGCGGGGGGAAAACATTTCGTAGAAAGGTATGGGGGAGGTATCCAGAGTAAGCTAACCCGGTTGCGTAAAACAAGCGAATGCTTATTTTAAGCCGTCAGCTTTCCTCAATTCTCCTAGCCCACAGCAACCGCAAAGATCCCTTCCAAAAGCAGCCTCACGGCGCGAAACTAGTCACTTCAGGCGTCCAAGGCACGCCAACTTCAGCCTCAAGTGGTCGACGCGACTGCAGCCTCATCAAGCCATGATGTAATACCACAGCATATAAATCCCCAACCGAACCGCGAGGCTAACAGCCCTACCTCACCACCAAACCCCATCTCACCAAAAAAAATGGTCAACATAACCTCCGCCGCCCAAGCCGCCGCCACTGCCTACGGCGCGCTTATCGCCCTCGGCGGCGACTACACCTACCCGCTCTCCAACCTCTCGGTGCAAATCTCCTCCTTCTTCCTGCCAAATTACACCGCATTCTCGCTCGGCGAAATCAGCGTCTCGCCTAATGCATCGATCGTAGCGGAGCGGTTCATATCCGAGTACACGACGCTGCGCACGGAGGGTCCCGGAACGGTTGTTAAAGTGACGGATTCAAGAGTCGAGGTGGTGTCGGATCAGAGCGCGTTGTGTTGGTTGACGTATAGGATATCTCCGCAGCAGACGAATTTGTCCGGGTGGGACTGGACGAATGTGTATGGGTTTAGGGCTGTGGAGGGCGGGTTGGGGAATGGGCTGGATGGGGGGTGGGAGTTTGCAGTTGCGGATCAGGAGCATGAAGAGATGGCGAAGAGGTATCCGGATTTGGCGTGAAGGTGTCGGAGACGTGGCGAATGCATAATCCTACTTCAAGAGCATTCACGGCTTGGGGAAGCAGGATGAGTGTTATACCCAATTGGGTCAGCTTGTGAGGAATACGCTTAATGCAGAATTAACGGAGGGTCGAAGCATCTTAGAAGTGTCTACTGATTCAATATTCTAAGCATCAGGTCGGCTGGGAAAATGTTACCGGACTTAGGCTCTACTCACGTGACTTGATGCGTTACACACATAGCCTTTTCTTGAGTCTGCTAAACAGCTCCCACAGGCCTTCAGCGTTCTTTGCCGGCGCCTAGAATACGTTAGGCTCAAACGGCCTTCAGGCTAGGTAAACAGGTTTTGCATGCTACATTCGTGAACGCCAAATCCTCCTGCAGCGAAGCCAGTCTTTCCCAGCGGGCGAAGTCCTGGAACGGCGAAGGTCCAAGAGCATGCCGTGAAGCGACGCGAGACCCCCACGTTGTCGAACTGGCCCAAAGTTGACGATTACTCACCAGAGGACCTCTGGCCAAAAAAAACCACCTCATGCACGTGACCACACCTGGAGAGGAGTCGCATCGGACGATGCCGGCAGCGCCAGTGTATTACGAGCATCTGACGGAACTAAGTCGCTGCGACAGGCGAAGAGGTAGTGACGGAAGCACAAGCGGAGCGAGAATGGGAGACGACGGTGAGATTCTATAGGCCTTTTGTGTTGCCGAATATAGTTACTACTTTACGTAACCTGGTTATGTATATATATAGCTATATTTCTCGTATTCTTAATTAATTAACTTATGTCTTAATACTCTACAATTTACCTAATAGTTATAAGCTTGGATTTGCCTACTACTATAAATTAAACCTACTAAGTTTATTTAAAATAATTAGATAATAGAGTTACTAACTTATATACCTTATTATTACTAATAGATTCTAGAGTTACTCTAGAAATATACTATATATAATTAAATTCGCTCTATATACTATAATTTCTATAATAGAGAATACTATTATAGTTACTAATATTATAAAAGCTATTAAGATTCTTAGTATACTATAGAATTAGCTATACTAGAAGTTTCTTATTAAGAAGAAAGCTATCTAGTATAGAGTCTAGAAATACTATAATCTAGATATAGAGAAATTAGTACTACTAACTTCTCTAGAGAAATCTAAATACCTAATACTATTAATAATTAAATAAGAAGCTATAATAATAAAGAACCTTAACGCTAATAAGAGATTAGAGTATTAGAATTAAAAGAATATATATAAGAAGAAGAGTAAGAAGTACTTACTTAAGAAGAAAGCTCTAAGAGATATATTAGAATATATTACTATAATAATTAATAACGTACTTTATAAGCGAACCGACTATATAAGCAAGCTAACTACCTTTTTCTTAGCAAGAAAATTAACGAAAATTAACCTGTTTTTCTTAAATAACTAAGCGAAACCTTAATATTTTTCTATAAAAATTTTAATATATATTCTTTATAGTATATTACACC